ACATAGCCGTTCTTCCAGTTCACCACTGCGCTATCGAAAACCAAAGATGTCACCGTCTACCTTGTCTTTGCTATCTACAATAAGCTCTTCGACCATCTTGAGAAGTCGATTAAGCAGCTTACAAGAAAGAAGATAGCCTGGAAGAAGCTTATGCTTACCGCTCTCTATGCGGCGGAGGAAAAGCTTAGGCAGTACTATAGTAAGACGGATGACATTCCTGGTGATCTCTTTGCTATTAGTACAATGCTCGCACCACAACATAAGCTCCAGTTCTTCTGGAGTAAAGATTGGGGCCCTGAGTGGCTTACTAGATATAGGCAAAGCCTCGTGGACTACTTTGAACCATATAAGCAACGTCTGTCAGAGGAACAGACAGAGAACGGTGAAGGATCTTCTACGCAGAGTGTAGGCATAGACCTTGATCGGATGATTGGTCTAGATCAGACTATCCAAGCTAGCCAGCAGGACGAGCTTGCAAGATATCTCGATGGTGGTAAGTATCCTTATTTTATTAATCACTAGGCTTATACTAATATATATACCTTAGCCACCGTTTCTAGTATTCCAATACGAGCGTTCTGGAAGGAGAACCAGATTACATTCCCTGCGCTTGCAAAGCTCGCGCGTGATGTGCTCTCAATTCCTGCAACTGGCGCCGGCGTTGAGCGGCTATTTAATACTGCTCGGGATGTCTGTCACTATCGTCGAGGCTCACTAAATGCTACAACAATCCAGGAGATTATGTTGTATAGATGTACGACGCAATTTGAAGTCGAAGAGGACGAAATCGCTTTTCGGAAGGAGTATCTTTCTGCAGGGGAGATAGAAGCGGATCATGAAGAGAAAGATGCCCAACAACAAGAGGGTACTGTCGACCCGATTAGTGACAATGAGGAGAGTAATGAGGACGATACACGGGTGGGTTTAGTCCTTGTTCAAACGCAATCAACAACGGAAGGTCCCTCGAAACGTGCTCTTGGAAAGAGAAGAAAGAGTGTTGCATCTGAACCAGACACTGAAGGCTATAAGGATAGTAACGAGGAGGAAGATATTCCTCTACCAGAGACACAACAGCGTGTCTCAGGAAGATCTAGGAAGCGGCCGCGGCATGATGATGATCAGTTCATAGTTTGTTAGTTTGGTTCTAGAATTGAAGACATTCATACTTATCCTTGACCTTATTTCTGCAGGAATACACTACCTGTAAGCTAGATACCTATAAATACAGCCCATAAATGCATAATATATACATATCACGAGGTTCTTCATGTTTGTATTGTTTACCAACCCGTGGGTAACCCGCGGGTAACCCGCGGGTTTAATATCTCAACCCGTACCCGACCTTCGGGTCCATACCCTCGACCCAAAACCCGCCAAGAAACGGGTACGGGTCGGGTCCAACCCGTCTACCCGCGGGTTTAGGCGAGGTCTAAGTCTATATATTCGTCTACGTCGACGATATACTAATCACAACATCAACAGACGACCTCATACAGCGCACCAAGCGCTACGTCTCAGCAAAATGGTCCATCTCCGACCTAGGCCCTACATATCATTACCTAGGCCTTAAGATCGACCACCAGAGAAAGAGAGGCATCCTACACATCTCGTAGAAGACCTACATTAATAGGATCACTGCAAAGATAGCCACGGGCAACATGAAACGCCGGAAACCAACGACCCTAATAACCAAAGAGCTCCATCCACCAAAAGAAGGTCATCAGGCCTCGCAGACAGCCATCAAAACCTACCAAAGCGGTGTAGGATCGCATATTTATGCGATAATAGTGTCAAGACTAGACATCGCTTTCTACGAATCTACCCTCTTAAGCTACCTCCTAAATCCTGATAATGACCATTTTAACGCCTTATAGAGAGTTAATGACTACCTCCACCACTCCAGCGACCTTAGAATCACCTACCGCGCATCGAAACACCCCACCAAGGGCGACACGGCCGCATCTACGGCGAGCATCGATGGCAATACTAGTAGAGAGGACGGAATAATAAGGGGATACGTAGATACATCATTCGTATCTACGGTCGACCGAAAAAGCCATACGGGATATACCTTCTTCCTTGCAGGAGGGCCAGTCGTATAGAGCTCTCGCCGCCAAAGCTATATCGCCAAATCATCAGCAGAGGCCGAATATATAGGCATCTCTGAGGCTAGCAGCGAGGCTATCTAGCTACAGAATCTAATGCGAGAGATTAGCATTATAGGCCCCTCTCCAGCACTCATCGCGACCGATAGCCTATCCGCAATGGCCATATCAGAAAATAGGAAGACCCACGGCTAGTCAAAGCACATCGACGTCTATTACCATTAGATAAAAGAGCAGGTCCAGACCTCCAAGATCGCCCTACACTATATGCTAGGGAAACAGCTAGTCGCCGACGGCCTTACGAAAGCTCTACCCCAGGCGGCTTTCGAACAGTTCGTTAGATAGCTACAGCTTCAGAGAACACCGACAACGAGGTCTAACGGCGCAGCACGGGCCAAGGCGTGCTAATAGCACCTCCGGGGGTGCAGTAAGCATCCTACGAAACTAGCTACTATGCTGGTTGGCCAGAGACCCTAGAGACTCAACCTCTCCAGGACGAAAGAAGGCGATTCAACACCTTTCTACAAAATAGCATCTATTTCCTATTCAGGATTAGTGCCTATCTAAGCGAGATCTGGTTAGACCAATCAGAAGACGCCATTTCATTACGTTTTTTTTCTTCAGAAACGAGAGAAGCCAAGGGGGTATATTAGAAATTAGAGCCCTCATCCTAAGGCGCCAATATCGGTCGGCATCTCTCTGCCCCAATGGCTACTGATTGGTCAGCTAGGCCCATGAGGTTATTGGAAATGGGCGCCCGTATATGTAGGTTCCTTATCTATATCGCCTTCTTTGCTTCTTTTCAGGGGGTTTCCCCATGGACACCGGGCAGCGGTGTAGGAGAACATTTTTGTATGCATTTCTCTTAGAAAACAGTTCTCAGGGTAGGATATAAATATCCCCTGAGAACGAGTAGAAAAGACAATCAGAATTTACCATCAATTACCTGTCTATCTTCTTTTCGTCTGATTATCTACCCCCTAATTCTCAACACACGTAATTAAGAGTAGCTTGAAAGAATTTGTTGCAACAGACACTTATATGTGACAGCCCAAGAGTATGCTATGCGAATATATATATTTAGGATGAAGTCAAGCATTTACACTACTTCATCAAATCACCCACCATAACAATCGTATAGGTTTAAATTTATGGTGTATTCATATTCATACACTAATGTCAATTCTAAATACAGCCTAAATTTCTTTTATTTCATTAAGGAAGTAGGTAAATATCTCTAGTCAGACAATACAGAACTGGAACATGTGTTAATAACAGGTTATTTTTCAGCTGAATCATCAGAGTATACATCCTAATCGGGACAATTGTGCACAAGATGGGCGAAAGCGGGCCCGCCCAGGGCCGCCCTATGCGGGCACCATGGGCGGGCCTGGTATGTACGTGCCCGCCCGACGGGCTTGGACGGGCGGGCTACGGGCGGCCTCCTTAGGCCCATGGGCGGGCTGTGTCAAGGTCTATTATGGCGTTTTGGGATGGGTGGCTCGACTGGGGAATTTCCGCGTACACCGGCACATATGTCACTCCAGATCATCATGAGGAAGTGAAAGTAGAGAATTCTGCCTCGGCCTCGAATTATACCCTCAAAAAAAAGGGACTAACCGTGACACATGATGATATTGCCGCGGAACCCCGGAGCCAGTACGAAGTTGAGGAGCCCGAACGAGAGCTTTACTCTATTCAATACACTGCCCCTAGGTACTTGAGTAGAATATCTATTATGTAGTAGATAGTATTTAGCTCTAGTCCTACCCTCTCCAGGAAGGACAATCAATTATTCCGTTCCATTCTCTCAACGCAGAGGGTCAATTGTCATGTGATAGATTTATCTTAACTTCCAAGGTTTTCTTAGTAACCTACAAATCTTTCATTATCGCAATGGGTACCCCACCGTCATTACCTTTCTGCCCGAAGCACAACGTGCTTCCAAGAGTAAGGTTTACGGACTCCGCACGAAGGTTCGATAAAATTTGGTCCTGGTGGCAGTTTCTTTTGGACCCATGGAACTTCCACGGGAATTCCATGAACGGGGCCACGAGGACCGTGGGATTCACATTGGACGATAGGAGTTGGGACTAGGATTAAAACATCGAGGTCTCGTGGGACTTATTAAAGTTTACACTAACCGAGCGCCCGACTCAGTAGTACTGAGTCGGGCGCTCGGTTAGAGTGAATTTTGACGTAGTACTATGACACAATAAAGCCTCATAATTAACGATGATTGTTGGGATATCTGGTTGTAAAAAATGTCGCATTTACTATTAGTGTTTTTGGTGGCGAGCCCGGTGGGGATGTCGCCGTATACAACAGGGATGGGATTGCTGACTAACGGATATGTGGCACTCCAGGGCTGGAGGATCCCGTACTAAGAATAATCAACCTTGAAGCCACTGATAAGCGTAAACGAAATACCTGTCCTCGTCTAGCTAGTGCCTACCAATTTGCATTAAATTATTGTTGTGAATAGTAATTGAGATTTGAAATTATGCGATCGTGTTCACTGATTAAGTTTGGTGGCTAATGCGACTGTCTTGATTGGCCAGTATTTGGTGGGGCTTCCCCAGATCCTTGTTTGCTTTCCGGGGATAGCCTGTGTCCCCCCCACCCCCTCCCCAAACAGCGTGGCCGATGTGCTAGGGCCCCGGGGCCGGGCTGGCTACGGAAGGGCCGCAAGATAGAGATAATAGGAACGCGCTTGAGACGCTATATCTTTCCCTCTCCCCCGCCCTATATCTCGGCCGTCTCTCCTTTTCAACCTGCCTCCCTATATTCCCACACCGTTTCGTGGCTTCCTCTTCTTTTCTTTGCCCACGGCAAAATTCTGTCTTAACGTCTTCGTCTATTTTTGTCCATTGATTCACCTCTGTTCCACCGACCATGCAAGACCAACAAGACGGCGTGCAGGAGCTAGGCCCTGCTGCCGCTGACATGGGGCCTGGCGTTCTTAATGCAGAGAAAGGCGAGAAGCCTGTCCTGGACCCATATTCTAATGACCCTTTTGGCGACGAGGAATTTGCTGAGATCAAATATCGCACTATGTCCTGGTGGTATGATGCGCCTGCTCCTTTCCAATTCCTCCCACTCCTGGGCTATGGAGGCTATGAGACGTCCGTCACTAATCAGGATGGATTTCAATGAATAGGCAAGCTGGAATCAGTATGAATAACTCCCTTTCCTTCTCTGATCTGGTACGCTAACTTCTTTCTAGCTATGATCGCAGAAACTATTGCGTTAGGGATTCTGTCGCTCCCGTCAGTGATGGCGTCAATCGGCATGGTCGCGTGAGTGCTCTCTTTCCCTTATCACACCTCACTCTCTTTTTGCTGTGTGAAACAAAAAAACCTAACAGGAGAGTCTGAAACAGTACGATTATCTTGATTCTCGGCCTCGGCTTGATCGCGACGTATACAGCTTACGTAATTGGACAGTTCAAATTGGCGTATCCCCATATCCATAGTATGGCCGATGCGGGTGAAGTTTTGCTAGGTCGGGCCGGACGAGAGATTTTCGGTCTAGCGCAACTGATCTTCCTGGTTTTCGTTATGGGAAGCCACGTTCTGACCTTCGGTATAATGTTGAACACCCTCTCAAATCACGGAACATGCACGATCGTCTTTGATATCGTTGGTATGATAGTGTGTTTTATCTTTACCCTGCCTCGAACTCTCAAGAAGGTTTCCTGGCTTTCTCTTGCATGTATGTGAGCACGCCCTATTTTGGATCGCGATAAGAGACTATATGCTAAGACCCTCGCGCGATTGATAGCGTTTATTAGCATCGTTTCGGCCGTTATGATCACTATGATCGCTATCGGTATCGAGCATCCAGGGAAAGCCGTTCAAGCCACTGTCCATAATGATTTTTACCTCGGATTTCTTGCCGTTACCGACATCGTCTTTGCCTACGGTAGGTTTTACCTCTCGGCAGCGTTGCCGATAAATTTTCAACCGTTCCATCTAGCTTTATGCTAACGTTGCGGATGCAGCGGGACATGTGACCTTCTTTAGCTTTATGTCCGAGATGAAAGACCCTAAGGAATATCCCAAGACGGTCTACCTTCTGCAGTCAGTAGACACCGCGTTATACCTGATTGCCGCCGTAGTGATCTACTGTTATGGAGGTCAACAGGTCGCCTCACCGGCTTTGGGCTCCCTTAGCTCCGTTATGAGCAAGGTTGCTTATGGCATTGCCATTCCTACGGTACGTGTCTGCGATGGAGAATTTTTGCCTTTGAGTTTGTTTTAATGCTGATTGAGTGCGTAGATCATTATCGCCGGTGTCATTAATGGTCATGTGGCCACAAAATACATATACGTTCGAATTTTTCGAGGCACTGATCGCTTGCATTCGCGCGGTATAGTGGCCTGGAGCGTCTGGGTTGCATTGGCTCTTCTCCTTTGGGTTCTTGCATGGGTCATCGCCGAAGGAATTCCTGTCTTCAACGATCTGTTAGGCTTGATTGTAAGGAAGCCCTTGTTCTCTCTAGCTTGGAAGACGTACTTATCACAGATATCTTGCAGGTGGCCCTTTTTGCAAGTTGGTTTACTTGTAAGTCGCCCTATCCATTTGCATTGGCTCGACGGCATTAACATATTTATCGCTGGATAGATGGCCTGAGTGCTGTGTTTTGGCTTTACCTGAACAGAGGCAACTGGTTTTCTTCAACGAAAAAGACTTTCCTCACTGTTGTTAATATCCTAGTGTTCGGACTAGGCCTTGCGCTCGTGAGTGCTTCCCTCTGGTTGTCTGTCCTAATCAGAATACCTCTCGGACTGACAGTAATTATAGTGCGCTCTTGGACTCTATGTTTCCGGGAAGGCGATACAAGAGAGCTCTGGTGGATTGAGCTTTTCGTGTAACAACACGGCCTAAGACTGTTGATCTCTTATCCCGACGAGCACCAGAGAGAAGTCCATACTACGTGTTAGGGAGTTCAATCGCCCTGACGGAAATCATTCGTCTAAGCCTTCAGAACGGCCACAAGGGAACAAAGTGGAACTAAGGAGAACAAACCCGGGGGCGCACTGGCAGGAGTTTGTGTCGACATCCACGATACTAGTCATTGATTCCAACAATCTGATACGTCTCCTCGATAAATTTAGTCCTAGGGCCATCATTAGTAACCTGATTTGATGATAAATAGGAGTAAAATCGCTCTCCAGAATGAACAGTCTTCTTTCCTCGATTATCAGCACGTTCAGAATTTTGTGGGGACCCACGCTACAAGAGGAGCTGGAGAAGACAGTAGGTTTCGGCAAATATTATCGTGATTATAACAACTGTCAGCACTGACCACAGTCTGTGCAGACCTCAAAGCCCTCATGGCAGCCGAGTTCGGACACTTCCATCCTAGCCTGGTGCATATCATCCAGGATGCCCCAATGTCACCGACTGGCCTCTTCACATCCACGATCCCTTGTCCATTTGGAGCCGGCGCAAGGTCGTCCTGATAGGAGACGCAGCGCATCCAGGATGTATACATTCCGGGTCTCGTGGCTTTTGCGACTATTCTGTGAACTAGTAATAGGCCAGATGTTGCCCTTTGGTGGCCAAGGCGCCAACCAAGCGATTGAGGATGCTGGGGCCCTTGGGGCACTGTTAAGGGGGGTCATTTCACCTACTGAAGTGCCTCGCCGGCTAGGATTGTTCGAAAAGGTTCGTCGATTGCGAGCGTCACGCGTTCAAGTTCTGTTCAAGACACGACTGGGAAAGGAGAAGGCAGTGGAGGCCGAACTACGCAAATATGCCGATCTGCCAGGTGCTAGTATGCCCATCATATCTACCACCGGGACGTCCTTATCGAATTCGCTCGCTGACGTGAGAATTAGACATACCGACATCATTCCAGGAGCGATATCAGCATGACTTCTCGTAAGGATCTCTCTATTCAAGGATATTGTCGCATTCTGATAGAAAAAGCGCCCTGCTAATCTTGAAGAAATAGGTTTGACGTATATGAAAGATGCCGGGAAGTGCTGACCTAGGCATTTTAGGCCAACTGGCATTCGGCCATTAGTTAAACTGGGTCGCAGCATATGGCTTGCCTGTGTGGTTAGCCCAGTAGAATAGAAATGCCATTATAATCCCCTCTGTCGGCGAGAATCAGGATGCAGATCCTAGGAGTGTTCGTAGAGTTTTAATCGGGAGGCGGGTTGGGTCGGATTGGTTAGCTTCCCGTCCCTACCCTCGCGGATTTTGGGCTGAGCTACCATAACCCGCAGCCCGCAGCAGATTGGGACTGGATTTTACGGGTGCTCGCAGAAACCCGAAGATTGGCAGCCTGGTCATTTCCAACGTCTAGCAAATGGAGAAGTAGATACTGAGTGAGCCCATACTAGTGTACCTAAGGTTGAACTTTTTGCTTTTTGCTTTTAAGTATTATTCTAGGTTGATCCTACGCATCATCCCATGAGCCGCGGCTTGGGTTAAAATTTTCTAATTTGTCTGTAATATAGATGAGAAGTCGGTGCGGGCTAACTCAATCCTCAAAACCCAGCCCGAACAATCCATTGGGTCGGTCACCCCAATAATCCGCGGATTATCCAAGTGAAAACCCAACCCACAGCGGACTGCAAAAAATATAACTCGACCCAGCCCAAATGCGGGTCGGGGCGGGATTGGGTTGGGGTTTGCGGATTGGTATCCACTATACGTGTGAGCTCTGCGGCTGTAGCCTTGGTGCGCCGATTTCATGCAGGAAAAATACCTTCCGGTCCAATAAAAGAAATCGCCGAGTCATCATCCAATGCATGTTTTGGTTTAGACTCCCATGGTGCTTATCACAAGTTAATCAAGTCCATTGATCGAGTTAAAATACTTGCCGACATTGGAAAAAGTCGAAGTCGACAGAAACCAAGCGTTTGCCCACAGTCACTGCGGTTTATAATTTCGATGAGTGTCAGCTGCGTCTTCTGCGTATGACAGACTGCCAGCGTTAATTGGTATTTGCATCCCTATTCTGAGTCGTATTGTTTTATTGAACTGCTGTTCACCATGATCAACGCCACCACTTACCTACTGAGTCCCACAGAGACTCCTGGCCTGGTGGACGCCAATGGGCTTACAGAAGAGAGTGCGAAGATGGTGACGGAGCCTCTCAAGGAGAACAATGAGAAGTACCATATCGTCTTCACCATCGAAGACCATATGGGTGTCTACCTTCACAACCACATCGCCCATCATGACTTGACGCCATGGGCCTTGGGTGCCAAGCCCAGTGTCCTTCGTTCCCAGCACGAAAGGAACACGTGTTACATGCGCGACGCGATGATTGTGGTTGAACCGTTGGTCCAGGACCTTGAGGATGATGCCATTTTCCGTAAGTGTTTAGGCCGGGAGGAGAACTTTCGCAATTTTGAGAAATAATTTCTGAAGCAGATCGCTACAAAGGGATACCAGGTCGTGTTGCAGAAATATTTGGTGGGCGAAGGAGAAGTCGCCAAGGATATGCGCTATCGTATCTACATGGGTAAGTGTTGGTCTGTCTCCAGTTTTGGGTGCGTGCATTGACGAAGACTGGGGGCTGACGGTGGCTGCCAGGGTAAGTTCATGGACTCATCCATATTGGCCTGGCGCTCGAGTTCCGGCAGCCGTTGCTTCTAGCCGAGGGACTGGCTCAAGCAGCAGTGCATCATGACATGTAGTATCAAGAGTATCTGAGCGAGGCCGATGCCCTGGCGGCAGAGAAACGGGAGTCACCCCTACCCTTGGCGACCCTGATTGATATGGAGCGTGCCGATCCCAAGATTAGCACTGTGTCAAGCCATGAATTCCACACTCAGACGCGCAAGCATTCGGGTCGGTAGGCGATGGACAAGGAGCTCGCACGCGATGGAGTCCTACCCAATGCAAAACAGGAGTGGTTGCGTCTGGCGGCGCGGTAGCGGGTGGATCCCAATGATCTAGAGCGAGCAACTGCAGAGCTCATCAACACAGCTGGTATGTTTCTGAACTAAGCCATTATTGGCAGGTTTGATAACCATCGCCTAGTTTATATCACCGCTGGTGCCCAGCTGCCGCCGTACCAGTGCACATTTGATTTCTATCTACTCCACTGCCTGACTGCAAGCATTGGCCATGTGTCCTTCTTGAGGGAGCCATCCTTCACCAACGAACAGAAATCGCTGTTGCTGGGGTACAGCGGACGGGTGTTCATGATGACCTATGCAGGCATGGGCTGCCCGCAGCTTCGATTAGACTATCTCTGCTCACACCGATCGAAGCTGCCAAATCAAGGCTGGGGTGAGGTATTTGATCGGGCCTGCTATCACGAAGATGACGGCCATATGTCCAAGATGATCCGTTTGACAAAGCTGTCCCAAGACCTGTCGGAACAATACGACTGTCTGCCGGAGTTTCGGGTGAAAAAGCATATGTTCTTGATAGCCGGAATTGCTATGATTGACTCCGCCAGCGAGCAGCCAATGACCTGGACCAAGCATTGGGACTTTGTTCGAGGGGCTGGGTATCCTGACGCTTGGACGCGGTTCCCGAAGCGAGATTACTGAGACACCATAATTAGGGTTGGGCTCAGCTGCAGCCATAGAGTATGTCTGAACTTCGTAGTATATCAAGTCTACAAAAGCAGGCAAAATATTATCAATATCGGCTGGTTTTGATTCTGCATTGCATGCATAGTAAAACATGTTTTGTGCATGCCAATTGCTTGTTTAATTTGCTTGGTATGACAGAGTCGATTTAATCACCGAGGGGACTATTTCGCGGTATAATATCCGACCCGAGCAGCCGGCTCCACACTGGTAGTTGCTGGGTTAGACTCAATTTAGTTTACCTCTGGGTATAAAATATTCATAAGAGACTTCGTCACCTCCGAGTATCTTCATTTTGTAGATACGCTGAATCCACATGTGCCTCGCGCCCCTTCGTCCACGGACAGTCGCCAACCGGAAATGATCACATCAACCATTCTATGTATCCCTAGGGGCCTTGCTCTCTGCTCTGTTCAGTTCGTTCCCGCTTTTATGGGTCCTTCCAACCGTCTACTATCTTCGATATATGCTGACTATCTGTTGCAGATGCATCTCCCGCCAAGTGCGGTCCGAAATCCAATGGAACGGCCACCGTTCCGTTGCACCAGGGGGCACCACTACGCATTCTGCCTCTGGGCGATTCAATCACATTTGGCTACGATGAACTAAGTGAAAAATCCTACCGACGTTACCTCAAATGCCTTTTGCATTCGGGCGGTAACCCAGTTACCTTGATCGGGTCCATCCAACATGGAGATTGGGCCAACAATCTCAACGATGGGTTCAACCTGCACACCATCGACCAGAATCTCGAAGCAGGGACGCCGGAGCTCACGAGGAAGGCAGAAGGACCAAATATTATCCTTCTCCATGCTGGCACAGTCAACTTTGTCCTGAAATTGAACGTGACCAATGCCGTATCGCGACTTTCGAACCTGGTGGACTTCATCACGGAGCATAACCCAGCAGCGCTTCTCGTGGTAGCACAACTAATTCCCAACGCAAACGCAACCACGCCGTCGTTCATCAACCACTACAATTCCCAGGTGCCAGAAGTCGTTCAATCGAGGGCCCAGTCAGGGTAAAAGGTAATCCTGGCGGACCTGACGCATCTCAGCATCCGGAACGACCTGCTGTGGGATGGCACCCATCTGAACGCACGTGGGGGCCAAAGGGTGGCAGAGTTTTGGTATCACGCACTTGTTTGGGCGGATAGACAGGGAATGCTTTCTCCAGCAGAGGGGTCGTTTGTGGATCTTGGGGCTTCTTCCCTTCCACCATCTGGCAAGTGCCCAGATTTGGTCTCTTAGCTTTAATCACAGTGTCTGGCTGTTGGGCCCTAGCTTTCCCGAGCTAAAGGCAGCCAGTATAGCTAAGAACTGCTTTTGTGGTAGTTCGGCGTCCTCATTGAATATAAAATGACAGTTGCATTCATACTGCTCGCTCTAGATGATACAAAAAGAGAGCGGTGTCCCAGCGTTTCAACCGCTACGGCTTCGGTCTAACATGACTCTGTCCGACACCACGAGTCGGTTAACGGGTTTTCATTTGGGACCACTCCGTTCTGCATAGTTGTCAATGCGGTTGCTTCTTTGAACAGTAGCCGTCTACTCTCACCGTCTGCGGACCTGGACCTGCACTCCCCACTGTCGGAAAAACCACCTGTTTTCGACCTTATACGCCGCTGGATCCAGAATTTGTACCTAAGTGTACTGTCAGCGTCAGATAAAACATGATATACCTGGATATTGTTTCACCTACGTCGTAGCTGAGCAGAATCGCAGCTGTGAGCTTTTTCAGCTCGAGCAAGGCCACATTCCGTCCCAGGCATATCCGTCGCCCGGCCCCAAACTAAAATTGACCGCGGGGTGAGCACATCCGCATAGCGGGGCTAAGAGTTTATTTGATGGGACCAGGGGTTCTCACCGTGAGCACACTCCGTTCCATTACCCGGTACTGCTCCTGGTCCACAAGCCACCGCTCAGGTCGCCAGTGGTCGGCATCTTCTCCAAACGTCGGTCGGTAATGATTGGCAACCCAGGGGTTGATTCCAACGACTGTTCGCCCTGGCAAGAACTGCCCGTCTATATTGATACCCTCCGGCGGAACCACCCGCTCGAGCGGCAAGCAAAACGGGGGATGCAGCCGAATGGCTTCACTGACGCAAGCGTCTAGATATGGAAGGGCCGAAATCTCACTCCAAGCTGGATACGGACTGGAAATCTTTGCCTGTTGATGTGCCTGTGAAAGCTCTATGTAGAGGCGATCCTTTGACACCGGGTGGCTGAGCAGGTTGTACCATAGCGTTTTCATCACCACGGCGGTGGAATCGGAGCCGACAATGACGTTTGAGAACGTCCACGATGTGACTGACCTATAGCATGGCTCGTTTTATTATCCCAGATCCCCACACGCATACATACTACGATTAGGGCTGCTCACCATGGATGTATCGAGGGGTCCTTGCTCTGGACATCCAGAAACCGCGAGAGAAAATCTTCACGAGTCACGTCATCGGCGCTGAGCTCATTCTTCTCAAGCTTCTCCCTGCGCTGACTGACGCTGTCGCTAACAATTTTCAGGATCGGCATGCCGGTTGCCGGGCGCCACAAAGTCACGATGGAATTCTTGTACCACAGAATGTCGAACCAGGGAATTTGGGTGACCTAGAAATAGTACATCAAAAGCCCATCGAACAGGAACACCGCATGCGGCTTACCGGAGCAGCTGTCTTCATGAAATTCCAGATAGCGCCCAAAAGACCCTCCGAGTCCTGGCCTTGTTCCAGGAAGCCATAACGTTTGGAAAAAGACATGGCCCCATCACCTCAAAAGCGAAGAACTGCAGCCAATCACCCATGTCGAAAGACACCGGTTGGTCTCGCGCAAATCGGCGGTCGAACTGCAGAAAAAGCTCCGAGATGGTGCGATCGACAAAGCACTCAAGAGTCAGCACATTGGAGAGCGAGAACATGGAGGCAATGGGCTTCTTGAGCCGTGTATGCAACACCTCGTCCCGCGTGTTAAACACCAAGGGCAATGCCGAGCCCTGTCGCGAGTACGGCATCAACGTGCGATAGAAGTTACCCTTCAATTATTGTAGGTTAATACCTTGTTCGGTCAAAGTCCTGTGTTCTTCACAAGCACGAAAGGTCGCCTCACCTTAGGAAAGCCGGCCCGGATGGGATAAATGACAGGAATCCATTTCGGATCCGAAATGGCGACCATATTTGGGCCCAAACGAACGAGATTTCCATAGCGCCGATGCAAGTCAGCATGGATCTCATGGGACCGTGCTTTCTTCACCCAGTATACTCGCTGGATGTTGGTAACCCGAGCCCAGAAAGGCCCGGGGATGTGACTTAGAGACCAGTAGACGCGTGCGACATGGGCAATAACGGGGACGAGGAGCAACAAGAGCAGGGCGGGAAGGCTATCATTGTAGGAGGCAATTTGTTGCAGCCGCGCCTGAATCATGATTCTTTTTTAATAAGATGAAGTTTTAAAGATATCGCTTTGTTTAGTTGTCCATCACAGTCCCAGAGGATGCTGGATTCTGCAGGGGACCGTGAGGGAGGTATGGTTAACAGTATCTCAACTGTGACCCGATAGTAATCGCACCCCTAGAACGACTGCTCTTTCATGTATCCTTGGTTTTCGTTGGGCCGTGCAGAAAACAAACTCGCCGAAACGATAGTACTTCTGCGGGTGACATTACGTAGGGGGGACTATCTCGGTACCCACTTGATATCACCAAGAAAATCGCCGAGCAGTCAGTCTATTGACTGAGAACGACAGACGACAGCTAATGCATGATAATATTGCTCGCAGCGGATTTATCCGGACCGGATTTACAATCCGAGGTGGTGGAAAGCCTATCACCCCATTGATGCCGGTTGGTTTTGATGACTATTCTATGCCACCCTAGACTCAACTGCCATTCGCTAGTTCACTAGCTTAGGATGGTTAGGGATTATCCATATTGACGGATTCCGTTACAGACCACGCCATTCTCTATCTATCTAAGTGCCTGTCAGACAGATATTCCCCGTCTTGAGATACTCGCCGCGTATACTAGGTCTTGCCAGGCGCAGGGAGCTCACGACGTGCCTCAGCTGGATGCCGCAAGCTGGAGTCGGGCGGCATACTAAAGCCCATGGATATTCCGGCCCTGACTGCAGTTGATGCATCATTACCCATCATAAAGTGAAACTTCAACGCTTCCAGTCATGCATGCACCCACAACGGCCCGCAACTCCGCCCCGGGCAAGACCCTGTTGCTGTTCGGGCCCCAGATACCTCGACTGATCCCGTCCCAAATGCTGAAGCTTCGGGCTACCATTCTACGCGACAGAGTGAACCTTGGTTTCCTATATCGCATAGTTCACAGCCTACCTTCTCTATGGGATTCCATCCATCAAACATGTCCAGCCCTTCGGCAACTGCCAGGTAGCCAGAAACTGAACCAATTGGTGCATTTCCTGGACACAGGAGAAATCTTAGGCATGGAAACTCCAAACAACATCCTCCTCGTGCCCCTGACGGTGCTGGCTCATATGGTTGAGTACCTGCAAACCGCACCTCAACCGACTGACATCCAAGGCTTTTGTACTGGGTTTCTGACCGCGGCTGCGGTTTCCACCGCGCAAAGCCGATTGGAACTCGACGACCTGGTCTCCCGCGCCCTTGCACTGGCGGTCTGCATTGGTGCTGTGATCGATCTGGACGAGCTTTCCCAGGTCGACCCCCTTAATCGGAGCGCCACTTTGTCGGTACATTGGTCGTCAGATGCAGAGAGACAACACTTAGAAAGCGTGCTGAAGCGGTTCCCCGAAGTAAGTATCGCCAAGGGATTGTCTCTTCACTGATTTTTCATACTAACTTGGATCAAATACAGGCATATATCTCCTGCGTGACAGATCGAGATCGGTCTACCGTGACCCTGCCAGTCCATGACAAAAGCTTGTTTAACGCGCAACTGGTGGGTACTAGCCTCGAAGTGTCATCCGTCGGGCTTTGTGGTCGATACCATCTTCCGGAGCGAAGGGAAGTCGTGGACCAGGTCAAACAACTCTGCAAACAAGATCCAGCCTTTCAGCTCCCATCCACGGACAATCTGGGGTTCCTTCTGCGGTCGACATCAGATGGAAAAGTCATAGGCAGTGGATTCCTCCACGATATCGCATTGGAATCGATCCTTGTCCAGACATGCCAGTGGTACGCAACGGTGGCGCAGGTCATGGACGCGCAATCTGGAGAGACCCTGAATGTCGTTTCGATCGGCGGTCCGGGAACATGTCCTCGATCCTTGGCCTGGGAACCAACACCATTTCCAAATGAGAATCACCGTTCCAACGGCACTTTTAACGAATCCGCAGCTCTTTCGTCTGGGGCGGACACCCCTGATGGTAACGTGGCCGATTTTCCCGTTACAGCCGCGGGCTCTGTTGCTGTCATCGGAATGGCATGTCGCTTTCCCCAGGCCGCATCACTGCAGGAATTCTGGGACTTGATTGCTTCCGGAAGAAATGCCGTCGGTCCTCTCCCAGAGAGTCGGTTCAAGTCTGCTCAACTGAATAGACAACCCAAGGGCCCGTTCTGGGGTAACTTCCTACAGGAGCCCGATGCCTTCGACCATCGCTTTTTCAAGATATCCAGTCGAGAAGCTGAGTCAATGGACCCGCAACAGCGACTGCTCCTCCAGGTAGTATACGAAGCCTTGGAGTCGGCCGGATCTTGCGCGCAGTCGGAGAGACAGACGGATCACGTTGGCTGCTATGTGGGCGTAGGGTCAGTGGATTATGAAGCCAGTGGCATCGCAAGATGCAACAGCATTTTCCGCCATGGGAACTCTCCGAGCATTTATCAGCGGCCGAGTAAGTCACTATTTTGGCTGGACGGGCCCGTCAGTTACGTTCGACACTGCATGCTCCTCGTCCGCAGTTGCCATTCATTATGCCTGCAAGGTGTCTTATTTCATTCCGTGGTCATCAAGTCTAGATCATATAATAATAACTTATATCCCAGGCTCTCCAAACCAACGAATGCTCAGTCGCAGTTGCGGGTGGGGTGAATGTCATCACTGCCCCGAGTCTCTATCAGAACCTAGGGGCCGCATCTTTCCTCAGCCCTACGGGTGCCTCGAAAGTGTTTGATGCGAAGGGTGATGGATATTGCGTGGTGAGGGAGCAGGCGTGCTTATCTTGAAACCGCTATCCCAGGCCATCAAAGACAGTGACCCCATCATCGGCGTTATTGCTGGGTCGGCTGTCAACCAGGGCTCCAATTGCAGACCCATCACCGTGCCAGACTCCGACTCCCAAATTAACTTGTACAGGCAGGCTCTCGCTGCCGGGGATATTCACCCAACAGACGTCTCCTACGTGGAGGTACACGGTACAGGTAAGTTATCTTCGACTATTTGGGCCTCTCATATCACGACCAACCTAACCACTCACGGATGCTCTCAGGCACACCTGTAGGGGATCCTATCGAGTGCGAGAGTATCAGGTATACCTTTGGGGGCCACGACCGCCCAGAGAAGCTCCTCATCGGCTCCGTCAAAGATGTAATCGGCCATACCGAAGCGGCGTCGGGTGTGGCTGGCTGCATCGAGACACTGCTAATGATGCAGAACGGGATTATTCCCAAGCAGCCCAACTTCAACCAGCTCAATCCGAAGATTCCCCACTTGGAGTCCGATAAATTGTCCATTGCGGATCGTTCACAACCCTGGACGTCCAAGGCTCGGACTGCTCTCGTGAACAACTATGGAGCTGCAGGTAGTAATGCGGCCATCGTATTGCAGCAGTACTCTCCTACGAGATCTCAACGGGCACTACTACCCATGACTACCGTTGAGGATATGGAGTATCCCTTCGTGCTCACAGCCAAGACGTCTGATAGCCTGCGTGTCTACTCCAGTGCATTGTAAGTGTTGTTGGATCGGGCTTCGGGCAAGAAGCTCAGCGTCGCCGATATTGCTTGGAATTTGGCTCGTAAACAGAGCCGAGACCTTGATTATATCCATACCTCGACGGCTACAAGTCTGTCTAACCTCTCACTCCAGCTTGAGGCTGTTGCCTCTGGTACTCAGGCGCCCACTAAGCTCCCCAATCCATCCCCTCCTGTGGTCCTTTGCTTCGGTGGCCAAACGGGGCTTACCGTCAATATCTCACAATACTTACTCGAGCAGTCGCCCGCGATGCAGCGTCATCTGGCTCGCTGTGACGAGGTCTGCCAGACCCTGGGATTGCCCTCGCTGTTCCCAGGTATCTTTGATCCTGCGTCCATCGAAGATCTGCCAACCTTGCATGCCCGTTTGTTCTCGGTGCAGTACGCCAGCGCAAAGGCGTGGATAGAGACCGGACTGCAGGTAGCCTGTATGCTCGGGCACAGTTTTGGCCAACTGACGGCTCTGTGCGTGGCCAACAGTATGGACCTTGCCGATGGCATCCGCCTTGTCACCGACCGTGCTCGGCTTATCAAGAAGCTCTAGGGAGCGAACCCGGGTGGCATGCTTGCAGTCGAGGGCGTCAAAGAAGATATCGACGCCGTGTTGACGAAGGCCAAAGCGCTCGGAGATTCTGTCCACATCGACATAGCGTGCTATAATAGTCCCCGAAACATCGTCCTTACTGGCGGCATGGATTCCATCCAAGCCCTTGAGCCACTCTGCCGCGCGTCAGGTGTCCTGAAGGTGACCCGGCTCAAGAACAGCCATGCGTATCATTCTGCGCTGGCCGATCCTATCCTTTCTAGCCTCCGCGCGCTGGCCGAGTCGATTTCCTGGTGGGAGCCCGCAATCCCAGTCGAAACATGCTCCCACGGTCAGAGCTGGTCCAATGTTGATGCTGCCAGGATCGTCCTACACACAAGAGAACCAGTCTATTTTGCAGAGGCTATTCAGAGGATCGCCAATCGTTATCCGTCCTGTGTCTGGCTGGAGGCTGGGTCCGCCTCTCCCATTATTCCGATGGTGCAACGAGCTCTGCCCTCTGCTCGTGTCGACGCACTTCTACGCATTGACCTGAGCGGTCCAGATGCATTGAGTACTGTTGCCAGAGCGACTTCGCGCCTCTGGGGCTTGGGTCTCCGGGTAACGTTTTTGGCCTTCCACCCTGCCCAGAACCCTCAATACCAGTGGGTGAATCTACCCCCGTATCAGTTCGCAAGGACAAAACACTGGATCGACTTCAAGCCTGCCGGTGTCCCTGAGGCTATGACAAGGTCCGAAGTCTCCAAGCAAACAGGGCTGGTCGAGTTGGTGGATCAGTACAACGGTACGGCAGTCTTCCATATCGATGTCTCGGAGACCGAGTTCTCTTTGGCTGTCCGCGGCCATGCGGTGCTCGGCCAAAGCCTGTGCCCAGCGTCCATGTACTTCGAGCTCGCAATTCGCGCGGCAAGAGTCTTGGCCGAAAGCAACGGCACCTCTCGCGCTCTTCCCTGCATTCTAGACTTGAGCATCGTCTCCCCTCTGGCCCTGAGTCCTCCGGGCCAGCTGACTTTGACATTATCCGCTGTCAAAAACAACCCCTCCTGGGATTTCTCCCTCTATACGCAGCCCGGCAAGGACCACGGATCGTCTCAGACAACGGTTCATGCCCGTGGAACGGTGGCGTTGCATCATGAGCAGAGTGCTGCCGCTCGCTTCCAGTCCCTACGCCGACTGCTGGGGCCATTTCGGTATGAGCAGATTGCCGGGGTTTCCGAGGCAGAGCGACTGTCAGGAGACGTGATCTACAAAGTGTTCGGGCGGGCCGTCAACTATGCCCCCTACTATCGTGGTGTTCGCAATGCGATTGCCTGCAATTCCGAGGTGACTGGAGAAATCCGAATGCCAGACGAGTGTGTGGTGCCCAGTGGCGCGTCCGACCCGCTCACCATCGACAACATCTTGCAGGTTGCCGGTATCCATGTTAACTGTCTGGCCAGCTGTAAAGCCGAGGAGGTGTTTGTATGCACATCCATCGGCGAAGGCCTTTGGAGCCGGGAGATTCTGGATGGCTCGTATGGCACTCGGAATTTGAGAGTCTACTCGAACTCGGAAGCAAAAGGAAAGAACTCCTTGGTGAACGACATCCTTGCCCTCGACCCTACAACTGGGGAAGTCGTCATGTTCCTGCTGGGGGCTCGGTTCACGGCGGTGGCACTGAGTTCTCTGCACAGGGCCTTGTCCAAGCTGAACGATCCAGTCCGAGCCACACCCTCAAGTCAGCCCGACTTCGCTCCACTGCCGGCTTCCAGCCCGCCGAAGCCCATTTCCACCGAGTGTATGCAACAGGTGAATGGGAGGCCCGATGGCGCGATTGCTGCAGTAGATAGCCAGGCTATTGAACCTAAAGCCAATTCAGCCGACGCCCTACGGCAGATGCTGAGTGATGTACTTGGTATCACGATGGCTGACATCCAGCCCAAGTCCTCCCTCGTGGACCTGGGTGTCGACTCGTTGATGATCACTGAGATTGCCAGCGAAATTAACAGACACTTCAGTTTGTCGATCACCGTCGCCGACCTGCAGGATCTGACGGATTTTACATCATTATTCCTGCGATTGAATCCGATGCTACCCCACACTTCGCAGCTCCGAGACGCAGACCACTCGGTCAGCTCGGGAGAGATCATCGATGAGAGCATTGCAAGCATCAGTAGCCGGTGGTTTTACACCCACCGCGCCGAATACGATGATGACGTACACGAAGCCCAACTCGGTCATTTCCGCCAACGGGTCTATCCTCAGCAGGAGCAGCCGGTGGTGGCATATGTGACAGAAGCACTTGCCCGTCTCGGTTGCGACCTCAGCTTTATCGACACCGGGGAGGCGTTGCCTACAGTCTCGTACTTGCCTAAACATGAGAACGTCATGAACCAGATCTTTAATATCCTTGAGGACGCTCGACTGGTTGTTCGTGGAAGAGAAGGCCAGTATCATCGGACAGACATGCCTCTAAGCAGAGCCTCGTCAGAAGATATTCACGGCCGCATCATCCAGGACTTCCCCCAGCACATCTCCGAGCATCTGCTCCTCCGCACCACGGGACCTATCCTGGCCGATTGTCTCGTCGGCCGTGCTGATCCGTTGTCACTGCTCTTCCGAGACGTCGAATCCAAACGGCTTCTCGAGGACGTGTACACCAATGCACCCATGTTCAAGGCTGGCACGTTGTTCCTGGCTCGGTTCCTCGTGCAGACTTTCCAGCAATTCACGGCTTCACGCCCCATCCGCATCCTGGAGCTAGGGGAGAGGCACTGGCGGCACGACCACCTTCTTGTTGCAGCAGCTGTCGACCGTTCAGAAGCAGGTTGACTACACGTTTAGCGATCTCTCGCCGTCCCTGGTGGCCGCCGCCAAGAAAAAGTTTGGGCGATACTCGTTCATGAAGTATCGGGTTCTCGATATCGAACATTCACCTCCAGATGAGCTACTGGGGCAATACGATATCGTCATCTCCACTAACTGCATCCATGCAACCAGAAACCTGGTGCGCTCATGCTCCCATATCCGCCATATGCTCCGCCCCGATGGCATCTTGTGTCTTCTTGAACTGACACTAAATTTGTTCTGGTTTGATCTCGTTTTCGGGCTATTGGAGGGATGGTGGCTGTTCGATGACGGGCGCAAACATGCCCTGGCCCCAGAGACCCTGTGGCAACAGAATCTGTCAGAGGCCGGATATGGTTGGACCTCCTGGTCTGAAGGGGCGACGGAGGAATCCAGGATACTGCGGATGATTGTCGCATCGCCCTCCGCCGAACCTGCGCCTTCGCCACAGCACGCTGCCATCGCCACTCCCCTGCCAACCCAGGAGACGGTGATATTTGCGACAAAGGATGCGGTGGCCTTGGAGGCGGACATCTACTATCCCTCCTCACTACAAATAGAAAGCAAGTTGCGACCGGTTGGTGAGGCTCTCTCTTCCTAAACATAGTACCGCGACATGCAGGCGCCTGACTTCTCATTCCTCTGTGATGCAGCGTTGATGATTCACGGCGGTGGCCATGTGATGCTTTCGCGAAAGGATGTCCGTCATCAGCAAACGAATCTGCTTCTTGAGCTCGGATTCACCCCTGTCAGCGTCGATTACCGCCTTTGTCCGGAGGTTACGCTCCAAGAGGGCCCGATGGCTGATGTCTGCGATGCTTTGAGCTGGGCTCGCGCCAGGCTACCGTGTCTGGCTCTGCAGCGACACGATATCCAGGTCACCGGTGATCGGATTGTGGCGGTTGGGTGGTCTACCGGTGGCCATTTGGCATTGAGTCTGGGCTGGACAGCACCTGAAAGAGGTATCCGGCCCCCAGACGCCATTCTAGCATTCTACTGTCCACTGGACTATGAAGACCCCTTTTGGTCCCATTCGAATCTTCCCTATGGTGAGACTATAGCTCGGGGTTATGATCTCTGGGGAGGAGTCAGGGACGCCCCCATCACGGCCCACAACCCTCCGCCCTCCATGTCTGCTGCTGGTGGGTGGATGGCAAAGAGCGACGCACGTTCCCGAATTGCACTGCACATGAATTGGCACGGCCAAACGGTGCTCATGCTGGTGCATGGACTCAACAAAAGAAAGGATCAGAAGAGTGGTGGTGCCATTTTGGACCTTCCCTGTCCACGGACAGAGCAGGTTGAATTCATCAGCCCGCTCGCTCATATTCGGCGAGGAGACTACCGTACGCCGACCTTTATTGTTCATCCCATCCTGGACGACCTTATTCCATGGGAGCAGGCTCAGCGTACCTACATGGAACTCGTGCAAAAGGGCGTTCCTGTTCATTTGAGACTTGTATATAGGGCAAAACATCTGTTCGATCTGCATCCACGTTATGTGGATAATCCTGACGCTCGTCAAGCCGTTATGGATGGCTATTCATTTCTTGCATCCTGGGTGGCAGAACACTAGCTTTGTCAACGTTGCACGTGGTCTATTGATGCTAATGAGCAGGAATTACCTGATGAATCCTTGCAGCTCTTCACTACAACCATTTTCGCCTGGAAACCGCGCGCTTGGCTATCTCTCACGGGGATTTTCTCTAGCTAGTAGCCCTTTTCTGAGTCGAAAGAGTAGTGATATTGAAGTATTGAGATCTCTTAAGGCCTATGTTACTTCTGAAGGACAAAACATCCACATGCCTTATCATCAATTATAGATTACTAGAGGCTCCTCGTAGTCATTGGCATTGCAAGATTAACATTTTTAGATATCAGTACAATCAACCAATCAATCAATCAAAGTTCATTTAACCTGATAAAGCCTAACTAGATTGCGTAATAGCTATGTAGGCGCTTCATCCGATTCGAAGCAGAACTGTTTAAGAGTAATCCGTTTAAATATTTGCAGCGCAATAAGGATTCTGTCGCTACTATGACTACCGTTAAAGGTCAGATTCAAGTTATCCTATCCTGTTTTGTTGCCTGTTCTTATTGGATAGCCCTTTAATGGGTTGAAGAATTGACATTAACTATTCATATATATATAAGATACGATATATTTCGGAACGTAGGAAACTTTTGTTGGAAATTGAAGCCCTCATCCTAAGGCGCCAATATCGGTCGGCATCTCTCTGCCCCGATGGCTGCTGATTGGTCAGCTAGGCCCATGAGGCTATTGGAATTGGGCGCCCGTATATGCAGGTTCCTCATTTATATCACCTTCTTTGCTTGTTTTCAGGGGGTTTTCTCATGGACACCGGGCAGCGATGTAGGAGAACGCTTTTGTATGCATTTCTCTTAGAAAACAGTTCTCAGGGGTAGGATATAAATATCCCCCTGAGAACGAGCAGAAAAGATCCTCAGAATTTACCATTAATTACCTGTCCATCTTCCTTTCGTCTGATCATCTACCCTTCATTTCTCAACAACTTTGAATTATTTTTCAATTCTCTGGTTCTCATCGACCTGAATTCGCACTTCTAAATATCATCCAACATATCACTGCTGGTACATGCGAGGATTATTTCAATTGTATATTCAAGCCGGGCGATATCACACTTGGGCAGTTATTGCAGTCAAAATCGCAGTATATATTCAAGTGCAGGTAGAGACACATGACGGAGACCACTGCACTTGTACAGCCTTCAATGTTGGCAACGATATGAATAGAGCGAGCACCCTTTCCAAAACAGTACATACACAGCTAGTGGTGGTTACAAGTATGCCACAAACATCGTGCGACTCCCTATATTTCAATAAATAACACCCTGCAAGTCTCATTGTTGAATTGGCCCACTCGGCTTTTAAATGTTCTTCCGCGAGGACATACCAATAGTTACTATATCTAGAAAACCCTTAATTGCAAAGTTCCCACTCCTCGCCCCCGTCCGTGAACCACGAAACCAGAGCATCCGCCTCCTCGACATCTTTTCCACGCGCCAAGAGATTTTTCTTGAAGTCCGCAAAAGTGAACTCGCTCACAGCTCCTGGGACGTACCCAGGGTATGGATGTCCAAGGGAACCCGAGCCCGGGGGACCCTGGGGCACCTGAGGACCGCCAGCGGCATCCGGGGCGTCGGCGACAAAGGTGTTATCAGGTTTCCAGTGAATGGTGCTCTCCTTCAGCGCCTTACTGTCGATGGCACTGATGGTAATCCTGTCCTGCGGAAGAATCACCTCCCCTCTCGAGACGCCGCGGCTGGTGATCCTGAACCTGGTACGGGCAGCTTTGGAGGCGAAGACTGTTCCGCCAGACAAGTTCCAGAACACACGGGGGTTGCTCTTGGATCGGATGTAAAACCTGGATGATAAAGAGAACAGTTGCGGTCAATCAAGGTCTCTCACGGATGGTGTGGACTTACGTCTTGCCCGAGATGTGGTCTGGCACAAATTGGTTGAAAAACGTCGTCGAAAAAATCGACCAAGCGTTGTGGACCAATGTGAAGAGTATACTGTACTTCACATTGGCAGCCTTACCCTCCTTGTAAACAAAATCATAGGGGTAATTCTTTTTGTAGTCGTACGTGTAAAGCTCAGGGCTCTTTCGCTTGAGGTGGTCCATCCCGTCCTCAACGGAGGAGCGATACCACTCGTCCATGACCTCCACGGACGACGCGGCAATGATGAAGCGCCATTCCTCCGTGTGGGTTGACTGTAGTTCATCTGTTTTAACTCGAGAACCTCATTGCGGTAAATCAAGCCCGGAGATCTTACACTGATGGCATAAGCGTAGAATACCATTTTGACGGTGCGAATGGTAGACGGAACAAAAGGGGAGCTATCACAGATCTTGCGAAATTTTGTGTGAATAGAATGAAGATAAGATCATGAACTCCTTGAGCTGGAAGCATAGGAGTTACTTATAACCATCGGAAGCAGCACTAACCTGCCCTCGCACACAAGGTGCCACCGTATAAGAGATCATATGATGCATGCTTCTGACGTGGCTGGCTCATCAGCTCGAAAACGCAGCTGAAAATGACGAATACACTGACCTGAGAGCATCTTTAGATAATGAATCTGATGTCATTCTTGCAATGGATCCCAGATCATCGTTATGTGGGGTGAGATAAACAAGATTAAGAGCCAAACAAGAGATAGCTGTGATAAAAATGACACATGTGGCGGGAAGAGCGTGCCAGTGCGGAGACGGAAGTCCAGGAACGATGTAGTTGATGGGGGCGATTAGGTCATATCGCATCTCGCTTTGCTGTGTTCCCAGTTCACTCTCCTGCTTGAACATCGGACCTTTTCAGCTCCATGCACCTGGACCCAGCAAGCTGAGCACACGACAATGAAGTGGAGACATAAAGATGTCCAGATGAGGGGAAAGTGGCTCCTCAGATCCACATGCCCTGAAGGTTCTATGCCTTCTGAGTATTTCCCGCTTGAAAACCAAGGTATTTCAGCTGCTTGCAGCTGGGCAGTTTCGTCACGAAGATCCAGTGGTCACATTGAAACCTGCAGGTGAGGGGAGACATACTTCCTCAGATCCACATGGACTAAGGACCCCAGCTGACAAGATCTGCAGTTCCATGCCTTCTAAGTACAATGGCGGAGCATCGGTATATGCATGATGAGATACAGGGAAAGCGAAGCGAGATGCCTCATGGCAATTGCTTCGTGTTTTTCGGACATACCGAAGGATGTGGTTTTCTCAACTGGCGGAGAGCACATCTCGGAGGAGACAGTGTCCGTCCCACTCGCGGTGGTGCGCAGGATAAATACCATCAGCGTCGTACTAATAGCATCTAGGAGGGGGGGGGAGCTTTACTCGATCTACAGGATTTACACCACCTTGAGTGAAAATTCACCAGAATAAACGGTAATGCAAAATGCGAAACTTTTAACCACGACCTGAGCCAACGAAGTAGATACAATTTCCTTGAACTGGTGTCAAAATAAAACGGGGGGAAAATGTGGACGGATACTCAGATTTACACCCGTAGCATCGCCAGATATGAAGAAGAGGAAAACATGCTCTTTGGTGATTTCGCATCCAGCGCAATGGGCTCATAAATGAGTGAGCATCCATACGAGGAAAAGCCCACCCCGTGGCATCCCTGTAGAGAGAGGCACAACACCAGACACTGTCGGAAGTCCTTAACCATGGGAGCCTGGTAAGGGTATCGAACCCCATACATGTTGCGGCAGTTGACCTGGAATTGATTTTCCCCAACCGCCAGGACCTGGCCATCAAGCGCAGGGCATCTTGCAGCGGTACCATCGGCAGGACGGCTGAAGAGATCAGGCGCCATAGCACTCTGGGTCGGCTTTGGCGAGACTGGAATGATGCTCCACCAGTCGCGGTACTTGATGGTCTTCTTTGGAGGGCTCTCCCAGTCCCCAACCAAGTCAGCATAGTTGCTCTGGGCTCTGATGCCCTGGCAGTTGTGATCCACAGAGCACAGCGCCATCAGGAAGCCCGGGTCCTTCTCGGAGACCATTTTGCCGCCCTCGATCGCTCGGCCAGTGGGGTGGGAATGGCAGAAGACCTGGTAGGTGACGCCTAGCACGGTGTACTGCTTGCCGTCCTGGTCAGGGCACTTCCATTGCTTCTGCTTGGGTACCTGCAGGCCTGGACTGCCTGCTGAGCTTGACGGCTTAGATCCTCCTTGGTCGTCTTTGCCCCCGTTTCCAGCTCCGTCGCGTTTCTGAAGCTGATCGATGCGATCTTGGAGCTTCTGCAAGACCCTGCGATGCGCCTCATCCTGGGCAGCTTGATCCTGCTCCAGTTTTTTGCGGAGCTCCTCTTTGTCGTCGCTGCATCGCTTGAACCACTTCTGGTCGCACTGTCCCATCAGCTGCTGCTCTTGGTCTGCAATGCGCTTGTTACACTGCTCACGGTGCTGCTCTCCCAGATCCGCAATATGCTTATCGAACTGCCCGCGCAGCAGTCCCTCCTTATCCGCAACGCGCGTATCGCAGATTTTCCTCTCCGAATCCTGACAGCCGGTTTGAGCCTGACCGACCAAATCCTGACAATCCGTCGGCCCTCCCGGCTGGCGATTCGGCGTGGGTCTCTTATTCTGGAACATCAGGAATGACTTCCTGGATATGCTCTGCGTGGGCGAATCGGTCGTGTAGAAGCATGCATTGTAGCCTTCCGCCCAGAACGCGGCTTCGCAGTCGTTGGACTTGGCGCACTCCGCGGCGCATTTGTACGCGCTGTCGAAGTTGCCGCCGTCGAATTCCTTGGAGGGGCTCAGGAAGGTGTTGCAGGTGTAGTCGAATGATATGCCATCAAGGTCGGCTGTGCCACCCGTCTGGCCGCTTCCACAGCATGCTTTCCAGCTTGCCTCTCTGGAAACGCTCGAGGTGAGGCACTGGGTGGAAGAAGGAGCTGAGGCGGCCTTGCCGACGGCTTTGTTGGCCAGAAGGGCCAGGAGCAGTGGTAGGCCGAGGATTGATCGCATTGTCAGAAAGAAGTGAACTCGGACTTTGGAAAGATGAGTCCGTCCTGTCCTCAGATGTGCGCCTCCCTATCGAATTGGTCTCTATATGACTGCATGGCCTCCTCGCGTGGTAACAGGGCTCTTCGGAAAACCTACCTTGTTGGTTTATTTTTATTTTATTTTTATTTTCATCTCGCTATGGCCCCCGCCAAACTGCACAGGGTGGAGCTACGGAGTACATCGTAATCGAGGTTCAACTGCGAACAGTGATTGTCGGGGCTGAGGGTCATTTGATTGCAGGCAACAGGTTTTCGAGCGGAATAGGGCCATGCAAGAGGCATACAGAGAACCGTGGGTCTGATCTCCGTATTCTGCAGCATGATGCAAGCTGTCCTGCAGTTCAAGCCGGTTGCCTTCGTGGGTATCCCCACCTGGTCCCGGTGGCCCCGGGTGAGCTGAAATTGCCATGGCCCTCATGGTCTACGCATGCCCAATCGGAGCTGTGATCCCACATCGGTCTCAGCCACTGCGTACTATGTGGGTACTTAGGGTAGTGTTCATTTCGGGTGTGGGCCGCGGGTTTGCGGAAGGGTCCGGACGGACCGTGCCTTGCCGACGCACACTTGGTTCGATGGAAGATCGAGGATTGGATCCACATGCGAACGCAAGCGAGCAGTCCAAACCGGTGGAGTTGCTTCACAGTCTTGACCTGCCGCATATCTTCAGTCGTCACACCCGATCACTCTCGGGGAATGAAGATCTTGATGCAGGCAGGTTCAAGAACGATACGCAGACTATTCCCAGACCAAACCATTCCCCACAGGTAGCAATTCAGGTGGTGGGTGGCCCGTTGATCACTGTGGTGATCTCAACCCAGCGAGGTTGGGAGCTGCAAAGCGGAGACTTGTCTTCACGGCATGACCGTGACCACGTCGGTCAGCTGAGCTCCATTGTATATGCGCCCTGAGATATTTCGCGCAAGCATGCTCGGCTCTACTGTCTTCTCAGCCGCGCCACTTGAGATCTCCATCGCGGACATTGCTTCTCCACATCACGATGATGTCAAGGCGGCCTGAGCTGGCAGACTAGAGACGCAGGAAGTGAGCACAGCAGAGCACATTCAGCTTTGTAGGAATAGCACTTTTGAGTGATCAGCCAGAACTATTGGGGGGGGAATCAACAGGACCAGCCTGACCGGATGATCGCTGATACTTAAGCAGGCGGTTGAACACCGACGACACATGACCAGACCTAATTCATTCCTCTTCATCCATCTCCACCATGCTTCCTTTGAGGACGGCGTTGGCCCTTTTCCTGGCCACGCATCTGACGCAGGCGGCCATTTCGCAAGAGCCGCTGGGCTTCTCCTCGAGACGCAGCAAACTGAGTCTCGACGACATTATCCCCTCCCTCGACCCCAGCTCCGGAGACACCAAATGCTGCCCCTTCGGGACGTCCTTCGACGGCAAGACATGCGTTCTGGGCACCGCCACCTGCCACGGTGACGCAATTCTCGAGGACGGGAAGTGTGTCTCCCGCACGGCTCCGAGATGCGATAGCGGCCAAAAAGTCAATGACAATGGCCTCTGCGTCACGGAATCCGCCCCCCACTGTACCAGCCCCTTGGAGCTCAAGGGCCAAACCTGCATTGACCCCCGCGGGGCGACGTGCGACGGCGACCTGCAGCGTGAAGGAAACCTCTGTCTCTCCAAGGTCCCGCCCCAGTGCAACGGCACCACCGACTACTTCCAGGACGGATCTTGCGTTAGCTCGCAGGGCCCCACCTGCGGTGATGGGAACGAATACATCGATGGATATTGCGTCAGCCAGAGCCCACCCTCGTGCGGCCTCGGGATGGACTTCGATCCCAAGGTCGGTCTCTGCGTCTCGACGACCAGCAATGGCTGCGCCCCCAACACCCAACCGAAGAACGGCGTCTGCGTGTCAGACACCGCGCCCCGGTGTGAAGCGGACGAAAAGCTCGTCCCCGAGATCGACAAGTGTGTGGCTCGCCAGCCCCCAACCTGCGGGGACGACCCCTCGCTGCGCGTGGATGGAAAGCAATGCACATCCATCGACGGCCCTTCGTGCCAGGACGGCTACGATCTCTCCTTCACGCCCTCCATCGGTGCCACCCAATGCTGCCCCAAGGGCTCCAGCTGGGACGGCGTCTCGTGTGTCTCCCAGACTGGCGACACCGGGTGCCTCCCTGGATGGAACAAATCCGGCGGAAGGTGCAAACGGATGCCTCTCCCTGCCATCTGTGATCCGTTCACCGACCTCGTGGACGGGAAATGCATTTCCAAAACCCAGCCCGAGTGTGCGGACGGCTACGACAGGAGCAAAACCAACCAATGCGTGGCTCGAACCGAGCCCGAATGTCCGGAGGACACCAAGCTGGTCAAGGGCCAGTGTGTTTCCACTGTCGCGCTGAATTGCCCGCAGGGCACCCACTTCGAAGGCGACCAGTGCGTGTCGGACACTGCTCCCCAGTGCTCCATCCCCGGCGCTAGATACGACGGCAAGGGCCACTGCGCCGTCGACGACATGCCGAGCTGCCCAAGCGGTGTCTACGACGGCAACGCCTGTCTCACTGGCGAAGCACCTTTCTGCCTCAAGCCCTTCGTCTACTCCAACAGCCAGTGCGTCTCATCCACGCGACCCAGCTGCCCGCACCCGTTCACCATGACCCCGGATGGCGACTGCATCTCCAACAAGCAGCCCACCTGCGACACGGGCGTCCTCGTCAACGGCGAGTGTCTCGTCGGCCCGCCCTCCTGCCCCGACGGCACAGACTACCGAAACAAGCGCTGCGTTGCCCGCAAGTACCCGGAGTGCACGCAAGACGGCTACGAATGGTACGAGCCGGAGGGAAAGTGCCGCAAGTCTGAAAGGACCGAGTGCGACGATGGCTACCACGAGCAAGACGGCGAATGCATCTCCGACATTCCGGGAGACTGCGGCGCCCTGGAACTCCGCGACGGACAGTGCGTGCACCCAGAACCGCCCAGGTGTCTCGACGGCTCCGGCACATACTGGGATGGCGAGGACTGCCGCTCCCCGGACCCGCCGGACTGTGGACCCAACAAGGTGTGGAAGGAGGACAAGGCCACCTGTGTGACAGAGAGCAAGCCTGTGTGCGAGAGCCCTGATATGGTGTTCGACCCGGCGCTCAACAAGTGCATCACCGAAGACGGCCCGCAGTGTCCGCAGCGACAGCGGTTCAACCCGGCCAGCGAGAGGTGTGTGCTTATTGTGGGAGACTGCTTGGAGTTCGAGTTCTGTCCGGCCGTGGGTGATTCTTCGTCTTTGCCGGTGGAGGAGATTGCTCAATTTCGCCGCGGAAGGCGTGTAATCTAAGCCGTAGAGAGGGCTGAACCGGTCTCACCTACGTTTTCCGGGTAGTTTTGGGCATCTGGAATGATATGATGTAGCGATGGTTATAGTTAAATGAAGTAAGAATATTATCAATCAGGCCAATATACAGTGTGGTGACGAAAGTATTTGCACCTCCTTTTCATCGCACTAATATCATCGCTTCCATTTTAGCATTAGTTGAAGTTATTCTGTTTACTAAAATAACGCGTATATACGTCTATAAGCATGAAGCAATTCATGCCGCGATCACCAGAATTGACCCCTGCCTTGCGTGCTAGGATCTGTGAGCTATATGATGTTGGATGGGGTTATCGAAAAATTCATACTAAATACCCGCAGATTCCTACCTCAACTATTTTGTGCCGCTGCTTATCTTGCATGGCCTGTTGGTGGAAATCTATTTAATTGCTAATACCACCGTATGCGCCTCTTTCTCGAGATCCTTTGTATCTGGCCATGACCCGACCAGTTTTCGGAGGACAGCGGATGGGATCAGGTCCCGATCCGATTTCAGATATTTGGATTTAAGATCCCTAGATTAGACCTGGCACTCACCCGCGGGTGACCCTCCGGACCCTCCACCCGCACCTCCTCTTTGCGGGTGGAGGGTCCGACTTCTAGACCCTGAGGGTCGGACATAGAGGTGCCCGACCCTCCGAGGGTCACCCTCAGGGTCCACACGTGACTGATTTTAGGAAAAAAGTGACGTTTTAGGTGTCAATCCACTAAGTCATTTATCATAAAAAGCTAAGGCGTGTCCTAAATAGGTAAAGCGTGTCTTATGCGGGTCGGTTGGACCCTGGCCCTCGGAGGCGCACTGCGGGTGGAGGGAGGTTCCTGATCTTGGACCCGCGGGGCGGGTGAGTGCCAGGTCTACTACCCATGTCCGCGAAAGCGGTGTGGTTAGGCGTGCCACGGGTATATCAAGGAATTCTCACTAAGACAGAACCAGCGAGTAATGCTCAAACTGCACCAAGATGTCATCAGAGTTACCAGACTCCCCATTGAAGATAACAATCATCGGCGCTGGCATAGCCGGCCTCTCAGCCGCATTAGCCCTCTCTAATGCGAACCCAACGCACGAAATCACTATCCTAGAATCAAACCCCTCACTTAGCGAATTTGGCGCTGGAATCCAGCTCTCTGCCAATAGCGCGCGCCTCCTGGACAAATGGGGCATGACACAGTCTCTACGCGCCGTAGCCTTCGAAGCCGCCCACATGTCCGCCCGCCGATGGCAGGATAACACCGAGCTGGCCTCAATACCGCACAACCCCGTTAGCACATGGCTGTACGGATGGCCTCACTGGCAAATCTACCGCCCGGATCTGCAGCGCGTGCTCTACGACGGAGTGGCCAAGCTGCCAAATGTTAGGGTATTATTCGGGAAGGCCGTGACGCATGTCGACCACGTCACGGGCACTGTCCGGACGGCGGATACTGTGTTAGAGGCTGATCTCGCCGTCGGAGCGGACGGAATTTGGTCCAAGACCAGACGTTTCCTACCTGCCACGCAGGATGTCAGGCCCACGCCGTACAGAGAACACACCTACAGATCGGTGATTCCGCGGTCCCGCATGCTCAGCAATCCCATTACCGCGCCGTTAATGTCCGCGCCTGAGAGCAAGGCCTGGCTCGGGCCGTATAATGCTGTTCTAGGGTATACAGTTGCCTCCGACTCGCTATATAACTTCATTATCAGTGTGCCGCGGCCGAATCCAGACGTGCCTCTGGCATCGTGGAACGAGCCGGGTGATCTGGCGATGATGCGCGGGCTTGTGGATGGATGGTGTGAAGAGGTGCAGGCGCTAGCCTCTCTGGTTCAGGAAGGGGAGTGCGCTGTCTGGACGCTGGGCGAGGTACTAGCTGTACCCAGCTATGTCAGTGAGTCTGGACGAGTGGTATTGATCGGAGACGCGGCACATGCGATTCTTCCGCATGCAGGACAGGGCGGAGGAATGGCGATTGAAGACGCGGCGAGTCTCGTGGAGTTTCTTGGATGCATGGGTTCCAGAGATGATCTTGGGAGGACGATGAGCGCGTGGAGTGAGTTTCGACAGACAAGGGTGGAACATCTGCGCGAGATTGCGCGTAGCAATGCGGATGCGTTGACGTTTCCCGACGGGCCGAGCCAGGTTGCGAGAGATGCAAAGTGGGCTGCTATTATACAAGTGCAGCAGGCTTAGGCCGCTGAGCTTGGGGTTGAGGGGTTGAAAGAGAAGGTTATTAGAGAGAAGGTTGCGCCTGACCCAGCGGCGAAAACTTTGGTTGAGCCTGGGGGTGCGATGTGGCTTAATGGGTATGATGTTTGTGAGGAGAGTAGGAGGTTTTGTCGGGAGCATCTGGGGAATCAGAGAAAGGCATTTTCCGCGTAGCACTTTATATTTAAGTCTCAAGATTTCCTATTGTCAACGATTTGAAATACCCACCCAGCGTATACGACCGCATGGCATGGAGAGCAGAGCTTGTGGCCTGCTCAGTCATATTATCAAAAAGATATACGTCAGACCTATTTCTGTATTTAAAAGATCTGTTATGAGGTTGAAGGTTGAACGGTATACTAACGGAATTCCCGGGCGAGTGGGCCAGGGAACGCGAATCGAGCCCCAACGCGTCAACTTCCGCGTTTCAACTACCCACCATGCCCCCTACTCGCAATCAAAATTGCAAAAATTCTGTCAATCAAGAGAGTAAAATCCAGCTTGCAATCAAAGCCTTCCAGAATGGCGAAATTCCAACTATTCGCGAAGCTGGGCGCGTATTTGAAATACCGCGCTCGACCCTTTAACGTCGGATTGATGGCCAACAATTTCGCAAAGATACGCGCGCAAATAGTCATGAATTGACTCTTGGAGAAGATTATATCTATGGATCCGCGTAGATCTGGCCCTAGGCCATCAATAGTAGGGCAAATAGCTAATATTCTCTTACGAGAGCGCGGTAGTTAGACTATAGAGACCGTGGGGAAGAATTGGCCTACCAACTATATTAAGCGCTATCTAGAGCTTGAATCGCGGTTTTCTCGCGATACCATTACAAAAGGGCTTTGTGCGAAGATCCGCGTATCATTATGCCCTAGTTTGATCTTGTACGACGCACAATCAATAAAAACGGTATCCAACCTGAGGATATCCATAATTTCGACGAAACAGGCTTTGCAATGGGCCTAATTGCAACTAATAAGGTCGGTGCAAGAGCCGGATATTACGGCCGGAGGCTAGTTTTACAGCTAGGGAATCGCGAATAGGTTATGTGCGAATGCGACGGGATTTGTGCTCCCCTTAACTATCATCTTCAAAGCTTGAACCTACTATTATGAGGCTTGGTATGATGACCTACCTAACGATTAGAGAATCGAAATTAGCGACAATGGCTAGACTACAGACCAACTGAGGCTTCCATGGTTGGAAAAACAATTTATCCCTATGACTACTAGTCCCACTCGGCTTTTAAATGTTCTTCCGCGAGGACATACCAGGCCCTAGCACCTTCACCCTTGTTGTGACCTCACCCATGGTAAGGTCTTGAACCACCCTTGATCCGACTAGTCTTTGGCTGGTAGCTCAGCAGCCACGGGATGATCCCGAGTATTCCCATACCAATTTACACCGAACTATTTAAGGTTCTCGCGGTGGACATTAAGCTGAAGAGGGTCAGCAAGTCAAAGAGCGGAAGTCCGGATATAAGGTAAATCTCGGCCGCAAGGAAATCACTTAGGTCTGTAGTAACTGGCAACTCATTGTATCGGTCCCAAGCTTCGCCCTCTAAGGGGTCCAGAACCTACGCTTCCTCTCCTTACCAGGCATAGGGATATTTGTACTGTTGTAGGTCCTGACAGCAAGGTCCTCCGATGAGTCCCGTTTCTCTAGAAGATATTCTGCTAGCGGAGCTCATTTGGTTTCCATTACGGGTGATGATATGCGTATAGGTTCACTTATCTGGAACGCATTATACGCAGTCGATCTTAGCAGCTCCTCCGCCAAGGCAAGGTCCCACTTGAGGTCCTGCTTCTGTATTTATGGAAGGGCCATTGCAAAGCCGGATTTGCTTAGACTGATAGAGAACACCGATGGACCCACTATAGACGAGGCTAAAATAGGCCGAATCCACCTATAGGCTGCCTCGAGGGAATAGGCAATAAGTTGACTGGAATAACTGTCGGTGATAGGTGCCTCCCGCACGTACATATGGAGTAGTGTAAGGAGAAGGGGTTATCTATCTAGATGAATGTCTTTCTCTCTCTCTTTCTCTCAGAATATTACTTCAAGTATGCCATTGCACGTCGCGACACTATGGCCACCGCAGATTTGTGAAGGGAATCCCGCGATATTGATGGCTGGCGTTGGCAGTGGATATCGCTGTAGCGAGAATGTACAACCACTGTCTGAGCATCATCTTGCAGTATATACGCAAATATTTCGGGGGTAGGAAATTATGCGAATGTATTATCGGTCATGGTTGACGTGGACTTGCTCGAACACTGGACGTTTGGAGAATTTATGAATCTCTCCAGGGCTGTTCACTAATCATCAAGCTAGATTTGATATACTACTCGCACTCGGGCAAAGTCTGAGCTATTAATGGATCCTTTTGAACTGAAATTCATCCCTGGACGTGCATTATTAGTAGTGAAACAAAAACCCTAACTGGTACGCAGTGTGTCTCACCAACCCGTATAGGGTAGAATAAATGAATTCTATTAGGCGACCTGCTGCATAGAAACTTAATCCATTAATTTCGTCTATCAATATCACCTATTATACCCCCGACACAACGAAAAGATACGTTTTAGTGTCAAGGGGGTCATGAAGTTGCCTATAGTTAGGTATGTGCATACTTAAGTCGTCTCAGAGAATAGATAGAGTCAGGTTCAGTCTATACACACTATTGGTTTAATATAATGATCTTTAAGCCCTATACATGCTGAAATTGGCGACACAGTAGTTATAACACCCTCCATTAGACTGCCATTTCTCCAAGTACTTCCGCAGAGTTCCAGAAGTCACATCTCTTAGCCAGTTCTTCGTAGAAATTCGTACCATGCCCAATGGCTGCAGCTCCTTCGTTAGGGCCGCCGATGACTCGGAGGTTATATTGATATTGTGAACTTTGATTCATGGCGTCGTACCAGTTGAGTATTGTCCCATGTCTTCGAGAAGGTTCTCCAAAAGCAGCAAAGGAAGCCCAGCTGCTGCTCATTTCCGTGGACAGCTTTACATCCGCTGGTGAGGCCAGGAAAGAGTACCTGGTCTTCGCCAGATTGAAGACATAGGGGATATCACTGAAATGTGGAACTCCGAGATAGGGGGTCCTCACCTCCACAAACAGTGGAGCAAATAGGGTCTGATTCAACACGTAGAGATAGTTCGAAGTTTTCTTGTCTGAATATTTATGATTCATTCGCACCATATGCAGACTTGGGCAAGCATCCTGTGCATCTCGAATCATTCGGCTGGCACGGAAGTACTGGCCTGAAATATTCTTTGTGGGCATGCCAAAGAACGATGTAACAGGGTATAGAGACAGAACCCTCTGGACGTTCCTTTCTGAAAAGGCTGGAAACTGAGAATAAATGAACTTAACAAGATCTGTGGTTGAATTGAGTGTCGTTGGCGTAAAAAATGACTGATCATCTTCAGTCCAGCCAGCTATAATGTCAATATCACGAGCAAATCGACCAGTGGTTAAGAGCGTTGAAGGGTTGTCGGGAATAAACGTCGACGGAGAGGTCGGTATAAAAGCATCAAACCCAAAACTGGTAACGCTAAACTCGTATTCAACCGCAGCTGAGAGCAGTATGTTAAGCGGCAGATTTCGCAGGCAAGCAAACTCGGCCTGACTGGTGGATTTTGTGCAGTTGACTTTCTTTATAAGTTCACTCGTACGTACTGCAGATATATTGCTGGCAGTGCCTAAGTCTGAAGCAGGGCTGCCTGATTGCATGATAGCCCTTTTGAATGGGGTCTTCTGGACATCACCACCGTACGCGGTTATCTGAAGGCCAACTCCAGTAGCTCCATCACTCTCTCCAAATATAGTGACATTATCAGGGTCACCACCGAAAGCCGAAATGTGCTGCTGCACCCAAGAGAGACCGAGCCGCTGGTCAAGGAGGCCCACATTAAGAGAGTCCGTTGCGTTCAAAGCTGGTGAAGCAGCAAAGCCAAATATGCCGACGCGGTAGTTCATAGCCACATAAATCACAGGGAAACCATGTTGAACGGCGTTAGAGATCAAGGGGCCCGGCTCATATATTGAATCATATATCTGGCCGATGGAATCTCCACCACCATAGATGTATGCCATAACAGGAAGCTTGGATGTGCTTGGTGTATTGGCCGGTCGATCGACACGTAGAGTTAAGCAGTCTTCTGAAATGTGGGTAACATTTTCAAAAAGAGGAAGTCCCTGGAGGGGAACCTTTTGCTGGGGGCAAGCTGCACCAGGCCGAGTGGCATTTATGACTGAGCCATACGGATAGCTGTATGGTTCGGGAGGTGCAAAACGGTTGCTACCGCTAGTATCTTGTGCGAAGCGTATATTGAGGAATGACTCAATATTTCCGGCCGATGCTCCTTGAAAGCGGACTCGGTTGTCCAATTCCACGATGGCATGCTTTTTGTTAAGAGTCCTTCCGTGACTGCAAGGTGAAAGTAGAGAGAGAAAAATAATTGCGACAGTTGTAAGCGCCATGGTTTAGGGATAGAATACTCGGTAGTTTGGCTGTCTTTAGATTCCGAACAAATCGAGAAGCATTATCCAATCGAGGTTATAGCGATTTATATATGTTAGACCAGAACCTAGAGCGCTACCTGAGAGTGTTCTTTCGCAACGAATACTGAAATAAGATGCTTAGATACCTACTAAACGGAAAAGAGTAATCATCGCGAAAGATCCTCGAAACTTTGAATGATAGGTCCGGCGGGAGGAGGCCTAACCCTGGCCCCACACCGCGCCAGGCAGCCCAATAATCGGCATCTTACATGCCATTTCAGGACACTAGTCCGTCGAAACAAGAAAAAAAAAGTCCCCGATTCTTCAAAGGTCTTTGTCTGAGACTGAATCAGGCGGAATTTGCCAATTTCCGAGAATCGTCTCTACCACCCCTCTTCATAGGCAGCAACCCATCTCCTTTATGCATGGCCATCAGGCCCTCAGGTGTGCCATAATGGGCTTCCCGCTTACGCCGCCCACCACAAAACACATAGTAAAAATACAACATCGTTTCTCAACAAACAACTAAATACAAAACTGGAGCCCTAGGCCCTAAACCCTAAATAGGCAATGCTATGACATCATTGAAGAATCACGTGCTTTGTTTAAACCTACTTTTACTATGCAGTCATTAAGTGTATAGGGATCAGTTCACTCCTTACTTAGGATATATAATAAGTGTCGGGATTGGTAGTATATGAAAATAAGAGAGATAAATAAATGCCTAAGGGTCCCTATGCGGCAGGGCAGTCCTTAGGACAAATATTTGTAGAGAGAAATACTACCTCCCGTAGAGGTCAGCTATTACTGTAGCGTAGTAACTTACCCCTGGAAGATGAATAAAGATAAAGATAATAAGAGAGAATCTCTCTGGTCTGCCCTAATAGAGAGGAAGGGTAGTGAGAGGAGAATTGAGATGAAAGCTCTTGTTTTATTTAGTCTGGTTTCTAGGCTATATTTATAGACAGAAATATTCAGTTTATCTGGCTAATTACCTAAGGTAATATTCGCCCGAGGTAATCTTGCCGTAAACGTGCTATTGCCCGAGGTAGGTAAACGTGCTGTTACCCGAGGTAGGTAAACGTGCTGTTACCCGCGGCTATAGACAGGATAGGCCTAATAACCTCGGTCCGGTAGGCAAATGGAAAGAGAAAGCATACTAAAGGCTGAAGTGAGAGCAAAGTGAGAGATAAATGAGAGATAACTGCAAGATCAGATAAAGGCGGTGAGAAATGGCAGAACGGGAATTTCAGCGGGAACTTCTATGTTGAATTGGAAGCTCTAGAAATCTGCAGTTATAAATGCAGACACCTAAAATCCTGACAATAAGGATAATCAAGTGTAATATAATATTATACTTAGACCTATACTGGATACGAGTTATTATTATAGTTAATGCTTTATAGTAAGAGTGGATTATTTCTAAATAGATTATTCCCACGGTTCGCCCTTTAACTTTAGAGGGGTCTCCACGTAGTGTGGATTAGATATAACGCTAGTAAGCGAAGAGCCTAGTTAATTGCCTAGTTAGAGATATAATAAAGCTCTTGCATAGATCCCCAACGTTTGTTTTCGGCAACTAATCGGAAGATTCAGCCGCAATAACTATTAGAACATTTCCCCCGCATCCGTCCATTAGCGACGTAAGTCCATTTATTAGTGAGAAGGAACTTCTAGATCTATTAAATAGGACTATAACGATTCTCTTAATATTATTATAGTGAGTCGAGATCTAGAATCTATGGGTGGGGTAAGCACCTATAGTATTGGCTATAGTCAGCGACCAGAAGATACCTACACTTGTAGATATAACGGAATTAATAGATTCGGATGCTCCAAATCACCTCTAGAGATACTAAGAGTACTGTTATTTATTTAAAGCAACCCAGCGTTTCATTTTATAGAGAAATTCAGCAAATTAACAAGAGACTACTATTGATTAAAGGCTATCAGATCACTATGCAAAACGGTATATTACTTGAGCAAGAAAACAAGGAATTACGGGCGGCCAACGCGGTGCAGAAGCAAAAGCGTGCACGAAAAAGTGGTTATATAGCCTCTAATGCTGGTATGTCAATGCTAGAAGCTCAGGGGCATTTACAAGCCCATGAGGCTAGTTTACAGCCTATAGCATCCTCTCCAGCAGCACCTAGGCAGCCTATTCAGCAGGCGGTAGCACCAGCGCGACGGCGTCAGTTTACGTGTTCTTTATGTAATCAGGTAGGGCATAGGGTCAACCAATGCCCAGTTAGGTAGAATAATTAATATAGAGGCGTTTTGGTTGAAAGAAATAGATGAAAAGTAAGAAGTAGATGGTTGGGTGGGCGGCTCGCTTGTGAATTACGTTACGTTAGTTACTGGAAGTTGACTGTACTTCGTGGTCAATTTAGGTTACATCACGTATGCACGGACCGGATTGGCCTCTGAATTTCACCCTCGGCTGGAGAACGTGAAACACAACCATGTAAACCATGGTGAGCTCAGAAATTGTTCCCTATATCAGCCAAGCACATTTAGAAATTGCGTCGCCACCTGTAGATGACGTGTCATGGCGAGTCCAGTGCGGAAGTTGATCTGTCTCATTCTGCCCCTCCAGCCCGCTTGGAACATTCGGAGAACAAACAGCTTTAGCGCAAACTTGCGTTCTGTCAAGCATAGCCGAGGTTACTTAGCACGTGTCAGGAAGGTGTCAATTTCCGGCTGGCTCATACTTGGATATAATACGGATATCCTGCCGCTTTTCGTTTATTGAAAAGTGCTAATTGCCCACGGTCTCGTCCTGGTGTCATTTGGTGACAGGCCTATATCATGGCTTCCTCAAAGTGTGTTAGCATGGAGGCTGCGGATCCTGCGCCAGCCATCGATCACCGTGTGCCAAAACGTTTTGTCCCTACCGACTTATCTGGTCAACCAATTCCTCAGAGCAAGCGCTGGCTTTATTCAACTGCCGCAGTCGCCAACAGCAAATTTAGTTCTACCGGGGCCAGTGCTATACTTATCGCTGGGTTCATATCTTTCAACTCGTCATCTATTGGTCACACATTCTACGAATACCTCGACCGGACCTACGGAGTGTATAACGTGAACATCTGGGGGACATTCATCATTACCTCACTCTTCTTTTGGATCTGCTGCGCCGTCTTTGCTATTCCCGACCTGACTGGATGGCCTAGATGGCTGTTTAAATATAAAACCCAGCCATTCGTTCAAATAAATCGACATGCATACTCTCGCATAGCGATTGTATCCTTCCGGAATCAGTTCGTTGTGGCTCTGCCCATGATAATAATGATAACACATACGACTGCGCCGATGCCTGTGGCTCCAACCGCATTACCTTCGCCGCTGCAAACTCTTGGTACGATATTTTTCGATATCGCCTGTACTGAGGTCGGCTTTTATTACATTCACCGTTCATTCCACTCTAAATTACTATACCCAATTTTCCACAAGCAACACCACGAATTCACGGCTCCTGTTGGCCTGGCCTCGACATATTGCACAATAACGGAGCATGTATTTTCTAACCTTCTGCCAAACTCCCTCGGGACTTTACTCGTTTCGCATCACTGGTCCCAGGCAGTTTTCACTTTTCTCTTTCTCGAGTTCGGCACAATCTGCACGCACTCAGGGTACAACATCCCTTGGTTTCCATCTAATTTACAGCACGATTTCCACCATTTCGCTTTCGATGAAAACTTCGGTCCTACTGGGATTTTAGATGCGATCCACCGCACGAATAAGAAATTCAAAAAGACAATGCAAGAAGCCAAATTCCGAACTGGAGGGGATGATGAGAAAGCGAGAAAACTTGTTCTTGAAAAACTTGCGAGGATCGACAGTGTGGATTCAGCTGAGCGATAAGTGCACGGTCGAAGCGACCAAATTTGATACTGTCAGACATAAAGGCGGCCGTAGACTATCCAGCAATGTCGTCTGCCGTTTTGAGTCTTAACCCTTGCTGACATGCATGTGCCCTGAAACGAGGAACGAGTGATAACCAAATTCGTCACCCAAATAATATTGAATGGTATCAACTTTAGCGTTACCTTCATTGGTCTTTACTTAGTCGAATATTACGGCCGGAGAAAATCTCTTATTACAGGGAGCATCTCGATGTTCGTTTGTTTCATGATATTTGCATCTATTGGTCACTTCTCTCTCAACCGGGCCCATCCTCAAATAACGCCGGGGCCTGGTATTACTCTTATAGTTTTTGCTTCACTCTTCATTCTCGGATATGCGACGACTTACGGTCCGGTGAGTAATCATTATCTTCCCAATCAGTCATTTGATCTGCCCTAAAGATTCCATGTTCAACATGCCCTTTTTAAATGAATACCGTTTCAAGGTCATCTCGCTGACTGCGCATTATACACAGATGGTTTAGACCGTCCAAGCTGAAAATTTTCCCTCGCGCTATAGAGCCACAGCAATAGCGCTCTCAACAGCGAGTTAACTGGACAAGGTAGAACACTAGAAGAGATTGATACTATATATATACAGCATGTCAGCCCCTTGGAGGAGCTCGAAATTACCGCTGCCGCCAACTGAAGATATAAAGGAAATCAGGAGTGCTATAGAAGCAGAGACTGCCGCTGGAAATTGAGATAAACCGAGATTTGTCATGCTTGCAAACTTTTGCAGACTCACGAAGAGATCGACTACTTCAGCCAATAAGCAAGCTATCGAATTCAACATATTCTATATGTATGTATGACTTCATTTACTCGACCCCTCGCCGAAGCAATATACAGGCTACCACGACTATGAGTTTTCGTGTACGTACATGTCAAGTGCACCACTTCCGGTAAAAGGGCTTCAAAGGTATCTTACCGGTTTCTGGTTCTTAATATTCTAGATAATATAATATTTAGCAGAAAAATGTGCAGGGTAGTGAACTGCAGTATCTTATGTCTGGCCACCGCATGATTTGCCCCACTTTCATATATTTAGCCACTAAACTAGAAATATATGGATATATATATGTATCCCAGCGAATACGGTTCCAACAATCTGTTAATATAGCTGTTGAGAAAGACTAGACGGAAGAGGATGGACATAAATTCAAAGTGTAATGCGATACTATTTGGTAGTTATTCCCTATGTTATTTTTACCCCATAAACTCGTTCAATTTTCTAAGGAAATGCATATAAAACTTTTTTTTTTTCACACTGCTTTTCGGTGACCCATACTTTCTTGTACGAAGTCGAAAAAAGGAAATGAGCAAAGTCGAGGAAATATCGCTCCGGAAAGTCAAAAGCTACGAGAATTGAAGTCAGATAGAAAGAGAAGTTAATGGGGATTAAGCTAGGAGCTATGCTTAATGAGCATCGTGGTCCGGGTTGTTGGACTACGTACTAATAGTCATACCGCTTCCTCGCCAGTAGTCTCCAGGTTGAGAATTTGAATAGTGATACCAGTTTGCTGCAGCCAGACACCAGTGAGGTAATATGACTGCTGGGGACCGATTGTCCAGAAACAAATCAAATTCTTACCGTTGACCTAGATTACACCCTTCACCCAGCCCAGGAGCTCTAGATAGGTATCGCCCACGGTGCTGAGTTGCTTTGTGGAAAAAGGGACTGGAAGAGGTCGAGATAGTTTTGGGGGCTGGAGCGTTCAAAGGATGAGGCATACCGCTGTTGAGTGGAAGCGTCTAGACTTTCTAGCCGGTGAAGGAATGATTTCCGACACTAACGTCGCCGAAAGTCTCTTTGATCTGCCATGGGATTTTACTACCAAACTTGACACAGCCCATATTTCCATTCGGGAGACCCAGCAAGTCGCCGGGTTTTAGGGAGAGGATGATGACTTGTTGGGCGTTGTTGGCGTACATACTGTCAAACACTCCGTTGCGAACACTGTTGACATAGACTATGATGCTGTCTTCTAACCCTTGAAACCATGGTCATTGCGTACAAAATGACTAAGAGCAGTACTATCACATTTAGTACAAGTCTTCAGAACTCGCCGGACAAGAGAGCTAAAACTGTCGGCCGGGTGAGGTCTCGTAGGGCACCCAAGATCGTCTATCCGCAAGGCCAGGTCGTTCGCCGGTGAGAGAGGTGAGGTCTATGTTCGTATGTATGATGTCTAAGATGGACATTTAACAACAAGGCGAAGACGCGTGAACTGATGAAGCATGATCAGGAGGGAATATTGTGGATGTACACCGGAAATGAATACATCATTGATGGTTCAGATTACTGTCAAGTCACGGGCAGAATCAAGAACATAATCATCTGAGGTAGGTTATATGCTCCTAATAATATCTCAGTCAGACTCATAGTTTTAGGTGGGAAGAATATTCTTCCAGCGGAAATCAAAAATCGACTGGTTGCCTACCAATCTATCAGCGAGCCTAGTATCATGGGCATCGAAGATGCAAAGTACGGCGAGGTTGTCGGCTGCTTTCTGAATGTCGCACCAAACTGCTGCCGACAATCTACCGAAGAAGTACAAGCCTAGGTCAAGACCGAGATGGGAAACTAGAAGACGCCGAAATGGGTCTTCTGGGTGGGGAAGGATGGGGCATGCCTCGGCTTTCCTAAAACCGGGAGTGGCAAGCACTAGAAACATGAACTTAGGAAAGCAACTGTCAACATGATATGACATCAGTGATCTAATGTATTTGTCAATATAATAATATTCAAAATCAGTTTCACCATTACACTCTCTCGAATTGACCCCCGAACCTAAGCTCGAGACACGTTAATCTAAATGCGGGAAACCAGGTAAGTTGAAGGAAATATCTGATCCAGCTAGCTCTGTCGTCACTAGCCCATACACATGGGTTAAACCGGGCGAACAAGCCTGTAGAACTCAGATGCTAAATTGAAACTTCCAATGGGCTGATAAGACCGGGGCGCACCCAGCTTGGCCCGCCGCCGCTTGGTCTTATCACCATGTGGCCCTTTGCCCCAGCGGTGGCAGCGGTGAATCAAACATCCCAGAAGGACTTCCCACCAACAACCACAATCAATTTTGTAGTTTCCAAAAGTTCTTGTGGATTGAGTTCTTTGGCATGAAGGTAATGCCCTTCAAATTTTCATGCAAGTCCTCCGGCAATAAATGTGGGCCAATGAGTCATGGCCTAAGGGAGAGTCAGGCAAATTTCAGGCTAGCAGGTAGTAACTTGCTTATGATTACTTCACTCTGCCTTACAGTACACTTATGGTTTGACAGCTGAGAGATGATGACATTACTATGCTGTCCGGTTACGACCAACCGTAGTACTGGCGGACACTATCTGATCAAAAGTATGTCCCTTCCGGCTTCCGATCGTAGGTAAGTGCGTAGAATAGTAACGGAAAGTCAGAAGCGGCTTAGTGAAATCAAACCGGCAAGTTCGGAAAGGGACCAACGTCACTTGGTGAGGGACCACCAAATCAAGCTTTCGCTTGTAGTGCTTGATACAGGATTTGCCACAGAGCAAGGTTCAACGCCCAACCCCGATTAGGAAATATCAATGCAGAACCAAGCCTTAGGCTGTTTTTACCGCAGAGCTACGAATCAAACGTCATGCTTTCACTCGGGGTTTCTTGCTGACCGACATATGGGCTTGGATGACTATCAACAAAGTTGCCTCAGAGTCATGCAAACCTTAACCACGATATCATGATCTACTCGGCCCTTCCTTTCCGCAAGCAAGCTTTTTGTAGGTAATCTTCGAGGTAGGAATAAGAGATTTAGCAGACTCTCGCCTTGTTACAACACAAAAAGGGGGCGCAGAACTGGCTATCGGGTCAAAGACTATTAGCCTCATTATGTCATCAATGCGTCAGGGATAATGACGCTGGGTATACAACTGATAAGGGGGTTGTTATATCATATAAATGCTAAGCAGACAAGGCCCAGGGAAGACATATTTTCTTGATATATCAATTTGCTCTTCATCAACTTCCCCTTAGCCGGATTGCACTCACGAACGATGTCTTTTACTCTTAACACTCGAGGGTCATTAGCCCGACTATTGTCGTCAGCCGCCATTTCGGCTTATGGCTCTCTTAGTACTTTGTTTCTCTCATTAACTATTCTTCGGTTTGTCTTTGTTTTGTTTCTTCTTCCACTTTATTTGTTAAAGACTCTGGTCGAGACGCTGCCAACTCTGCTCCAAAACGCAGCGTACTTGCTTTCTCCTAGTGGTTGGGATAAACTCGCGACAGACACGGAGAATTATCGGGCCGACACGCAGCTTGTTGCTATGCAGCAACTACATGGTAGTTACAAGTTCAAAGAGGCGGACTTGCACCGACTCACACGTGGTGAAAATGGATGGATGACCGATATTCTATGGAGCGACGAGACTGAGGGGTTTACGGTATGCGGCGCCACTGCACGCTACGCTCACCTGCGCCCTGCCAACTGTGATCTCTCCAATGGTGATCAAAGTACGAGCCGTCGACCCATTGTTTTCCTCCACGGGAACCCAAGCTGGGGCTTTATGTGGAGAAACGTACGTTGCCCACACCTGCAATGCACCCCACGATTAACTTGGCTCATTTGTCCTTCATAGATCGTCGGACGTCTCGTGGACCAAGGCCACGAGATCTACGTGGTGGATTGGCTGGGACATGGCAGGAGTGATAAGATCGCAGTCCCCGAGCTTATCAACTTCGAGCTGCATATGCGAACCTTGGTAAATTTCTTCAAAGCCACTGATCTGAAAAATGCGGTAGTAGTGGCACACGATTGGGGCGGGTGAGTTCTTCCCATGTTCCCTTATACTACCTGCCTGATTAAGTTGATGTCTCTCATTGACTGTATTTGACAGTTGCGTCGCTTTGTGTACTCTACCTTCAGTAGCGCACTCCTCGTGGTCAGGCCTCTTTCTGCTCAACACATTTCTGCCTCCTTCCATGAGCGATATGAGTTTGCACTGCGGTCTTCTCTATGCGATATGGTTCCTGACCGGTGGCATTTTGGGTAACTATATCCCCGAGCCGGCAGTCATGTCTTACATGTCCCCCAGTCTTTCATTGAGCGATGTTGAAGGCTACGGAGCGCCTTATCGTGGAATGCCGGTATCAGCAAAGAGCAGCGTTTATCGTTTCGGTCACATCGTCCCGAGTACACCACGGATCGTGTTGCAGGGTCTTCGCCACACGCGAGCTTGGAAAATACTGGAGGGTTTATGTGGTCCTGCCAATTTCAACAATCTAGATGCCCAGTCACGCCTGAATTTACTCGATGGGAAGGCAAGGGAGTATTGGGGGCAGGCAGGAACGGAGGGAACTATCAAAATGGCAGTCGCCTTCGGAGATCAAGACCCACTCTTGATTGATTACAAAGACATCCTCCTAGAGACGATAGACTCCCGCGTCATGGTGGATTGGGCCGTGGATGGAATGTGGCTGCATGGTGGAGGCCATTACCCAGTGGAAGAGAAGGCCGAGCGCATTGCAAGCCTGCTATTGCGATTTGTTCGGATTTAGCACCTATCAAGCGTGTTGGATATTAGGAAAGCGTACGAAGTCTGTGAGCGTCAGTAAACAATAATTACCGATCGCTCATGGCCGGATAATATAGTGTCGGCCTCCTGGGGCATGCGCAGATAGGCAATTCAAGCCATGAACACATGCCGTCGCGGATGATTCTCCTCTGCCCATTACCCAATTTTCTCAATTAGACCGTACTATTGTACGCTGCTACGATTTGAACCGAAATATTCTATCCACAGCGATATGCCGATCTGTCCATATGATTGGTTCCAGCCATATTTTCAACTTGCACAGATCATATTTTCAACTTCCACAGATTAAAGAGTTCGGTCCATTGCCCTATCTCTCCGTATCTTTGATACTGGAATCATGACGCATGAGTAGGTATGATGTCCATACATATCAAACAATTTTGATTATCGTCTTTCTTGGACCTATCAGTTTACGGTGAGGGGTTGTCCCGGCTTGATGTCACGATTGGTGCTTTCCTGTTTTGGGACTCCGCCGTGTTCCGTCGGTTCCGTTCGTTCCGTGAACCTGTCAAACCTTGGCGAGACCTGTTTCGAGTCAACTACAGATGGCTGAGTCTTTAAGTGGCCCAGCCATTTAACTGACTGCCCAGATGAAGGTTTGGTAGGGAGACTAGCTCACGCTATCGTCATATTACAAGTTGGGGTAACCGGACTAGCTGAGTACGCTAGAAGACTTTTGGTGGTGGTGATATGTAAAATCATGACCGGGCCGTTCTTCGATATTTTGTCCTAACAAAGTGGTGTTAAACATTTTCTGCAACCCCATTCGGCTACTCTGAAAACTACCGTGTCTGACCTAGCGCATTCGCTACAAGCCATGTACGCGACTAGAAAGAATGAATGATTTTGAGCGCCAACCATCTACTCGCAAAAAAAAAAAAAAAAGCAAGCGCAAGCCCGTATAGAGTGGTCGGGCCCGCCATCGAAAGTGATAGATATCCCATTTCCTCCTTTATGGACACGCCTTGATAGAGTACGAAGAAATGCCGGGGTCATTTATGCGGGGATCTCAAATGACCGAGCCTAGAAACGGTACCATGACAATCACTATTGCCATTCGAGACGTTGTGTATCCCCTAGATTACGTTCAAAAGTAGCTCCGCCTCTCCCCCCTACAAAGCCGATGCAGCCGTAACCAATTATATCGTAGACACTCTGCACGAGTACAGTACAGCAAAGAGTAATTTGAGAAATTTATCGGGTTTGGTCTACCTCCAGAAAGGCCTAGCTCATGGACGCATCTCACGTCCTGTCTATGGTTGGAGGACGACATCATTCATCTGGCCACGAAATGTGAGGGAAACTTCATTCATACAAAGGTTCTCATCTCCCTATCTGATGAATTCTGGCTATTTGGTCCACTGAATGTTCCTCTTCGGCACATCGAGTACCCCCCCCTTGTCGAGGTAGACTCGGGTTCCCACATGCATATTGCATACCTGGAAGATTATCGGGGTACCGTCAGCTCCCAGACCTGGGCCATGTTGCAAGTGCTCGTGTGTCAGATTCGAAGTAAGAAACCAAAGATTGCACTGTTTAGCGCCACTCACCAGGGAGGGGGTGTAGCGTTAATGAGGCATGCATCCGTCAACCTAGGCCGACTCTTGGATTTGGACTTCAAATGGTAGTTATTGGACCGCCGTTGGATCCGCCTTGGAATCAACTGTACCTAAATTTTGGCGGGACGTCTAGAAGCGCCGATGAGTCTATATCGGAAGATATGGATGTGCAGTCTGACGTCAGTGAGGAGCGTGCTTAGATAAATCTACGTAGTAATTCCCCAAATGGAAATTTTGATCTGACGCGTATCCCAAAAAGCATGCCCAACGAAACGTGGCGTTATCAACCAATTAAAAGCGATTTCCCAAAATGGCGGGAGATGAGCAGTCAAAACCTGTTTCATCCGCTCTTAACAATTCCGGGGCCGGGCGCAGCCGTTCCAAGGTTGTATGTGGCCCACTATCTGGTTGCTCGCCAAAAGCTTGGCTTCTGGATCCACATACGGGCCCAACAAAAGTCAAAAGTATATGCGTGTTACTGTTGGCCCGGTCTATATGATTCTGTAGTATGTTGACATCAGTAATACATATTGCGAACGGGCCAAAGGACTATTACCCCCGATTCGGTCCGAAACTAGCTGGACATTTTGCAAAGGAATTACGCAACACTTAGGTCATACGGTGGTCCTTGAGATAGCTAAAAGACTACTGTAGCTAATAAGGGGAAAGTTTGCCACCGCTTTTGGTCTAGACGTGCCTATACTACCCACTTTTTGTATACGTCCTACTTTCATATCCCTGCTGATCACAACATAGCTTGGAATCCTCACACCATTCATCCCCATCGATTCCGGAAACGGTTCCTCAAATGATGGTGCCCGTGGATTCCATGCTGCAGCGGGGCACCTCCGTCATTGAGGCTAGGGTATCTATCAATCGATTGTGGTTTCTCTCGAGGCGGTAATTAGTCTTTCCTTTTGGAATACTTAATAAGTAGCCGAATGAACCATAGTCCTCGCCATTCAGAACAACTTACTTGATAACATGGGTTTCCTCAACGCCCTGATCAACTGGGTCTACCAAGTTATCCAGGTATTTTTCGCTCAGGTGTTTGCCCCAAATCCTCGCCAACCGCGGCCGAAATTGCATAGCCCTCGCATCGCGGTAATTGGAGCTGGTATTACGGGAGTGTCGTCTGCTGCGCACTGTGTTGGCCATGGTTTCGACGTTACCTTGTTCGAAGCCAATAGTCGTGAGCACTTGGGCGGAATATGGAGTGTGAGTAAACGATTTTTCCTTGTCAAACTGGTTTCGTTCAGCAGCTGACGATGTGCTACACCCAAATAGCAAGTAAACAATACGTCCAGTCTGCAGATCCACAGCATTATGTATCGATTCCATCCATCCGTTCGCTTCAAGCGAGGCTACCCAGACCGGCAGGGAATCATCAGAGAGGTCACGCATCTATGGGAACGCTATGGGCTACAGAGCCGGACCAAATTTAACTCGAAGGTCGAGTCCATTTGGCATGACAAGGGAAGTGGAAAGTGGTACGTTCAGGACCCGTCTAATGGGGTGTTCGACGGGGTGATTGCCGCCGTTGGCACCTGCGGCGATCCCAAGATCCCCCACATCCCCGGCCAGGAGAAGTTTCAGGGTCAGGTCTATCATTCATCGCACCTTACTGGCAAAGATATCAAGGACAAACGACTGCTTGTAATCGGGGGCGGAGCCAGTGCAATCGAGGCAGTCGAATTTGCGGTATCGCAGCAGGCTTCGAAGACGAGTATCCTTGCTCGCGTAAGTCTAAAGATTCCGCGTCTTAACTCCAATCTATGACGGTCGCTCATACGCCTAACAGACAAACAAATGGATTATTCCTCGCAATCCCTTTATTGATGCATTGCTAGCGATGAATGTCTTCGGCGAGGAGACTAGCCTGGGATGGATGCCCGAATGGCTTCTAAAAAAACTCTTCTATCGTGACCTTCATGACTTAGCACCAGCCAAGGCCGGCCTTTACACGGAGACGCCCATGGTCAATGATGACATTCTTGAGCAAGTTCGAACTGGGCAGGTTGACTGGCTACGCGGTGATATCAAGGAGTTCAAGGAGGAGGGCATCTTGTTCAACCATCGAGAGAAAGGCATACCTAAAGGTGGCCCAGGACACGAAGAGCTGATCAAGGGCGACATTTGTGTTATGGCAACAGGGTTTCACCGACCCAGCCTGGCATTCTTACCCCAGCAATGCTTCAAGCCTCCGTACAGTCCTCCTAACTGGTTCCTCCAGACCTTTCCACCGGGACATTCAGATATATGTGCAAATAACTGCACCTACGTCAACGCAATTGGTACAGTGGGCAATATCCATATTGGTCTCTACACTCGCTTGCTCCTGATGTTCATTGTCGACCCCAGAGCCAGGCCATCCCCGGCTTGGATGCGTGCTTGGGTTGATTGGACGCGAGCTTTCAAAGAAAAGGCCCCTGGGGGTGCGCTAGAGTTCTTTACTTACAGCGAGCTTGTTTGGTGGATAGTGTTTAGCCTTGTCTCGAGCCCTCCCCGGTGGAAATGGATATTATTTGTGCTTGGTGGCTGGGGTGATCCGCTGCCATCAAACGGGGTGCATCGGCATGACGAGACATCGACTATGTTGGCAGTTTCAGACGGCGGGGGAGCAAAGTGACCAAAGCAAGGACATAAGACAAAGCCAAAAGGAGGAAAGAAGGATGACTGAATGACAATAATAAGGGCGTTGTTGAAATGGTGTTTGGAAACACAATGTCAGTGTCAACCTCTGGTGCTGTGAATTTGATTCCCTGCGAGCTGCTGAAATAAGCGGGTTGGGCTTTTTTATGCTGTGGATTTGTATGCCGGTCAATTGATGTAACCAAGATGAGGTAGTGCGGCCAAGGGATAATCAAATCGACTTTTCAATAGGTTATATAACATTTTGAACCTAGAGGTCTGTCGGATTGGAGGTTTACTTGTCCGTATATATGTTGAGCCTATATGAAGTTATCGTTCCGTAAATCCCCGTCTGCTTGTAATCATCCCGAATTTCAAATATTACACATCATTTCTATCTATGGGGCTACTTAAAAATTTGGTTAAATGCTATTTTCAACGGCCAATTAGCCGCCACTCCATAAGCCTACACAGTGCCTGCCGCATGTCCTCCTAATCCAATTATCTGTACGCCTAAATGGCAACAGTGATATGATAACCTGGAAATAGTCTATGAGGTGAGAACAGGAAATTAGCTGCTTTACCTGTTAATACGGTGCAAATATGTTACGGGCCCGAAATACGAGATAAATACTTAGTTCAAGAGAATCGCGGTAAACATTATCATGTACTGCCTCTATGAACAGACCTACGGATATAGGGCCGGGCAGCCTTTTAATATCAATTAGCTTCTCAGAGGTGGTACTGACGTGGGTTTTCCACCGCAATACCTAACCTTTGCCACATTGCTTCCACATTCATATCCTCCTGGCCGCTACATACTTCATCAGCCACGTAGCAAATAGCCATAAAGGAGATAGCAGACTCACTCTTGCTTTTCATTGATCCAAGGCTCTGTTTGTCCCTCCGCTGTATTCGGATCGCGGAATATCAGGTTGTGTTTCTGTACCAATAGTTGCATTAATTCCACTTGTAATGTTCCATCACGGGATGTTAAAGACATGATGATCTCCGATCAACATACCATGCCCAAGGTCAAGTGAATGGCCCCCGGTCCTTTTACAAAGGTATCCTCTGGTTTTCGACCCTCAATCAATGCCTGGATATTCTTGGCAACCACGGTTGCTTGAACTGAGCCAGGTCGTGCAGCTTTTTGTGCACCCGTGTCGGCGATATCGCCCACTGCAAACAAATTGGAGTACTTCTCATCCAGGAACTGCATTGTCGGTCGGACACGAATAAATCCATTATCTGGATTTATTATAGATGGACTAGAGATCCCCGACGGCTTCAGACCGGAGACTAATTGGTTGTTTGGTGATTGTCCGGTTGCAAGAATGACGAACTCGGCGGATTCAGTGGGGCCATTCGTAATCTTCACCTCGAACGGGGTGCCATTGTTGGGAAAGCCCCCTTCTGGGATAGTCACTCGGGACCCAGTGATAAGTTTGATCCCGAGCTCGTTAAATCGTCGCTGAATGAGTTCATGGAGTTCAGGGTGGAAGTTTGGCATCACCCGAGACCGCGATTGGACCACCGTAACATCCTTATCTGGATAGTACTCTTTCAAATCGGTCGCCATCTGCACGCCAACGGCACCTCCGCCAGCAATCAAAATTGATTGTGAATGCTTAATGTTTGCTTGGTGCTTTTGCAAGTAGTCGACTGAAGATGGTTTGTCGTCATATTCCATTGCAGCTGGCTTCGACAGACGTGTACCGGTTGCGAGTACAGCAAAGTCAAATTGGATTTGTAGAGATCCCTGCCACTCCCGGTCGAGCTCTATATGCTGAGACTGAACCGACAAGACACGCGCCTGAACAATGTCATGTGAGGCCGAATTTGGCAGGCCAGAGAATATACCACTGTAGGGCACAAACGCCTTGTGTTCTTGGCCTCCAACTATTGCAAAACGAGGCTATGGGCGGTTCTCTCATCAGTTTCTGCTCGAGTCCCTCGAGAGATACAATAATCCACTTACAAATGTGAACAAGTGGTGGAAATGGCTGTGACATTCGATCAGAAGGATCTGGAGAGAGTTAATGAGCTTGGGTTGAACCAGGGTAACCGTTTTGCTTGAAATCCAACCTACTCTGTGCGTTGGTGGGATGAATTTTGCAAGCTCCTGGGCGGTTGTCTTTGGCAGCCTGTCAGTGGTAGTTCATCTGGGAGACGGACTTTCTATACTCACTCGTCCAACGAATGAACCACCGATGACAATGACATTACGAAGCAAATTAGTAGCCATTTTGAATTAGATGAAGAAAAATATGACCAGTAGAAGTCTCTCGGGAGGATACATGGCCTTTATAAATGGACCGGCAAGTGCCTCGCGCGGTCTTTTATTAGATGCTACTTATCTGATTAACTCCGAGACAAACTTCCTGATGTGGCGAAACTCCGAGCGCGCCCGGAGAAGTTCACACCCGGGACAGCGGCGCAACAGCCGATGGTGCCACCCCTTCTCTGTACCCCTGTAGCGTTCCTCAGATCCGCCCCTGTTTGCCGAGTATTCTCGAAAACCCTTGGGTATAGGGATCTTTCGTAATTATGGAGCCACTTCTGTTGAAAGGGTTCATTGTCACTTTGTCTTCATAGTGGGAATGAGCCTTGGTTGATGCGAGTAAAAGCGGCGGTTGGGGAAACCCGTTCGCCTCGCTACAAAGTTTAAACTGGGTTGAAATGAAAGCAGTTGAGTATATTTTGAAGTTGAATAAACATTAAAGTAGCCTTTGTCGGTCTTACTAAACAATTCCGGGCAAAGTCCCAGTACAGTATCCTTCCCATGTCATTTAATTGGATCATGCTTCCTTTTCTCATGCAAATGAAATCTTCACAACTTTTCCCGGCTCCTTAAAGGTGCCAAGGACGGGAGCCACCTGGCCTCCACTTGTGCCTACATACAAAACGGTTTCATCTTCAGTCAACCGGCAAGAAGTTGGACCAGGCATTTGAGTCGAAAGTTGACCTCCAGCGACGAGGGAAATTTGGCCATAAGGCGAGATGCGGACAACCGAGTTTTGGGGGTCCGTAGCAATGTAGGCAGTTCCATCTGAAGCCACATCGATATTGTCAGGCAAGAAACCACTGGCGATTACTTCGAAATCCCCGACAGGAGTAGCTTCGTCGTCGACTTTTACGCGACAAAATTCCATCCTTGTGGTACTCGAATAGTAGACATATCCGTCCACTACCTTCAGCCCGTTGATACCCAGTGGGAGTGCCTGGCCCTTAGCAGGCATCATGGTGGTATCATTCATAGCGACCTCATAATGACCTGTTTTTGTGTTGAGTTTCCAGACTGCTCCTTTCGGGCTATCGGCAATAAGAACCAAGTTGGATTCTTTTGTGAATGTGGTCATTCCGTTCAGCGCCTGAGCCTCCGGGAGTGCCGCAATAGACGAGACTGTCGCAAGGTCAGAGACCCGTTCGGCCTCCTTCGCATCGGCATTGTTGAAGTCTAGCTTTTGAACGGAAAATGACCCCGCAGTTGGTTTGTATGTTTCGGTTGAGAAGTTGCCCACGACCACGGCGAACACGTCGCTATCGATCTCGCTAATGCCGAAGCAACTTGTGGCGTTGGGGAACGAGTGAACAAGCGTTGCATTTCCGCTCGTAGTGTTCACTGACCAGACTTCAGGAACGTCGAGGCGAGTCAAGAGCAAGCTTCCATCGGAGCGGAGGGCGATGTTGTCGACCCACGACCCATTGTTTGGGAACTGGAAGAGTGTTTCGACTTGCACCTGAGGCTCTTTGTAGCCGGGTGGTGCTTCTAACTCGTAGTATAAAGGAAAAGATGCCAGTGCCTGTGAAACGATGGCCAAAGCACTCATCCAAGTGATGTAGAATCGCATCTTGGGGTTCGTTTTTAGGCGTCAGGGCGTGGACTGACAAAGGGACGACCTTGTTGGCTATAGCAATCACCCTGCTATTAGAGAACCACTAAATTGGTTTAAATACTCTATCGCAATTAGTAAATGCAATTTCTCATCTCATTGGCTGCGATTTTAGCCCTGCATTCCTGTTGAACCTTTTTCTGTTTATCTGAGCAACTCCCATCCCTGCATTCCATCGGTGCGCTGCCTAGATCCAAGTATTTGCCAGTCTTGACATGAGAAGCTTCTCGGCGGATCTTTATCTTCGGCGAAAGAAAGGCCCCTGTGGAGATGATATTGGGTCAAATGGTGTAGTGTTGGTGAAAAGCAATTTACCACCGTTCATGCCGACCATGCTCGAGGCAATTTAAGTCCGAATGGAACAGACGTGAAAGATTCCTCTGTCATCGCTATTTTAGTATATTTGCTTGCTCGTATCGCCGAGTAATTTTATTCATTCATACGCGAGTCTTCAGTGTCAACAATGTTACACGTTTTTAAAGGTGGGAGGGGAGTTATAATTGCCAAATGCGAGTCTTTGGGCTCTGAGTCAACCTTGGAATCTTTGTTTTTACAGCACTTGTCTGTTCTTCCAAGACTTATTCCTCATCTTCCCGAGGTTAGGCCTGGGGGCTTGAAATATCTATGTAATTAAGTTTGTTTCAAAGGGGTTTCTTAAGCGCTCGACGATCTTTTGGTTGCAAAACTGCGATCTGTGTATGGCGATATTTATTCATGTACATAGCCCGATCAAATCAGAGGAGTCGTATAACACGAATCTTTGAAAGAAACGTCATAAATCAGCCCTGGAGACTGGGATGATGTGAGTTCTACGCTTGAAGTTAAAGAGCAAATTTGCGACAAATTCCGGGCTGCGTCACTGATCCCGGCTACGTGGCAAAGTTCGGCTGCTTGAAATTCCCACTGATAAGCATATAACCGAAAGATCGGAGAGCCCCACATGAACGGCGGCGGATGGTTCGGTATAACCGAGAAACGCCGGGCAATAAGCCTGCTGTGCTTCATTTCAAGACTTGACCCGGTTTCATAGGAAACAGCCTATCTCATCTATAATGGCTACGAACCCCGAGCGACCGCGAACGCGCGCAAAAAAGGCCTGTCTGTCCTGCAACGCGCGTCGCGTGCGATGCAATGTGCTTGAAATGCAACCGTGCCGCAACTGTGTGTCTTGGAATCTGGCTTGTGAATTGGGAGTGTCGCGGCGTGGAAAGTAAGCATACCCTAGGGTACTCAGTGTCTAATCTCGATTGTATGCCAACAACTCTTGGTAGATACCCTCGTCGGAAGAAAAAGGCCTCACCAGTACCAAGTGAGGCCTCCAACGCGCAGAAAAGCTCGTCGACTGCTCGGCTTCCCCAGGAGGCACCTTTCCAGGATCGATCATTACACTATTCACCCCCGACTCACCCAGAGAATGCGGAAAACGCGATCCATAAAACTGTGTTTCTCGGCGAGTCAAGTCCCTTAACATGTGTAGTTGATGAAGGCCGCCGATCGCCAGACAAAGGATATGCATGCGGAATCCAAAAGGGCCGACTGCACTATTCCATCTCCGAGCTTCGCGGCTCTTCAGAATCTAATGATCATTTACTGGGCCAACGTCGGAAGTCCCTCCAAGATCGTCTCATTCGTGAAAGTGCTCTGGTCTTTCCATCATCCCCAATTTGTGACGCCCTTCTCCAAGCATATTTTGAATGGTTCCATCCGTGCTTTCCAATCTTAGACCGTCCACAGGTGCAGGACTTCTACTATGAAACCAAAATTTCACCTCTACTACTCCAGGCGATTCTTTTCATTGGAGTGAGTATGTGCCCAGATGCCACCTTGAATACGACAGGGTACAACGATCGCTACCTTGCCAAGGGCATCTTCTACCGGCGCGCGAAGGAGATCTATGATGTCGGATGGGAGACTGACACGATAATCAAGCTGCAATCACTATTCCTGCTAAGCTTCTGGCGGGGAGGACCAACCGAGGAGCGAGACGTTCGCTTTTGGCTTGGAGCGGCCATTGACTTGGCCCAGAAAAAGGGCATGCATGTGATGTAAGGGAATTTGTTATGTGTTGCGGGAACTCACTGACGATTTAGGTCCAAATTGACTTTCTTGGGCGCGCGTGACCAAAAAGTTTGGAAACGGATTTGGTGGGCATTATATGTGTGATTAACTTACTCCGATGGGAGAGTCTATCTTAAGCTAATGAGAAAAACAGGTCCGCGACCAGCAAACGTCTGCTGCGTTGGGATTGCCCTCTCGCATTCGTGACGAAGACTGTGAAATCACCGAGCTCAACGCGGCGGATTTCGAGGAGGATAGTTCTGCTACATCCTCCGACATATTTAAGGAACCGCCCGCGGCGCATGTTCCGTATGTGATCGGAATGGCACGACTTGCCAAGTTATGTATGTTATTTATCGTAGAAGAGGCGCCTGGCTAACAACAGGTAGTACGTGAGGTTGTATCCAGTCAGTATTTACCTGGCCGGTCAAAACTGGATAACCCATCGCGCCCATTGCTCCATGGACGTTTATTGGATTGGGAGTCAAACCTGCCGATGGAGATGCAATTCCAGTCATCCATGAACCGAAATGTAATGTTTTTGGTCGGCATGCTCCATATGACCTACAAGTATGTCTCCACTCTCGATATACTTCACCTTGCCCCTTGAGGCAGTCCGGACTAATTGAGATTCAGTAATCTCTACGTTTTACTTTATCGACCATTGTTCCTGCAGCCACCAAGTGAGTCAAGAAGCGTTGAAGGAAATATTGCTTTAGACGCAGCTACAAGGAGTACACGAATCCTTGAGGACATGCTGTCGGAGAACCTGGTGCAGCATGGACCAGTACATCTGTAGGCTTGCTGATTCCCATTAATTTTGGTTTTTCTGATCCATCAACAGTATCACACACACATTTTCAGCCTTGTGTATTCACACTATCCACTTTGGACGAGTGGCTAGCACGGCTCGGAAACTCGCAGAGCATCGGGCAAAACTGTGTCTTCTCGGACTGAAGGAGCTTCAAAAGTCCTGGGATCTGGAGAATTGGGTCTTGGATCTGTTCTTTCGATGTCTAGATGATCGCACAGCACGAAATCTTCGACTGGCTGACGTCGGAATGCCATCTTCAGGATCGTCGGGTCAGCTGTCAAAGGGACCACAAGCACCCGACTCGCCAGCTCTAGAAGCTCCCTCTAATAGTACCAGCGGCACTTTCTCTCCACGCGGAAATGAAAATGTTGTGTCTATGGCGCAGGTGAATCTGCCACTGGATGACCCATCTATTAATATGGACTGGTATGAGCTCTTCAACGTGGAGGGAGAGGATTTCTCAGGACTTGCTGGGTCTTTGACAAACCCGGAGTACCTTAACCCTCAGAACCTAGAGTTCCTATACCGTTTTCTGTAGATTCCATCGGAAAAGACATTGGTTTATTAGCTTGAACTGGATTTATGTGCACTATAGCTCTATATTTGGGTAGATACGGACGACTCGATATATTGTGATAGCTGTAACCATCAAAAAGGCTATTTAGACAAGCCCAATTCAGCCAAAATCGCCTGGTTGTGTTCCCCGACTTTCGGAACTGCGCCCATCTGAGCTCCATATCCACCTTGATCGGCTCTTTTCGTCGATCCAGGCGGCAAAAGAGCCCGAATGGGCCCTACTGGGGTTTGTACTTCTGACCATCGGTCGCGAGACTTGAGTTGGGAATGTTTCCAGACACCGTGCATGTCATTCACATTCGCATTTGCAATCACAGCCTTGTCAAGCCGTTCAATCGTTTCTTCGGCGCTCAATTCAGAGAAAACACCGCAAATAATCGCTTTCAGCTCGTCTCGATTTTGCGTTCGTAGAGAGTTGCTTGAGAACCGACAGTCTGTGGCCAGTTCGGACTGAGAAAGGACGCCGCTGCAGAAGTTGACCCATTCCCTTTCATTCTGGATTCCGAGCATGACCGACTGACCATCACCTGTCACAAAAGGGCCGTAGGGGTAGATGGAGGCGTGGGATGCCCCCGCCGGTGCTGGACCCGGGGCACCGTCGAAAGCATAGTACATGGGGAACCCCATCCACTCGACCATACTCTCCAACATTGAGATGTCGATTCGACAGCCACGGCCATCCTTGTCACGCTGCATTAGCGCCGACAGGATGTTGGTGTATGCGTACATTCCAGCAGAAATATCAGCGATGGAAATGCCTACTTTGACGGGCTCTTTGCCAATACCGGTAACGGACAGCATCCCAGCTTCGCTTTGGATGAGAAGGTCATATGCTTTCTTATCGCGATATGGACCATCTTGGCCATATCCGGAAATGTCACACACGATTAAAGAGGGATGTCGTTCTCTCAGGGCTTCATGTGATAGACCTAGTCGTGCAGCGGCGCCCGGGGCCAAGTTCTGAACGAGCACGTCGGCGCGCTCAAGGAGTTTCATCAAGACTCCATGGTCCTCTCTTTGTTTGAGGTCCAATGCCAAACTCTCTTTGGATCGATTGGTCCACATGAAATGCGACGCTATTCCGTTGACGCGGGTATCATACTGGCGCGCAAAGTCACCGACTCCTGGCCGTTCGACTTTGATGACACGAGCTCCAAGATCGGCCAGTTGCCGGGTGCAGAATGGCGCGGCAATAGCTTGTTCCAGACTGACAACCGTCACGCCAGCGAGAGGCGGTGTCCGATGGCCTGAAGGTTTGCTAGAGTAGAATCGTGAAAGTAGACTTGATGGGCCTGTCAACAGGCGATGTGTTCCCGATGGCCGCAACGAGCGGCCGGATGAGAGCGCCAATCTCATCGTGAATAAAGTGGAGGATTCGAGGTTATGCACGACGCACTTCCGACACAAGTGGCAGAGTGCACCTTCAAATGATATCTACCATGTCAAATAAAGTGCACTGTATGCCCTCGGCGAACGCAGCGGGGAAATCGGCAAATCGGTTATATGTCGGCTGTATTAACCCATGTGGGGGAAACCCGACGAGGGACACATATTAAACGCGTTTTGGACGAGTTCACAATTTCACACATGCAATCATGTCTCGCCCCCAATGGCGGAGCCTTTTTCGGTCGCAATGGACTTCATCGCTCAGGATAGCATGGGTAGCTAGTCGTGTACCTTCGGCTCGCACTGCATTCTCAACATCGGCGCGCCATGAGCTCATGGAGATGACCGGTTTCACCGATGAGCAGCTCACTGTTCGAGAAGCCATTTCTCATATTTGTTACAAGTTCCCCAACACTTATTGGCAAGAGTGCGACCAGCAAGAGAAAGACCCTAAGGAGTTCCACGCAGCTCTGGCTAAAGATGGCTGGCTAGGTATCGCTTTACCCGAGTCTCTTGGAGGAGCAGGATTAGGTATAGTGACATTCACCCCCAGTGAGGAACGAATCAGAGCTAACTACTTAAAATAGGGGTTTCTGAGGCCACAATGATGATGCAGACCATCACGCAATCTGGCGCAGGGATGGCTGGTGCACAGGCCATTCATGCCAACGTCTACGCGACTCAACCGCTGGCCAAGTTCGGAACAAAAGAGCAGCTGGAGACAACGATTCCTAAAATTATCAATGGAACGTGGCGAACGTGTTTCGGAGTCACTGAACCCAACACGGGGCTCGAAACCCTCAAACTCAAGACCCTTGCAACTAGGACAGCGGATGGATATTCCGTCTCGGGCCAGAAGATCTGGATCACTTGCGCACAGGTTGCTTCAAAGATGATCCTGCTAGCTAGAACCACTCCTCTGGAAGAGGTGAAGAAGTCATCCGAAGGTCTTTCCATGTTTTGCATCGATCTCAACCGTGATCAGCCCGGCTTGGACATGCGCAAGATCAAGAAAATGGGCGGACGCGCCGTGGACGCTAACGAGGTGTTCTTCGATAACTATCAGATCCCGGCCAACGCGTTGATCGGTCAAGAGAACCAGGGATTCAAGATCATTTTGCACGGCATGAACGCCGAGCGCTGTCTGTTGGCGGGTGAGGCCCTGGGTCTTGGGTATGCCGCACTGGAAAAAGCGTCCCAATATGCCAAAGATCGCGTGGTGTTTGGTCGGCCCATTGGACAGAATCAAGGTGTAGCACATCCGCTGGCTGATGCATATATGAAGTTGGAAGCGGCGAAACTGGCCACATATCACGCTGCCCGGCTCTACGATACAAAAAATGGATCAGTACCATTTCATGCCATTGGCGTGGCCTGCAACAGTGCTAAATACCTGGCCGCCGAGGCAGCCTTCACAGCCTGCGAGCGCGCCGTATTGGCCCATGGCGGAATGGGCTATGCGATGGAATATGACGTGGAGCGGTATCTGCGCGAATGCCTTGTGCCTCGAATAGCCCCAGTAAGTCGTGAGATGATTCTGAACTATGTTAGCGAGAAGGTACTTGAGCTACCCAGAAGTTACTAGTTGGAGAAAGAGTGGAGAAGTTGATCGGCATGTAAACTAATTGCAAGCGTCCAAGCCGATCCCGAGCGTGTAGACGTTAATCATATAGACAGTATGAAGCCAGGCGCTTTGTTTGTTTTTTTTCCTTTTCTCTTCCGATTTAGTATTCACCTCGGGCCAAGCTTTGCTGATCAAGTAAGACTGAGCAATGTGAGTCGCTCCTGGGCACTTGATTGGTTTCCAGGGGCTCATCTGTTTCTGAAACGCTTCAAATACATAGTTGGCTGCCACTGATCTCTATGTTTTTACCACATGTTCTTTACAAGTGCTCAATCTTGCTAATACATAGCCCTTCACGAATTTTATTTTCAAGATTTCCTTTGTTCTTGTTGATCCTTGTTCTACTATAGAGTCCAATAAAGAGCATTGCTTTCTTTGTTCCGAAACTCTGAACTCCTTGGAAATGGTTCTGTCACTCTTCATTCTTTGATCGGAGAAATGATCAAAGCGTAAGGTATCCATCTATTACACATCAGGGGTATTGTTTTGAATAAACCATCCAAGTGAACAGTGCGTTAGAGTCGACCATAGGGTATAAAAGCAGTGACTTGGAGGTTGCGAAAACTTCCATCAATTTAATAATTTAAGTTAGCGTCAAGAGATATCAAAACCACTCGAATATTACCTTCCCGAACTTCACAATCCCTGTGATCCAAAGTCAACCATAATATGGCTCCCCGCTTAAGCGAAATCGCCCGAAGATTGAGTTGCTGCTGTTCTCCCTACATTTCCATTGATGAGGAGGAACAAGCAGGCCAACAGGAGCTGGGGCTCCCTATAATCCAGCTTAGCAGCAAACGCCGACCTGGAAGCGTCGGTCCATTTACTCTGGTACCCCTGAAGTACGGTAAATTTCAAGAGGAAGGAGCACAGCGACGGCGATGGATAGAAGATCCTAACGCGCTCAACTGCAAGATTTTTCCTTCCACGCTAACCTTCGATCGTTTCGTGTCTAGTCATTCAGTCTACCATGGGGGTACAAACTCCCTAGGTGAGAATGCCTTGAGTCTCGATGTTGTGCGTGATCGTCATTGCCCCCGTGACAGACAACGTGCTAATGTATTTGGAATCAATTTCGACAGCGGAGATCTCTATCGATACATTTCTATCGAGAATTGGAATTGACTCACCTGGGTAGGTTACACTGGCCCAGGCGTGGTCTTTCTTGACAATATTGCAAGGGCAGAATATGCTAATGGTCTACAAATCTCGGAAGTTACTCAAGCCTTTTACGAAAGAGACTTTGCTGTCTATGAATTGAATTATGTCTTTATAACTCAGGTGATCAATGATGAGATACTTGAGGTTGTCGAAAGGTTATACACCGACCTCGTTGAGCCCGTGGATCCTTTATGGCCGATGATGATTTGGCCTCACGGCACGCCTGTGTTTGATGCCTTGCTTGGCACCCGATTAGGCAAGCTAGTCGCATACTTGGTTTTAGGTGCATATACCCATGGTACTCGACGGATTGTACGAATTATCACCTCATGGGCCCCTTATACGGCAGGGAACCTTCCTGACTTGCGATTTGACATTTCTGATGTTTTGTTTACTTCTCTGATTGTCTTGATACGGATTGGATTTCTGTTTTTCTCTTGTGCTTTTAGGCAAGAATGGGAGGCTCGAAGCGCAATTTAGGGTATCATTTCAATCAAAAATAGAAGGCTCATCTTATAATGTAACTTTGCGTGCATAAGGTAGCTAACTACCTTACGCCTTAAAAGTAATTACAGGTCTGAGTCGTCGCCAGCTGAGCTTGAGCCTGATAGGGTAAACCAGCGGTGGCCTGCCTTAGGTAGAAAAAGCCTACCGGTTGAAATTATCCTCTGGGCTTCGGTATGTATATGAGATGTCGTCATGAATTGACCAAATACTTCCCTATCTTCCAGGGGACGTGTCATTGAGTCATCTGATTGGTCAGACATATATACTGTCATGTGACCATGCTTGCTGTAGCCGGATTGAACTCGTACCGAGGCTAGGATGTTTGTCCTCTCTGAATTTCGCATCTTCGACACCGTGGGGTTGCTGATACTCGTTTGGTTTTGTCTCCATGGCGATAAGAATGCACCAACGACTTCCCAAATCCGAGCCAACAACACTAGGAGTAAACCCAATGCTCCCATCAAACTCTAACCGATGAGGGCATTCCAATCCAAACCTCAGGTATGAATTGGTGAAAGTTTGAAGGGTTATCGACGAGAGGGGGAATTCAATTTGATCCAAAGAGCCAATATGCACTGAAGACAACAGCAGCTGTCTGTCCCGGATCAGGCTCATTGTGAGATGATTTGACCTCATCCCAAACACGTCAAGTATTATTGATTGCCCGCTTCGGGATCATCGATGTCAGAAAACTGGGCCTGGATTCAGGGGGCTGTGTCAAACCCCGGGATAGGGTGTGGAGAGTGACGATTCAACACATGGACGTTGCACAATAAACCACCTGGAGTTCGGCATTCTCCGCAGAGAAGAGCCAAGAATGTTCGATTTCCAGAATGCTGGGGAGAATTCTAACGCGGCGGTTTCCAATGCTACTGTACAATCACCGTTTCCGGCCAGGGGTATTGAATCATATCCCGCAAATAGAAAGTTCTGACATCGAGTTGAAGTAATTATGATGGATGTCGACTTTTTACTTTACCAATTGATTCATTCTATACAATTCTCAACTATCTCGATCATCAAAACATCGAAACTTGGCTGCCTAGTTACCGGCCTCGCGTATCAACGGGGCCAGCCTCAAACATGGCCCGTGCGCGACCCCCTTGTAAAGTACAGTATGTTGATTGTATTGGCCAGGAATAGTTACAGTACATCCCTTCTAAATCATCAATGCATCGAGATAGGAGGAATCCTATGGAATAGAATGCCACTGCTGTCAGAGCTGCCCATGTGAAGAACAAAAACCGATCGATTCAGGAAGGATTCATTGGTCCCATAACCCCAGACTGTTGTGCCAAGCGCCAGGAACACGGCCAAGAATGTTCGGAAACTTCCTGTGGCATTCACCAAAGCGCTTGTCATCGCCGCAAGGGGCAACTGGTACCTGCATGTGATAGGCACCATAGTGACCCTACAGACTCAGGGAGTGACTACGCCATTATTATAGGCTCCTGATTGATCGCAATCTTCCCAAGGGCCCAGGACCTTCCTTCTGCCTCGGGTGTACCTGACCGCGCGGTACCGGGCGGAGACAGTAGCCCCTCCAGCCACCGGTGCTTGCGTGTCTATTGAATGCTCATTGGGCTGATATATGCTAAGCAATCCCCTATGGACTAGTCAAAGCTTGGCTGGCCACTGGGAAAGCCGCTTTTGGCCTGTGCAACGTCATACGGAATTAGCTGCTGGCGCAATTGACCCGCGGTCGCCGATCACGATCGGCCCAATCATCATCCGGGCCCATCAGCCAGTGTTGCCACAGCTTGCGTGATTCTGTTCGAAACAGCGATCTATTCTTAGCCGGGAAAGGCTGGGTAAAGACATCTGCAGGGATGTGCTACCTATATAAGGGAGTATGCACCAGATGATTCCCCTAGGTTTCAAACACGCTACAATTACTTGAGCCATTAAATTGTAAAGACACTACCGTGCAACTCGTTCATCCTCAATTTTGGTACTTGAACCCCATACTCCAAAATGGCCGCCTCCCGTTCCTCCAGTGAGCGCACTGGCTCAATCCAGTCGCAAGACAGCCCCAAGATTTTGAACAGCAAGGCCGATCCCAACACGGCTCTCTATGAGGCACAACCTAGTAGGTCCTCTCAATCGCCGACATCTTTGACTGTGCCCTTGCTTAACCCTTCAGTGGCCGTGAACACCCAGCCGACAGACCGTGACTTGTTCTCCCTTCGGAGTATTCAACATAAAGACCGCAACGGACAAATTATCAGTACGTGAACATCTTACGCATCGCATGGGCTAGAAGTCTTAAGGCCTAACTGTCTGGTATTAGGTGACCCCGATCTCTCGAACCCCACACGGGCCCGCCTTGAGCGACCCCTCGACACTATCCGCTCTTTCGAAGCCGCCATCGACGCCGAACGGAAGCAAAACCGTATGTGATGAAACGAATTGTGGAGAAAAGTTTACGCTGGAATGATATACAGGGAAGCTATGGCGTTTATCTTATTCTTTTGGTGCCCGGGGTGTATAATTACTTTTGTGACTATACTAGATTGCAGTCGGGATTTTGGATATATCTGCAATGTTATGCCTTGGCGCAATTCAAGTCAACATTGTTGTCCATAATATAGTCGGTGCGTATGAAGATTATGATCTGCATGTCATGTCCGCCAAAGTACGTGGCTAGAATCAGAGCCGTGTGCTCGATGGATTTACTAGAACTTTGAAGTCGAACATCAAGAATGAGGGAAAGGAATGCGAGATATGGAGAGAGAAACGTCGATAGGCCGCAGCTTGAGGATGCAGGCTGTCCGTAATTCTTCTTCAGGCATCATCCGCCACTCTGAGAATATAATTTGTACCAATGGATGCATCGGATTCCATCATCTCGCAGTTGTCACAGGGCGCATGCAGCTAGCTGATCGACCTTTGGAATATACTGCTAGACTATTGCGGACCGTTGGGTTTAGGGTTTACAAAAGCTTGCATGTGATGTGAAAACTAGAATCTACCAGGCAGCATCCCCTGGATCGTCTCGTCTTCGCATTCTTATCCAATCTATTCGATCTCAATCAGTGCAGATCTGGATAATCCCGGGCCGACCGCTCCTTCATCCAAATAAAGGTCAGTTGGACCAAGGAAAGGGCTACCAACGAATCATGAACATTCCGAACAATGTTTAAAAGTTCAAGAAAGTGGCTCTTGCTAGCGGCGTCGCTGAGTGCGAAATTCGAGAGAAATCATTTCCGAGCAGATCGGCGGCCCACACCAAGCCATATTCTCTCCGTCACAAGAGGAAACGAGCCAACGACGCTCAATGGCTTTCGTAAAATGACAAAAGACAAAATTAGACCTCTCTGAGCAGCCTAGAAGGCAAAAACAGTCCGCGACATGAACAACAAAAGGAGACGCACTGCCGACGCGATCCCAAGAAATAGGCCCCACTCTACCGCGTCAGCCCTTGAACAGCTTCGCTCCCTATTAAACTCCTCAAAGCAATCTTACCCAACCGACCACCTCTAGTTTTGGCCATCGCTGGTCATGATAAGCATCTCTTAGGATATTTCATAGTCCAATGTCCTCTATATACTCTCCGAGTGGCTCGACTATCGCACCGCCCCATGGATACAATGAAAGACGTGCAACGAATTTTGGTAGCACACTAAGAGATGCTACTCTGCAGAAGCCAAGATACTTTTAGCGAGTGGGGCTCGGTGGTTTTTATCATTTGCTTGGAGCTAATGAACCGATTCACTTCCGAACCAGCTCTAATGTAGTTGACACGGTCACTCATTCCCGGCCTGGATAAGTTGTGGTTCACCTGCCTCTATTGTGGCACCATCTACTAGGAAATGAGCTCCACTAGTTAGCAGCTGGGTCAGTTTTAGCGTCCCCTTACGCTGGCCAGGGGCAGAGGACAACTTATGTTGATTAGAATGGCGCGCGAAAATATTAATGACCACGGGAAGCGAGGTCACCCTTGGATCTTTCCTTAATAAAAGATTATATTTTGTCTAGACTGGCAGAACTGCACTGCTGAGCACTCATTTAATCTTCTCTTTGACAATCATTCGTTATTTTGATCAACTAACTGTCGGAAACCACTTCCATTTTCTTGCTACAACTATATCAGCGTTATCTAGTAGATACGCTATGCCTATCTCGCTATGAAGTTTTCTCTGCGGTCTCTTGTGACGCTGATTGGGGCCGCCATGGCCGACCTAGACCCTATTGTTATCAAGGTAGAGGAGGCTCCGCCTATTCGAGAGGGTGCACAGTGATACTGATTAACCCTTCAGGGTTCTGAATTCTTCTACTCCAGCAACAACACTCAATTGTGCGCTTGATCTCTCATGCCAGTGATATGACCCATACTGATGATTTGATAGTTACCGTCGCGGTGTTGCTTATCAGCGTATGTCGAATGCATCCGCCCTGATTAAAACGATGATCCATTTGAAACTAACATTTACACACAGGACACCAGCGACAGTACCAGATCCGTTGGCGAATGCTGCTGCTTGCAAACATAATATTCCCATCTTGCAGGAATTGCGCACCAACGTGATTCGTACCTACTCCATCAACGCCAGTGCCGACCACTCCGAGTGTATGAAGCTCCTGTCAGAAGCCGGCATCTATCTGATTTCCGACCTGTCCTCTCCCATTCAGTCAATTGGCCGGAGTGACTCTGAATGACAAACTAGCCTCTGCTCTCACTACACCAGTGTGATCGATGAGCTATCCCAGTACAGCAACACCATCGATTTCTTTGCCGGTAACGAGGTTGCCAACACCGTTGCCACGACTGATGGCAGTGCCTACGTGAAGGCTGCCGTGCATGACATGAAGAAGTACATTCAAGAAAAGGGCTACCGCTCTATGGGCGTTGGATACGCCACCGCGGACGTCTCGACCATTCGTGAGGACCTCGCCAACTTCTTCGACTGCTCATCAGACTCGCAGTCCATGGACCTCTGGGGTTATAGCATCTACTCCTGGTGCAGTGACTCCTCCTACTCGGCTTCTGGATACCAGGACCGCACAGAGGAGTTCCGTAACTACACCGTCCGTCTTCTTCGCTGAGTACGGTTGCAAAGCTGTCCCTTCTCGCAAGCTCACCGAGGTCAAGGCGTTGTACGGTGAGACCGTGGCCGAGGTGTGGTCTGGTGGCATTGTTTACATTACTTTCAGGAGTCCAGCAACTAACGTAACCGGTAAGCGAGCCGCCCATGTAAGCGAGCCGCCCACCCAACTATCCGCTTTTTACTTTACATCTATTTTTTTCAACCAAAACGCCTTTATATTAATTATTCTACCTAACTGGGCATCTAGGGGCCTTATGCCCTTTCTCACCGCATATAGAACACGCAAATTGACGCCTTTGCGCTGGCGCTGGCGCTGACTGAATAGGCTGCCCGGGGGTTGCTGGAGACGGTGCCGTAGGCTGTAAACCAGCCTCATAGGCTTGTAAATGCCCCTGAGATTCTAGCACTGAAGTGCCAGCATCATAGGCTATCTACCTACTAACCCATGCGCGTTTTCGCCTCTACACCGCGTTGGCAGCCCGTAATTCCTTGATTTCTTGCTCAAGTAATATACCGTTCTACATAGCGAGCTGGCAGCCCTTGATAAGCTGGTTTAACGCGGTCTATGAGGGCGACGGGGGGCTATATAAGCGTCTTTTTAGGAAGGCCTGGATTGACGCTCCTTATTTAAGCAATTCGGCGACGGTCGCGGGTGTTTTTGGGGTAAAAACGCTAGATCAGCTATTTGGGCGGCTTCCTAAGGGTGTAGGCGTCCGAAGCCGGATATTAAGCTTTGAAAGCACTCGTTCTGGGTCAAATGGCACTAAACCCCCTACTGCGAAGCTATTTTTTATTATAAGCGCTTGAAAAGCGCTATCGCGGGCAGTTAGGTAGGCTATAAGGAAATTAAGCTTATCAATATGGTTGATGCCAAGCCTCGTTTTTTGATCAACTAAGCCTCCGTAAGAGCGCTTTAAAACTGCAAAACAACCAATATCAAGCGGTTGTAAAAGATGCGAGCTATGCGCTGGCATACAAATAGGAATTATCTCGTTTTCTAAGCAAATTTAGTCGAATTAGGCGGTTAAATAGCTACCGTGCCCATCAAGGACTAATAAACGATATCGGCCTTACGTGCGGCTATTCGTCGACGGTATAAATAGTTTTTGAAGCCATCGAAGGCCTATCTCGTCTGTCGTCCACCCGTTTTGACTAACTTCGAAGCGCTAATTCCCCGGGAGGTCATCGAACCAAGCCTGATTGTATAGTTTGCCTTTGAAGATAATCGTCGGCGGAAGCGCCCACCTAGAAGCGCTAATTGATTTAATTATAGTCACCTACTCCCGATTTCCTAGCTATAAAACCGCTCTCCGACCGTAGTATTCCGATTGGGTAATGACCTTTACGGTCGCCGTAAGGCCCATCGCGAAGCCCGTCTCATTAAAATTGTAGATATCCTCTAGTAGGATACCATATTGCTAAACCGTAGCTTGTACGCGATTAAACCACTCTTGAATAACCTTTAGGTCCTCTTGTTTTGCTCGTTGGTAATCGTATCGACGTGAAAAGCGGGATTTTAGCTCTGAATGACGTTAGGTATAATTATAGACCTATTTTTCGCCGACCGTTTGGATTGGGGTTGAACCGCGCTTTGCAAGCAAAAGATTCGCCATTTCTCGCACTATAGAGGGCCTAGGGGCTGCTCCACGCGAGTCCATTGATAATATCCATCGCTTTAGCGATTCCTCTTCAGTTTGGGTCAATTTATGGCTATTAGCGCGTGTTTAAGGGCGAAATAGGCGGCCATTAACGCGGTCGCGGAGGGTAGTGCGAGGCACATTAAAACGGCGCGCAGTCTCGCGAATAGAGCTAATTTCTTTGTTTTTTATAGCCTGAACGGCTAATTCGAGGCGGCCCTCTTACTCGATAAAATCTTGGCTTAATTGACCGCGTTTTGGAGGCATGGTGGTTGGTAGAAAATAGAAGGACGCGTGTGGACGCGAAAAAATGGTTGGGTGGGCGGCTCGCTTACATGGGCGGCTCGCTTACCGGTTACGTTATGGTATGCTCTTACCTGGGCCCCCGAGGCTGTTCATATGGTCATACGGCCACTCGTATGCTAATACAGATTGTACAGGTCTTGTTTCCGTTGTTGACTACTAGCGTCAGCAAGATGAAGGATTTCACTTCCTACTCCAACGAGATTGCGACCGCCTCGCCGACTGGCACCCACAAAGCTTCCTATACACCGACCAACGCAGTTCTGCAGAGCTGCCCCACTGTGGGTACCGACTGGAAGGCGAGGCCTCCCCTTTGCCTCCTACTCCGGAATCAAGCCTGTGTGACTGCGTCTACGATGTCTCCCGGCTGTGTTGTGAGCGACGACATCCTGGCCTCCAAATAAGGCACACTTTTGGGCGTCGTTTGTGGCTACACCGACTGCGCCGGTATAAACGGTAATGCCACGACCGGCAAGTACGGGGCCTACAGCATGTGCGGTGTCAAGGACGAGCTCGCCTTCGCCCTAAACAAGTACTACACCAAGCAGGGCAAGAAGGCCAGCGCCTACAGCTTCTCTGGCTCCGCCAGCATCAAGGTCTTCACCAAGGCCAGCCCCAAGACCACCGGAACCTGCTCTACACAGTTGAAAGAGGCTGGCACCGCTGGCACTGTCACCCGATGGCACCGCCACTGCGGACTAAAGCTCCTCCTCCAGTATCTCGATTGCGTCCAGCGGTGCAGCTCCCCAAAATTTCCACTCCAGCGTGACCTTTGGCTCCTTCCAGTGTGCCGCATTCACGGCCCTGGTGGGATTATCTGGTCTTGGCATGGTCCTTCTGTAAACTTCTTGTCTGGAAAGTCCCCCTTAGAACGTCTTAAATTCTGGTCTTACTCAATTTCCTACCATGTGCTAGTTTGGGAGTTTGCAGGCACTCTCTCCTTGTATTCACATGGTCTTTAGCACTGATGTGGCATTTTGAGTGGTAAGGCCGTGTTGAAGCAGCACAGTTAAGCGTTTGCAAAATACTGTAGATAGTACCGAGCGAAGTTTCAGTTGATACGATGACTATATATATGTGATTCCATCTCACTCCCCAGCAATAGCTCTTTTTGTCAAAATAGCAGATGTTTCGTCCAGTCTTGTCCAGTCGTGTGCATCGTAACAGGCCTGGCGACTCAATTGTACAGCGCGACTTGTGCGAACCCTCATTTCCTTCTCAAATTCATCGATTGCGACTTGTGGCGAGGCAACGCCGCCGTAGACTTTCTCAATGGCCTCCATTAAATGATATGCATCGAGCAAGCCGTGATTTGCTGCTTCTCCTCGATCTACAAAGGTCAGTTCAGTACTTGTCAAACCAGACGCTAGGGTCCCACTTACACATCGTCATTGCATGTGCAGCATCGCCAGCTAGGGTCACTCGCCCCTCGTAGTTATTCCAGGGAAGACACTCCCAGTCTCCCAGTTTGATCTCTGTAACAGGTGTCTCAGCTGGAATCCTCTCCACAGCCTCTTGCAGAAATGGCACAAATCCTTGCGCGCGCCGCTTCATGTTCGCCAGGCGACCTTCGTCTGTAGCGGCGACTTCATCTTCGGGCCCATTGATTGGCCAAGACATACATATTTGAGCTCGATAGCGCTCCTTATCCGTGCCAGCTGTACCATTCCCTTGAGGCGTCTCCAGCATCGAAAACCAGAAAAAAGCGCCGGTGCGTGGATAACATCCTTGAAACAATAACGGGTCCATCTCGCGCAGAGGCTTGATTTGCTGTGGTGTCAAATCAACTGCCACGCCGGTGAACCCGACAGAAAGAGGGACGTTATTGTAGGCATCCGGTCGTAGCACTTGTCGTATCTTTGATCGGCTTCCCTCCACACCAACCACGATGCGCCCGGTCACGGTGGTCTCATCCGCGAGTATAAGCTGGACCTTGTTGGCTTCTGGCAAATTCAACCCAACCACACGCCTGTCCCAGTGCACATGATCCTCAATTCCATGCAGCAATGCTCGTCGCATCTTCTCGCGATTCACGCGCCATCGAAGGTTGGGCGGAATCTTGAACCTCGGCTCTCCGGTTTCGAGGTTGATGAAGAGAAAGTTGCCGCTGTCACTGCGTGCGATGTCCGGATCCACCTGAACATCCTGGATGCGAACCAACGTTTCCTCGGGAAGCATATCCATCATATATTCAAGTGCCCAATGCAGGGTGATGGCCCATCCCTGGCCGCGCGCATCAGGAGTTGCATCGCGCTCATAAATCTCGAAGGGAATGTTCTTCTGCTTGAGCGCTTGGCCGAGTGTGAGGCCGACAATGCCGGCACCAACAATTAGTACAGGTTCCATAACGTCGGTGAGGAATAACACATTGTCGCCAGATCGCTCTTTTTGTGTCTGGAGTCATCGCGATCCGAGTCCTATCGGCCGTCGCATAGATAACGTGCGGGGCTTATCCGTCGCTCCACGGCTTCGTCTCTGGGTTTCCGACCGTCGGCTATCCTTTTAGCGCAAATGCGACGGCCGCGGGGTCCGCATCGTAGTTGATGAGGCCAACTCAATCTAGCGACACAACTGGGAGTTGAATATAAAGCAATGTGGAACATCTTTTCTTTCTGAACCCACCATCGCCATGTCGCACGAAGCCCTCAACCCCATTCACCCCTCGGCTCTCCCCCACTTGGACCCTGTGTTTGTTCGGCTCTACAATGAACACGTCGCAAATACTCCAGCAGGGCCAATTGACCTCTCGATCTTGCGAACAAAGTACTCTGTGCTTTACTCGTATGGGACAGGACCCGCCCCGGCTTGTGCTCGCATCTATGATAGCCAAGTCCCCGGTCATAAAGGGGATTTGATTCCCATCCGTGTCTATGAACCAGCTTCGCCCGGGCCATGGCCAGTACATGTAGATTTTCATGGTGGAGGTAAGCGTCCTTCTGTCCATGGAATCGACACTTATTAACTCGAGTTCGCAGGTTGGGGCCTTGGGGACCTCGACACCGAAGCGCACATTTGCAAGCACATCTGTGTCAAGGCAGATGTCTGTGTGATTGACGTGGACTATCGGCTGGTACCAGAGCATGCGTTCCCAATCGGTATCCAGGACTCATTCGCAGCGTTGCAACACATCCACGCTAAGGGTGCCGAGCAATTCAAAATCGACCCTACACGCATATCGCTAGGAGGTGTCTCAGCCGGAGGCAACATCGCACTGGTGTGCGCTCATCTCGCTCGTGATGCTCAAATCCCCCTTAGACTAGTTGCAGTTGGAACCCCAACAATTGACGACATCTCAAAGTACCAGTCAGCATCAGAGGCACCGTGGCCATCTATGCAAGACATGGAACATGCACCCACACTTAACTGGGCGCGTCTTAAATGGTTCGACAACCTGAAGTGGCAGAGTATCGCAGCAGATGGCCCGACAATGGAAACACAAATGGCCGCTGTGAAATGGTATGCCAGTGCACTGCAGGCACCGGACTTTACCCAGTTATCCAAGACTATTATCTACACGGCAGGATGTGATCCCTTGCGCGATGAGGGCGAGGCCTATGCCCGGAAGTTGATAGAGGGCGGCAATGAAGTGATTCAGAAACGATTTGCCGGTGTACCGCACCCCTTTATGCATATGGATGAATGTGAGTATTTGAAGCGTGCCATTTACCTGAATGTAGCTAATGGTTCTACTAGACCTGTGGCAAGCGAGGGAGTTTATTGACTTGACGGCGGAGCATATCAAAACTACTCTACATCAGAGATAGAATATTTTCAAGTTACACAATTGCGCTCTTCTGCATACAGGAAACACACTAGTTGCGCACTTCATTGATATTTAAAAAGGTACCCATGCTACTGTTCCTCATGCTGTCAGGAAACAACATCCCCCCACTATTCGGCCCTAGCAGAATTTGAGTTCTATCACTTAATAACATTGGCAAGTCATTTTACAGTCCGTTAGGCTATGAAGTATGTATCGATATTTGTAAATCCTGCCGTCTTTACATCGGTATTCATCCAAATAATTTCTTTAACTGTCAACAGTCGCCATGCCGACTCGACCAAAGGTGAGTTCTCCGAAAAAGTACCCGACAAGCACAGCAAAGAAGAATCCAACGTTCATCGTCATCACTGCAATCATTCTTAACAAAACAGGTTAGAGAAAAACTTTCGGTTTTCGGTTTTGATTTCATGTGTTCAGCGGGAGTGACTAGGAACTCACAATAGATATGCAATGCCCTGGTTAACCATTCGAAATACCGCACGAGGGAGGTTGATCGACAGCCGCCATGTTTGAATCAATTTCTCCCGTGAGGGTTTATCCTGGCCACCATTGATAAGAATGGGGTATCCCGCAGACTTTGAGGCCCAGAAAGCGTCCAACTTGACAAGCTGCGCACTCATAGCTCGCCATATTACAGCGAGAAAGAAGAGAAAAAACCAAGTACCCGTATACGCGCCAGTACTAGTTGGCCTCCATGAATTTGAAAAGAGCAGCGTGGACAGGTTCTCGGTGTTAAAAGCCATATTCATGGTGGACATAGAGGCGGTTGATGTCATCGCCAAGCCAGACGCAGTTGTGGTTGCAGTAGTCATCTGCATGGTGGGCAAACGAATGGGGACAATGTCATTTCAATCCTCAGTAAGAGGCACCGAAAGTGATATTCACCGTGGATCATAAAATACAGATCATAAAAGGGCTCACCGGGAAGAAGGAGCCTGAAGCATATAAAGACCAGCGGAAGGGTGGGAGGTGGCAGATGTCGTTTGGGAACGCGAGAACCCTTCTGGCTCAGTACACGTGGCTCACCGGAGAGAACACATGGAGTGAAAGAACACCGGGCCAGGGAGATATCTACTGTCAGCGTTGATGTCCCCGCAATACTAGATATTAGAAAAGCTCCGAGTTGGGCGCGTGGAAGCGAATATTCTCGCAAATGTGCTCAACGCTAACCGGAAGCGGTAAGGAAAAAAAGGCTTCACGGGAACCAAGCTTCGATAGAGCAGCCTGGCCTCCGCGAGTCACACGGCGCGGGTCGGAAGACAGTGGGGCTACATGAACAGCACGATAAAGACATTATGAATAATAGGTAAAGATGACCGCTGCGGCTTCTCAGATGGAAACGGGATCCGATCAGTCTTCTGAAATTCTTTAGTTCACATCCTGGCACCGGCGTGTCTCCGTCAAGATGGATATGGACAATAGCATGTCTGGAGGCCCTGGCCTCACGACTGCAGGTCTAGATATGTCGAATTATACCGTGGCCTCTGATTTTCTGGCCGCGCTTCTCGATGACACCGTTTTGCAACAGACCGATTATGCCATCGCTCGGGCTTTTTGGTACGGCATCGTTATTGTCATCGTGCTGGCGGGTATGGTCAACTGGGGTCAATGGGGTCTCCTGAAGTTGCGGTCGGTCACAGGAAATATCGCGTCGATGATGTACACTGCTGACTCCTAGGCTAGATTACGTGCGGCGGCAGCAAACCGTCCACGACCGACAAGTCCTTCTAACGTAGTGACCTCATTCCTGGCGGGTTGCACCGCTGTGATTCGCGAAGTGACCTACCACCAGTTTACCCCCAAGAATTCGTGGCTGCGGGTTCCTGCAGTTGGATCAATCTTGTTGATCCTAATCTATTTCGGCTACATCATGGGATTGCAATTCTTTGATTGGGACTACCCTGGTGCTCAATATTGGGAGGCACAAGGTCTTCGCGCGGGATGGCTCACGATAGCTCAATTTCCACTCCTTCTTCTCCTTGCTGGGAAGCGGAACCTGATCGGATACGTAGTCGGCGTGTCTTACGAACGGCTGCAAATTCTGCACCGTTGGGTGGCGAGGGTCATGCTGCTGACTGCTACAATCCATGGTGGTGTTCAAGCCTATGGATGGCATAAATACGGCGTGATGCAAATTGAGATTGACACTGATAGTTGTATTCCTACGGGTATGTTCGAACATCCCAATACTGAACAGTTGGGGACTAACATTCATGAAGGATTTTCTACCTGGATTCTTTTACTTTGGCTTGTTTTCTCCGCAACTGCTCCAATTCGCAACTGGCGTTATGAGATATTCGTGGTTCAACACATCATCACTTTCATTGGATTGGTCGTGGCTATTTTCTACCATTTACCTTCAACCGCTCTGAGTTCAAGGTATGGTCTTCACTTAACTTTTGCAAGTCACAACTCTAATTTGTTTTCTCCAGGATATACGCTTGGATTGGAGTGGGTGTGTTTGTTTTTGACCGGCTGGTCCGGACCCTTATGTACGCTTTCAATAATATGAAGCCGGCAAGGTCTACCCTCCAGGGTTTCCCGGGGGATGTGACAAAAATTCGGATAACTTCTCCCCGGATTAAAAAGTGGACTCCAGGACAGCATGTCTTTCTATCCATTCCGAGATTGGGACTAGGTCAATCACACCCAGCGACAATTTTGTCTATTCCCTCATCTCATGACAATGACCTGGTGTTCATCTTGCGAGCTCATCGAGGCTTCACTCAGCGGCTGCTCCATTCGACCAAATCGTCCTCCACGGATCTACCCGAAGTGGTTCAAGAAAAAGGGAGGACCGGGTATGAAGGTGCTGTCCAGATAATAGAAGAAAAGCACCTTACGCTCATCGGCGGTCCGTACGGTGGATCACATTCCGATTTCGCGGCCTTCGATACCGTCCTTCTCATCGCAGGCTCAACTGGTGTTACATTCACTCTGCCAATCCTTCTCGACATCGCCCATAGGTCAGCAAATCAGAGGCTGCCAGTCCGCAGAATCGTTTTCATTTGGGTCATAAGGACCGTTCTGTGCACAGAGTGGATTGCGGACGAGTTACAACAGGCAACTAATTCACTACTCGATCATGGAATTGAACTTGAAGTGCGGTTATTTGTGACATGTGAGCTCGACGCGACGAACAAATCAACAAAGAAAGCAGGATGCAAGTGTCGGAATATCGAAGGACCTTGTTGCTGCAGTGATCTGGGTCCTGAACAGCCCCAGGTTATTTCAACCACATCTTGCACACAGGCAAGAGCTGATCCGGGGATTGAATCATCTACATCCGTTATTTTACGAGAAAAGATCCCGAACATGGGCAACTCATTGCCAGCTGCCTGCCTCACAGTTGAATCCGGCCGACCTCAGCTGAAGCCCCTTCTCTGGGACTTGCTGGATTATGCCAAGGGGGAAACTGGTGTCGCAGTATGTGGACCCACGGGATTAGTGAGTTATGTCAGAAACACGGTTGCTACCGTTAGTGAGCAACGTGGGTCAAACAAAGGCACCGGTGCTGAGGGTGTGTACCTACATGTGGAATGTTTTGCGTGGTGACTTTACAATTTTAAAGTTTTAATTAACGATTAAGACCTGCTATTTACATCATTTTGGTCACTATTTTGATATTTTGGGGTTCCTTGACAAGTGCGTCCCTGCCGTTGCCTTCGGCATAGCTGATCAACAAGGGTACACTGTATGCTTGCATGTTGTGGATCCATTGAGGAACATCTCTTTCGTAGGGTGATTGAGGCCAAGTCATGGTTCCTAGCGCAAGTTTTGCCGGGTCAGAGTCCAGGACGTAGATAAGACAGAAAAAAAAAGAAGATGAGAATTAGAGAGAAATAGCCCCGGGAGAAATATCCGCGCTCATAACTATCAGAGGTATACCAGGGAGAGATAAATAAAAATAAATGCCTTGGGTTAGGTTTCTATATAGCAGTGGCGATAGTCTCCAGGCTTGAAGTGAGCAAAGCCTATGAAGCTACGAGTCTGTCCAATCAGGATAATTTAGATGAGACCGTGATACGGACCGCTTGCGACTAACGACTAGTTGCGGCGATGCCGACTGTTAAGAGTGGCCGATATCGCCCATCGCTCGGTCGATTTTGCGGCTCGGCCCGACCGGTGTTTGATGGTTCTCGGTCTTGCGCGCGCGACGGAGCCTCTTTCACCTCTTCAAGACCCCACCCCCACCGTCTATCTCTCTTTTACTCCTCCCCCCGCTTCCCCTATCCTCGCAACCAGTGATCCCACCATGGATCACCTCAAGAACGTCTTCGTTCAATGTCAGCAGGAGGGTCGTCCAGCGCTGGTCACGTATGTGACCGCTGGATTCCCCACCGCGGAGGAAACCCCAGACATCATGCTGGGCATGCAGGCGGGAGGCGCAGGTGAGTCACTGGAGGTCAATTCCCCGCGACAGCATGGATTCTAATAGATTGCTACAGATATTATTGAACTCGGCCTGCCCTTCACCGATCCCATAGCCGACGGTCCAACCATCCAAAAATCGAACCTGAAGGCCCTGCAGAATGGAGTCACGATCACCTCCATGTTGGAGATGGTGAGGACGGCACGAAGGAACGGGTTGACGACTCCGGTCTTGTTCATGGGCTACTATAACCCCATCCTCCGGTACGGACAGTCACAGCTGCTAGCGGACTGTCTCGAGGCCGGGGTCAATGGCTTCATTATCGTCGACCTACCGCCCGAGGAAGCTGTGCGCTTCCGCAATGGCTGCACCAAGAACGGGTAGGACACTCACCAAACTATCTTCTTACACACCCCACATAAGGGACCTAAACTAACGCCAGTGAAAAACCAGGCTCTCCTACGTCCCCTTGATTGCCCCCTCTACCACCGAAGACCGTATGAAGTTCCTCTGCCAGATTGCTGATTCCTTCATTTATCTCGTCTCGCGAATGGGTGTCACGGGCGCCACGGGCACTCTCAACTCCGACCTGCCCGCCCTCATCCAGCGAGTCAAAGAGCTTTCTGGTAATGTCCCGGTAGCCGTCGGATTTGGTATCAGCACGCGCGAGCATTTCCTGAGTGTCACCTCTATTGCCGATGGTGCCGTCATCGGAAGTCAGGTCATTACGGTCCTTCAAGACGCTCCAGCCGGACAGGCCGCCCGGGCCGTGGAGGATTATTGCTTTAAGATCACCCAACGACACGGTCGGACCGGTGCACCCCTAGCTCCATCGCCGAGCCAGAAGCAAAATGCGGCCCATCAGCCTACGACCGAGGGCGAGACGACCGCGACGACGGAGGGATCTGGAAAGTTCGGCGTTTTCGGCGGACAGTATGCCCCAGAGGCACTCACAACCTGCTTGGCCGAACTAGATGCTGGGTTTGAGGCCGCGAGAAAGGATCCCGTTTTCTGGGAGGAATACAAGTCGTTCTATCCGTACATGGGCCGGCCCTCTAGCCTGCACCAGGCTCCGCGACTCTCCGAGTACGCCGGCGGCGCGAACATCTGGCTGAAACGCGAGGATCTCAACCACACGGGGTCCCACAAGATCAACAACGCCCTGGGGCAGATCCTGGTGGCACGTCGCCTAGGGAAGACGGAGATCATCGCCGAGACGGGCGCCGGCCAGCATGGTGTGGCTACAGCGACGGTCTGTGCTAAATTCGGCATGAAGTGCACGATCTATATGGGAGCAGAGGATGTCCGCCGCCAAGCCTTGAACGTCTTTCGGATCCGGCTCTTGGGAGCCACGGTGGTCCCCGTCGAAGCGGGGTCGCGCACGCTCCGGGACGCCGTCAATGAAGCCTTCCGGGCATGGATCACGCGCTTGGACACCACGCATTATATCATTGGATCCGCGATTGGCCCTCATCCTTTCCCGACTATGGTGCGTACCTTCCAGAGCGTGATTGGAGATGAAACAAAGGCCCAGCTGGGCGAGCTAGGCAAAAGCCCGGATGCCGTTGTTGCCTGTGTTGGAGGTGGCTCTAACGCCGTCGGCATGTTCTACCCGTTTTCCAAAGATCCTACGGTCGAGCTGGTTGGTGTGGAAGCCGCCGGTGACGGCTTGGACACGGCCCGGCATTCGGCGACCCTGAGTCGCGGCTCCGTCGGTGTGCTGCATGGCGTGCGAACCTATGTCCTGCAGGACCAGCACGGCCAGATTTCCGAAACTCACTCGGTCTCGGCTGGTCTCGATTACCCCGGCGTGGGTCCTGAACTCGCGGGCTGGAAGGAGAGCAATCGCGCAACCTACCTGTCGGCCACCGATGCCCAGGCGCTAGAAGGATTCCGATTGCTGAGCCAGCTGGAAGGCATCATTCCCGCACTGGAGACCTCCCACGCGGTCTGGGGTGCGATTCAGACCGCTAAGAGGCTGGGACCCGGCAAGGATCTCGTCCTGTGCTTGAGTGGCCGCGGTGACAAAGACGTACAGAGCGTCGCCGATGAGCTGCCCAAGCTCGGCCCTCAGATTGGGTGGGACTTGCGTTTTTAAATAGGCTTATAAGCGCCACCAGAACGAAAAGAGTGGCTCGGGATCACTCGCGACGACCGTGGATGAACGGCGAAAAAAAAGAAGACGGTATAAAACAATCAATTGAAACCATCTATAGCGTATATACGAGTTTGACGCCACCGACATCCCGCTTCGTAAAAGATCCAGTCCCTTCAAAACGCCGTCTAATCCGCCCTCGCCCACCTCCTGCGTCCTCGATGCTCCCTGGGTAGTAGTTGTCCCACTTCTGGAAAGACTCACCCAGAGCCGAGTAAGCCATGGTGAAGCCCGCTTCGGCATCGGCTCGCGGCAACGCCCCGACGGTGAACGACCCGCAGTATCGAAGCCGACGCCCCGGCGACGGTGGGGCCAGCGCCTCGCAGAATTTGAGGATCACCTCACCCGTCGTGATGCAGTCGAGCACCAGGCAAAGTTGATTGCCCGTCAAGGCCCGAATGACTTGTGCCAGAGTCGGCGAGTGGTGGACGACATGGTCCGCGCCGCGTGCTCGCACGAGCGCCAAATTGTGCGGCGAACAGGTAGTGATCACCTTGTATCCGTATCTGATCGTAGATTAGTTCGCAAGGACGCCCAAGAAGTGACGAGATTCGCAATACAGTTTGGCAAATTGAATGGCCAGCGTGCCCATGGCGGTACTCCCGCCGTAGGTCAGAGCGGACTCCTTGGCTGCCCCGGGCTGCACGGACAATGGCGGTGATGGCTCTGGCAATGGCAATTGTAGCTGCTGCATCCTCATGGTAGGCAGCCTCATATTTGCGGATAATCATTGTAAAGCCATGGATCTTGCAGTAGCTCCTTAGCTGTACTTCGCTCTTCGGGTTTCCATTTGATCATCCGTTTGACGAAGTTAATGAATCTCCTTTTCTCTGCCCCATCAAACTTGGAGAGACTGTTTTCAAAGCTGAAGTTACTGGGAACAAGTTCTTCAGTTTTGAGTGTTCCTAAAATTAAATGTTAGTTATGTATGAGATATTTAATTGTGTGTCTCCTTTACCAGTAGCCGTATAGAACACCGATGTTCTCTTACCGCTGCTAATGAAGTCTTTGGGGGCAGGGCCTAAAAGCGATGTTATATATGCAAGATGCGTTTCGTCATCATAGTTCTCAACAGCGCGTGGATCAACTGATTCAAACAGTGTCCGTCCTTCGAGAAAATCCCATAGCTTCATATAGCTGTTAGTTGTTTGCACTAGTATTGGGGAGACAAGATGTACCATAACTCCTAGACTCCATATATCAGCACTATATGTGTACCCTCTGTCAAGGATCACCTCAGGCGCCCGGTATACCTCGGCTTGGATACAACCATCGTGTGGAAAATCACCTTGGACTGCTAGGTCAACGTCGGTGATTTCAACTAGTCCGATGATGTCCTTCAGCGGACCAAAGTTCTTACGAGACAGATAGATGATACGTCCATCATTGCAATGCTTCTGAGGTAGTGGTTTCTCAAACTTATCTCGAGCAACCTAGGACAAGAGCTCACGATCTTCCAGTCGTACCATAATATTATCCGGCTTTAAATCTGTTGCTTCTGAATCAGAACCACATTTTTTATCAGCACAGCTAGGAAAACATACCGGTATGGATGATGTGACATTCAGAGTGGAGATAATCAAGGGCTTGGAGTATTTCTTGGACAATTATTTTGAAAATCTCCGGGGGCATCACACTATCTTGCCATCGTTGGGAATATTTTCCCAGCGACTCACGTAAAGGTTCAAAGACGAGACACGGATAGCTCCCCGAGACCCTTTGGACGGAAAAAGAATCAATCAATTTTCGAACGAAATGCCAACCCTCGTGTTGACGGTTCGCTCTCGTTATATGTCGCAGAATCTCCAGCTCAACGCCACCAGCAGCTTTCCTCGCGTGAGAGTTATTAGAGTTAATTTTAAGAGCCACAAATCGCTCTTTCGACCAGCGCCACCTAAACTGTTAATATGTATCTTATAATATAATGGGGCCAATACGAACTGCTGAAGGTCCCTTGCAAGCCACACAGTCGATCTGCTTCCGTGACCAAGCTTGGTCGCAATTTGATATCGGTTATTCAAGGTTTCACCAATCCGCGCCGGATAAAAATGGGCTGCTTCGTAGTAGGGTGAGTTCTCCTCTTCAACCAGCAAAGACGGGTCGATTCGGGATGGAATTGCAGCCGGGAATGCCCAGGGCGGCTGGCGAAACGCCTTGAAGGGATGCACGAGGATATTGGGAAGTTGTCGTGTCATTATCCCGTGCGAGGCCAAAAAAGACTGGGACGGGCTCGTTTGGCCTTTATGGGAGGGGAAGAAGGGCGAAGTCCGAACTTCGAGCTGCGAACGTGGCCTGTTTGGGATCCCGTAAGTTTTCGCCGCAGTGCGACGCTAAAAGATATAGTAAATAACGAAAAGAGAGCGATATAATAGAATAAAAGCCCTAGCTTTTACTATATAAACTGGAATTAAAAATTTCTGTAGCTGAGAAAACTAATACTTCAAACGCTAGGAGGATAAATTAAATCGGCAGAAAGATAGAGCGCCTAAGAAATCAGGTTGGGGGGCTTCGCGGTATCAATTCCCTACATATACGGCGAACTAGAAATGTCTGCGCCATATTGACCTATAGATTCCCTTGAGCGTATATCTTGGCACATATAGCCATTCGAGCGTTAAAAATCAGAATAGGTAGCTAAAGGTCCATACGAGAGCAGTGGGAGCGTCTGTCTCAACATAGCTTAACATTCCAATCTTATTACCAGCGTTGGAGCCCGCTATATCAAGCATGAGCTCTAGGAAAGTCTGTATAGTTCCCCACATTCACCAGCATGGCCATCCCACTGGACAGGTGCCACAGGATGTGGCAATGGAATAACCACGTTCCAGGGTTATCGGCCCGGAACCTTAGAAGTGCATAGGCTCGACTAGGGATATAGACGTTATCTCGCAACATCGCCCGTGAAAGGTCGAGCCCATTTGTGTCAGAGTAGGCTTCTGGGTCAGAGCCCGGAGGGAACGACTCAGAGAAAGGGTTATAGGAGCCCCAACCAATCGAGCTCTTGTAGACTGTAAGAACGTAAAAATGATGACCATGCTATAATTACCGGGGGATGTTAGCAAATGCCCAAATTAAAATCGGGATCTCTAAATACCAAATGGAATGGATGACCGGTGTCATCCAAGTTGTTCACCACCAAGTCGACCCACACGGGTTCATCTGAACCTTGATCTTTGTCTTCTTGATCTTGGTCGCCTACAGCCAATGCAAGCTGGTGATTATCCCATTTCGCCCGTGGAAGTGCGTTCAATGGTACAAGGGGGTCTTGTTGTGGAGTCCACGAGGTGTGATTGAAGAAACCATACGGCACGTTATGGTTGATGGAAAACTTCGTGGTTTTCACGTAAACCATCTCCGTGATATTTGCGTGGCGCGGCAGCGAGGATAAGATGTGCCGAGGAGAGGGAACGTGTTGTATATCAAGATATGAATTTTGATTAGCGTCGGTGACAGTAGATTCCGCGTGATAAGCATTGCTGGGGTTGATAGCAAAGGTCTGGTTGGGTGCGAGGGCTGGATTGGGATATTTCATGCATCTAATATTGTCAGCTTGTTCGCCGGTCTCCGATTGGATCAGGCCATGCAGCATACTCGGGGTCCATTTCAATGGTCAAAGAAGACGCCTTGTCTTCGGTCGGCAAGCGCAGGATGAGATCCATGCGCTGGCCTGGGTATAATATGCCAACTGAACTGGCTTCTTGCGCGTCAACCTTGATACTGTCCACCTCGGTGACGGTCAGAGACTCGGTCGGGTAAGCAACGGTAAAACCGACGAGAGATCTGAACTATTAGTTGTCAAAGATCAGATATGTAGATGGTTTGGGCGCATACCCAGTGTTAATCATTCGGAGGCGATACGCGGTATTGGCCTTTGCGTGGAGATATGTTAAATCGGAATATTGTTGGACACAATCCACCAGTCTGGCAGGAACTGCCATTGAGCAATTATAATGGCCGACACCATTAATCAATAAAGAGTCAGGAACCGGCTACATTTGGTCAGTTCTTCTTCGGGCAGAAGCTGATAGACAACGACATACATCATTGCCAAACGATCCAGCGCGCATGTACCATGACATGACATCTTCCGCTGGTCTGTGATACCAGTCCCCGATTAAAAGTAGAAACTCTTTGCTGTATGGGGCCGAGCTCGCACGTAAGCCACGTACTGTTGACTTGGGCGCTGGTTGATGGACGATCAACCCACCGTACAGCCCGTCGGCTCTCATGAGCCCGGCGTGGGCATGGTACCAGAAAGTCCCGTGTTGATGGTCGGGTATCGTGATGTTGTAGATAAATGAAGACCCGGGCGGTATACCAGATTCTGTAACACCGACGACGCCATCCATGTTGTCTGCATGATAGGTTTAGTCGCTGGCATTATCAACGGGCCATATAGATGTGCGTATTTACTTTCAATATGCAGCCCGTGCCAGTGAATGGAGAGGGTCTCCTGGATATTATTTGTCACATTGATGAACAGAGTATCACCCGGACGCGCCTCGATGGCCGGTCCGGGGAAGTGACCTACCCAGGATCAACACAGAGTTTTCAATATGATCATGGGGCTCATCTTACCATTAATGAGATGCACCCTTTTCAACACCCCATCCGGTCGGATGCTTTTTGAACTCAAAACCCAATCCAGACGTTGTGTTTCTGGCTCTCGATAGACATGGTCTTCCGGATGGAGCTCGATCCCCGGGCCAACGATCTCCGGGGTAGAGAGATCAACCTCGTGATGAACATGGGGGATGTTCACGGGGATAAGTGTTTTGAGTGGAGTTCTGTACTGACGTGAAAATACTAGTAAAACGAAGAAACACGTAATCACGGCACATAGAAGGATGCCGTATGATTTATTCGTCTTGGTGGACGTTTGATGCCGTCGGAATTTTGGCCCGCTGGGCGCATCACCAGGATTGAGCTGTCCTCGGTGATTAGACGGCTGCTCCATGCTTAGAGCTCATGTAAAGCGCATGGACTGAGAGCATGCAGTGGGAGAATGGAACGAGAACATGGGGTGATTTGTCATTTGGAGTTGGTGAGTTGGTGAAATGGTGAAATGCACCGGCTACTATCCAACCGGCGGTGCGTTCCTGGGACTAGTGGAGCAGGTAAATGGGAACGGTGACACTCGCCTCGAGATTTGACACTTGCCTACTAGCCCTGAAAGCCCGGTACTCTGAAGCTGTTCGCGTGGACATCGGCACGCGCTCCGAGTAGTCTGATCGGAAACCGATCGTCCTGCCAATGAATCGAGATAGCTCCCGCACGTTGGGTCGGCTTTCTCCACTCACGTCATGCAGCGCGGATGCAACCGACAACAAAGGTCACAAGCGTGAATCTTGTGCATCTTGCAAAAAACCAAAAGCCTGCAAGATCGGCAGTTCCTGGAAAATGTGTTCCTGTCGTGCCCTTGGATGGTCCCCACGTGCACCCGTGCCAGAGCAGCCGAGATTAACCCCTTGTTCCCCCCCCTTGGAAGCGAACGTCGTGTGAATAATCTGGCCCATCTCATTAGCTAGTTGAAGTCGGGCTTCACCCCGGTTACATCGTAATATACTACCCAGAGCGGCTTCGAGATGCACTAGCGGCCGGAACCGAGCCACGTTATGGCGACGCAGGGAGAACTCATATATCTATCGAGTTCCAGCGACAGGTAGCGACGGGAATTTAGAGCCAGTCAAAAATACCTGGCAGACTCCGAGATCAACATGAGTGCACTATTGGGCTCCGCCTTGTTGATGCTCCTTGCGAGCAGACCGGCGATTGCTGGTTCGTTGAAAGATATCGAACATGTGATCATCTTCATGCAGGAAAACCGATCATGGAATAACGTAAGTGACAGAACGGTGCGCTGAAAAAGGAAAATTGCTTACGGACCGCAGTATTTTGGCACCATGGCCGGTGTTCGAGGCTTCAATGACCCGAACGTGCAGGTGAATGCCGACGGGCTGGACGTGTACCACCAGTAAGTAGTATCAAAAGGTTGACGCGAAAACGGTGAGAGGTTCACAAAACTCACCGGTCAATAGACTCGTTGACTCGTCCATGTCTACTAAGACAAAGACCCTCCTGCCGTGGTACTTGGGATACCAGGGTGGATCCTCGGTCGACGCCATGCAGTGCATGACCGCAGGATCTAACGGCTATGAGGATAACCAGGCCGCCCTCAACCATGATCTGAACAACATGTGGGCACGCAACAACACCCCTTGGAGCTGGGGATATCTCAAGAAGAGTGATATCCCTGTTCAGTTCGGTATCGCCGAGGGTTGGACCGCCGGAGATATGTACCAAGTAAGCACCGGGCAACTATTTTGGTTTTACTACGGGCTAACGCGCTGCTTCAGGAATCTCAAGTAACCTCGACGAATCCCAACCGTGTCACGTTGGTCAGCGGCTCTATCAATGTGCCGGGAAGTCCCCAAAGTCCCGATCAGGGCGGTCCTTACCTGGATAATAATGAGACTCCCGGTTGCGAGAGCAACGACATCAGCTGCTACCCCCTGAAGTGGAAGACTATCTATGATATTTACGAAGCCGCCGGTGTCTCGTGGCAAGTATGGCAGGACACGGACAACTTCGATGACAACCCTTTGGCCTGGTTCGAACAGTTCCAAAACGCTTCGTCCGACTCGCCTCTTGCCAAGAAAGGTCTTTCGTACCTCGGCCTCGATAGCTTCTACGATTCAGCCGCCAATGGAACTCTTCCGGAGATTAGCTTCGTTGTTGGCCCTGCTGAACTGTCCGAGCATCCTCCCTACATGCCCAAGGACGGCGCATGGCTTCAGAAGCAGGTCGTCGATGCGGTGACGAGCAGCCCCAAGTACAACTCTACTCTGTTGATAATCAGCTACGACGAGTCCGGTGGCTTTGGTGACCACGTTGTTCCCTTCCACTCGCCTGAAGGCACCCCCGGCGAATGGATGAAAGACCCGTACGGTATCTTTGGAAACATCTACACCGGTCCGGGATTTCGCGTTCCCTTCTACATGGTCTCACCCTGGACCCGTGGTGGCCGCGTTTTCACCGAGCGCGCAGATCACAACTCTCAGATTTTGTTCCTCGAGCAGTGGCTAGAAGCTCGCGGCTACACGAACGTGCAGACACCCGAGATGGTTCACTGGCGTCGCGAGCACATGTCTAACCTCGTCAACGCCCTGGATTTGGATAACCCGGATACCAGCTTGCCCACGATCCCCGAAGCTGAGACCCCCGAAATGGCGTTCGGCAAGTACACCGGAACATCAAACTGCGAGGCGAAATACCCGACCCAGCGTCCTACCGTGCCGTACGGAAACCAAAGCAACAAGACTAACGCCTTGTGGTTTGAAGAGGGATACAAGGAAGTCATCGGTTATCTGACCGAGGGTCGCTACCTGACCTTTGAGAGCTCTGGAGTCGCACTCGCCAACTCTGGAAATGCCAGCAAACTGAGCACTACTGCCGCTGTTGCGGATCATAGCGACCTGCACCAGCGCTGGGTGGTCCACTACACCGCGGATGAGGAGAGCCAGATTTTCCAAATCTCCAGTGCTCTAGACGGCAAGTTCATTGGCGCAAAGGGATCCCTGGTGACCGGTAGTAGGAAGGCAGCAAACATCACGATTACCTTCCTTGGGAACGGAAAGGGCTATTCCCTCCAGTATGGGGATGGAACCGCTGTCGGAGCCCTCAAGAGTGGCTGCAAGATCTGGAGTGTGTCCTACCACTAAGCTGGGAGTGGAGCTGGGGAATGTACGGAAGATATCCCCGTTCTAGCCTGTTACATAGAAATACTAGACATAAGTGGCAGTACCCTGAAGAAATAGATTCTATTTCTCTCACACCTCAGTGACCGCCATGGAATATAACTGCTGTGCCAACGGAACTATAGACTCCTCCAAGGTTTTGAACTTGATACCCAGTACCCTCTGCACCTTTGAGGAGTCACAAGAGTAATGTGTACTTGCAATGCGATGTTTCGGGGTACCAATCGGGGCCTTGTTCTTTTGGGGCAGCTTTTCACGGATGATATCCGCGATCTCCTGTGTGTCGTACGATGCCTGTGTCACCAAGAATCGTTCATGGCCACTGGTGGAGAATTCCAATGCCCTGAAACTGGCGGTGGCAAGATCTTCCACGTCCACCCAGACTGAAATGGTTCATTAGTGTGGCGTGATGACTATCTGGGGAGACATCTTTTACCTGGCGCTTTTGTTGGAGGAATTTCACCATCATGTCCGGCGTTCAGCACTTGCCAGACAATCTGATTGCTGGCATTGAGCTGAGAGAGCGACGAGATTGGGTGTATCATCTTCCCGAAAACCATCCCAGGGCATAGCGTGATCAGCTGGTACTGCACCGAGTTATCGCGAACATAGTCCCAGGCAGCACGCTCGGCTACCACCTTCGAAGCACGATACGCGACGGGCTGGATACAGTTAGCCACGGCTCAATGCAGTGGAAGACAAAACTTACCACAGCTGGTGCATTCACACCATCTTCATAGGTCAATGGACACCAGTCTTGCTCTGTGTAGACGCGGCCAGGTTGGAGCCCCAGGCTAGCATCGTAAACGCTTGCAAAGCTGGACATCACAACAACCCGTCGGATGGAAGAGATCTGTTCAGCTGCCCGACAAATACCCTGCGTACCCTTGACTGCCGGGATCATTAATTTTTCTTCAAACTCTCCGGGAACTGCATCGTAATTGAAAGCCGAAGCCAAGTGTACGACCGCCTGGCAATCCTGCAGCGCAGCTACCAAAGCCTGAATATTGGTCGGGTCAGGAACAACGGAGAATTCAAGGCGCGAGAGGTTTTCGACACCCGCCGCGTCGAGCGATTTCCGCGTCGCTTCCGCCTTTGAGGCCGAGCGCACTGTTGCTCGAACACGGTAATTGGATCGTAGGAGCGTTGCGATGCAGTGGGCGGCGATGAAACCATTGCCACCTGTAATGAGAACGAGAGAATTGGAGTCAATTGGTGCCATGCTGAAAATTTAGAGAAATTTTTTTGGTTGTTATTCTACTGGGACTTTCCTTTATATCAGTCAGTGTTGAAGCGGAGTGTCGGACAGAAACCCGCCGCCGTCGGATAGAGACTTGTGGGGTGGGGGTCGAGCTTTGCACTACCTGATTCAATCGTCCGACTCCGCTCGTACCTAGGTACCTTGAATGCTGCAGGTAGATTATTGCCCCGGAATAGATTGTCATCTGGGTGAGCTGCTAGGAAACCAATCCAAACGTCAATTGATGGTCCATTTGAAATCAATTTGGTAGAAATAGATTTAAGTGTCTCCATAACGTCCTTCCAAACAACGTTCAATAATTACAATCAGTTAGTAAACATAACGGAAGTTTTCATCATCGTGAACATCCTGTACGGTTCCTTTATGGGCCTGTCGTGCCTCCATATGGCTACGCGCCGGCCCCCCGAGCCGATCCGCCGCGGAGTTGCGGACCCCGTACATGATGCGCAGACCAGTGGAGACTACGATTGCCGCAGCATTCGCTGCTACTAGAGTAGTCTTTGCAGGAAGATATCTATGTCCAAGTTAGCGCTAAGTTGTTGCTTAAGGCTCAATCCGAACTGACCGAGGAGCATCTTTGGCTTGGAAGGTCTGCGGGCCGATGATGTTTGCGATACTAAATCCAGCCGAGACGATGGCCATGCCGGAAACCTAGAATTGTTATTCAAGGGTCACCAAACAGACTTTGATTTCAAAAATACCTTCATTGTGTAACCCTTGAAATTGGCACCGGTCCACGCGTAAATTAAAGCGAGAGGAGCGACCGTCTGCAGGTGTCAGGAATCTTGTCACGTTGAAGATCGAGAATAAACGAACCGTATTGACCAGATAGATCCCAGCTAAACAGCCCCCTTTGTTTTCAGCGGGGAGGAATGACATCAGGCAAGATCCCACAAGTGTAGGAATTAACAAAATATCGATAGCCAGCCACCGCGAGAACCCCTTGGAAATCGCATATGTGGAGATCATGGTGGAAGCAATGCTCACCACGCCGGATGGCATGTTCAGCAAGGCGCTCTCCATGGAGCCATACCCGAAACCTTTGATAAGAATCGCCGAAAACGTAGTGATGACACCACTCGGAATTGTGATGAGAATGGTTAAAAGCACCAGCATCCACGTCTGAAGATCGGCAAATGCTTCAAGAACAGACCTCCAGCGGAAGACCTTGACGCCAACGCCAGCTTGGTCCTGGCGGAGTCGCTGGAAGATACGCTGCTTCTCTTCTTCGTTGAGAAACTTGGCTTTCACGGGTGTTTCTGGCAGCACGAAAAGCACAAGCAGTGAAATCAGGACGTTGAATGCGCCGATGACGACGAACATAATCCGCCATCCACCAAATGACAAACCCGCCGGCGCGTGCTGAGCCGCGAAGGAGATCAATCCACCGATGATCTGTCCAACCCCAAGACCACAATACCAGAATCCGTATCGGGGCGTTGACTCTGCCCTGGTATACCACATGCTCGTGTACAGAGTAAGAGAGGGCGCTGCTTTCAGTTAGATTGAACCGCCGCAGACGGTTACGTGTGGAGACCGTACCGATTACCGCCTCCATCAAACCCAGGAGAATCCGCAGCGCGAGCATGCCGGCATAGTTCTTAGTCGCGGAGGAGCAACACAGAATAATACCCCAGCAAAGGACATTGGTGCCCAGAACCTTTGAGACCGGAAACCGCTGAAGAAGGGCAGCCTGGGGGATCTCAGCCAGGGCGTAGGCAATGAAGAAAGCCGTTGCCAGCCACGAGAAGTCATTGCCGGACATTCCCAAATCATCCTGCAGACCCATGACATTTGCATACTGGTTCTCGTTAGCCACGACTCGCCTTCAAAAGTCGGAGACACTCACGTTGATTGAAATCTTGTCAATCATCTGCAGGAAATAAGTCAGAAACATGATGGGCAAGATATGCCAATCGATCTTGCGAACGAGCTTCTTGTCATCCATCGCCAGGGTACCCAAGGCACAGTCCTCGGGTTGGTGTCTCTCGGTGATTTCATTCTTCTTCTCCATGGCTGCTAGAGGTTGGACTATTTCAAATGGGTGAAGGGATATAGGAGATGCTTCCTTGCATGATGATGACTACGGGCATTTAAGAGTCGGATCGGGGGTTTTGATATCAGTCAAGACCAGATAGAGACCATGGTCCGTATTTTAGCTTTCGTTTCCCCGGATATTGATTGGTCTGGGCCCGGCAACCAGGGAGGCGAATCGTGAGGGGCAAAGATCAACAGGAGCCGTCAGGCGCAGCCGTCGCATAGATAACGGATGCGCCGTCGCTTATCGATAAGACGCGGAAAATGGACAGTGGCCCCCATCCGACGCGAGGAAAATAACTTCATGGCATTCAAGTATATAATCCAGAAGCAACATAAATCCTCACAATACAAGTTTCCAGTTCTCCAGTAAATATGCCCTCACGTACCGACTCGCCGCTTCAGGTTGCCGTCATCGGCGCCGGCCTTGGTGGACTAGCTGCTGCTGTGGCGTTGCGCCGTCAAGGACACGCCGTCACTGTCTACGAGCGATATGATTTCGCCGGAGAAGTCGGTGCGTCTCTGAGTGCGGCTTCCAATGGCTCGCGTTTTCTCGAAGAATGGGGAGTAGACGTCAAGGCCGCGAAACCTGTACGTCAAGGACACCTAGGTTGATTTGAATAGCGCTATTCTAACCCACGGGCAGGTAATTTTGAAGCAGTTGATTATGCACAACTGGTCCGATGGTGAAGTGCAGAGCACATACCCACTGGGCGACTACAAATCCAAATTTGGCACTGTACGGAAAGGTCACCGAGACACCAGCTTCAAGTCTGACTTTTTTCGCAGGATTATAACAACTTCCATCGCATTGATATCCACAAGCAACTCATCAAGTCGGCGTTTGAAGGGCCCGGAGAAGGGCCCCAGTGCGAGCTCAAAGTCAACCACAAAGCCATCGAGGTCAACGCCGAGGAAGGACTCGTTCGATTCGAGAATGGAACTCGGGCAACAGCCGACCTAGTCGTTGCGGCGGATGGCATCCGGGTAAAAACCTCCCGAAAAAGCAATTTGAGGATTTCGCATTAATCACGGTAACCAGTCTCTCACCAGGAACCTTATGGGGATAACACCCGATTTTGAGATGTCGACATCCTGCTGCTACCGATGTATCATCGGCGCGGACAAACTCCGCGAAGTCGGTCTGGAAGACTACATCTCCAACGAGGCAATCGAATACTGGGGCGGTTTCGGGATTAACAAGATCGTCATGTCCCCGTGCAGCAACGGCGAAGTAGTGAGCTGCTACTGCTTCTATCCGGCATCAGTCAATAATCTTCGCGACGATGGATGGAATATCGGAGCCACGCCACAGCAGCTGGTGGAGACGTTCCCCGATTTGGACCCCAGAATGAAAACTTTGATGCTGAATGCGGAGGATATCAAGATGTGGCGCTGTGGGTGGAAGTCGTCCGGTTTCGCGTTTCCTTGGGCTAACGGTGAATTAGTATACCGGCACCAACCATATCCGTACTGGGTCAAAGGCAAGGTCTGCCTGCTTGGAGATGCCGGTACGTGAAATCCGATCCTTGACATCGCGCCTGCTGACAGAAACAGCACACCCCATGATGCCTGACCAGTCCCAAGGATCGTGCATGGCATTCGAGGATGCCGGTGCGCTGGGTATCGTGTTCCACAAGAACTTCAGAGAGGACTACGGCGTATCGGAGGGCCTCCAATTATACGAGAAACTGCGCAAGACACGAGCGACGCGCGTGCAGGAGGCGAGTTTCCGGGCGCGTGAGAACCTCAGTGAGCGAATTGGCTGGAGCTCTTCCACGGACCGACCGGGCAAGTTGACAATCGAAGAAGTCTGTGGGTATAACATGAGAGATCATTTAGCGGAGCTATTGGAGAAAGAGTAGGCCTCGCATCGCTGCAGAGTTGGAAGTTATTTGGCTTTTCTTTTTTGCACTAAATCATTTATCTGATGCCCGGTTGCCTTCCCCAGTCTCGTTACTCTACCCCGAATCCACTGTCTCACGCACCCTACTTTGCGCGGTAAATGAAGCTGTACATATTATGCAATTCTATTTCACCTAGACAAACACTACACCGGGGAATTGACTGTATCGTACCGAGGCCCAGTTCATATCTCCCGTGCCTTCCGCTTCACTCCACACCGTCTCCAGTAGCTGTCGTGCGTACTGGATATGACTGAACCCTAGCGTATTCTCCATCACCATCAGTCGCTCCTTGACCATCATGCGCCGTTCCATGCTGACACTGCTAGACCCAGCGATTACCAATGGAAATAGAAGACACCCCTCCACTCGGCTGGCATATGGGATCTCCTGCACGGCATCGAGGATCGTTACAATGGCTCGTTCAACAAAGGCATGCAACGGGTCGTAACCCTCCACCACCTGGTGCAGGCGCAATCGGATCGCCCACTCAAATGCAGTGGTGGCATGCTCCGTGTCGGGCTCCTGCTCCACAACGTGATTTTGATCCGCCCTCCACTCGTCAATCCGATTCTCCAGATGAGTTGCCGCCGCTCGGAAGCCAATCTCGGATAACTCGTCCACGCGCTTGCTCCGATGATTCGCCAGCAGGTTGACCGTCCCCAGGTAATCAAATAGGGCAGGAGAGATTCCGTATATTGCATCGGTGGACTGGCTGCGCTCGAGCTCCGGCGCGCTACTCCGCCGGACAGACGTGGTCAACTCGGTCATGCTATCGCCATCACGGAGGAGAGGTGCTTTGCACCTGGAGATGGTGGACATCGAGTCCAAATAGTGGAAAAGACTGATACAGAATGTCTGTTCATCGGTTGAGACGAGGTTCTGGAATGCTGGAGACTTGAGGATGGCACTGGCGGCTTTGAGGTGCCATTTCCATACGCGCGATGTGCCGTCGAACAGCTCGGTTAGACATAGCAAAAGCACCGTGACGCACGCCTCGAAGATACATTGACGATCCGGCCGGCCGAGAAGCGTGTTCACCTGAGTTAATGCTGCAGGGGTGTTAGTCTGGGTCAATCCAAGGGGTGGATCGGGAATGGGACCTTTGCCCTGTCGCCTCAAGGCGGATCTCCAAATGCTTGGATACACTCGCTTCCAATGGCAACCACTGAGACTCAAAATTACACTCGTCACCGTGTCCGACGCTGCCGCCAGCGGCAAGAGCGTTATTAGGAATGGGTTCCGATCAGGATCGTGTGATCGGGACAGGGCACGGGCTACGACGTGGACATAGTGGTTAAACAGCGATCGGTCTTCGTCACTGCGCAGGTATGGATTTGCGGAAATCGGTGACCTATCAATCGGAAGAAACGTGATCTGTTTGGGTATTGGATGTGGGAAAAGCGTGGCAATAAACTCCTCGTCGTCCAGAGGGGTTAAGTCGAGACCCTGCGGATCGCCGTCGGAATCATCCATCGGATCAGCGATTGTCGAGACCGTCGCATGAGATGCTGGAGAAGAGACAACGTTGTCTGCATCATCAGTATTGACGGGCCACTGGCAAGCGGTATTCAGTCGGCGGCAATCGCTGCATCTCGGGCGATTCTCATCGCACTTCTTCTTCCTGTGCAAATCAGCAGCGCGAAACCGACTCCACAGAAGGGGATTTACCTCGCCTTGCAGGACAGACACCCGCTGCGGGAGCGCGATGCTCTAGGCCGTCGTATCACAGCCACCGGATCTCCCTTATCGGACGGACTGCGCGGTGTGCATATGTGACCGAGACCTGCGGCCAAGACGTTAGTTCACTACTCGACTGGCAAGACAAGATCCGTACGTTTGCATCGTGAACACGGAAGGCCGCCGTCGCATCGTTGTTTCTGTTTTAATTAGCTCCGTACGAGGTGGATAAGATGGGGATACGAACGATGCGAGAACAGCGAGCACAGACTCGGCCGGGGGAGCTCATCGTGTGCAGATTGCAGTAGCACAGGGCAAAGAGAGGACGGAAGCGACGGGGTCTTTTCTCTCTAACTCAACTCCACGTTCTCGGACACTTCCGATATCCGACGGTGATAAGAAGATAAGTGGCGCTTCTTTCCCAAGTTGGTTAGTGGGTTGGCTGTCAAGTGCGGGTCAAGTGCGGGGTTACGATCGATTATGGATGCAGTCTTGCATTTTTTTGTTTCCCCGGATTTTGGCCCCGTGTGGGTCGTGGCCACCGTATCCATCATGGCTGGCAATATGACACCACCCATGGAGAGCACGAGGGTAGTGGGAAGTAAATTGAAGTAAAAGCTCTTATTTAATCCAGTCTAGGTTATAAGCTATACTTATAGACAGAAAAAGAATGAGCTTTTTTCTTTAATATTAATGATATTATAGAGGACACCACAAAGTAAGGGATGGGCCTAATAACTAAGGTTATATAGGTTGGTAGAAAGAAAAAGTATAATAAATACTAAAGTAAGAGAGAAATAAGAGAGAAATAAGAGAGAAATAAGAGAGAAGTAAGAGAGAAGTAAGAGGGAAGTGAGAGTGAAGTGAGAGAGAAGTAAGAGGGAAGTAAAAGAAAAGTGAGAGAGAAGTGAGAAAGAAGTTAGAGTGAAGTATAAGAGAATTAAGAGATATAGTGAGAGATGATTAGAAAAGTAGATAAAAGGCGCTAAGAGATAGCAAACTAGGTGGTTCTATATTGAATTAGAACCTCTAGATAAATATATACATTGAAAATCTTGATGGTATAAGTCTCCGCCAAGCCATACGTCGTAAGCTCCAGGAGCACCCACTGTTGGAAATGGGAGCCCTTATTAAGACGCTAATATCGATTGGCATCTCTCTACCCTAACTAATGGCTGCTGATTGGTCAGCTAGGCCCATGAGGCTATTGAAATTGGGCTACATAGGTAGCCCATATATGCAGGTTCCTTATCTATATCACCTTCTTTGCTTCTTTTCAGGGGAGTTCTCTTATGGACACTGGGCAGCGGTGTAGGAGAACATTTTTGTATGCATTTCCCTTAGAAAACAGTTCTCAGGAGAAGGACATAAATATCCCCCTGAGAACGAGCAGAAAACATTATCAGAATTTACTATTAATTATCTGTCCATTTTCTTTTCGTCTGATCATCTACCCCTTTATTTCTCAACACCCACTAATAACTCTGTCATTTATAGTCAACAACGAGTATCTCGCGTTGATTCAAGAGCTCTTCGCAAGTGTCCTGATTCCGCAGCAGAGTGCCATACTCTCCGCGTTCCGTCGCGTGTGCAACGCGAGAGGATTCCTGCTTACAGCCATGGTGGCTGGGCGACCCGCCGAAGACAAGGCTCGAGACTTCACACAAGCCTCGACGGACTGTCTCCTTGAGGCAGAAAGCCATGTCGAAGATAACTGATGGGTGGCTGCAATCGTGCAGCATCTACTGTATCGCATGCAAATTCCTTCAGTCTCAGCTGACCCAAACCTTGGGGATTAAGTCATTCCTAACATGGCAGATTTCCTCGCACAACCTGAGGAAAACTACCCAGCTCATCTTCTTACGCAGGGTGAGGATGAGGATGAGGACAATGACCCTATGGAGGATGAGGGGTATTAGGTGGATCGCAATTTCTTTTTTTTCCGCCTTCGGTGATACATAGGTTTTCCTTTCATGCGATATGTGGTTATCGCCACTGGACGTTTGTTCAAATGCTCCTGTGCCAAGCCTGGACCAGTCTTAGATTGTTTTCTTTCCCTAGGTCCGGTTCTGTGAGAATCTGACTCTATTGTACATCGGCGAGGAGTACCTTCACAACCACATTGAGCTTTGGGTCGATGGGCCGGTGGCAGATTTCCATAGCCTACGAGCGTTTGTCACACTTGACACGACTAATGCGATAAGGATACGAAGAACGACAGCACTGTTCGTTGCTTGAGGCCGCTCGACGACGATGACGCACAGGTCTGCCCAATTGCGTGGCTCCTGATCCACGCTCTGCGATATGGGTTAGTGTGCGGCGCGATACTCCAGCAAGTGCTGGACCGAGCTATAGCACCAGTGGACCATGTTATAGAATGGGCCGAGCCAACGTACCCTGTGCTGCCTCCATTTCGTCAACCTCAGTCGTCCGGCTCGTAGAGAACAACTAAACCACACAATCAAGCAAATGAGGCTCATCGCAAATATCTCGGGTGGGGTTCACATGCATCGCTCACTTGCCTACCACTGGTGAAGGTTTCAGGCACATCACTGAGAGAGAACGCCAGTATCAAGATCACCAGAACCCGAAAGTGACTCGACGCTATGTTGGAGACTCAACTCAAGAAGTGCATCCTTCCGAGCAACGTTATAGCTCCGAGTTGGCTCTTAGTTTCGTCGGTGCTCGTATGACAGTGGAAGAGGCAGACTCGTACAGAGAGCGATATCCAACGTCGGACGGGCGCCAACTACCACGGACACTCGCCGGGCCGGTATCTGAACAGAGCGTCTTGAAGCATTCAAGAGAAATGCCTTACAGGAGAATCGCTTCGTGGAGAAGCCAACGCCCAAGAACCTTGTCGCACTTGCGGAAACGTCGGCTAGCGCTCTCAATGCGCATTCACCATCTAACCCCCCCCGGGAACGTCGCCCATGGCCGACTTGGCCGTCCTTGACCCTGCCCTTTTCAAAGACAACAACCTGGAGAGTGCGGAGGTGTCTGAAATGGCATTCGCTTGTCTGCGAACGCAAATTTTCTCCCTGGCCGAGTGCGATCGGATTATGCTTGGACCTGACGAGAGTGATGATAACACGGAGTCACCCATGACAGCACAAAAATTCATTGAGTGCTACTCTCGGATCAACGTCTACAAAACTCACGGATTTTCTTCGCAGTGGGACGCGTACTCCTGGTAGTCGATACCCACTGGTCTCTTGGGACCGAGTTCTGAACCGGCAACGCGGTACTTGCAATATGCGCGAAATGGAAGAATGCCTGTCGCGCTGTAAGCGCTGGGCTCGCTCCTATGTACACCGAAGATAAATAGATGACCGGGAAGTTCTGCCACGGTGGAATGGACTGACTGGACGGATCAACTGGTCCCGTCCTACCTCGCATAGCTCTCTGCCTTGCATGTCCACAAGATGTGGCACTGGAGCATGGACGAACTATAGGCACGTAAATCCAGCACACATTGCGATTTGAAGACAGCCAGCTGCTTCTTGCCCGCGACTACCGGTTGGACAAAGACCGACATCAGAAGCTAGATCCTCGCCGGCGAGGATTACGGATCCTCCTCACTGTCAACCGCTATTGTCCAGAATTTCCATGGCGAGTTTCCAATTTCCACCCGAATGACTTGCACGTGTCTGCCCTCATCGGTGGGAGAGTGTAGGGTACCAAGGTGACGAACGAATAACCGCGGTCAACGATATCGTTCCGGTCACGGAGACCGAACGAGGAGCGATGAAAGAAGCCGGTATCCTTGGCCAGAGATCGGTGGATTTACGTCGACGAGGGAGAGAGGGAAGGTGTAATTGCTGGAAGGCCTTGGCTCGTATTGATATTACGGATTGCTAGAAATAATCCCAAGTGACTGACTGAAGATGGTGGTGGATTGCTCCTTTCTTTTTGTATTTTGGTGGTTTTTTTTCATTGTTTTTGGAATGAACTCTCCTAATACTTTGCATACGACCAGTATCATTACCCGGAACTGCGAAGTTCATCGCGTTCGGTGCAGCTTTCTCTTTGCTCGTACTTTAATTCTTTGTCTCTTAGTCCACATTTCTTGACACCCAACCACCATTGTTCTCACTTCCGTGCCCGTCTCTTCATACCCGCCAGTGCATCCCCTCTTGTCATTATCTGCCACTAGAGATGACGGCTAACCGTGCTCGAAAAGCAGCTCAGCAAGCCGCAGCTTCTCGGCCGGTAGATCCCGATGAACAAGCCATGAACCGATCACTACCAACCGCAGCCGTGGAGCCGCCAACCTCTAGAACAGGTCCGCTCCGAACTCCGTCGAATCTCTCCCGTGTGTCCATATGCACACCCGAAGCTAGACAAGTTGCCAGAATCCTCGAACGCGTCTTTATCGAACAGCTTCCGAGCAGTTTGTCGACTGAAGAGATGTCTGCGCTGGTGAGCCACTACCGTCACGGCCTTCGTGGAACGAAGAAGGAAAGGGGAGTCCTTCGCAATATTATCGCCATCGTCCTCTTGAACCGTCGACATCCAGAAAGCGTTCCAGACATGGTACAAGATATCGAAAACGGACATCCGGAGGGAGATGTCGAATCCTGGACGACGCAGGCTATACTAGATGAACTCGAGGTGGAACTTGCGGCTTGCCGGACACTCGAGAGACTAGGACATACTCCCAAGGCCTGGTACATACCCGCAATCCAAATCGCCACAAGCATCGAGGGTACGACCGCGGGACAGGAGATACTCACCAGTAGCCTGGAGGATAACAGCGAAGAGACAACTACGGACACGATCCAAGCCGAAGAGACGAGAACCGTCGTTCTCCCCATGCCTCCTATTTCTCGGCGATGCTGGCTTCGAACTGAAGGGATGGTCATTCCCCATGAGGGAGACCGCGTTCCCTATATCGGACGCGAACCTCTACTCACACAGGCGAGGAAGATTCCAGCGAACGGGTCGGTCGACTCACGTGGGCGAGCATTGCCATCGGTTGAGAATCATCCTCTGACCGATCTAACCCCAGAGGAAATTTGCATGATCGCCCAAGTGGGAAATAAGGCGACAGTCGAGCAATATCCAAACATTTTCTACCCATCGACCAGAGCGGTATGGGAGATAAAACCTCCTTATGCGTGGGTTCTCCTCGAGGTGCGGGAGGTTGACGGCGAGAGGCTGTTCCCCTTGTCCCGCAACCGGCTAGAGATGGTCTTCCCCGACTACGAATTAGTCTATCAGCGTAAGCATCTCCCTGCTGAAACTCGTGAGGTGGGAGCAGTCACCCGGGAACGTGGCCCTAGCGGCCGTTTCTCCGGTGAAGGAAAGGCTGCGAGAAGGAAAGAGAAAGCCAATCTCCTACGTGAGAACTTCTCTACCCTTCGGGATCAAATCGACCAGCTGAAAACGAATGTCAACACTCGGATTGACCACCTGGACACGAATTTCAACGCTCAGATTGACGAGGCCTTGGTAGGGCCAACACGAACCTGGCCTAACCCAACTGTGAATCGTCACCGAGGCATGCGGGATTCAGGTTCCAACGACACGGATCTGAAGCAGGAAGATATCGATCTCCTTCTTCCAGGTCGAGGCGGAATCCGCCTCGACCGGTCTGTAATGCGTCCCCATCAACCCTACGAAAGTCCCTTCGATATGTTGGTGGGTTCGTCTCGCCAGAATCCAGCGGCGACCCCATCGGTGGTAGATGTCCCTGTGTCTGCCGTAGAGGTCCCTATGCCTTCTACAGCCTTTCCAACTGCTCCGGCTACCTCAGTGGTGCTGACTCCGCAAGCGAACCTAGCTACTCCTACGGCGCGGATCCAGAGGTCGTCCGGTCTAGCGGGACAACCTATCCCGAGGGGTCCAGTTGCGGGCCGACCCGCTGGGGGCAGTTCTACCTGTTCTCGCCCGCCGACTGCATCCATTAGAAGGCGGCAACACGCGTTAAAGTAGTTTTCGGATACCGGGAACATTCTCCCATCAGCATCGTCGAGGAATGAAATTTTCTTTCTTATCTTGAACAGTTCGCTCCTATTACGAGCTGTTCTTACTGTTCCGCGCATCGCGGCACGTATCCATTAAGTCCTGAACCAATGCCGATTCCTGGTTGGTTTGTCAGTACATTAGAGGCCCACGCAACAGATATACGGGGCCACGAACTAAGAAAAAGGACCAAGATTGTCCCCGCGAGCAACGTTTCAGTGCCGACTCAGCTACTACTTTCATCAGTTCTCACATCACAGTGAAAGAGAAGGATACCTACAGAAAGCGGCATCCAACGTCCGATGGGCGGCTAACTACAACGGTCAGGCGATGGGGCCCGTCATCTACTTTTCGATTTGGACACGGGCGACTTTGAGAGATGGGAAGGTTGGCAGACCGAGAAATAGAGGGAACATCATCCAGCATTTAGCTGGCCTTGTTATTGGCTTGCATAGACCGGGTAAATCACATAGACTACGGCCTCACATTGAAATATGAAGGAATAATAGATTTGAGTCCTGCAGTTTCAGCCTCGCATTGTGTCTCTTGAAGGGTCGGAGATAGCGATAAGAAATATAAGAGTGGCACCTAGTACCAGGAATAGTCGAATCCATGAGTAGATTAACAAGCCAACAGCCTAGATTGATTATCGGCTTAAACCTCCTAATTGTACCGTAGTTATTGATTTGTGTAACAATCCAGCCTAGAAATAGCCCCTGGATTTATTTCCCGTATGCAGGCACAAGGGGAATCCAACAATGAGTCTCACAACATTATTTCGCAAAGGAACCCTAAAATCGACAAAACAGGACGTGAATGATCAGATCGCATCCACTTTGTGTTCAGCCGTGCGATCGGCACCTCCACCGGGTTACCCCAGAAAGGCAGGGATGTGCCGATGAGCTGTGCAGGGTTTATCGAGCTCTGTAATTGTGCATTCCAAACTAGGAGCTAAAATGCTCTCCCTTGATTCCTGCCGATCAACCCTGCGGGACGAGATCCTTTGACCCGTGTGATGCACTAGTTCGTGACGCGCAAGTGGAGACTGAGCTGCTTCGAGCTGAAGAGATTATGTCCAACTAAAAATTTGTTGAGAACCGTCATGAGGGGTGGAAGTCTCCCGTGTTCATGCAGGTCCCTGGTAGTTCATGCCTCATGACCCTCAACTCGGTGCGTCCAGAGAGGCTACTCAGGCACCTTGCCCGTGCCCGAGGCCACTGTACTTCTACGAGGGATCTTCCAAGAGGAGCCTGATGACTCGTTGATTTCCTTTGCTGAGACACCGCCTGTTCATTCCGGTAGTGAGGACTGTGGAGGACTGCGGATGCCTCAATCCTCGGGGCGGCTGGAGATGTGGGGGGTTTATAATATACCCCTTCGCTCCCCTTGAGAGGCAAGGACTTCAAGTCACATCGTGGCTTCCACTTTGACAGCGTCAATATGCTGTTCCTGTTCCTGTTGTTTTTGTTACCTGCGGTTCTAGCTGCTCCGACCAAGGGAGTTGTTGACCCCACGGTCACAATCTCGCATCCCCGGGCCACTATTCTTGGCTCGTCGGGACCGAACAAGATCGATAATTTTAATGGCATCCCCTTCGCACAATCTCCGACGGGATCGCTTCGGCTTAAGCCTCCTAAGCCGATCGAAAGTCCCTTAGGTGCTATACAGGCGGTTTTGCCGGCCAAATCATGTCCTCAATTTGCTATGAACACCGACACCAGCGATTTCCCCGTGTCGGTGATCGCAAAACTGTCCAACATTCCAATCTTCCAAACTATCACCAATGCGGGAGAGGATTGTTTAACTCTCAACATTCGCCGTCCGTCAGGGACCAAACCTGATGCAAAACTGCCCGTTTTGGTCTGGATCTATGGTGGCGGCTTTGAAACTGGGTCCACTACCATGTATGACGGTTCGAGTTTCGTCACTGCATCTGTGAACTGGAAAATGCCTGTTATTTTCGTCACCATGAACTATCGCCTGGGCGCATTCGGGTTTATGCCCGGTTCGGAGATTCTCGAAGATGGATCTGCCAACCTAGGTCTCCTCGACCAGCGACTGGCGCTAGAGTGGGTTGCAGATAACATTGAAGCCTTCGGAGGTGATCCATCAAAGGTGACTATCTGGGGAGAATCTGCCGGTGCAATCTCCGTATTCAATCAGATGGCGCTGTACGACGGCGATCACACCTATAATGGCTCCCCACTCTTCCGCGGAGGAATCATGAACTCGGGAAGTATCACTCCTGCTGATCCTGTGGACTGCCCCAAGGGACAAGCTGTCTTTGAACATGTGGTGAAGCATGCCGGCTGCGAGAACGCAGAGGACAGACTGGAGTGTCTGCGCGATTTGGACTATACAGCCTTCCTGGATGCAGCCAACTCCTTCCCCAACGACGTTTCCTATAATTCGGTGTCTTTGCCGTATCTGCCTCGACCCGATGGCAAGGTCTTGACAGACTCGCCTGAAATATTAGCCGAAAGTGGCAGATACGCTTCTGTGCCATTTATCATCGGCGATCAGGAAGATGAAGGCACCATCTTTTCTTTGGCCCAAGTCAACATTACAACCACAGAGGAGATCGTGGACTATTTGCAAAATATCTTCTTTTTCGACGCGACCCGAGACCAGCTCCAAGAACTGGTGTCCAAATACCCCGATACCGCAGCATGCGGCTCACCCTTCCGCACAGGCGGTTTCAACAACTGGTACCCCCAGTACAAACGCATTGCGTCGCTCCTAGGCGACATCAGCTTCACCATCGTCAGACGCGCATTCCTAACACTCGCCAAAAAAGCAAAACCTGATGTCCCCTTCTGGTCATACCTAGCATCATACGGCTATGGAACTCCCATCCTCGGCACATTCCATGGATCTGATGTGTTGCAAGTCTTCTACGGGGTTTTACCGAACTACGCATCCCGATCAATTCATTCCTACTACCTGTCCTTCATTTACGACCTAGACCCCAACTCTCGAGCCAACCACATGGACTGGCCGCAGTGGAGTGGTAACCACAGCCTTATGCAATTTTTCAGTAACCATGGTGCTTTACTGGCTGACGATTTCCGGCAACCGGTCGGTGACTTTATCTTGGAGAACTTCAAAGCTTTGCATATCTAATAGAGGATGCGATACTGTGCAGAGCACAAACCGTTTATACTACCTATTTGTCTATAATCTATACGAGGAACGATTGCATGAGTGAAGAATAATATCAATTTAGTAATTCCCAGCATTTCAAAATTCAAATGTTATCTCCATGTAGCCGTTACAGTTGCAGTAGTTCCAGAACAGCCTGATGGTACTGTATATGACCGGTTCGGGTCACTCTCCCATTCCACCGAAGACCCGTCCTTCTCCATGAATTTATATTCGAATGAAGTTCCGACCGGAAGTGTCACCTCAACATACCATAAGTGATTGGACGATGTGTACTTGCCTGCTGATAGGGCGACGGCATCATCAGTATCCCAGTCACCCAGTGCGCTGATAGAGCCGGATATATAGATATTTTCTCCATAAGTAGTGGTCACAATCTCCTCAAACAGAACTGGTAGTGCAGTTGCCTGTGTGCAAATGCTTGTGGAGGTTGATGCACTGGTAGCTGTCGTTATGATTGTGGATGCTGTCGTCGTTGTCGAGCCAGACGCACATGATCCACTGCCAGTCGCCGAAGATGCCAACATAAAGACACGAGGCAGGCCAGACGCCATGGGTACTGCGATGTTTCCGCTAGAGTCCACCGTCACAGATGTACAGGTGTACATTTCCATCAGCTCGGTTCCAGAGGAGTACCCACTACCACTCAGAGTCAGAGTATATGAGCTACCGGAGGAACCATAGTTTGAAAGAACTGTAATCACTTGCGAGCCACTTGACCCCTTTTTCATGGCTAGGGTGTGGCTGTCCGTGTAAAACGGATCATTCTGTAGATCAATTAGCTTCCGCCTTCTAAATGTATAATTGTGTCAGTGATACGCACCCGAGAGGTGATGTATGATGGATCCGTAGAAATCGCAAAACTGCGAATTTTGTTTGTGATGGCGATGAATTGATAGAGCTCGGCGGCTGTTGAATACCCCGATAGCCAGGTGGCTTCGCGGTTGTAGGGATCGTTGCCTCCGCTATAGTGCTGTTCTTGGCCAGCGTAAATGATGGGAATGCCATCCGACAGGAATACAAAAGCAATGACGTTCTTAGCTTGAGAATAGTCATCCGTATACCTAAACTGTTAGATCTGAACAGGAAACACAGTAGATGAATACATACGATGCGAAACGAGGATTGTCATGATTTTCAATAAAGTTTCCAAGGAGAGTTGGGTCTGTACAGTCCGCAGCCACAGAGCTGATCATGTTGTATAGATTGCTGATGTTTCCACTGGAAGACTCAAATGCATACAGCAATTGGTAATAACTGGATTATTAGCCAAGGATCAAGATGTTTAAAGAATGCTCACATTGGGTAATTTAGAACACCATCGAGGTAGTTTTGGTACGGACAAGTATATGAGGGATCTCCGTCCAAGACCTCTCCGACACAGTAGACTTCTGCAGCATCGTTGTAACCGGGCCAGAAGGATTGTTGAACATGCTTCACAGTATCAATACGCAGCCCGTCAACTTTAAATCTGTCAGTTGCATCCCAGTCAACCTGATGGGACAGCTTACTGGAATAATTTGAGACCAGATCTTTGACCCAGTTGTACCAAATTGTCTGAACAGAGGACAAGTCCGTATTAAGGTCTGGGAGGGATACGGTAGTATCACCAAGCCAGCAATCCTCAACATTAGTTTGATTGTCGTAGTTGCTGATTAGACAGTAGGAATGAAAATATGACGAGGAGTCAAAGGGATCAAATACACTATAGTCAACAGTATTTCCTGCTCCATCGTAGCCCTATGATTCGAGTTAGCCATTGCCATCCTGGTCCCCTGTGAGGTTGGCAAATCACCATATCATTTGCCACGACATCCACCATGAGATACATTCCTCGACCATGCAGAGCCTTTGAGAGCTTGACTAGATCAGCGACGGTACCATAGTTGGTATTTACCTCGTATCTAATCGAGTCAGCTCAATCTTCGTTCTTGATCTCAAATCTTACATCTTCTGCTGCCAGTATCCGTGATAAGCCTCGCCATCTCCGGTGTCTTGAGGCAGTTGCTCGGTGACAGGGGTGATCCAAATGGCGGTGAACCCCATTCCTTGGATATAATCCAGCTGTTGCAGTTAGCGGACGTCCATGCTTTAATTAACCTGAGACGTACGTGATTGATGATTCCTTGCCAGCTCCCACCGCAATAGACCTAGCATTATTAGAATCGTATCTCTGTAGAGGTATTCTTTGCTTTACTCGATCGCTAACGTCACATGCAGCGGTGGTGGAGTTATCGCCGCGGCCAAAACGATCCGTCAGAAGAAAGTAGATGGACTGACTGCGCCATTCAGCGGGTGTCAGGCCTGCAACGGCATGTGCAAGGCACAGCGCCACGAAAGTAAGCTGTTTCATGGTCAACGCTGAAGTGCAAATATTGCCGAGAGTGCAGGATTGTCCGACGGGGTGAAAGTTGCTTCCTTGTTTATACCCCAATTGCTGAGGTAGATGACTAGCCATGTAACGTTATGACGGCTGTCTGTCGTCGATGCGCAGCATTTTTCGGAGCGGGCAACTGTCGGGGTATAGAGCCAATCGTGTCAGTCGGCATTGACGATTTAGTTGTTTCACACCCTGGTCAAGCACTTGTTCATGCTTTGAAATGCCGCACGTTTGGTGTAGCCAGTAAGAGTCACAAATACTTGCGCCCCGGTCAAGAAAGCAGGAAAATATACATGGTCAGCTCTTAGAAAGCCTTGAGGGTCGACGCTAGCGTGCAACTAGTCTAACGCTTAGATCCTCCCAGGGCCGTGCGGCGATGTGGTTCTGCACGGCTCCGCATTTGCGAACAGAACCGCCGACTTGCCACTGCAGATGATGCAGGCCAATCAGGCCCCTATGCACGTGGCATCTGCCAACAAGCCCCCTTGATAGGCGAGACCAAAAGTGCCAGGGACGGGCTTGTTAGAAGAGATGATTGGTGGATGATTGGTGGACGGTCGGCGGAGTGTCAGATGAGATGACAGGGGGCGGAAATTTTGCGGGGTCTGGACTAAGGTTGGGTTGTGAATGTTGCAGTCCCTGCTTATACGAAGGAAAGGGGCCTCTGGTGCATTTTGATCGCAGTTGATCGCGGTCGAAGGTAACCAACGATGGGATGTCACTCTCTAGAGTCTGTGGGATGCAGTCGTGGAAGACGCCGATGATGGGGAAATCTCGATGTCATTTCAGATGCCGCACGATCAAGCGTGTTGATGCAAGCGTCAAATAACTAGTAAATTAATCCACTAGTTCACGCCAGACTCCGTGGATCTCCACTTTGCTGCATCTGGCTTCCCCCGCATGTCCCCTGCAACCTGTAATCCTTGAGAATGATGGCAATTTCCAACCCAGCCGAAGCGAGACTCAGCAAAGTGGCCTGGACATAAAAAGGCAAAAAGCTCCTTAGAAGGGAGATCTCTGACAGGAGAGACATCACTCTAAATCATGGCTCCCATCTGGACTGCGCTGTGCGCGTTGACACTCGGCCAGGCGGTATTGGCTGCACCTCATCTGGAGGCACGAGCCACCGGTAGCTTAGATACTTGGCTGGCATCAGAGACGAGTGTTGCGCGACAGGGAATTCTCCATAATATCGGGGCAAGTGGCGTGTATGCTGCAAGTGCAAAACCGGGAATTGTGATTGCGAGTCCCAGCACTGACAACCCTGATTGTGAGTGACCAGAATCCATGGAGAATCTAACTAACACGGGATGTACAGACTACTATACCTGGACTCGCGACTCGGCTTTGACTTTGAAGGTTGTAATAGATCTTTTTAAGAATGGCGATGGTGATTTACTCGACGTCATCGAGGAATACATCAACGCGCAGGCCTATATCCAGACGGTTTCCAATCCATCGGGCGGTCTTTCGAGTGGTGGCCTGGGTGAACCCAAGTTCAACGTCGATGAGACGGCGTTCACCGGCGCTTGGGGACGTCCTCAGCGTGATGGTCCTGCGCTCCGAGCTACTGCTCTGATCGCCTTTGGCCAATGGTTGATTGTATGTTTTCCTGACCCTTGGATGTGAACAATACTGACACGAAGAATGCAGGATAACGGGTACACAACTCAAGCGACGAACATTGTTTGGCCAATTGTGCGGAACGATCTCTCTTACGTGGCACAGTATTGGAACAACACTGGTTTTGGTAAGGCTCGATCTCTTCGCTTATGGAATCTTAACTTACCGGATCAATAGATCTGTGGGAGGAGGTCAGCGGGTCTTCCTTCTTCACGATTGCAGTGCAGCATCGCGCCTTGGTAGAGGGAAGCAAATTTGCCTCCCAGGTTGGCTCCTCCTGCTCGTACTGCGACTCCCAAGCACCTCAAGTGCTGTGTTTCCTGCAGTCATTTTGGACAGGATCATATACACTGGCCAACTTTGGCAGTAGCCGTTCGGGCAAAGATGCCAACACCCTTCTCGGCAGCATTCACACCTTCGACCCTGAAGCGGACTGCGATGACACGACTTTCCAACCTTGCTCAGCTCGAGCGCTGGCCAATCACAAGATTGTCACCGACTCTTTCCGCTCGATCTATACCCTCAACTCGGGCATTGCTGAAGGCAAGGCTGTTTCGGTTGGTCGCTATCCGGAGGACACTTACTACAATGGTAATCCCTGGTATCTATGCACTCTGGCTGCAGCTGAGCTTCTTTATGATGCTCTCTACCAGTGGAACAGTATTGGCTCTCTTACGATCAACAGCGTGTCGTTAGCCTTTTTCCAGGATATCTATAGCTCGGCTGCTATGGGCACATACTCATCATCGAGTGCAACCTACTCTTCCATCGTTAGTGCTGTGAAGACTTATGCTGATGGATACATGAGCCTTGTGGTGAGTAAAGTGCCCTGACAGTGACTTTCGACATTCTAACAGTATTGTAGGAAGAATATGCCGTGACCAACGGCTCACTGTCCGAGCAGTTCTCCAAGTCCGATGGTTCGCCGCTGTCTGCGCGTGATCTGACCTGGTCATACGCCGCACTGCTGACAGCGAACATGCGTCGCAACTCTATCGTCCCAGCTGCATGGGGCGAGGCCTCCGCCAGTAGTGTTCCCGCTACGTGTAGCTCTACTTCCGCGATTGGCACATACAGCGCCGCAACCAACACTGACTGGCCGAGTACTTTGACCAGTGGATCAAGTACTGCGACAGGTGGAACCACTACAACCAAGTCTACGACAACTAAATCACCTAGCACGACAAGCACTTCCTGCACCACCCCGACATCGGTGGCAGTGACCTTTGATCTCATTGCGACTACCGTGTACGGTGAAAGCGTCAAGCTAGCAGGATCGATCGATGCACTTGGTGACTGGAACACGGCCGATGCAGTTGCCCTGAGCGCAGACAAGTACACTAGCTCCGACAACCTCTGGTATGTGACTGTCAACCTCCCGGCAGGAACTACTTTCCAGTACAAATACATCCGTGTCGAGAGCGATGGAACTATTGAGTGGGAAAGTGACCCGAACCGCTCCTACACAGTTCCGGCTGCCTGCAGCACGACAGCTGTAACGGAGAGCGACACTTGGAGGTAGTTTACGATTGAGGGTTTCCCTATCCTGGATCCTCTTGATCGAGCATGACTGTCGTGAAGATCTTCGATCTTCATAGTCTGTAGCAGGGCTTGCCCTAGTGGAATGCAAATTATAACGTATACAGTCTGGAAACGGCAAAATACAATCACGCGTGAGGATTTATCGACCCACTGAGCGATATGAATCAAGGTCATTGTGGTACCAGAATGCCCTTCATTATATTGTTTGGACCTCTAATAAAATATTCATAATCGAAGCAAAATATCGGACAGAGTTCACCCATCCTCTAAATCTGATTATGACGAATGAAAAGTCCCAAAAAAGCAGCAGCCAGCGAGTAGCCAAGTGATACCACTAGCAGATCCTAGTATTTGTAGCGAGGAAAGAGTGAGAGACTTACAATATGTGTCTTTCAGACCCGTGAGGTAAAAATCAACCACAATCTCATGAATGTGGCCAGCAGCGGACAAGGCCTTCTGATCGACTCGATGACCCTCCACCGGGGTAATTTGACCAGTCATCGCGTTATTGATCCCGAGTTATCCGGTGCTTTTGATGGTTGTCCCTTTGCTGTGTCGCCAATAGTGATTGGTTGGTGTGTTCTCATCGTGATCGCAAAGCACGCCATGGCCGGGTCCACCCCACGCGAGTTGGAAGTATACCCTTTCGATTCTGTTTTATCTGTTTGTATATTCTAACCACGCCACGAAATACAATGGTTTAGTTTTCTCCACAATTCTATTTCGTCCAATATTACGATATTTCAATCGTGTAGCCATGCTATCGCATACAAATCTGATGTGTACTTGTAGTTGTGTGTTATGCGGATCGCCGTCAAAGCCCCCGATTGCATCATCCAGCTCTCCACCACGCTAGATTTGCCGAGCTCCCTGCCGTACTAGTTACCAGAACAAGGGTGCGCTACTTTCATATTAAACATTCCACATTGGCAACAAACCCCAGATTCCGAGGGCCTTTTGCTGTCTTATATACCCAAAGAAACCCTCCTGAGCAGCCTCGAGACGTGAGATAGGAGCTACGGAGCGGTCGCAGGATCAGTCATGGCCAATTCCCGAATGCTCGAGATCCGGCTTCCGGTCTTCAGGCTCGAGGATGAGAGATAGATACTTTGATGATCAGTGAAGGACCGAATGACAGTTTCAGTTCCAGCGTCGGTTGCGATTGCGATGAAGAAGGAACACCAGGAGTGGATGCGGGGGCCGCCCGTTAAAATGACAAGATTTCACGCTATCGCAGACTGGCCGCTTTAATTGGTGTTCTGGCACGGAAAGGTGTTGTGTCCGGCCCTTGAGCTGTATGATTGGATAATTTTTATGCTTTATCGCCTTGGAATGGACTACAGTATTGTAGACCAAGTTCTGGTCCTCGCGAGTTACCGCCCGAAGTCCCTTGCGGACGGAGATAGGGTTTGCCGAATCACTTTCCACCACGGGAAAGTCACGATACGCAGTAGCGGGGCAATTGACCACTCGATCGAACCGAGACCAAGAAAAAGCGCCGAGGTAATTGACCGTGCCCTAACTACCCACACCGCTTCCGCTTGGCGGTCATGATTGTTCGGGCGGTGTTTATCGCGGAAGATGAATAATGCGGGCTCGGGGATACCGATTTACGTCATCGGCACTATCAAGGGTGACCGTCAGAACTTTAAATCTTGATGCACGGTACTGCAGGAGACGAGCAGCATGATTGGGCCATCTGAGATTCAGGGCGATCGCATCGTTCAATTTTTCTCTATGCACGTCACCCACGCCACTTGAGTAACTTGGATGTGATACAGGAACGGAAATAAATCTCCTTAAGCCCGCGATGACAGTCCACAGTGGATCAAGTGGACCTGAAATCGATTGCCAAATGGTTCCGGCAACCAAATTGGGAAACTGGTGAGAATTTCCCAGGGCCCAGTTTGGGGGGCCCATGATATCATGGGAGCTTGTATAAAGAGCAGGATGGATCGCCAGAGAAGAGCAGATCACAATCAATTCACATCCAATTGATCTCTCATATTCATAATGGGATCAACCGATTACAAGTTCGAGGGCTGGATGGGCCTTAGCCCCGAGGCTGCCCAGGGCAAAATGGTCTGGCAGGAGTTTGAGCCCAAGCCGTGGGAGGAGACCGATGTCGATATCAAGGTCACCCACTGTGGTGTATGCGGATCTGACCTTCATACTATGAGGGCTGGCTGGCGAGTTGACGAAATAGCTCTGTGAGACTCGATATGCTAACGTTCTCACAGGGGCCCTACCGATTACCCCTGTTGTGTCGGGCACGAAATCGTCGGTACCGCCGTCCGCGTTGGCTCCCAAGCTGTGGGCGACATCAAGGTCGGTGATCGCGTCGGCGTTGGTGCACAGGGTGGTGCCTGCCTGAACAAAGATGGCGACTGCGATGCCTGTGCTCGTAACCTCCCACAGCACTGCAACCGCATGGTCGGCACATATAGCGGGACCTTTCCCAACGGCGGCAAGTCGTATGGTGGATACTCGCTGTACAACCGTTCGCCGTCTTCCTTCGTCATCAAGATCCCCGACGCGATTCCCTCCGCCGAGGCTGCTCCCATGCTCTGCGGTGGTATCACCACCTACTCGCCCCTGAGACAGCACGGCTGTGGGCCCGGCAAGTCTGTCGGTATCATCGGTGTCGGTGGTCTGGGCCACTTCGGTATTCTCTTCGCCAAGGCCCTAGGTGCGGACCGCGTGGTGGCTATCTCCCGTAAGAGCGACAAGAAGGAGGATGCGCTGAAGCTTGGTGCGGATCAATATATTGCGACTGGCGAGGAGGAGGACTGGGCTGCCAAGTACGCCCAGTCGCTGGATCTGATCATCTCAACCGTGTCTTCCTCCAAGATGCCCATTGTTCAGTACAGTCAGCTGCTAAAGTTCCGCGGAACCCTGGTCCAGCTGGGTGCTCCCGAGGACGGCGCCTTGCAAATACCCGCGTTCGCTTTGATCATCAAAGGCATCAAGCTGGGTGGTTCCCTGATCGGTAGCCCCGATGAGATCCGCGAGATGCTGCAGCTCGCTGTCGATAAAAAGATTCACCCGTGGATCCAAGAGCGTCCCATGAAGGAGGCAAACCAGGTCGTTCGGGACATGAACGACGGCAGTGCCCGGTACCGCTACGTTCTGGTGAACGAGTGGTGAGTTGAAAAGTCGATTTGAACGTTCGTCGAAAATGTCAGAGATACTTAGAATGTAATGTTGTAAGATGTTGACTTTACCTTGAACACTCCCTTCCTCATTCGCTTACCACCGACCTTCCCACTCCAAAACTTCGTAACTTCTCTTCTTCTTCATAATACCCTACTATCACTCGTACACCTCACACGCATCTGCTCTCTTCAAGTTCAAGATGCCGACCGACAACCACGGAAAGGAGTACACTTTCAAGAGCTCCGGCACCAACAGCGAGGTGGGCCTGTCATGTCTCAGCAGTCGTGAAATCACTGAAACTCATCCAGGGTAACCACTATTGCGCTCGTGATTTCGGTCGCGATGCTCCCAACCAGAACACATACCACTACTCTAACCAGTCTGTCTCACGATCACGCATGATCTTTCAAGAGCCTACACTGACAGCAGAATAGGGACGGCTCGTACTTCTACTCCAACTCGGACGGCAGCAAGTACTACAACAACGGCCAGGGCGACTCCTGGTACACCCCTCCCGACGTCGAGTCGTCGAGCTCGTCTGGCCCACCCGCATCGTCTGACCAATCTGCCTCATCGGTGCAGCCTGGGTCGTCTGCCAACTCGTCAAGCTCGGTGGGATCGGATGACTCGTCAGCTTCATTTCAAACCTATGAATCCGACGAATCGATAGGATTCGATGACACCGCAAAATCCGATGAATCGATGGGATTCCAGGACCAGGCGGGTTCTGGTGAATTCGACGGCTATGATGACGGCGGTTATGGTTACGATGATGAGGATTGATCGCACCAGATATCTTCGTTGAGGAGTACACTTGCTTCCCGGGGATGGCTGCAGGGTTGGGGACAGGATATTGATTTTGGCAGGATGAACTCTCTTCACATATGAAGAGGTGGGAAAGTGGGAAGTGGAAATGTTTTAGGGCACGTCAGAGAAATGAAATGAGGACCCTGCAGCATCCCAGGACCTTCTATGGGTTGAAGGTTGAATTTGGAATAAATACTCTGTATTTCCATACTTAACTAATTTATGACGACCATAATCTATAATGAGAATGGCCTTCCGTCTATAAATGCCGCGAGTAAATTAATTATCCGTTGTCTCGCCTGCGGCTTTCTGTGCCAGGTCCTGTCTCCGCGCGACACCTTCTATGTTGCAGGTCGCGACGTATTTATCAAAGGTCTGCTTGTAGTTAGTGGTGAATTGGCAATCCACCGTCGCCAGGCAGTGATGGTCTTGATGTTGAAGGAGCGAGTGACAAATTGGAGACTTTTAAGTGAAGCCGGTCGTTTCGGTGCAGCGAAACTAAAATGGGGTCAGGCTATCAAGGTAATAACCTCGACGTGCGACTCTTCCAATCGTCAGCTCAAAACAATTGTAATTTTTGGACAGAGCGCGTGCATCAGGAACGACGAGAATATCAAAACGTTCCTGATCCAGTTTGAAGAATATCTATTTAACCGTCTCTTGGCTTCCTCTGCTTCCTCTGTAGGTACAACAGATCCAGAGCCGCAACTCATAGTAGAACACATTTTCCCATTCTCAGCCAGGTTTGATTCCAAAGATATCCAGGCGATGTTACCAGCACCGATGGAATAGAACGTGGCAAAGGCAGTCATACGAATCCACGAGTCGTGCTCGATCATTACAATGTCAGATATTTGAATCTTCCTGCGCGATTCATTTCACATAAGCTAAGTGATTATGTCTGACACTCCGGGATACGTTCCAGGGTCTCTCCATGACCTTCCAAGATCTCAGCGCAATGCGAAATCATTTACATTACCGCGCGTTAATCTAAGCACATGGCTACAATATTAGGCTTACTGAGGATGCGCGTTGCACGGAAACTTCCCTCGTTCCGTGGGAGACTACCGTACCTAAATAGGAAGCCTGACACGTGGTAGACGTGGGCATGGGACATGGTTCTAGAAACCCGACATGCACATAAGTGGTGCCTGTGGCGTAGTGACCCATGTTAAAAAGACGTCTTGTTGACGTGATCATTTCCTCTGTAGTTCAACTTTTCTCCTTCTCTACTACCACCAATTCTCTGATCCCCACACTATGTTGTTGTCTGAACGTACGTTCCTTACGTCGCTTGAAAATAAGAATAGGAAACTCGCCATCACTACCACGACCCCCGAGGGTTCTGTGTTGTCAACCTGGGTTCTAGGTAATTATCTCTCGGGGCAGGATATGAAATACACGGAAGACGAAGTCAAAGGCGCAACAAGGCATTTGATTTCATACACTTGGGCCTCGTTTGCGTGTCACCTTGATGGCGATGAGAACAAGAAGGCAATTGTTCGTATTCACTGTCAAGTTCCGCATATCGGTACCGAATTGGACACCGTGGAAGAAAAGCGCACTCAGGTCGACGGCAGGGAGCGCGGGACGAATATAGAGTTATCCGCACTGCAAAATCTCCAGGATTCAGGCGTTGTACCACGTCTTCTTGCTTGGCAACAAGGAAAGCAAGGGGATGACGGGCCTGTTCCTGGCGGCTTCGTCGACCACATCGTCTGGGAAAAGGTCCCCGGCGAGTCTCTCAACGACAAAACATTCTGGGAGTTTAGCCTAGAGAAGCGAAATATCATTCGCGAACAATTCCGCATCGCTTACCTGTGAGTTCTTGAAGACGTCCTTCTGTCCCATACCGAAAATTAATATGAAGAAGAAAGGTTGCTCGCCTCGGTCTCCGGCAGAGATTAATGGGGGAGTCAAAGATCATCTGGGATGATGATACCGAGACCTTGTACGTAACACCGGGATCACGAGGCACAGATAGTGAGATCCTGTGAAAGCTAACTGTCTCTAGACATCTTGCTGGTTTCCGAATTGCCGTCGAGATCGACCCCACAGAGGAATGGTCTGACGAGATATTCGTCAGGTATGGACTGGTTGAGCAGCCGAATCGCGTTGATTGCCTGTATGACCCGAATAAGTGGATATGGTGATGATGGAATGCAGCCTCTAGCTCGCAAGAAATATTGAAGAATAGTCCCTTTTGATCTCTCTGCGTATCTATTAAGGCAAGCGAGAATTGGTCACTATTTATGCCGACGCTGAATATCTCTATGAGCATAGGGGAAAGATTGTGTATTCGTAAGATGGCTGGACAAAGAATAGAATGTAAGGTTCAGGGTGGTGAAAATGATAAAAGGGCAAAATGAGTTTCTAAACTTGCTACTCCTGATTGGCCAAGGGTGAGAGCGAGCACTGCAACCTGCAAATTTATTTTCCTTAAGCTTCACTCAAACAAAGCTAGGATTACGGATTTTTCATCAAGGCACAGCCATGCACTATATCGTTAATATTATCCCAAACCTCACTGCCGTTGCCGCCTTTGCACTGCAGCCAACATGAGGTTCTCCCTGCGAGGCTCCTGGAGAGAGTGGTTCCTCTTTGATCCGCGGCTGTAGTTCCTAATCGATTTCATCATGTTGATCCCACTCTTTGTCCTTTATGAGGGGTATTCCTAGATTTGAGACTAAATTAAAGTATTAAGTGGTTATACAAGACTCATTTGCCTAAGTAATGGCCGGTTACAGCTACATAAATGGCCATCGCGCTCCTAGGGGTGGCTGGCGTCTCCTCACATCTTGCCATCTTTCCGCATTGGAGAGCATCACCTCTACGACATGCGCTACGCTTTAACTGCCATTGAAACTCTATTGTTTCTATATTGCTACAAAATCACCTTTTGGAAGAGTCAGTTTCAGTTTCTGTTATCTGGTCATGATCGCTTGCTGTTCCTACCTTCCTGGTATTTATGCAAGCTTGATTGCCTATCGCTCTATATTCCACCCCCACCCACTTCGCAGATTCTCACGCTCTCTGTAATGTAGGCTCTCCAGTTCTTGGTTTGCGACCTGTCTAGAAAAGCTGGCTGCATTTCGTGAAATTGCAAACTTTGAAGCACGCGTCGGACAGGCTCTTGCGTGTCATAGAATCAAAGTCTTAGCACGTGTCGAAGCGAAACTAGGCAAGGAAATTGCTGTCTTTTCATGTTTGTAGAACTAACGAGATGTACAAGCAATACCCGCCAAGAAATTGTGCCCAGAGGAGAGAGAATATTGATCAGGACTTTAAAACAGAAACATGGAAACATGAACTACACCGTAGGGCAATCAATTGACATTTTTATATCCAAAGATCCATGTGAAGAGAGACCAGGATGGAGTAAATGAGAGAAAATTCAAGAATAATCTGAGCAAAACACTTCTTGAGGTGAAGTTCGATCAGATATAAATACTTGGTTGTTCCAAAAGGTCTAAGTGCATTCGTGAATGCCTCAAGGCCAGCTGGTGGTTTCTTCTCGCCAACCAATTCCCCAATCTTTAAGCCACGCTCCTTGGTTGGAGAGGGAACAATTGTGTCTATCTCGGGAGACAAAAATGTTGTCTCGGCTAGAACAAGTGTGATATATGTCGGGAGAAGTGCTACCAAGCGAAAGGCAAGCATGATCATCACTGCCAAAACCTCTGCGGCGGCGCGCTTTTTTGTATAAGTGTCTTCCGGGGAGATAAGCGCCATTTCCACAAAATCGTAGAGCTGGTCCATGAGGGCCTGCGAAAGGCCGTATAGAAAAGCGGGGATGGCTAACTTTTGCCACCGGTTCTGGCCAGGTTTTCTCCGCAAAGACAGGAATGGGACGCGCTGGGCCGAGACAGTAGCGCAAGTGAAGACTAGATGGAGTTCACATAGAAGTGCGGAGGAACAGGCGTAAGCCAGTGGTCTCAGCAATTTATGTGGAAACACAAGTCTTCCTAGTATATTCCCGATGGTATCGGTTGCAAACAAGTATACCAAGCCGACGACCATTGTGCGCATGAAAGTGTATAGGCCCTGTGCCCGGTAAATTAGGCGAAAGCTGTCTCCGACATTTCTGAAACTGGAGTGCTGTCTGATTTTGCTCTCCGTTTTCTCCGATATGGTCTTGTCCTCCTGATAAACCTGCAGAATCAAAAGTGTTGGTGCGACGTGCCCAAGGATGTACCGGAGCTGGCTTGTGGTTAGTTACTCTGTAGCAAAGACAAAGCAAGGGAGAAAGCGAAAGTTGCAACTATACCAGGGCAGGGAGAATAAAAAGGCTAAGTAATAAAACAAAATAGTAGATTGGAAAGTCCATTCCTTCCGAATCTGGAAATTCGTCGTCAAAATCAACCGGTCTGGCCAGTTTTCCATGTCCTCCAGGACTGAGCAGGATGTTCAGCACCCGATTTGGGATGACCCAAACTAATTTTCGGCTCAGCTCCGGGTCCATCTTGGTTGAACCACTGAGTGAGCGAGTCGTCAATGGCACAAGACGAGGTAAAATGATAGAAGATCGTCGGAGGAACCGTCGGTCGTGGAGATCAAGCAGGGTCAACGAACGAGAATAAGTAGGCATAAATTACGGGAGAGTGAACGGAATGGTTTTACGCCCATTCGACTCGACTTCAGCGTGAGATTTTTCCACTTCGACCCCTATTATGTAGGCACCCGCGACATCTGAGACATTTGTTGCCTCAATACTTTATCCTCTTGGTTCTTCTAAATCTCCTTTTGGAAATCTTTTTAAACGTCTTTCAAGACATCTTTTGATTCCATTTTCCAAGGTACCTTTCTGAACGTCTTTTTCAACCCTCCCAGACAGATAGTTATGACGCCTAATTAGGCCCACTTAAAACATCTTCTTGGTCCGGCTGTGGGCTTGTTACCGAAGACCCTTGGCAGAACAGTCGCTTTCACGATGAGCAAATATGAAGTTCCGAAGAACTCGTTTCACGCTGTTCTTAGTCGCCTTGTCCTAATTGCTTTGCGGATTCTCTAATTCTGTCCATACACTAGGCCCAAGAAGGAAGTCCACTCACAAAGTACATCTAAAATAGTAGGTCAGGAGCGGTTATTTCTAGGGCCGAGAGGCTTATTTTTAAAATTTCTCCCTTTTTGGGGGATATGTTCCACGCAAGGCTTTCTTTCGGACTTTATATTCAAGATAAACAAAGTAACATACGATCTTGAAACACGTGCAGAAGTAAATCCGAGACTTACTCCTCCCGGAATCCCATCTTGGTCCAATTGTCCAACACCTTCTGGAGATCCTCAGGATACGAGTTCTCAAAATCGGCAGCCACCCAATCCCTCCCGGTGGTATACTCGGTAGGCATAAGAACATCAGAAACGACCTTTCCACCTCAAGCCAGCGATCCTTTTCCCTGCGACATGTACGGAATAAGCGGGAAGCCAACGAGTAATGGCAGCCGCTTCGAGGCTGGGGTCGACAGGGGTATCGATCTCGAGCAAGTCATTGTCGGCTTTTAATGCCTCTACAAAGGATCGGAAGCAGAGGTGAGGCTCGGTGTTGGAAAATTGGCATCGATCCGCATCAGTCCCATGGTTCATGGTGTATCCATGGGAACTCGAAACTCGGCCTCGGATATCGCGCTCGTCTATGTCTAATGCAGACAGCATCGTATTGCCGATCGCTAGGGTCTGCTGTTAAGCGCCGTTCCAATGACGCCGGCACTTGGATCGGCAGCGGGGAATAAATAAAACGGGTCGAGTCCCCAGTGCACAGACAGCCCAGAAAGGAGAGACATCATGTTCTATCAACCGGGAGTGACAGAGCACAATCTTCCCCACGATCCGTTCAAGGTGAGCTTCTCAGGATGATGGACAATTGACAACAGCTAACTGAATAGGCGTGCGTGGTACCGCGTCCGATCGGATGAATCTCCACCCAGAACAAAGAGGGCCAAGCCAATCTGGCGCCCTACTCCCAATTCTACAATCTCACGTTCGACCCGCCGTACGTGATGTTCTCGTCTAACCAGACGGTGGAGGGCACACGTAAGGATACGGTGGTCAACGCGGAGCAGACCGGACGGTTCGTCTGGAACTTGGCCACGTGGGACCTTCGCGAGGCCGTCAATATCTCGGTGGAGCAAGTACCCTATGGGGTAGACGAGTTTGAGCGTGCCAAGGTAACCAAGGAACCGGCAACTTTGATGGATGTCCCAATGGTGCAGGAATCACCGGTGAAATTCGAGTGCGAATATCACTCCACCGTGCGGCTACCCGACAATCCTCCGATGGGCACCGTGGACGTGGTGATCGGCAGGGTGATCGCTGTGCATATCAAGGACGAAGTGCTGACGGGCGGGATTCTGGATATCAAAAAGACCAAGCCGATTGCGCGCTGTGCATACTACCAGTACACGGTGGTGACAGAGATCTTTGAAATGGTGATCCCCGGCATGTCCGAGGACGTCCTATACGGGTTAGAGGGGAGTTCGAAGCGCAATCGTGAGGCCGAAACGCGGAACCTGTGATCCAACGTGATGCCAAGCTAGAAATTGGCCCTGGAAAAAAGATACGAGGGCTTGAATCATACCAATGTCTCAAATATCCGGGGTTGAGAGCAAGCCGTTCCAATTGATAGATAGCAATTTCCGAATTTGACCGGTAAACACGATTAGCGAGCTACTATCAAAGGTTATTAGTGTTCGAGACCCTGCATAAAGGAGGACCCGTCGCCTCCGCGATAGGAGTTTGTTCGGAGTCTGGCGTGTCCTTGTTGCAGCCACGCCAATCACAGCTCTGCCCGCTTCATCTACCTTGGATCACTTTCAAACACATGGTCCGGCCAAGACGCGAGGTTGCACCGCTACTTGCCAGCCAAGCAGCGGTGCCAAGCCCCTGCGCCAAGAAGCCATCTCGGAGCGCCAAGTACGGGGCAAAGAGGAGTCCATTGGTTATGAAGTGGCTTGGCGGGAGGCGGTTTCCCTCTTTTCCTCTCGTTCAATACGAGTCTATCGTCAAAGATGGCCTTATCTCGCGTGATACCGGTCCCAGCCACAACTCTCAAGCTGTATCTCCGTCGGACCCCAGATGCCAAGCTCTGTGCTACTATGGTACTACTGCCACTGGCACATGGGACTGGCCCGGCTACTGACGGCCTGGGTTATCCAATTCTAGCCAATGCTCCGACCACTCTTCCGGAGTCTAATAGAAGCTCCTAATCCTTCGAGATTAGTGTTATCAAAAGACGGTGGCGCGCGGGGAAGAGCGACCTTCCCGGAACGGTAAGCCTTAGTCTCCTGGGTCGACTTCTTTGCTTGGGAGGGGGATTTAAAAAGGGATTGCACTTGCCCTTTGAGACCACCGTTCTTGTCTCCCTCAATCGAATCAAGATGAACGCCTCCGACCCAATCGACGTGGCCGAGGAAGCCAAGTCCAGGGCTATCTCACACGATGTCGTTATCAGTGAGAAGCAGCGGGAGATTGAGCCTGCTCCAGTTCAGAGTGTGTCCTCCGCTCACGACGAGGATGATGCTCTCCACAAGAACTACCCCAATGAGGAGGATCTGCGAACACTGCGCCGCGTTGCGGGCAAGATCCCTTGGACTACCTTCACCGTCGCCTTTGTCGAGCTCTGCGAACGTTTCTCCTACTATGGCACAACGGCCGTCTGTATGTGCATGGCTCCCCCAAGCAGTAACCTGTCTAATTGAGTACAGTCGTGAACTTCATCCAGCGTCCTCTACCGGCCAACTCTTCCACCGGTGCCCTCGTGGCCGGTGCTGACTTTAACAACGATGTTCCCGGCGCATTGGGCATGGGACAGCGTGCCTCGACCGGTCTGACCTTGTGTGAGTAACCCGAAACTACGATCTGGATCGATTCTGACGGAAACAGTCAACCAATTTTGGTCCTACATCATGCCCTTGATGGGTGCGTACGTGGCTGACCAGTATTGGGGTCGGTTCCGCACTATCTTCGCCTCTATTGCCGTGGCCCTCGTCGGTCACTCCATCTTGATCATCTCGGCCATTCCGAACGTTATTGCTAGCCCCGGTGGTTCGATCGCCTGTTTCTCCGTTGGTTTGGTGATCATGGGTGTGGGTACCGGTGGTTTCAAGTGAGTATCTCGTTTCAAGCCCACAAGCACACCGGCTGAACCGTTTGCAGGTCCAACATCTCTCCCCTGATTGCAGAGCAGTACGGAGATGAGAAGCCCTATATCCGAGTGGAGTCCAATGGCGAGCGCGTCATTGTTGACCCCGCTGCCACAGTCTCTCGCATCTATCTATACTTCTACCTGATGATCAACGTTGGCTCATTGACGGGTCAGATCAGTATGGTCTACGCCGAGCGCTACGTTGGTTTCTGGCTCTCCTTCCTTCTCCCCACCATCATGTTCTGCCTCTGCCCGACCGTGCTCTTCCTGTGCAAGTCGCGCTACAAGCTCCATCCTCCTACCGGCTCCGTGTACTCCAAGGCTTTCCGTCTGTGGCAGTTGGCCATGAAGGGCCGCTGGTCTCTTAACCCACTGCGCCTGTTCCAGAGCACCACTGGCTCTGGCGACTTCTGGCACAACGTCAAGCCCAGCCAGATGGGTGCAAATAAGCCGGAATGGATGACCTTTGATGACGAGTGGGTAGATGAGGTGCGACGTGGACTCAAGGCCTGCAAGGTCTTCCTGTGGTACCCGCTTTACTGTAAGTGTACTCCATCCCGTCCGATAATTCTCTGCTAATGAAACCAGGGCTGGCATATAACCAGATGTTGAACAACCTGACCTCGCAAGCGGCAACCATGCACTTGGGCGGCGTGCCAAACGATGTCATCAACAACCTGAACCCCTTCGCCCTGATCATCTTCATCCCCATCTTCGACAGGATCGTCTACCCCGGTCTGCGTCGGATGGGCTTCAACTTCACCCCTCTGAAGCGTATCACGGCCGGGTTCTTCGTGGCCGGCTGCTCCATGGTCGTCGCGACGGTCACCCAGTACTATATCTATAAGTTGGGACCCTGCGGCAACCAAGCCAACTACTGTCTCGAAGAGGAGGGAAAGCACACCAATATCACCGTCTGGGTGCAGACTCTGACCTACGTGCTGGGCGGTATTTCCGAGATTTTCGCATCGATTACCTCGCTGGAGTATGCCTTTACCAAGGCCCCTCGCAACATGCGTTCCCTCGTGCAGGCGGTGGCACTGTTCATGAACGCCATCTCCGCTGCGATCGGACAGGCATTGGTTGGTCTGTCGGCAGATCCCTTGCTGGTGTGGAACTACGGCGTCGTCGCTATTCTGGCCTTTGTCGGCTGCGCAGGATTCTGGTTGACCAACCACAAGTTGGATCGGGAGGAAGATGCACTGAATATGCTCCCGCAAAGTGGCTACCAGGGACGCCAGACAGGAGATGAGGAAAAGTAGACCTCGTGTAATGACAAAGTGAAAGTTGTAACGTGTAGAATCAAAGCCGGTGCACGGCTATTTTATTCTCATCAAGACTCCCATTCTCACTTGTATCCAATATGGCATTAATGGCCAGCATATTGTTATTCGTCTTCTTCATCCTCGCCCTGTTCTTCTTCATACTCCTCCTCGTCACTCTCGCCATCTTCTTCCGCGGTCTTCTGGAGATCATCCTTCTGCTTCTTCACGGACGCATTGGACTGCTTCGCGCGGCGTTTGGTGCCAGCCAGTCGCTGACCATCTCGCTGGTCCTGGTCGTCGCCCTTTACGAGCTCCTCAGCCGAGTCACCGGTATCGAGGCCATGGTCGCTCCCAACTGGCTTCTCTGATTGTCCATCGCTGCTTCGCGTATTGTGCCTGGGCTGATCACCCTCACTAGCATCCTTCCTCGCCTCCTTCGCCCGCTTCGTGTTCCCAACATACTGTTTTCCCTTCTTCGACGCTTTCACCTTCTTCTCTTCGGTCTCTTCTTTCTGCTTATCGCTCATCTGCTCCCACGCTTTCTTGGGCAGATATCGTTTCCTCGAATCATCACCCTTTCTTGCAGTGCCGGAACCCTCTTTCGTCTGCCAATCTTCCTTCGTCCACTGGTCGAGATGTTTCTGGGAAGAGTCCTGTTCTTTTTTGTTGGTGTTGTAGCCATCGCCGCGCTTCTTATACTCCGATGCCATCATTTGCGCCTAAAGAGTTAGGACACGAAAAACGGAGGCTGGAAGGTGGGAGGAAATGGAATGAATACCTTGCGCGCGGACCATTGACCGGGCTTGCCCCCCTTGTCGCCGGCGTGAATTTCCTCTTTCACTTCATCGCGCAGCTGAGGATCGGAATATTTCTCTCTGGGTGCCATTTTTGTGGATTGTCATCAATTGCCCGGGGCACAATGGATATGAAACATCCCAAGTATACCCGCCGTCGTCCATCGGGATGTCATCGTTAGACATCTTTCTAGGGTTGTCATTTCGGTCTCGGGTGACATCATCCACCTGTGGAATGCGAACGTCGCGTGGGAAAATCCAGTTTCAACTCATCATTCTTTACAGGGAGTTCTTGTTTCGAGGACTGTTTTAAACTCTGTCCATCTGAAATAACCGGATGTCAATTTTACATCTCGATCTCGATCTCGATCGGATTTCGTAAACAAGGTTTGTATAAGCAGATTCCATTCCAGATCACGATTGTATAACCAACTGTATAACCAACGCCAAAACTACATGAAAAAGTCATCAGGTATATACTCCGTATATACAGGTATCATCATAAAAAGCCCACAAGCCACACACACAAACACACACTACCCGAGGGTACACTACTGCACCACGGGACGAAGACGGAAGCTCGGACCCTGCACAAACTCCAGCCCGGTGTCAATGTCACCCTTCAGGGCGAATTTCATATCCTTGGAGTAGTTGTCACGCGCCTGCCAGGGCGCCTGATCGGCAGCCATCGGGAGAGTGCGCTGGGCAACATTGATATAGGTCGACTTGAGGTTGAGCAGGGGTCGCTCCAGGAGGGTGCCGGCCTGAGAGGACTTGAGGCGGGGTGTGGCTGCGATGAGCTTGCGGGACTCCATCTCCTTGACCAATCTGGTAACGAATTGGGCGGTCGCATCGGCGCCCAAGGTCCATGAAGCGTTGGTGTAGCCGATGACGAAGGCGGCATTGGGCAGGTCCTGCAGCATGACGCCGTTCCAGATGTACTTGGACCCGACATCGAGCTTCTCTCCGTCAACGGTCAGGGTGGCGCCACCGGCAATCTGCAACTTCAGACCGGTCGCGGTAACGATGATATCGGCGTCAAGGGAGTTGCCCGAGTTCAGGGCGATACCCTTCTTCGTAACCGTCTTGATGGTATCCGTGCAAACGTCGGCCTTGCCTTTACGCAGACACTGGAAGAAGTCTCCATCGGGAGAGACACACAACCGCTGATCCCAGGGGTTGTAGCTGGGCTTGAAGTGCGGGTCGTAAGGGATGTGACCGGGCAGTTGGCGGGTGACGGTTTGCCGGAGGATCCAGCGGGAGAAGTTGGGGAAGCGCTGGCAGAAGACGAAGAAGATGCGAGTGGTGATGATCCAGATCACGCGCTGCAAGCGCTGGTACACGGAGGTGGGTAGGATGTAGGCTAGCCAGCGGCTGGCGCTGCGGTTGGGGAGAGACAAGATGTAGGTCGGACTGCGCTGGAGCATGGTGACGCGCTGGGCCTTTTCGGCCATGTTGGGGAGCAGAGTAATGGCCGTGGCTCCACTGCCGATGATGACGACCTTCTTGTTGGCGTAGTCGAGGTCCTCGGGCCAGAATTGAGGGTGGATGATCTGGCCCTTGAAGTTCTCCAGACCGGAGATCTTGGCTTCCAGAGGCTGGTTGTAGTTGTAGTAGCCCGTGCCGAAGATCACGTAGCGCGTGGTCAGCGTCTTGGATTTTCCATCGGCGTCCACGTTCAGGGCCCAGGTATGCTCCTTACTCGACCAGTCGGCCGATTGCAGCTTGGTCCGGTAGCGAATGTGCTTATCGATACCGAACTTCTCCGCGGTGTCCCGCACGTACGTCTTGATGGCGGCGCCCTCCGCAATGGGGTTGCTGCGGTTCCACGGGTTGAACGCGAAGCCAAAGGTGAACAGATCGGAATCGGATCGGATACCGGGGTACTTGAATAGATCCCAGGTCCCGCCTAGGTCATCGCGGGCCTCGAGAATAGCATAGCTGAGACCGGGCAGGCGTTCCTGCAGACGATAGGCGGCGTTGATGCCGGAGATGCCCGCGCCGACGATGACGACGTCGAAGCGCGACTCGGACTGCACGTTTGCGTGGCCGTTCATGATGTTAGCAATGAGTTTGTTCTGATAGGAACTGGAGGAACGGAGTGCAATTTACATTCTTAAAGAGGTTCACATGCCTCGGTTTCACGGTGATCGGCGGTGGATCGCTTATCGTGATTTGCGTCCGTGTGTTTGGCGGGGGGGCGGCGACATTCTACTGAATAGGGGAAACAGCTTATGACGATATCACTAAACTTGCATCTGATATCGTCTGGTAGCGGGTGGCGGTATTCCACGGTTATGTTCTACCGAATGCGGTACCTTAAAAGAACCCCTACTGGTGTAGATGGACAATCGAACTTGACCTATATACTAGGGCAATATGGTAATACTTCATTTGCACCCTCGAGACGTCCCTGTAGAGTTCTGCGTTCGATGAGTTCTGATCACTGTCCAGGCACTGTGAACCATGACATCGCACGTTCACGCTGACCCCGGTCCCCCGTTCCCCGGTCCAGTCCAGCCGAGGGGATCTCCACCATGAACGGCCTCGGCCCACACGGAAAATTGGGGGTGCGCATCATTACCCCAATGGGATAGCACTGCGAGATCGTCTGCTCGTCCGAGGTTCACACGCGCGATGAAGCCGTAGTCACTTTATCAGGCGCGGTGCTCGCGTGTCGAGAGCTTGTCCATGCTCATGTCCATGTTCATGTCCATTCCCATGCCATCATGTCGCTATCATCGGTGAAATTGACTCTCCAGCAGAAGCTGGACTTCCTGCCCGCCGTCGTATCAATCGTGCTCGCCGGCTTCTATTCTCTCTTAACGGGTATCTGGCGCACCGAGCGCGAGGCCAAGACCTTGTTCCTGCATTTCGGCTATGCCATCTTCCGCAAGGCCACCGCACGGCTGTCGCCGACGCAGATGCAGTACATCCTGCCTTCCTCCGACAAGATCTATGAGCGGTATACCAAGAAGAACCGGATCCAGGCTCAGTCCGTGGAGTTGGGCTACGGTGCCCTCGGCCACTGGGTTGGCGACCGCAATGCGACCAACGTGGTAATCTGGTTCCACGGTCGGTGACAATCGCACACGATTGAAGAAATGACTCGCTGATGGTATTATAGGCGGCGGATTCGGTCTGCCCGCCAACATGGGCTACTTCAAGTTCTACTCGCACATCGTGCGCGATCTCGAGCGCGCCGGCAAAAGCGTCGCCGTCTTCAGCCTCACCTACACCTTGGCCCCGCAAGCCACTTACCCAACGCAACTGAAGCAGGCCGTCGCTGCCCTGCGCTACATCCTCTCCCAGCCCGACCGCGACCCGGCAACCGTCTTCCTGGGCGGTGACTCCGCCGGCGGCAACCTCGTGGGCGGCGTTCTCTCCCACGCAGCGCACCCGCACCCGCAAATCGAGGCATTGAATCTGAGCGGGAACCTCGGTGGCGCGGCCATGATCGCACCGTGGACCCTCATGGACACGGACTTCCCGGACATGGAGATCTACCACGGCGGAGACCTGATCACGCAGGCAGTCGCGCAGCCCTGGGCATCCGCGTACCTGGGCAATGCCCCGCGGGACAACTACACGGACCTGTCGAACGCACCGACCGACTGGTACGTGAACTTCCCGGTGAACCAGGTCCTGATCACGGGCGGCGGGAACGAGATCATGTTGCCGATTATTCAGGATCTTGCGGAGAAGTTTAAGAAGGGATTCCCCAACGTGGAGTTGATGGTGGGGCATCGCGAGTGCCACGTTGCGCCGATTTATAATCTCGAGCTCGGCGATAGCACCGAGACGGAGCAGGGGAAGAAGGTCAAGTCGTGGTTGAGTGAGTTGGCCGTGTAAATACCCGAGGCAAGGGGGAGCAGATAGTGTTTATAGTTATTTCATGGTTTTAAAAGCATGAATGTTATTTATGGCTGTACAACGCGATTCCTTGTGTAGCGTAAATTGGCAGGTGCCTTGAAAACATCTTGGTTATTACACATAGTTGGTCCGCGTTTTGACATGTTAATTTCGCCTAAGACGTTCGCTGTGTAACCTCGGATGTACACTCTACGCGGTTCACTCTCTACGCAAAGCCATTGAATCAATACAGTCCCAGATGTGGTATCATATCGCATACATTTGAAGTAATTACAAATCCTAATTTACAGACCTACAGACCCTCCCTCTGTTGCACCTCACGCAGTCTTCGCAGCGATTTCGAGGCAATCGAGCGGATACCCTCCTGCATCCAGGTCGGCATGGCGCGCACCAGGCTAGCGGCCGACTGACTAGGGGGCAAAATAACCTGGCCGCTGTTCTGGCTGAGGATCTGCTTGCAGATGGCGTCCGACACGAACTGGACGGTCATGATGGGCTGGCGGAAGTGGGACTCGTGGTCGGTCAGAAGCTTGATCATGGGGGTGCGAACCCACATCGGGTGGACGACGCTAATTTTTTTTAAGTCAGTATGAAGGATATAAATACGAAGAAGGGGAGGGGGCGGGGTAATTACCTGGTGCGGACCGCGGGGGCGTTGTACCACGCCTTCAGCTCCTGGCGCAGACTCTCGTGGAAGGCCAGGGCACTAGCTTTGGAACCGCAGTAATCGGCCATCTCGCCGATTCCGACGAAACTGGCCATACTGGCGATCGTCACGACGTGGCCGTGGTTGGCGCGGATCATTGCGGGCAGGAACTCCTTGACCATGAGGAAGTGGGAGATGGTGTTGACCTCGAAAGTCTGGCGGATCTTGGCCTCGGGCTCCTCGAGGATGGTCCCGTCGTGACCGACGCCGGCGTTGTTGACGAGAACGGTGGGATCACCGTGGTCGCTGCGGATCGCCTTGGCAACCTCGGCGATGTTGGCGGAGGAGGTGATATCGGCACGGTAGAAGGAGACGTTGGCGGGGAGCTTGAAATTGGGCTCGTTGATGTCCAGGATCACGACGCGCACGCCGGTCTTGGCCAGGTCCTCCATGACCTGCTTGCCGATGCCGCTGCAGCCACCGGTGATGAGAATGATCTCGCGCGTGGACTGCCAGCGCTCGCTGCGAGTCCAATTGTTCATGGTCCATTGCGACAGAGACTTGTTGACGGAGCGGAGGACACCCAGCGCCAGCAGGACGGCCAGCGCCTTTTGAGTGAACGGCTTGGCCAGGAGCTCCTGCGCGGGTCCGGGGAGCTGCGCGAGGGCAGTCTGAGAATATTGCTGGACGAGATCGAGGGCAGACATGACGGTGGTTGAAAGTGAGTCGGAGCAAAGAAGCGCGCTGCAATCTTTTAACTGTCGCATTATCCGTCGCGCAGCATAACCGTTGCGCTGGGGCCGAGGCTCACGCCGAACGGTGGTTCCTGCACCGATGAAGTCGGGATCGCTGAGTTAAACTCGAAAGGGAAAGCAATGCGACCGGCTCCACCGTGGAACGTCCCTCATTTCACATGTTCGCATGGCTGACTGCATCCTGGTGGCGTCCCCGCAGTCTGCACCCTATTTTCAGTAATTATTCTCCGGATTCGTGTGGAAACATGGGGAATCGGGGGATCTGCTACCCTCGATGATATCACCGACACGATATTGCACATTCACAAGCTCGGCTCGCGGTTGACGGTAGAACAGTCGGACTCCCTACCGGTCTACGGCTACCGTTCGACCTGTAGTCGCGTAATCAACTATTCAACTCGCCAACACTAGAGTGCTACTGTAACCGAGGCCGACCCTTCCCCAACACACCTTGACGCCCATTGTCTCATGCCGATCACGGTGGGGTTGTAAAATTAGGAGCAAAAACGGATCTTGCTGCACCTCTCCTCCTCTTTCCATCGCCATTGTGCATCTGTCCTGACTCTGCCTACTTTTGGAATTCCATCTCCGTACAAGCTCAACTATGGCGATCGGCGATAGCCTCCCGGTCCTGTTGGCCTTTTCCGTTGTCGAGGCCTATTTCCTCCAGCGCACCGTCTTCGCCGATGAGGCGTTTCGGACGGTCGTGCTGGGTGCCCTGGGTATGAATTTCGTGCTCAAAGGCTTCTACAGTCTGATCATTTGGCCCTTGTTCATGAACCCGCTGCGCCATCTGCCCACGATTCCGGTATGACCGAACCCCCCCCCCCCCCTGGACGGAGTATAAGAGCCTACTAACCGGGTCGACTGTAGGGCTTGATGAACCACGCCAAGATCATCTTCGACTCTCCACGCGGTCGGATGCCGCTGCACTGGATGAAGACCATCCCCAACGATGGCCTCATCCACATGCGCGACACCATCAGCCAGAGTTACCTGATAGCCACCAACCACCAGGCCCTGCTGGACATCATGAGCACCAACACTTACGACTTTGAGAAGCCCTGGCGTGCGCGTAACTTCCTCGCTCGCATCCTGGGCTTCGGTCTCATCCTGTCCGAGGGTCCCGCTCACAGGAAGCAGCGCAAGGCCCTGACGCCGGCGTTCAACATCAAAAACATCCGCGCCATGTACTCCCTCATGTGGGACAAAACCAACCAGCTGCTGGTCGAGTTGGAGAAAGAGCTCAAGCTGAACCCGATGGAGGGAACCAACCCGGACGAAGGCTATGGCAAGTTGGAGATGGGCGTGTGGGGAAGGTATGCTCACCGAGTGGCGGAATAGCGGAATAGCAGAACATTGCTAACGTTCATAGTCGTCTGACCCTCGATATCATCGGCCCCGCTGCTATGGGTCGAGACTTCCGCTCGCTGCAAAACTCCGACAACAAGGTCGCCGAGAGCTTCCTCAACATTCTCGAACCCACCACCGAGAAGATGGCCTTCCTGGCTATGAACTTTACCCTACCCCAGTGGATCGCCCAGCGTGTGCCCTGGCATCTGAATAAGGTCGTGGCCAACGAGACCGGTTTCCTTCGCAATCTGTGCACCGACATCGTCCTCGAGAAACGACAGTTCCTGGCTGATTCCAAGGCCTCCGCTAAAGATCTCGAAGCCGATATTCTCGGTACCATGATGCTAGGCGGTGATTTCTCCGATACCGAGCTGGTGGATCAGATGTTGACATTTTTGGCTGCCGGAGTGGGTTTCCTTTTCCTCCATTTCCCCATTGACCCCCTGCTAATCTATCCCAGCATGAAACTACCGCTGCCGCCCTCACTTGGGCCTGCTACCTGATGGCTCTCCACCCAGAGTACCAGGAGAGACTTCGCGCAGAGATCCGCGAAAAGATCCCCTCCGCTGAAAGCCCGATCACCTACAGCGACCTGGAATCCCTCCCGCTGCTGAATGGCGTCTGCCATGAAGTCCTGCGCCTATATCCAACCGTCCCAGCCACCATCCGCGAATCCATCCGCGACACAATGGTCGCAGGCAAACGCGTCCCCAAGGGAACACGCATCATCCTCTGCCCATACGCAATCAACCGCTGCCCCCTCTTCTGGGGCGACAACGGCGAGGAGTTCTATCCGGAGCGCTGGATCGACACCGACAAGAACGGAAACAAAGTTCCAAACAAGAACGGCGGTGCCTCGACCAATTTTGCCGAGATAACATTCCTGCACGGCCAGAGAGCGTGTATCGGAAAGGACTTTGCACGTGCGGAGCTGAGATGTGCGGTTGCCGGTGTTGTTGGTCGCTTTGCGATCGAGATGCAGGATCCGAAACAGGAGATTCATATTGCCGGAGCGGTTACTACGAAGCCCGTTGAGGGAATGCATTTGAAAATGCGTCGTGTTGAGGGGTGGTAGATCTGATGATCAATTAATGCGTGACGACATTGGCGTTTTGTATCATATCCCGACTTGTACTGCTCGTTACTCGTGCTGAATGTCAGAAACTTGACTTTTCATCGCCTGAAAACCTACATATAATAAAGGAGCTCAAATAATTACAATTTCAACTGAATATGAAACCTTGAAACCAGTTCTAGGCTGGAATAGCACTATTAGGGCCCTATTTAGGGATAAATAAAAATAAGAAACCAGATCTAGATGGGAATGGCACTATTAGGGCCCTATTTTAGGGATAAATAAAGAAGGAGAAACCTTAGGAAGCCGGAACGTAGAATCCAATTTTCTCCGATATTAATCTCCTCTACTTACTCGCAAGGGTATAGTTGCACGTGGGACAAGAAGACAAAAGATCCGGAGTCTCTGGATAACTGTCCTCTCCGTATGTCGGATTCAGCGAAACAGCTCCCACGACATGTCCTGATTCCAGTCGAATCCAGGAGTCGATCACTTTGTTCTTCAATTTGGCCTCCGTCACGAGGACCTGTCGAGACCCGCGAATCCAGCTTCCGTACCCTCCATACCCAGAGTGCTGTCCAAAGCAAAGATTGACACCGTTGCCCTTGACATTCATTCCAGAAATCAAGCTATCCCACTTGTAGCACCACGTATCGCCATGATCATGACCTGAAAACACCGCAAGAACACCGGGCGTGTTGACAAGGGCTTCCATGAACGGCACGTCCTGGCCACCGTAGGTGCACGAGCTGGCATCACTACCGTCGGCACACCATCCCTGACCTTGTTGCGCGAGGGTATAGTCATCGTTGATTCCCGGTTCACGATGCGGGTTGATTCCGACCTCCGTTTGTGCGGCGAGCGACGCATTCGTCGGGATATGCACGAAAACAAGCGATGGGATATTCTTCTGGTACTTCTGGATGAACTCTGCGTTGGTCTTTTTGAACCAGTCGACAACGCTAACATCAACCCAGTTCGGCTGCCCGATCTCGTTCCCGGAGGAGTCCAGTTCTTGGAAGTAAAAGCCGCCTCGGCTATCGAAGAAGGTGGAATCCTGATCATCGCTACCGTATACAGGAAGATAGTAATTCGACACGCCTGCCTCGCGACCGAAGACCATTTGCTCGGTGCGTGAATTTGGCCAGCGGTGTTCCCGCGCTAGCATCGCCTCGCGGGATAGGTTGTATGCACTATCGTGATTCCCGTACGTGGAAGCCCAAGTCAGGCCGCGATCAACCAGCGGGCCGACGATCTCGTCGATGTAAACCGTGCTGTTTTCCAGAAATGCGTTGTTCCCGGTAATCAGATCCCCGTTGAGTACGACGAGGTCTGGAGATTCGGTGTCGAGAACTCTGTTGATTACAGTCACGGAGTTGACGTCCTGCTCGGGACCCCATGTGTCCCACGCATCTTTTGTCCCGTGAGTGGGAATACGTGTTAGGGATGTTGTGGGGGTACTAACTTTCTCCGAAGTGAAGATCTTCTAGAATGGAGATCTGAAAGGTACCATCCTTGGCGAATTTAAGCGGTGCGAATTTCTTCGGTACTGCGCTCTGAAGAGAAGGCAGCGCGAAAAAGAATATGGCAGCTAAAGCGTGCCACATTGTGATATCGGTGCTCGATATTCTTCTGTCCGAGCAAAGGTGTTCACATGGAAAAACAAACAAGATGGAAAATAGATGGAAAATAGATGGAAAATAGTAATGTTTATATTATTAATTTCCTGTCATGCTAGAAATCACAATGCTACCTGTCTCGTCGGCAACATCGGGTAGTACCCGAGATCTCTTGAAGAAACGAGCTAAATATCCACGTGCAGGGGATGGTGCGACTCTACTCTATGGGTCAGGGTCGTGCATACAGGGATAGGGGCACGGACTAAGTGGGGTAGGACTATAGGCTTGGCATAGTATTCCAGAGTTTCATTGGGCTCTCCGCCGGCACTCAACGTGCGTTTTGACGTTGCCGACGTGTGGAGCTCGGTATCAAGGAGTAGGATCTAGACTTCTATCTCGGGACTAACGGTAACTTGTTTCAAAGTGGTGGCCATGATGATATTCATGAATCTGGATAGTCAAGGAATCCGTTATTGTTTATGTAACATTAGTTACTAGAGATATGATTTGCTGGTAAAAGAATGGAGGCAACTTCATGGGCTACTAATAGCTGAAAGTGCATGGGTTTCCTATAAACAATCCTGTCCAAGGCTAGAGAACAAAGACGGTATTTTATAATAACAACTCGACAGGTGTTTGAGTAAAAAGATAGAAGCCCATCGGGGCATGTGAGATCTATGATCTCTTAAGACCTTAAGTTGAGTCCCCGTAGTTGTGGGCACCGTAGTGGTAACCGTGGTGGCGCTCGCTGCCAACAACTTGGCCAGCGCCTGAACAATTCGACTCCGATCTGGTTTCCGTTCTCGTCGAAAACGGCCTTGCAGTATTCAAGGGTGTCTTCAGCTCTGCTTTCCACCTGCTTGAGTGGCTTTCGTTTCAACACCGAAATGGGTTAAGATACGAAGCGTTCGCCCGCAGTGCAAGGACGTCTGTGGCGTTTCCCTCCTGTGGATCCTAGATTCTACCTTCGGCAGCCGGCGCCAAAACAGCCGTTTTACCCAAACTATGATATTAAGTAGCTTGTATAATCAAGTTGTGTTCACAACAATAGAATGGCCTAGATCATGTTACATTTCGGCAAAGCAGCGAAGCACGCCAGGTTATTCAGTGAGCCTGACTGAGTGCCAGAGAACCGGCAGCTAGGATAGGACAGTCCCAGGAAAGATGCCATCGAGTTACTCAAACAGGCCATGGATTAGACTTGATATTTGCTGTTAAATTACCACTGTACAATTTGAATACTATAATTGAGCACTCCCGAGCTCAGCGCCAGCCAGATCCGCGCCACTGCAAGATGATAGTCGGGATAACACTGACACCTACAATCAGCGCCGCGGCGATACCAGCACCGCCGCCCCAGCCGACATTGTCAAACATCTGAGGGAACCAAAACGGCCCGATGAATCCCCACGTCTGACGCACAAAGGTAATAAACACACCCACGCTCGCAGCGTCCACACGGTAGCAGTCCACCGCATAGGTAATGTTAATAGTAGTAACGATCTGGTTCCCACCAGCAGCAATGGCCGCTCCGATGATCGGGGTAATGTTCCAGGTATTGCTGGCATTGCCCAACTGCACGGCAAACACCACGATACCGCAGATAGTCAGAGCGTGGCCGATGTAGCTGAGCCACAGACGGTACTCCGCGGCCGGGGGGTGGCCAATACGCTTCTGGCGGAAAAGCATCCACCGATCGGAGATCAGCCCGCCGATCTGCTCGCCCATGACAGATCCGATAATGATGCTCAGGAACTGTAGACCGACTTGCTGGGTGTTGAGGCCGAATTTCTGAGGGAAGACCTGGGGGATCTCGATGGTAAGGCAGATGCTACCGAAGAGGAAAACCATGGCGTAGGCGCAAGCCGGGATGACCACGCAGGGCTTGCTAAAATAGCTCAAAGGCTGGATAAAGTCCCAGAAGCGCAGGGGGGTCGGGTCGATGCGGCGAAACTTGTAGATACTCTCTGCGACGCTGGTCACCTGGCGAGGCGCGTTGTAAGTGCGAAGATACAGCGACTCGGAGCCGAGGAAGAAGTAAACGATGAACTGGACACCGTTGGTAATAGCCAGTATCCAGTAAATCCATCGATATCCCACGCGCAGCACGACAAAGCCGAAGATGAACGGCGCAACCGGCACGCCAATCGTAACCATCAGAGTCCAGAAGCCCATGCATCGCGCCCTATCCTTTTTGAAAAAAGTCTCCGCGACAACGGCACTACCGATGGCAGCAGCAGGGCTGATAAAGAACGCCGTGATGGCTCGGCACAGACCCATCGTCGCGTACGAGTGACTCACGGCACAGCCTACGTTACCGACCACAGCACAGATCAACGAGATGAGGAAAATAGGTCGACGTCCGTAGCGATTGCTGAGAGGTCGCCAGAATAGAGGTGCGCCACCGAGCACGGCGATGAAGAGGGAGACTAGGTAGCTGGTGCGCTGCAAGCTCACCCCGAGATCAGCGGCGATGTTGACAAAGGCGGACTGGATCGAGGCGGCTGTGAAAAGAGCAATCATGGCGTGGAACACGACGAGGGTGAGGTTGACTCTTTTCTACACACATGTTAGACTCGTTTCTTTCATCGCAGACGGGGATCGCTGCTTACTCTCCACGTCGGCCAATTGTAGGGGTCTGCATCATTCATATCGGGGATCGGATCGAGATCGAGAGTCCCGTGTCGCTTCAGGAGATACTGGCGATGCTCCTCGGAGAGATTCGCGATCCGGTCCTCGACATAGAAGGTCTCCTGCTTGCCAGCCTCCACGGCTGAGGGGGTAGCGGAGGTCCCCTCAACATGGAGGGGATTGCTATTAGTCTTCTCCATGGCGTAGATGAGAGGGTAACAAGAAGGATAACACGAGCCAGCGTGGGAGGGAAAAAAGAGCCGGTGCAGATGCTACTTATAAGCCCCGTGCGCCGTTGCAACCAGACGCGAGTCGGAGTCCCGAATCCTGAAGCTATGCCCCGAACCTTCAAAGGTCTGGGGGTGGGGGCAAAAGCGGAGAATCGCAGCCCGGACCAGAACCAGGGCATTTGAAGACGACAAATATTGAGTTCGGAATTGGCTGGACTGGAAAAGCAGGACTGGGAAGAATCCCGGGCGAAGCCAGTGATTGGCGGGTGTGGGAGCTGGCGGGTATGAATTCTGCCCTCATCGTGGGATCGTGGGGATGAAGACCATTTGGCACTCGATCCTCCAATCAGTCATCCATACCGGCGCTTACCGGTTGAGATGAATGACAACAACATTCGGAAATATAAAACCTAGCTTGTTAATTTATACGGATTCACCGTTCCAACTGCCATATCTCCCCTTTTGCCGAATCTCGAAGAGGTTGCCCGCTTAATGCTTATTCCCGCTCGGCGTTTATGGCTGACTTGGCTCGCCACGTACGAAAATATACAAAGTATCATGCTGGGAGGGTGTATAGTATAGAATGTATTTGTCTGGTCCAGAGCAAAGCTCCGTTAGACCGAGTGGGGAGCTCATCTGTCCTTTATCTTTATCTTTATCTCTATCGCCTCGGATGTTCAAGGTCTCCACATTGTGGGGATGGCCACATTGATTCACCCCACGGGGCTGCTAGCGTGTATATCTTCAGGCCTAACCTAATTAGTCTCATGGAGTCTAGCCCCGAGCCCCGTCTAGCTCGAGCTAGACCTTGGCTGGCAGCTCCCCCCGATATCCCCGTCACAAATGATCTCGGGCGGGCTACCGTCAGATCCACTACCACTTTGCCCTTCGTTCCAGGCGAAGTGCCGTCAATGTTGTCGAACACGATGTTGGTGACGTTGACCTGCGAGGAATACGCAGCGCACTCGGTCGCATTGACATCGAAATAGCACTGGTCCAACACTACCGGGCGAGTTCAGCTGTGTGATGCCCTCAACACTGACTCGTGTCGCATTGTCCGTGAGGAAGAGGATGGGTCGGTAGAATGTGTTGTCGGGATTCTATACTCATCAGCGTTGATCCTCTATCGTGACTGTCCGGCGGTCGGGGTACTTTTAAAGGTGTGCTCCTATGCTTCGCAGAGCGGAAATGTCTTTTTCCGGGATAATTCCGGCCCCTGGGATGAGATAGTCTGCCACTAGTCCACTCCTTGCGCCGACTAGAAGCACGCCGACAATGAGGGATTTCATTGCGAGGGACTGAGCAGCACGTATTCTCAAGCTATACGGAGAAGGTTCTAGTAATTCAGTCTTCCCTATAAGAAAAGCTCTCTGGAGCTCACGATCACTCCTTTACACCTTATTTCCCGGTCTGCACCAATCTATACCAGCATTGGCACGCCGGGATGAAATGGCGATTTCTCCACGTGTAGGAAAACACAATTGCATATTTACTAGGGAAAGGATCTTCAGGGACATGTCCGCGTGGGAATCCGATCGCATCGCACGATGCTCTCCGTGATTTCTCCGCATTTCGCCAAGTACCAAGCGCGGGGATGCGGAGAGCGTCAATCGCTACCCTGGGTAAGCTCGTAATCTGCTGCGCGTCATTTACAATTGGGAAAGATTCTACCGTCTGAACTTGGTGATGGTGAATTGTGCGCGTTGGACATGGTTCTTCCACCAATCAAGGCCTGCATGTACGAGTGCGTGTAGTAAGGTGGCTAGTCGTAAGCAATTTCATCTATTTGCTGCACTTCATCTATTTGCTGCTCCAAATATTATCCTGGATATATAAAAGTCAAAGCCGAGACATTGTAAACAACGGCCTCTATTGACAGTTGGGTATAATCATCGAGTCCATATGTGCAACACCCAGAGCGTTTACAGCTTCTTGCCAGCCAGCACCAGTCCGGTGATGCAGCTAATGTTACCAGACCACCAAACCACAGAGCGGAGGTAGCTGGGACCAACCGATTCGATGTACGAGTAACACAGGCTGTACGCGACACGCGACAAGGTATACCACACACCGATAGTGTTGATGGTTTCATGAGGAACGCCGGCAACAACCGACAGCAGCACTATCTCTGTTAGCATGCGACCGTACCAATTTATCATGGGGACATACTCGCTGCCACGAACAGGGGATACCCCTCGACGGCATTGGCATGCGCCGCCTCCTGCCGCTTCAACTTGTTCAGAGTGCGCTGGCTGATCTTGCCCGCCTTAACGGCAGCTTCGCCGTACTTGGAGAGGTCCTCACGGGGCGCGACGTTGTTGTCGATACCAAGGAGCGTCTTTGTGCCGCGAGTGCTCATCAAAGCGTACGCGAAAAAAAAATTGGCCACGAGAAAGCCGGCAGCGAAGTTTGGAGCCTGTTCGCCGGGGGCGGCGCGGAGGCCGAGGGTGTTGAGGATGGAACTGCGAATGTTAGCGGAGACTTTTCCCGGGAAAGGGACACGTACGACATGATGGAAGTGATTGGTAAAGTCGTTGAGGAGTTGGAGCTCTGGGGAATTGTTTAATATAACCGAATGGTCGCATGTGGATCCGTGTCGACCGAGGAAGATGAGGTCATGTTTTGCCGATCCTCGAGCTCTGAGTTCCCCCGAACGTGATGATCGCAATTTTTGCAAAGGAAATATTCTCCAGGGGTTTTCAGAATACAATTCGTCTTTCCAGAGTTGCTATGGTTGCGGGGCTATGTTCCCCAACCGTGGGTTCCTACGTGACTACCGAGGTCCATTGCAAGGTTTCAGGTCCAAGGTTGGCAGCATTGCCTGGAATATATCGTAGGCTGCCATCCACCCATGAGGCATTTGTCTGTACTTGACTATGACTATATGATCTAAAGGCACCGATATTTTTAGAGCGTAGCTACACTTTTAAACATGTGCATGGAATATCGGCGTGGATAAGATGGAACGACCATTGTAAATGCATTTGATTGATCCCGGCGCCTGGTATAGAGGGCTCGATGCGGTAGAACCAAAATGATTCATATTGTTCAAAACTATGTATTGTACATGCTCCAGAACCGGGCTCAAGCCACCTCCCTTGCCTCATGCTCAATTTGGTGTGAGGATCCCTTGGTCGACGTCCTGTCCAACGACCCTGCATACTGCTGACTATTTGGCCGTAGCATGATCGTATCCGGCTCCTCATGCCGGTGGCTACTAGCAAGAGAAGTCTCGGACTCTTCAGCACGAGAGAATCGGTTGTTGAGAATCATCGAATGTCCTCGTCGGTTCACAACACTGTTATTCGGAACGGGCTCGTTCTCGGAAAGAAGCTGAACTTCCACTGGATGATCTCGAATGACAGGGACTCTGAGGAGCTTGTATATGCAGTTCAATGCTGGGATCGAAATGCCGTGAACGACGATCGAGAAGCATACGAGCCAGTACACCACTGTCAGAGTTAGGGACGTTCATGTTCCGGGACGGTGTTATGGGACGTTGTCTTACCGGGTATCATGGCTGCAGTTAGATTGTTAATTTCCGTGTCACTTTCCCCGGGGCCTGGGAGTAGTCGCCGGGCGTATTCAACGTATGCAATTGCCCCCACGCCTGTTTATAGTTAGCGATGAGCTTTGTACAAGACAGATGCACGTACCGATCGGTCCAAAGTACCCCATGAACAAAGCCTCTTTCCAGTCACTGCAGATTTTGGGCATGAATCGGTATCCCAGCATAATGGCGGGAATCCGCCGAAACAGCAAGATTAAAACTCCCAAAACAACCAGTCGAGAAATGGTGATGCCGGTGACTTTTGGCAGGTGAAGCTGGTCCCACGGCATACTTGCCCCGATAAAGATGAACGTTCCGTAGTTCAATACCGTCTCGATGGTGGAGTTGAACGAGTCATGTCGTGCCTCGGCCTCTGAATGATAGTTTCCATCCCAGTTGAGAGCACATCCAGCAATAAAACAGGCCAGTGTCTCGTCCGATCCAAAACAGCCACATGTTCCCACGAGAAACAACTAAAGAAGTTAGCTTCAGTACCGAAAGAAAGAGATCAAGGTGCATACCCCAATGGCAATCGGGCACAGGGAGAAACTCTCCTTGTCAATCCATTGCCTGTATCGCCGTCAGCCAACTTCCCCGATTTCCGAACTCGACCTGAATATCTTACCTCTTCGAAGCCAAGTTCAAACTCTTCCGACTCACAAACCCCACCAACAACCCATACCCAGATCCCATGATGATCATGTACAGAACCCCTTCAACGGCCCAATGAGCCAAGGCGCGACCGACGTCTCCTCCAAACCGTCCGGTATCTGTTTCTCCAATCCAGTCCCGCTTGCTCATGCCCTGTTGAGGCACGTCGGCATATCGCAAGATCGATATGGAAAGCAACAAAAATGGAAACCCAAACCCGTCATTCCCTCCCGCCTCGGCAGATATGAATTCTCGCAGGTGTCTTCGAACGTACTTGTCGGCGAACGGGCCCTTCGCCACAGCTTGCGAGAGAACGGGGTCTATACAGATGACACATGATCCGATGATCAAGGCTGCCAGCTGTCTGGACGTTAGCAACTGCGGAGAGAATATTTCCGGGGGACACGCACGAAGGATACACGAGGGACCAGCAGCAAAATACACGACGACGTGGCCAGCCATTGTATTGTCATGAGAGGAAGCAGACAGATGGTCAGCTCGACCAGACGTCGTCGCAGGTATTTTTTCGGCAGTTCATAGCCGACTTTCACCATTTGTAGTCCAATCACCATCCGAGTCATCGCCTAGTCTTGTCAGCAAACACTCACTGAGCGAATGGGTATCACCTACATAAGCAATCTCTCCCTGTGCGTCACGATTGCTCCATCGCGCTGGGTCGATCAAGTTGGTGCAGAACGGCCCTAGTATAGCGCCGACCACAAAGGATGGCACTGAAGAATTAGAAATCGTTCCGATTGAAAAAACAAAACAAAAAAGAGGTTTCGACATACAGGCTTCCCCAAGAAACCATTTCTGCTTGACCTTGAGCGAAAGAAACCCGAACGCAAGTAGGAATATTCCTGTGCCCTGTTAGACTATCCATCAACCTCGCAAAAGTTGGTGGGTGAGGTCTTACCTGAGAATGTGAGAACCACATTGAAGTTGCTGATATCGAGGATGGGATGGAGCATGGTAATCTCGCAAAAGGCGAGGGATAGAAGTTACGATCGGTGAATCATTCCAAGAGGACTAGTTCATGGACCGATTTCTAGCAATTTGTCGAGAGTGGTTTGTCCGGGAATCATGGAGAGAATAGACAGGTGAGTTTCCGACATGAGTAGAACAGACGTAATGCAGCTGGGTCAAGTAAGTCGGCCCAGTCGCAGAATGAGTTTTCCGGATGCCAGGATGATGTTATCTTTGCTGGAAAGAATGCGCCCTTTGTCAGTCACCCGTCTGAACCGTAGATGTCGTGATAAGAAGCCACAGAGACTTGGCAGGCTTGGCTACGTAAATTGCCAACATTTTGATGTGTCGTAGAAAAGAACAAGCGTATTTCCGATGCAGAAAGCTATTTTGATGGACAGGGTAGCTAGCTATACAGGGGCGTGAACCGGGCCGACTACGCGTGCAAGGGCGGGCACCACGGACAACGCCTGAAATGCAACCAAAATTTACTCTTCAACTGAGACTTGCTGAATCCATTGCCAGAGCCAATCGGATCACCTAGACCGAGCAGGTTCTTGCGCATAGCTAGAAATAGCTAGAAGCAGGTTTGGAAATAGTAACAATCAGGCCAGGATGAAACGCATCGCCTTCCAGACCGGCCACCCACCCTATATTTCCTTGATCGACAAGCCACCGAAGCTTGGTACAATCATGTTTTTCCATAGTTCCTTGCGCGTCAACGGGGCCGCGCCTCCCACAGAGCCTATCACAGTGCGCAAATACAACGGCTCATGCTTGGGGTTCCTGGCGTATGCACGGATCGACATTGCGGCCGCCTATCGCCCACTATCGGCCCGATCAGTAATCCAGGGCCAGAAATGCGCCACCCAAGGGATATTGCATGGCGCCGATTCGTGCTTCGAATTCGCCATTGCCGGCAGTTTAGAACGGCCCGAGCAGTGCCAAACCTTTCTAGAAACCTTGGCTTGATGGACGGGAGTATAAGCTTTCACCGCACGAAAGGAACGTGTAGAGGAGTATAGAGCAACGGTAAACACCGAGACCGTATCTAGAGTAACTGAAGCACTAGCTGCGATTCAGCTCCTTTATTGCGGTCCAGACACCGACTCCTTTTCATTTCGGCCCGGCCAAAATCCCTCATACTCATCACATTACTCCTTGGGTGCGTGATTTTTTTCGGAGATTGACGTAGTAAGAAACCAGCAGGAACATAAAAGAAAGCCGATTGCTGCGGTTTCATTTCATTATTCTTCTCAGTTTCTCAGCATTGCATCTGAAAGAACAAAATGTCACCCATCAACCATTTCTCCAAGTCGCTCTCCGAGTCGAAGACGAGTTGCAGTAATGTCTACGGCTCTCGATTTGCTTCGGAACACATGCCGTGCAACAGCTTCCCCCAGGAAGAGATGCCAAAAGATGTTGCCTATCGCATGATCAAGGATGATCTGGTCCTCGATGGAAACCCGATGTTGAAGTGAGTATCACATCGTCCCGGAGCCTACAAAGTACTGACATTGTCAAGTCTCGCTAGTTTCGTCACCACATACATGGTTCGCTTTTCAAACCCTGAAGCTATGGACTATCATTCTAAACAATTGCCTATCTAAACAGGAAGACGAAGCCGAAAAACTGATTGCCGAATCCTCGAACAAGAACGTAATCGACCACGAAGAATATCCCAAGTCGGTGGAAATCGAGCAGCGCTGTCTCAACATCCTGGCCGACCTCTTCCACACTCCGCAAATAAACGGCAAAGCTACCGCGGTCGGAACGGCCTGCATCGGCTCCTCGGAAGCCATCATGCTGGCCACTCTCGCCATGAAGAAGCGCTGGCAGAACGAGCGCAAAGCACAGGGCAAAGACGCGTCTCGTCCGAACATCATCATGAGCACCGGTGTCCAGGTCTGTTGGGAGAAGGCAGCGAGGTACTTTGACATTGAAGAGAAAATGGTGCCTTGCACAGAAACCCGCTTCGTGATTGATCCGGCTCAGGCTGTCGATCTGGTGGACGAGAATACCATCGGCATCGCTGCTATCCTTGGAACCACGTACACTGGGCAGTACGAGGATGTCAAGGCCATCAATGATCTCCTGATCGAAAAGGGACTCGACACCCCGATCCATGTGGATGCTGCCAGTGGTGGGTTCGTGGCTCCTTTTGTCAACCCCAAGTTGATGTGGGATTTCCAACTGCAAAACGTTGTCTCGATCAACGTTTCCGGTCACAAGTACGGCCTGGTGAGTAACCCTCGAAGATACGGCAACCATTTCCATCAACTGACAAATGCTTCAAAAGGTCTACCCGGGCATTGGCTGGGCACTCTGGCGGTCCGTTGACTACCTTCCCAAAGAACTCATCTTCAACATCAACTACCTCGGCGCCGACCAGTTGAACTTCACTCTCAACTTCTCGAAGCCCGCATCCCACATCATCGCCCAGTACTATCAGATGATCCGCCTAGGACGCAGAGGCTACACCGACATCATGAGCAACCTGACCCACACGGCCGACTACCTCACCGACCAGCTCAAGGACCAAGGATTCGTCGTCATGAGCGACGGTGGCGGCCACGGCCTTCCAGTCGTAGCCTTCCGGCTGAGTCCAGCCCAACACTTCTTCTTCGATGAATTCGCACTCTCCCACAAGCTTCGCGAACGCGGCTGGATCGTTCCCGCGTACACGATGGCAGCGGACTGTGAGAAGATGAGCATGATGCGCGTCGTGGTGCGCGAAGAGTTCAGCCAAAGTCGCTGCGATAGCCTGGTTCACGATATCCAGTTTGCTCTTCAGGCGCTGGCAGCACAGGAAATTCAGAACATCCAGCGTTATCAGGCGTAAGTCAACACCCGCTCCAGTTGTTAAATCGGGCTAACCTCAAATTTTTAGGTTGATTGGAAGTCAGCTTGCGCTTCCGAAAGCACTTTGCGTCGAACAATCATGTCGTCCCATGCTTCCGGCCCCGGAAAAGATGCCGGGAATTACTGTCAACGCTCGTGAATGCGTTGATGCATAAGTTTTAATGTACCATGATAGAGTATAGACTAGATCGTCCAGACTGAATAAATTGATTTTTCGGGTTTAGTTGAGATTATCATTAAATGCTTTTTTTTATCAAATCGTTCAGACGTATCCATCGCACGATCATGGGATGGTTGGGAGGTTTCCGAATAAATTATTATCCCATAGCTCTGTGCTGCCGGTGTCCAGACCGTCAAACCAGCCTCCCAAATCCATAGGCTGTATCCGTTAGCACGATTTCTGATTTCACATCGTCATAGGGAAGGGAAGTCTTACCGTAAAGTCGCCAAAGCCCGTTGACAAAAGCGAAGGAAGGTCCAAGTCAAGCGAGGATCCGGACATCGGAGTCGGTCCGTCAGGGACTACGGGGGTCTTGGACGTGTCAGAGAGATTCCATAGGCTCGGACGGAGGTAGCATACCTGTGCGGGCTGATTCTCTGCCTGAGCGAGCGCATCGGAGTACGAAAGGCCGTTTAATCTGCCTCGGCAGACTCGAACGGCCCTTTTAGACGAAGCCTCAACCTGGGACAGTGGGTCCTCTCCTTTAATGCGGGACTTGACCGAGGCCAAAACGATGGTCAGAAAAAAATAAGGCTTGGATCCCGTTCCAGTGGCCCTGATGCGTCGACCAAAGTCGTGAAGAGTGCGCTCGACTCCCTGTAGCATCACGCTCTGTTGAGACTGGACCATACTCATCAGCACGCTCGAGTTCATTCCGTCCATTGCTGAGCCGGGATGACTCATTTCATGAGCCTGTAGAGATAGTTCCACGCAGACCGTGATCGCGGCATGGAAGATTTCATCGCGGAACATGCCGCTTCCTAGTTGTGTGACGTGTGGATACTGAATCGCATCCGGTGTTGAAGGAAGTTCCATCAGCGATAGAATCTCGAGTGATCCTTCAAGGCAGATCTTTCGGGAGTAGGAACATTTTGGAAGTCGTACAACGCTAAGTGAGAAGGGTCGGTGTAAGGCGAGGAGAAATTTGCGCATGATGAACATGTGGATAGACTGAGCGAATTGATGGCGTGTCGCGTCGGAAGGGCTGATGCTAGATGCATTGTCTTCGAATAGTGATGCTGCGTTCTTCACAAACCGGAGCATTTCCTCCCCTATCCGCAAGGCCTCGTCGTAGGAAAGATCGAATTTTAAGGCGTTGATCTTCTTTGCGATGTGATATCGTAGCGGTAATGACTTTGAAAGAAGAGTTTGGTAGAAGTTCCGAGTATATGTTGCGGTGCTGAGAGGAGCCGGGTTGCTCTCCATGCTTTCGATCAGATCGGTGTCGTCCCAGTTGGACGGAGGATCGCAATCGCTTTCATCGAGGTCAATTGACGGGATCACTCCTCGGTCTAGAGAGATCTTCAAATCGAGCTCCACGATTGTCGCCCAGACTCGACGGCGCATCTCACACCAGAATGGGCGAGTGCCCTTGCGGAAGCGTGTGGGGTCGCGATGCAGTCCCATCGTCATTGCGGAACGAATAAGTGATCCTGACGAAGCCCAAGCTACATCCCCATCATTTGCAACTCCGAGACGAGCCATCAACAGCAGAGTCTGCGTCTGGATCATCCTTAGATCGATTTCCGGGCTCACAAACGTGCAGGAGATATAGGACTGAACGCCCATGATCCACTTCATCGCTGGGGTTTGGTATATCTCGCGGGCTTCAGGCTCCATCGATATATGGAAGCAACTTCCCGCTGCCAAGACTGCTAACAATTGGGCTACGAAAGCCATGTCTGGATTCCGAGGGTTCTCCCAGTAGTCGGAGTACTGCTTCATAAAGGTCGGGATGTGCAAGACCCGAAAGGTCGAGTCGAAACTATCCAGATACAGTTGAAGCAGCTCATCCGCGACGGTTCGTGCTGGTACCATTTCGTTCAAATTGAAGGCCTGCTCTTTGAAGGCTCGCTGGTGGCTTTGGCTTTCACGAGACCAGAGCTCACACTTGAATTTTTTCATGTCGTTAAACTCCACGTCCTTGACGCCCTTGTGGCCACGTCGCAGGAATGAGCCAATATCTTGGAACTATTCATACTTAGCAGTTATTCAACTTCGGCGTTGGGTGTTCGGTTCACTTACAAAAGATACCGTTGTGGTGTAGTGGCTACGCCCGAAATATCGAGTTTTGCCCCTTTTGCCCCGGAAACTGCCATCGGGAAGAAAGCGCACACGGTCGTCCACGCCGGCTGCATCTGAACTGTGCAAAGATGTGCCGATGTCGGAAAATAAGTCGCCAACCGATGTCTCTGGAGTTTGGAGAGCATTCGGTTTCGACAGTGCACGTTCCAGCGTGCGCAGTCTGTTCCTGAGTTCATGCAGCTCGTCCGATTGACCTCGTTTGGAAACGCGGTTAGAACTCGACTTCGGCCCCATTTTGGAATCGAAGACAAACATCCCGCCGTTCCCAGACTGGTCGTCCGAGACGCTAGGCATCCGCATTCGAGATACTGGAGGTGACATATGGCGCGAGGGCTCTGAAATAGCCCCGGGCCGTGGCCCAACAAAGACGCACGAAGCCGCAGTCTTGGAGCGAACGCATTGCCCGCATGGAAGCGAGCGATCGCACTTTAGTTTTCGCCGACGACACTCGGTGCAGGAAAGCGGGGGCCGTCGCCGCCGCTGGATGACTTTGGCCTCTCCCGTCTCACCCGGTGACAGCGACTCTTGATAGTCGGCCATTTCCATTTACTGGCAATTTGTTGCCTGATCTCAGACGGAAATGCTATTCACGATCAATCGTGAAAAGGCTCGCGCAGAATTGATGACGCAATGTCGTTGGCGCGCACTGTCGGTGTTGTCGATAGAACGGATTGTTGACTGCTGCCTTCATCCAACAGTCTCTCTCTCTCTCTGATCATCCTCGCGCAGAGATTTGTCTAGAGAAATAGACGACAGCGAAAAGATGACTAGATATGCCACGCGCGGTGGAGTTAGAAATTCCCCGAGTTCGGAGTTACCGTATCGGGTATTAATGCCAAGCTTTTCTTCGTATCTGATTGATAAGCCTGCAGCGGTTTCAGAATTAACACGAAAGGTTGTCTCTGACTCAGGGCTCCTTTAAGGAGTATCGTCCGGGAGCTCGGTTTGAATTACCTATTTTGGTAAATTTGATGATATTCTATGGCTACCTGGGTATATTAACTTGCCCCATCGATGGAATGTCATTTAATGATCGCAACAACTTCATTCACGTAAGTTGTTCAACAATCATGGTTGATCTATCTCTACAAGAGAAGGAAACGTCACATATATATTAGGGGCTTACCCTGTTGTAAAATTCCCCTACGGCAAAAAGTCTACATGTAAGTGCCATGGATCATCTTAGACTTATCCTCAACATACACCACCTCAAAAGCGGCTAATCACCCGACGATATGGAGTCCGAAATGCAGCATTATATAAATCGACACGCTGGGTATGTATGCTTGCCATAGATACAAAGAAAGAAAAGAAAAAATATATTCAAATTGCCCAACTTCCTCTTCGTTCTGGCATACCCCAGGCTTCGAACCCGGTGTCATCCTCTGCCATGGTTGGTTGTTGTCGAGCCCATTCACGGATGTAGCGACGGAGAGCCCTCCATCGAGTGCACGCCGTAACAGGACCATCATCGGGGGCAACGACGTATCCTCTTGCATCTGTGTGCAGGTCATCACGTCGAAGATCTTCGACTGTAATACCTGAGATCTTGCTCAGTTCATAGTCGTAGTAGCGAGCAATACAGGGGTAGCCCAGAGATAGATAGTTGTAGATCTGGGTGATGAACCCGTCATGGAATTCATCTTGCAGAATTTTGGGAGTAAGATTGAGTATATCAGGCCGCGGGGATAGTTGGCTCGTCATGCCCTGCAGGTTCGTGCAGGTCGAAGAGCGCGACAGCCTATCCAGGTCTGTCTCATCGCCCCGGAGCATCGGAGTCATGATTCCGGAAAACGCGTGCAAGTCCCCATGGCCATCTCCGCTCTCGCCCTTGCGACAGGTGCCCATCCAAAGGCCGGCACCTCGTCCACCTTGAGGTCGGCTGTCGGCACACCAGAGGCCGTCACAGCCGTTGCAAGGATCTTGTGCTGCCTGCGAACCATCGGCCGTGGATTTTTCGCACATCGTCCCATTAGGGGATAGGCTCTGGGGCAAGACGATGTCGTCTCCAAGCATTGGTGGGATTGTCTTACCGTCAGCTCTGGGTGCAGATTGATTACTAGCAGACGTCCGGTCTCGAGCTTTCGAGGCAGCCATCGCCCGCAAACGCATTTCCGCCTCTTCTTTATGGTGACGCATGTAGTCGAGTTCCCAGGACAGATCGGCCGAAGACTGTCGCCGAGACTTGAGATGATGTTTCTGGGGATACCGTAGATCATCCTCCGAGTCCCAATCTTCCTCGTCAGCGCCAAAGTGATCCACGGGCTCATAGACTTGTTCGTTGGGAAAGGCGGCTAGCGCCTGCTCTCTGAGCTGCTTCTGTGCCGAGCGAGCGGCTAGAGAGAGCAAGTATTCTTGATATTCACCATCACCGCTCTCCCTGAGCATCTTTTCAGGCTTCAGATTGCCGGTGAACTTCTGTGACGATTTGTAAGAGGACGATAACGGCGGCGAGTGGGATGGTTCGTCAGAGTCCTCACTGCCACTGGACTCGATTGACGGCAGTTCAGGAACCCGAAATGAATGCCTTCGTCCCTCTTGACGGCGAAGGAGACTTGCGTATGAGAATTTCGATTCGGGCAGCTCGGTATAGGCAGTGCGACTGGGATTGATCCGGGACATGGTTCTCGAGGCTCCAGGCCTCGGACTAAGAGAACCTGACCCACGAGAAAGCTCTTCTGATTTTCCTTTGACGGAGCGACGGTCTGTTTCAATCAGGTCGGGCTTGAACCTTCTTGGGCCGACCGGAGAGTTCTGCTCCGGTGTTTGCGCTCGTGACGGAGCTCCTTGATTGTTTGACTTTGTTGTCTCAATCGGCTGTGGTAGAAACCGTCGACGGGGCTGTTTTTCGTCCGACTGCGCCGTGTTCTTTGAAGAGGCATTGGAGCCATCTTCATGGTCCCCTGGACTGTCTGTATTCGGTGTTGGTCGGGTTTGAGAGCTGCGCGACGAAGTTTCGATCGGTTGCGCTAGGAACTTCCGGGGACGTGGAGAAGACTCGGGGTCCCTCGAGGCATGAGCTGTGTCTTGTTGGCCACTCGCAACTGTTTGACCGGTAGGTGATAAGACTGAGGATTCGGGGTTGTTCGATGTCTTGTGCTCCGTCGTTCCAGATTGCTCTTCCCGGGGTGGTTGAAGCTCCCCCTGGGAGGGCTGGCCACCCATTTTTTATCGTGGGCGTAAATGTGAATACACCATGCTCTAGTAGAATCGACGATGAGCCCAAAGAGCGGAGGGCCTGGTGCGAGGTTCCGCCCACCCGTGGGCTACGGCACCTGAGAGTATCAAAATCGATTGAATGAAGGTCGAGACTGGAATGACAGAGAGCATGAACTACAGCGTCCAAACTCCCAGATCCAAGATGAAGGTGATGTTGACAAGGTAAAGGGCGGGGGAACGGGAGACTTCCACGCGTACGGAGCTTCCGAGTCCCTTCACCGCAAATGACATCAGAAAGATAAGATAGCGACTTCGGCTTCGGCTTCGGCTTCTTCTTTCTACCGCTAACCTCCCAATGGAACCGACCGAGAAGCGTAAATTCGACGGGGAGGATGGCGACACTCAATCCAATGCCCCCAAAAAAAGAGTGATTGGGCCTTCGTTGCCCCCGTCTGCATCGGCGCAACCTGATCACGAAACCTCCGGCAGCGAATCGGACAGCGAAAGCGACGACGACTTCGGCCCCAGTCTGCCTCCTCCTGCCGGCACGTCGATAGCGCCCGTGGAACAGCCGGTCGGTCAATCAGATGCGCCAGCCCGCGAGAAGAAGGAGAGTCAGCGTGATCAATGGATGCTGGCGCCCCCCGACGGGAGCGACTGGGCAAACAAGATCGACCCTACGCAGATCCGGAACCGAAAATTCAATACAGGCCGTTCTGCCCGCTCGGGAGGCTCAAAAGAAGTCGATTCCTCGTGGGTAGAGACTCCGGAGGAGAGGATGAGACGGCTGGGAGATGCTGTGATGGGAGTCGGCACACCATCCGGTGACGCCAAGCAACCCAAAGCCTCCAGCACGGCTAGAGACAAGTCCATGGAAGAGAGGATCAAAAAGTACAAAGTGAGTACCCCTTCGTCGTCATGGCTACTGGCCCCAGTGCTTATGCTTGCTACAGGAACAGAGCGGAAAGAACAGCCGCCTTGAGAGTGCCGAAGCACGCAAGGAGGAGGACGACGATCCCAGTGCGCGTGCATTTGACCGCGAGAAGGACATGGCAATCTCATCCAAAATCTCCAATGCGAAGCGGCGGGAAATGGTGAATAAAGCAAGCGACTATAGTTCGCGCTTCAGCAAGGGCGCGTTTCTCTGAAATTCGATATCTAATCTACATTCTGCTACATTCTGCCTTCTATCTCCGGTTCCCAGTCAGATATGGCTGCTTTCTTGTGAGACCTCTTGGATTTTGGAACCACTTCAATCAAAAGCAGAATCTAAACCTATCCTCAGTGGCTCATTGCCGACTTCATTACTACCGGGTATGTGCTCGGTCTCTTTCTGTCGTTTCATGTGATGTCGGGTCCGATGTATATATTCAGGATTTTGCTTCTAGCTCTTTGATATTCGCGGGAATAGGTTTGCGAGTGGACGAATGCCGGTAGCGCTGGAGCTTATAGGAGTTGGTCCCACAAAGGTGGTGTGGCGTGAAACGAGAGGCCCTTTGTGTTGACCACCTCCACGACTACAAGGGATTCGAGGGTCCACTGTATCATAACTATAGGCTGCTTGCTTCATGGTCTGCAGCATGTGGGCTTTTCGGCTATTCCCATGATGGTGCCCCTACGCTCACATTATATAGTTTACTCGTAAACATCATCTCATCGGAAGTATAAGCCGGTGAGGCGACCTGGAAGTTTCCAGCCATTGGAGTGATGAACCGCACCTTATACTAGTTTCTGCCTCCTCATCTCTCCGATTGTCCCATTCATCCATTCACCTCCTTCCCTCTCTCCCTGCGGCGGGATCCAACACGTTTTATCTCCTTCCAATCCAATCCCCTTCCTCGCGGGCTCCTCCTACATCTGTGCCGTACTTCGCATCTGCTGGATTGACGAAGCTCCATTTCCCTTTCCCCCGGGTTTTCTGCTCTCGCGCACACCCATCTTGCCAAGATGGCACGAGTTCTCCAAGACCCATGGGACCTCGATCATAACGTCCGTGTTTATGACAATGATGGAACCATACTTGCTTGTAAGCAATACATACCCAAAGGCTGTATACACGGGAACAAAAACAAACTGATCATTAACGCCAACATAGCATTACAAGTCAACTCGGATCGAATCTACGTGACTTACCAGATGCTGTACCGCTACTGCAGTATGATTTTCATCATACCCAGCCAGCAAACGTGGTCATTATTTTCTCTCCTCCAAAATGGGACGCTAGGCGGCTATGTGCCTCGTGAAGACAGCCAAACCCTCGTCGCCCCGGGCAATTATATTGTTCTTGATCACCAAAGTACGTGTACTATACCTATAGGTACCACAGTCTCTAATATTTACTAGACCGAACCCCGATCACGATCCAACTCACCCCCGAGCGAGCACCACGCCGTGTCACCACCTGGGACCGGAGCACCCAGTCTCAAGGACAACGTGAAAGGGACCGGTTGGTAAGTTAACTCTAGGAATGCGTATATTATAGCAAAGCTAATAGCCTTTACAGCAGTCACAGTTCCGAAGAAGCGTTAGTGCACGAGACACCGCTTGCGCAATCACTAACGCTGTCCCTACGTTCTCAACTCCCACCAATCCATATGGGGGTCTACAAGCCTCCCATATATTCCCTACAAGCCAGCTTGTAGAATGGAACCGAGCCAACTACAGACGTTACATTACCGATCCTAGTCCTGCAAACCAAATTGGGGACAGTGGCCTTTACTCCCCCCAGAATGGGCTTTTCCTCGATGCCGCTGTCCATCAAATGTTCGATGAGTTCCTATTAGGGGTGGATCCAGATGTAAGAGATATTAAATTATTGTTTTTTATGTTTGATTGAGGCTAATATGTTATAAATCTAGGCCGGCTACCAAATAATCTGTTTCAGCGCAGATCCAAGAGAACTCGGCGGGGAACGCCTCAGGAGCTCTGCCAGAAATGGTACTAACCCAAATAACCGCGTCAGTGCAGATCTTCTGCGCTGGCATCTGAGAATGTGTGTGTACCGCAGTATGAAAGGCAATGCTGAGCCTCGGTCGTCATGGGAAGAAGATCTCGGCAGCGACGATGTAGGGCAAATTCTCGAGCAGCCAGATGCCGGCGAAAGAATGGAGGTAGAGCTCTTCACACGTCTCGGAGAACTGGTGGCTTAGATGCATTTGAAATACCCAAATTGAATTCCCAAGATCATGTCATGACATTCGTGCATCGAATTGCTATCAGCTCAGAAATAATAGTATCTAATCTGAAAGAAAAAGCCAAGACGTGGCAGCGGTTAGCCGGTACATAGGGCAGGTATGCGACAACCAGGAATGGTGCGGATATTCATGTCGAACAATACTAGCATCTAGATAAACACTTCAAGGTTATAGATATACAGTTTGATAGTTGGATCGATATACCATAGTTAGGTAGCAGTCTCGGGTCAAGCTATTTACACACAATCTTTTGTCTGTCTTCCTAGTTCAACTCCACGTAGTTGGCCGGGAACAGGCCCTCCGCACCATTGTACTTTCCATACCACCAGTCATCATCGGGGAATTGCTATGTATCAAGATTAGCACTATGCCACAGAAGGGGGTTCAAATATGAAGAAAGAAGGTTTACTTACGATATCCTCGATCGTGGCATTTTCGGGGAAGCTGAGCTCGTTGTCTTCTGCGGCCTCGTAGTCGTAAAGCGCCTTGGCAGTGTGGCCCTTGGAGCTGGCAGCGGCGGGCTCTGGAACAGCGGCGGGAGCAGGCGTGGGTTCGGGCTCGGGCTCGGGCACGGGCTCAGGTTCGGCTTCCGCAAAGTGAGTTTGACCGTGGGAGGCGGCGGGCTGCTCGTCATCCACAAGCTCCACGTAGACAGCAGGGAAAAGACCGGTTTTACCCTCGGCATTCTTCCCCTGCCACCAGTCCTCGTCGACTTGCTGGATCTCGGTGACATATTCACCTTCTCGAAGTTCAATTTCATTGTCTTCACCAATCTCATAGTCATACTTCACCAGAGCGCGCTGTCCACCGAGCGACTGGTCATCAACGGTAGCTTCCGCGGCAGCCCGACCAATATCATGAGTATCATCCTCAAGGTCCTGCTCGTCCGGAACGGCCTCCTGGAGACTCTGGACAGGCATGGCGGGAGGCGGCGAATTCTGCTCCTCATGGGCATCCGTCACGCCTCGGCCAACAGGCATAGCGACTTGGATGGGTGAGCTCTCGCGCACAGGCGGAGTAGGGGGCGTTGGTGAGCGAGGTTGCGGCGGCGGGGTGGGCAGAACTTGCTGAGCATCATGCTCGGGCTCGGGCTCGGGCTCAGACGGTTCGGTGGCCAGTCCGGGGACGGGAACAGGACGACTGGCCTGGGGAACGGGCGGAGCAGGTGCTTCCGCGGGAGTCGAGTGGGCAAATTGATCGCGGATGCCTCCAACGTGAGACGATGGCTCTGGAGCCTCTGTTTCCTGGGAATCGGCAGCCCTTGCGTCGACAGCCTGGGGGACAGGCATGTCCTTAACCGTCTGCACAGGCGCCCATGACTTGCCGGCATATGAGCTCCTCCATTCACCCTGTCCACTGGTCTGGCTCTGGATCGGCTCCGTATCAGTGGAAGCGGGAGCGGGAGCCTCTCCACGCTCCCTGGCTTTACGCTCTGCCCACAGCTGCGCCGGGGTTTTTCCTCCCTGATCAGCAAAGGTTCGGCTGGCACTGCCAACCTGCGGCGCCACAGCAGGTACGCTGGAGCTAGCTGGGAGAGGTGGTTTCGTGCCGCCAAAGGAAGGGCCGCCACCGAACTTGTTCGCAACCTTGGGCTTGGGCAGCGTGGTCAGGCGCTCGGCCTCCTGGTTCATGACTGGGCGTTCAGGGAGAGAGACGGGCTCGTTCCGAGATACCGGGCTGGGTACGGCTGGGGAGCTATCACCAGCACCTTCGGGCTTCTGGGCTCTGGCGCGGATGGCGGCAATGTCCACTTTGCCGACCGGTTCGTAAGATCCCTTTACAGGTGCCGGGCGATCGTCTTGTGTCCGGCCAGACTCGGCGGCCTGCCTCCGGATTGCTGCAATGTCCACCTTACCTATCGGCTGGTAACCGCCCCGGACGACATCACCTCGATCCTCGGAGGGAGCAGGGGCCGGCTGGTTAGCAGGAGTCTGGTTCTCATTCTTGAGTTGTTGCAGGTTCACGCGGGTAGGCTGATACGCAGATTGGACCTTCTCAAGCTGAGTCCGAGTCACCGGAGGCGCATCGGCGCCCCAACCATCATCATCAACATTGGATGTAGTAGCAGGCTTGGGACGTGGTGCCGGAGTCGGAACGATGCCACCTGACCTGGTGGGTGTGAAGACGGGCTTGCTGGCAATGGGAGGAGGGCCGGTGGATGTCGAGCCGGAGGAAACGGGGGCCTGCGAATCCGCCGAGTACTTCGAGCCTGAGGAGTCGGCCACTCGCTGGATGATACCCTCGGGGGTCAGATGGCCTTCAGCCCGGGCCGTGATCTGGACATGATAACCCTAAATCGAGGACCGCTATCAGTATGGCCGCCAGTTGAGTTGCCGGAATGCCGGGAGGGTCTCCTCACATGTAGAAACTTGGACACGCTGGCGAGATGGCTGGTAAAGTAACCTTTGGTCCGTTCTGGGACACCTTCACCGCACCACCCAATGAGGACGTTCTTGGGCAAGCCCGTGTTGGGGTCTATCACCTTCACATAGGCAAACTGAACTCGTCCCTCCGAGAACTCTTCAATAAGATCATCCAATTCACCATCTGCAAAAACCGTCAGCAGCGAACCCAACAGATCTCACATCGACGACGGACCTCCCGAGGTTTGGACCTTCAGCACACTCTCTTTGTTACCCGCATCCTGCTGAAAGGCATTGACCAACGGGGTCGAGACTGAGTAGACGACCCATTGGGCGTAGGTTTTCGATGTAGGGTTGAGTGACGCGTTTACCACGGACTGGTAGCTTTTGGATATCGAAGGCCCGTTGGCTGAGAGGTTGAGGGACGCCATGGCTTCTGGAAGAACCGAGAGGGTAGGATATCAGGAGCCCCAAGGAAAGATAGCTAATCAAGTATATCGTGGTCAATTAAAATCCCGTGTGGAGGGGTCGGTGTGGCGGGGCCAACGTGGAAGCTCCCACGTACACAAAGGGGGCGGAGATGAGAGGGGAAGAGGGGGGAAGGCTGACGTAGGCGGAGAGATCTCGGCACTTACAAAAGGGTTGAGAACAGAAGGGAGTCAAAGTAGTTGTCAAAGTAATGGGGTAGGAGTCAAGGTAGGCAGGGGAGTCAGTGTTAGTGAAGATGGGTCAAATGTAGTGAGAAGTGTGAGGGGAGAGTTATAAGGCGGAGGAATGACGGTCGCCTGGGAGGCGGAGGGGTCCACTCGGAGCTTCATCTCTACGTGAATCGCGGCCACTGGGGAAACCCGATTTCTAGCGGTGACATGTTACATAGTTCGACATAAAAAAAGTATTTCAGAATAACATCTAGAAAGACGTTTAGAAAAGTATTCACAGGGAAAAAAAAATGAATGAATGAAAAGAGAACAGTGGCCGCGATTCACGCAGGTACACGTCATCACCGAGCTTCAACATCGAGTCTCGGCTTAGTCCATAGATGAATTTTATTAGCTCTGCAATCATGCTACAGCCACGTGCAAGATAGATCGGGATGCATTAAGCATTGTTTACCATTTTTGACTGCAGTCGCAACTTATCAGTCACAGGATCCACCGAGACTCACCGGGGTGTGGATCACTGGATCACAAGGGGCAGAAAATATAGATCTCTCATTCTCCCTTGTCCTCCCATCATGGATCGATAGTCCTTTTTCCTCCGCCGCTTGTCCTCCCCGCTTCAAATCTATTCTTCGCATTTTTTAGTTAACGCACGGCGGAACGCAAAGAACAGAGTCATGGGGTCTTCCGGGTCCGACAAGCTCGGTCTTGATCTCAATGCCAGCACACCCAACAATGAGTCCCTCCGATTCCTTGACTTCCTCGACAGCTCGGCGAGTACCCCCGTCTACGAGGACCCGGAGTCTAAGGAATCGGGCGCCGACATCCTGCCTCGCGATCAACAGCAGAAGACGGCCACCTACGATTATGCCTACGAGAAGTCTATGAGTCACGCCGAGGCCAAACTCTTCTACCAGCACCACCAGCTGTCCACGAAGAGCGCCGATAACACCGTGCCTCCCAGCCCGGCGCCCGCGGGGCGTTCCGCTACCGACCACGAGGAAAGGGCGATGGCCTCGGACTTCAGCCCCCAGAACAAGGACCACGCAGCTCCAAAAGGTTCCACGACTTTCGAACCAGAATGGAACTTGGGACCCTCGTCTTATAATGGAGCCTATGGGATGCACCAGGGCGAGGACAGCCATCTGGCGGACCACACGGCGCGGAACCACGCCGTGTCCTTGGGAGCTGCCCAAGCCGCGCAGACTAATCAAGGGCCCCATTCGTCAGCGGCCGAGAGTCTTCAAAATTCCGGCCTAGGTATTGGCATGTCCCAGGGGGCTGGGTTTGCGCCGGGTGGCGATGCTGTGACGGCCGAATTGAAGACCATCTACCGCAAGATCAAGGGTCTTTTGGATTTGCGATCAAAGTACATGGCGCTGTCACTTCAACGGCCGGGCGATGATCCACGAGATCAACCCGGCTGGGATCTCTACCCTCCGCCTCCCGAGCCAGCTTGGGATGATGGCAAGGAATATCAACCCGGCTACGTCGGTGGCCCGTCCGATGTGATACCGGAGAAGAGGCGAAAGATGGGAGAGGATATCGGAGAGGATTTCGACATGGCTGAAGTGACAATCCCCGGCGAGTCTTCTTGCACCTACCGATTGGACCGCAATAGTGTGTATCAGGTGTACGAGTCGGAGGCCGCTGCGGACCGTCACGAGCCGTTGGTTGATATTCCCTCGCTGCGTGACTTTTACATGGATTTGGATGCCGTAGTAGATGTCTCCACCGATGGCCCGACCAAGAGCTTTGCTTTCAAGCGTCTGTCCTATTTGGAGGGCAAGTTCCAGCTCTATACGCTGCTGAATGAATATCAAGAGATCGCCGACAGCAAGAAAGTCCCGCATCGAGATTTCTACAACGTGCGCAAAGTGGACACTCACGTTCATCATTCAGCATGCATGAACCAAAAGCATTTGCTCCGCTTCATCAAAAGTAAGATGAGAAAGTCACCCGACGAGGTGGTCCTCTTCCGAGACGGAAAGCATCTCACTCTCAGGGAGGTCTTTGAGAGTATCAACCTCACTGCCTATGACCTCAGCATTGATACCTTGGATATGCACGCGCACACCGACTCTTTCCATCGGTTCGACAAATTCAACCTCAAGTACAACCCGGTGGGAGAGTCCCGACTCCGTGAGATTTTCTTGAAGACGGACAACTACATCAAGGGCCGTTATCTCGCGGAGATCACCAAAGAAGTGATCTCCGACCTGGAATCCAGCAAATACCAGATGGTCGAGTGGCGGATCTCGATCTACGGGCGATCTCTCCAGGAATGGGACAAGCTGGCCGCCTGGGTGGTGGACAACAAGTTGTTCTCCCCCAATGTTCGCTGGCTGATTCAAGTACCGCGTCTGTACGACGTGTATAAGTCGAGCGGGATGATGGAAAACTATGAGCAGGTCATCTCGAACGTATTCCAACCCTTGTTTGAAGTGACCAGGGACCCCTCGAGTCACCCTAAGCTTCACATCTTCTTACAGCGCGTTGTCGGATTCGACAGTGTGGATGACGAGAGCAAAGCCGAGCGTCGACTGTATCGGAAGTATCCGATCCCGCGGGAATGGAATACCAAGCAAAACCCGCCTTACAGTTACTGGCTCTACTTTATGTTCGCCAACATCGCCTCTCTCAACCAATGGCGTCGACGCCGGGGCTTCAACACCTTTGCCTTGCGGCCCCATTGCGGTGAAGCCGGTGACCCGGACCACCTGGCCGTGGGCTTCCTTTGCTGCCATAGCATCAGTCATGGCATCTTGCTGCGCAAGGTGCCCCTGCTGCAGTACCTGTACTACTTGAACCAGATCGGTATTGCCATGTCGCCGCTCAGTAACAACGCCCTGTTCCTCACATACGACAAGAATCCTTGTGCCAGCTTCTTCAAGCGTGGGCTGAATGTGTCCCTGTCCACCGACGATCCACTACAGTTCGCTTTCACCAAGGAGCCTCTCATTGAAGAGTATTCGGTGGCTGCACAAATCTACAAATTCAGTGCCGTCGACATGTGTGAACTGGCGAAACATTCCGTCGACCAGAGTGGATTCGAGCTACCGTTGAAGCAGAGATGGCTGGGCTCGAACTGCAGCGCCCGCGGGGTGGCTGGCAATAATGTCGCAAAGAGCAATGTTCCCGACATCCGTGAAGCGTTTAGGCACGAGACTCTCGTGGCAGAATTATCACTGTGAGTCGTGACCGGAAGGAACCGTAGGGAATAGAATGCTAACGTTCTATCCCCAGAATTGAACGATATTCCGAAGGCGCCGCCGCCGAAGAAAGAAATACCTTGGCCCCTGGCTTGCTTCATACCGCCAAGCAAGGTTCTGTTAAGGGGCCCCCGTCCGAGACTCAAGGTATGTCTGATATTGAACCATCAATCTGCTCTACAAGAATCTCGCAGTCGCTCATTCAAAGTAATCAGCTTCGGAATCTGTCTCGCAACCCGGGTCCAATGAGCCATGCCAAGCCCCTTCGACGGCGAACAATGCCAACGGCCTTCGTCCTGATTCAGGGATTACCCATGTGACGCCCTTCCCCGAGCTTTCTTCGTCTCCCAGCAGTAGTACTCTGGGAGCAGACGGGTTACCGGAGCAGAAGATCTTCCCTGGTATTGTGCATGAATCGGTTCGACGAGGAAGTAGGCTTTCTCAGCAGTCCGCGGATGACCACAATCATTAATTACCACTGAATGGGACAATATGTGCGGCTTCGGGTCTTCTGTGAAGCCGATTTCGGGTTTTTCTCTCGTTGCAATTTCGGTGATTTAGGCGCAGCCACTTGGTGCGTCTCTCGGTACTTTACTTGGGCGACTAGTGATGCCGAGGCTAGGGCGATTGAATGGATCAACACTTTTCTGATTCACGATTAGACGAGGAGAGGATCTGGGGAGTTGCCCTTCATTTATGACCTTTAAGATAATAAAATAAACAAACGTAAAATAACCACTTTTCTCTCTGAACAAGCCCAAATACGGTTGTATCTTATGCAAATATTACTAGACACTGATTCTTTTTCATCCTGATCGAAACTAGAGGACGTCATGACGCCTTATGTAATGGATCCATCACGTGCCTCGTAAAAGCGCCATAAACAAGTCTCGCGAGGCCGACCTCCGCCTGCGCCTGCGAGGGATCTTCGTTTGCCAAACTCCGAGGGCAGTTTTATTCTGCCGATCTTCAACTCCTCCCTTGTGCACGTCTGCATTCCCAGGGCCTCGCTCTTTCACCATGGCGTCGTTGGGCGAGGATCTCCTGGTCACTGTGAATAAGCTTCAGGACTTGGTCTTCAACACCATTGGAAACGACTCCCTCGATTTGCCTCAGATTGTGAGCCATACCGATTGCCCCCGACTGAACCATTGTCGCGTCATGTACTAATCGTTCTAGGTTGTCGTCGGTTCCCAATCCTCCGGCAAGTCGTCGGTCTTGGAGAACATCGTCGGGCGAGACTTCTTACCACGCGGCAGCGGCATCGTCACCCGACGTCCGTTGATTCTACAACTCATCAACATCCCCAGCGAGCGTGACGACAGACCGGAAAATGACGAAATTCATGTGCCGCACACGGCAGCCAGCGTGGCCGGCCAACACGAATGGGCCGAATTCCACCACCAGCCCGGCCGCAAGTTCGAGGATTTCCAACAGGTGAAGCAAGAGATCGAGGCCGAAACGGCGCGGATTGCGGGCAGCAACAAGGGCATCAACCGACAGCCCATCAATTTGAAAATATTCTCTCCTCATGTCCTCAACCTGACCCTGGTGGACCTTCCCGGTCTCACCAAGGTGCCGATTGGCGACCAACCGTCCGACATTGAGAAACAAACTCGCACCCTGATTCTCGAATACATTGCGAAGCCGAACAGCATAATCCTTGCGGTCTCTCCGGCCAACGTGGACCTGGTCAACTCCGAGGCGTTGAAGCTCGCCCGGCAAGTGGACCCCATGGGTAGGAGGACGATTGGTGTCCTGTCGAAATTGGACCTCATGGACCATGGCACCAACGCGATGGACATTCTGTCCGGTCGTGTGTACCCCCTGAAACTGGGATTCATTGGCGTGGTGAATCGGTCCCAACAGGACATCCAGTCGGGCAAGGAGCTGGCAGAGGCCCTGCGAGCCGAGGCTGACTTCTTCCGCCATCACCCCGCTTATCGCAACATGGCCAACCGATGTGGAACACACTTCCTGGCCAAGACCTTGAACTCGACCCTGATGGCCCACATTCGAGACCGTCTCCCGGATATCAAGGCGCGCCTGAACACGCTGATGGGCCAGACCCAGCAGGAACTGGCAAGCTACGGCAACAAGCAGTTCAGCGGAAAGGAGCACCGCGGATCGTTGATTCTGCAGTTGATGACCCGCTTCGCCTCGTCCTTCATCTCGTCCATTGACGGTACATCCTCCGAGATTTCGACCAAGGAGCTTTGTGGCGGAGCCAGAATCTACTACATCTTCAATGAGGTGTTCGGCAACTCGCTGGAAACCATTGATCCTACACACAATCTGACCGTCTCCGACATCCGGACGGCCATCCGCAACTCGACCGGTCCCCGGCCTAGCCTCTTCGTCCCGGAGCTGGCTTTTGATTTGCTGGTCAAGCCGCAGATTAAGCTTCTGGAGTCTCCTGCTCAACGATGCGTGGAGCTGGTTTATGAGGAGCTTATCAAGATCTGTCATACCTGCGGCTCGCAGGAACTCCTGCGATTCCCCCGTCTCCAGGGTAAGCTCATAGAGGTGGTATCCGATCTTCTCCGCGAGCGTCTGGGGCCTTGCGCAGGCTACGTGGAGTCTCTGATTTCCATCCAAAGAGCGTATATCAACACCAACCACCCCAACTTCCCCGGTGCCGCTTCCGCCATGCAATCGATCATCCAGAACCGACAGGAGGAAGAGCGCAAGGCCATTCTGGCAGAAGAGAAGAGAAAGCGCGAGAAGCGGCGGATGAAGGAGCTTGGTGCGGCCAACGGAACGGCTGGCACGCCGGAGGACGAGGATCCACAAAACGACAAGCACAGCCTCCCCATTCGAAGCCACTCCGCCAAGGGCGCTCGAAGCATGTCGCCCAATGTTGGTCGCAACGCGGAGAACGGAATTGCCGCGACGCTGAACGGCAGTGCGAACCATCCGGCTGGCTTCGGTGCCTCGCACGCTACCCGCGATTCCTTCTTGAACTACTTCTTCGGTAAAGAGGGCGGCATTCAGCACTCCCCGTCGCAAGCTGCATTGAACCGGGCAGCTCACGCGAGCGAGCCCAGCATCAGCCAGAGCATTCGCCGCGCCGAGTTGCGGTCGCCCGTGATACCCGCGGACGAATACCCTGCTCCCATCGACTACGGGAGTGACATGTCTTCTGTTTTCGTAAGTGATACAGCACTGCCATTCTCCGGAAGTGTTCGACTAACCTCTTCACAGCCCAGCGAGAATGCGGAGCCCACCCTGACCGATCGCGAGATGCTCGAGACCGAGCTGATCCGCCGACTCATCTCTTCCTACTTCAACATCGTACGCGAGACCATTGCCGACCAGGTCCCCAAGGCCATCATGCACCTGTTGGTCAACCACAGCAAAGACGTCGTGCAGAATAGACTTGTTAGCGAACTTTATAAAGAGGATCTCTTCGGCGAGCTGCTTTACGAAGACGACGGCATCAAGGCGGAGCGCGAGAAGTGCGAGCGCCTGCTGGAGACCTACAAAGAGGCCGCGAAGATCGTGGGCGAAGTGTTATAGATGCAACGCGGTGTTTAGCGACGCGTCCCCTTCTTCCCTTTCCCCCTTTTTTTTCCTTTTTCTGTTTGACTATTCGAAATGTGGGATGCTTATGTGGATGTACAATTACCGGAGGTTTGCACATGCGTGATATACTTTCTTTCGGAGATTTTTTTAAATGATTCGTATGCGTTTAGCTTTTTTGAAAGATGCGAATGACCCGAGATTAAATACTCAACTCGGAATATATATGCTTGTTTACCGCGCCTTCTTCGTAGCCTTTCGCAGTCGTGCGCCCTCAAAGCCGTATAGGCCACCGCCGACAAAGACCAGCACTGCGCCGACCAGAACACCGGACCCCAAGTGGTTTCCAAACAGGTAGATTGACAGCAGCAGGGAGACCAGCTTGCGAACGTTCAAGACAACCGTCACCGTCAAGGAGGACGATTTGGCAGAGAGCAGGTGGACACCCCGAATGCATAGGTACTGCGTCAGAGCATTCATGATGAGAAATGCCACCTGGATCGGAAGCTTGTCGAGTGCTAATTGAACCGGCGCGTGTTTCTGGACAGTCGCCAGCACGGAGAAGGCTGTATTTCCCATGGCAGTAGACGCGACATCCGAGGATCCTCCCTGGGGGAACGTTGACAAAAGCGACGGTGTCGAGGATACCACTCGCCATTGCGAAGACAGCTGCGGGTAGCTAGTCAAGAACAGCGGCAGGGAGAGGGTATGCGAATAAAACAAGGCCTCCTTCCAATGATCCCGGCCATAAGTCGCGTACAACCGGTCTGCGTAAATACCCTGGAAAGCTGACAAGACCATCGCCAAAGCAAGGATCGTAAAGCCCGTCGCGGTGGTCATCATAGCCGTGTCTTGTCCCGACATCTCGATGGACTTGCCCTTGGCCTGGGCATCAGCCAACGCGGCGGCCACCACGCCCATGGTCAACATGGCGACTGCAAGCATCTGGCCCCGAGAATAACGCTTTCCGTTGAAAATGCACCCAACAATCATAGATGCCACTGGACCGCCGGATCGTAAAATGATATGAAGTGGCACGGAAATTCTATATGCAAATGCCCAATTGTTCAACATGTTGACCGTCACGAAAAACGAGGTGTATATCAACCATGACCGTAGTGGAATTGCTCGCGGGCTGAGGAACAGGGCTCGAGGTCCTGCGGAGAAGGACAGGAAATGCGGAAGGGTGAAAAGGGCGCACAGGACGAACTGGGCGAAGGTGATTAAGGGCCCTATGATCCGAATTAGGTTGTCTGCGATATGCCTAGACCGAACGAAATCCTTACCGGCTGTAGGCTGTTCTCTGCAAGGATATCTGTTAGCTTCTGGTAATACGAGACAATCAGAGCCCGACTTACTTGATGATAGCCTCCAGGGCGAATACCTACACCCATGTCAGCAGCCTACTTCCAGGCCTCAATCGAGCACACTCACATTCGCACAACACCCTCCAAAGATGAGCGATACCATCATCACCATAGTGGCCCATGTCGGAACTGTCGCGTGCGCGGCCGCCGCCATTAAACCAGACATGTCCTTCTCAGCGGCCGCCTTCAGTTGGGGCGATGGTGGCGATATAGGGACTGTGGCGTCACCGGAGCCATTGGGGGATATCTTGAGCGCATAGGCGTTCGCTTTTCGTTTTGAGGCATCGTCGTCGTGGATCATTGTGTCGGTCGAGTGTTGACGGATTGGACCAGGGCCCCTCTTTGGCTGCGCGCGTTGCGCAAGATGATCAATTCCGTCTTTTCCCCGGGGTTCTCGGTGGTCCTCCGTTCCTGTACAAAAAAAATTCAGTACGCGGGCAAAGGCCCAAAAAGATTGACGTGGTCGGTGAAGAGAGGAAGTTGGAAATCGGAACGTGATCGACGGGTGCGCGACACTGCCGCCTCCGCTTGGAGTTTCGGAGCAACGTTTACATTCCGTGGAATTAAACTTTAAGCTTTTCATACATTTCATATCTACATTTCATTTTTCAGGCCTATATCAGTCATCTACAATGTCATCGTCGCTGAGAATAAGCTTCTCTTCCTCCACTTGCAGACGAGGCCCAAATGCATTGCTGCTCGTTTTGGGAGGTTGAGGCTGTGACGGTGCCAGATCGTCCTCTTCAACATCATCCAGGCGACTTCCTCGAATACTGGTGATCTGGCTTAATTGCCCGTTATCGTCCGGCCGAATCTGGGTCATGTAGGGAAGTTGATGGAGCAGTGCATCATGGCGCGCCATCATTGTCATCGTTGAGGGACTGTCCCGACTCGATGCGTGACCGACCTGAAGACTTTTCCAGGATCTGACGCCCGTGGGCTCAAAGTTGGTGCCCATATTGCGCGCAGAAAGACTGTGATTGCTGGGATCAAGCATGTGCTTCATCCATGAATCCAAGAGGCCCTCGATCTCCTCGGTTTTCCTCCACAGTCGTAACGAGGACGGATAGAGCATCTTGTGGGCATTGCCGCGACCTCGCCCATCCCCTTGAGTTAGTTTCCGGTTGACCGGATAGGGAAGAGCGAACAGAAGCCCGCGCGCCGCCACCTGGAAACTGATTTCATCTTGTCGAAGCATATCAACTCCCGCGTTCTGAAGATTGGCGCCAATCCCAACGCCAGACCGCGCTCCTGTTGGCCGGCGATCGGCACCGAGTATATCGCTGTCGGATAGTGCTTCAATGCATGCATTAAGGTTATCCGTGAAGTGATCCCCGTTACAAGACGGTGGATAGTTCTCATGAAGGGCACATATGAAAGTGGAGATATCGGTGCCCGTCTCGTCAATTAGGTCATTGACGCCGACTTGCGAGACCTTGGGCCGTCGGTAATGGGAGAGATGGTCGGGTGGTGATGGAGGTATGGCAGCCTCAGTTGGCATCAGACTCGGGTCCAGACGTTTGTTGTAGACAATCTTGCCCACGGCATGGAACATTCCCAAACTAGCCTCTCTCTGTGAGATCAACTTGAGTGACTCTTCCTCCATCGGTGTCAAAGCCGTGTCCCCGCGAGACTTTTTGGTTTTCGTAGCGCTGCTGCCCCAGTTCCCTGTCTGGTCGCCTTTCAAACAAAGAAACTCCAGGGAAGAGATGGCGCTACGGATATCCCCAATCTCCGAGATCCTCTCCAGGACTGCCGGACCGGGGATTCGGCTACGCTGGGAAGCGCGTGCCTCTTTGTCGAGGATTGACCGTAAGGCCCTCTGCATAAAGGTCGGTGCAATGGTATTAAAGTCGATGATTGTCGTGTTCGGGTGGTTATACAGAGTGGGCCCGAGCAGCCGATGCACCGTCAAGTTGTCCAAGATGGACGACGCCGAGCTCAGCAACGTCTCTGACACGATCATCACAATGGGTGGATGCCAGCCATTCCCATTATCTGCTGCCGCGGCAAGATAGCGCTGTAGAGAAGCCCGGAAGGCTGTTAAACTCGACGATGACCGGCTGAGTACAGTGGGAAACTCTTCCACGAGAAGAACGCGCCGGTTGCCGGGATGTGCTTTGTGCGCGCTCTTCAATTCGGAGGAGTCCTCCAGGTCAAGTCCTCCGAAGCGATCGCCTCGGCCGAGAAACTCCTCAAATTGAGCACTGACAGAGACGTAGTCTTGCGCATTAAACTCGGAGACGGCCGGATTCCTCCATTCAACAATATCGAAACTGGCCGATTCAGAAAGAAGAGAAACCGTTGTCGTCTTCCCAGAACCCGCTGGGCCACGGAGAACGAGTAGTCTCTACTTCTGTTAGCAAAAGGGTTCCGGGGCCCCAATCAACAACAAGATGTCACTCACCTCCCTGCGTCTCCCAGAAAAGGCATCTTCCAGCCAGTTTTGTACATCGGAGACCTTCCTTTTGTGAACGGCGAGCTCATCCAGATTCGACGGAGCGAACCGTTGTGCCCAAGGACGTTTGTCTGCTTCCACCGATTGAGCCGGAGACTGTGAGCGAGTGCTGTTCGACTCGGTGGGCATGAGAAAGCGTTTGGTAAGTGGTTTTTTGGGCCGCGAGCTCTGTTTCGATGGTCGTCGTGTTTGGCTGGGTTCACGCTTGCTTTTCGCGTCAACAGCTTCACCGGCCTTTACACCAGCCTTCACACCGGCCAGGTGCTGTGTAAATATCTCGTCGTAGGAGTCATAATCATCCTCGATCACGTCCGCATCAAGGGTTGCCTCTGAAACTGTCTCGAGTGACCGTTTGGGCTCGAATTTGTGTGAGGACCAGCGTTGTCCCTCTGTCGCAGGCTGAAAGAAGCTATGTAATGATTTGGATTGTTTTGTATTCGGCGAGGACGAGGATCCGGGCTTTTTGGGTGAGGGAGAGGTGGAGATTCGGGGTGAGGCAGCTTGGCCGGGACGCGCTCGGGGTTTGGGACGCGACGAAATGACGGTTTGTTTGGATGTTTTGGATTGCTCTGGACCATTTACGACGGACCTGCGCTGTCGCTTGGGGGGACGGCCGTCCATGATGGGAGGCGCGGAGGCGAAGATGGAAATGCGCGTCCGATAAGCTTATACGCCAAGCGCGGGGATCCGCGTCTATCGAGTCTACTCCGTCTCTAACTCTATCTTTGTCTGTACCTCCCCGTCCCTGCTATTCCGTCACTTGGATGGTTTTTTGAGAGTTTAAAATTCAAAGCAGGTTGGAGTTAGCGGCGCACACATTGTTGCTGGTGCTCGGCTCAATCCTGAAACCATGTGGCTTCAATACCTATGACCGAAAAGGAAGGCGATCAGACGCTAGCAGTTTAGTGTATTTAGGGTCCCGATGCTAGGTATCTAGTCCGCTTCGTGATTTGCCTTTTACTTAGCTCGTTTTATTGAAACCTGTGCGGAGGAACGGAGACGAACGGGTGCCATCTCTTTCGGGGCTTTAGTTCCTCGCCTGCGTGCATTTAGCGTCTGAGGCGCAACCGACCCACCGGCGAATCCCTGCAAGCACAGATTTGGCCCCCACGAACAAGTTCATTAGAATTCATATTACGGAGACAGTACTCGTACTTTTGCTAGGCCTTTACCCCTTTAATCTTCCGTGTGGATATATTGTAGTCGAAATCCCGGGAGCATTTGATTCAGCTCCTCGCAACGATCTATACAACTTGTACACCATGTCAACAACGACGAGAGTCATTCCCTTGACGACCACATTCATTCCTCCATCCTCTTGCCTTCTCATCAACCCTGTCCAAACATCGGCCAATGAAATCAACGCTTCTTACGGTGATGATATCAGTGCTTCTTTCGACGATGTGAGCGCCACTAGCATGGTATATACAATCGGGCCAACCACGAGTGCCTCGCAATGTTTTCCATCGGGTTGGAAATCAAGTTCTTATTTCTCGCCTGGCCTTTGTCCCAGCGGCTATACGGTTGGTTTCAGCACCCGGGTCAATATTAATACCATTACCGAAACCCGCGCATCATGTTGTCCTTCGTACGTAACGGGCATCCATCCTCTGCTTTGGTCGTACTGGGAACTGGAGGCTTGTACTAATTCAATCACACTTGACAGAGAGCTAAACGCTAATGCCGGCCAAACTGGCGCGCCCTGCCACGGCTGGGCAGTGGATGCAAATGGGAGTTACCTGGGCGTGCTCTATGCGGACGCTGTTTCCATCCGGTGGCAATCGACCGACTTCACCCAAGCTACCGCCACTACGATCTATACAACATCCACCGATTTGCCCGAAATACCAACGGGCCAACACTCGGGGTTGCCCGAAATACCAACGTACCATCACTCGGGGCTGACAACGGGTGCAAAAGCAGGGATCGGGGTGGGTGTTACCCTAGGCGTGATTCTTGCTGTCGGCGGAGCTCTGGGTTTCTTTTACTTCCTACGCAAAAGACGCGGAGGTCTGTCACAGGCCCCCGATGAGCCTGGGAACATGACAGGGCCTGGTAATAAGACAGAAATGAATGCAGTTGCTGATCAGCAGCCTGCTGAGCTGCCCACGCCGACATATTTCACGGCCGAGTTGCCTTCAAATCACTTCAGCTTTCAAGAACCTATGCCAGCGGAACTTGATGGGCGCCATGAACACGAGAAATGATGTTGTCAAACTCTGCTAGTGTCGCTTGCATGATTACCACCGAGGTGTTGGGTCGATTGTTTTGCTTGAGTGGAGTTTAATACTAGTGTATAAATATTCCATATGTTAATCAATTGTTTAAAGTTGCAAAGTCATTGTATTCAAAGCTGGCCTTCTTTCGTCATTCAGCCATCAAATGTGCCCGTTTAACCAAAAGAAAAAGGTCCGCCTAGCATTATAGCCTAAACCCACTTTCTCAATAGGCATATGCCTTCAAGACATCCTCCTGCTCATTGAGCCCTGCTACCGCCTTCTCAGCGTCCTGGTCGGAGGCAAAGCTAACGTCTTTCTAGACATTTTTTATTCTGTTTTCTAAGATATCTTTCTAACCGTCTTTTTAGATAAATTTAGATTTTCGCTCCCCATGGATGACGATGGATGACAGCACGCAGGGCGTAGCCCACCTTCTACTTTATAACACTCTGCTTCGTGTTCCTCTCTCTTTGCACTTGGATAGACTAGTAAAATCTTTCCTAAACCACTATACAGCTTCATCTATCATGGCGGAAGAGGGTGATCCCACATATTATAGACCTTGACTCCACTCACAAGTAGGGTAGGAAGCCAGGGCCAATGCGTATGCCTGCTTAACCGCGACTCCAAACGGCTAACCCAATCAATTGATTAATCAATCAATCAATCAACAGGTTGCTCTTAATAGAGCCTAATTCATAGCTAAAGTCCAGCAACCTCGGTCATAATTGGGATAGAAGGTCCTGGAAGAGTGTCGATATTCAGCTCTTGCAGGCCTTTTACGAGTCGCGCCACGATCGACCCTATGCAGCCTTACAATGCATGAAAAGACTTCAATTGGTGTATATTTTTACACGTCCGGCCTCGATCTCATTGGGTATATCGACAGGATTCCAACAAAACAATAAACAAAACGTTAAATCACTATGCGCCGCCAAACACATCGTAATAGTAATCCTCGTCCAACCCGTTGCGCGAAGGCACGCCCGGTGTCTCGCCCGCGAACGTGGCGTCGTCAAACCGCACATTCAAAAGTCGGATCTTCAGTCCGTAGTTACTGACCAGGTCAATCAACTTGGTCGTTTCTGCGGTGATGGGCTGCTGGTTAAGAAGCATGAGCAGCCCATCTAGCCACTCTGAGGCTACGCTGTGGGATGCGGGCCGAAGAGTGAGCAGGACTATTTCTTTTTGGGTTGACCGGCTGCCGGTCCGAGAGTGACTCTTGCCATGGCCCGAGTTTAAGGATTGGGCGTAGCCGTGGATGGTGATCTTTGTTGATGCCTGATGGCCAGCGGTCTTCACGGTCGAAGACGAGGAGTGATCGGGGTTCGTGGATATATTAGAGACCACCGAGGAGACAATAGAGAGATCGACTGTGAAGTGATATTAGCATCGTAAAGTCAGGGGGTGCGTGGCAACCGCTTCTTACTCTTTTCCGGCAGCGTATCTAGCTCGGGGGTTCGGTCACCCACCGAGTCAAACTCGCCAAAGTGCAGATACCGTCGGTTATGCGACAATTGGACGTATTGGTGCGAAGCGGACCGAGTTGGCGCCTGGTCATTCTTGGAGCTCTCGAGTGAGAACCAGGCACCCTGAAGCAGGCATCGAATGCGCTGCTCCTTGACAAACTGCAGGGCCTCGTGGTGCAGCTCCTCGCGCACCTGTCGCAAGTGCTGCCCCCAAGCATCCTCGTAGGTGAGCTCCAGAAGCTCCATCTGCAACTCGCGCAGGCGGTGATATTCAAAATTGGCCAGGTCCTCCTCCACATCCTGGACATCTTTCGTCCGGGGGGCACCACCCACGACCGATTCGATGAGGATGCGAACCAGCTCCACGAGCTTGTCCAAATCTTCCACCTCGGCAGCAGTCGCCTTCCAGAGACGGAAGAATGCCTGCAGTCCTGCCACATGCAACCGAGTCCAGTGAAGGAGCAGTGGTCTGAATAGCTTGTCGAGACTGGATCGCGACTCCAAAAGCATGTAAGTCTTTGAATCGTCCATCTCGGACTTGTCCACCTCGAAATGCTCGAACAGAATGGACGTTACTGCCAACGACGCCTGCGCAATTGGACACCGCTGTCCTGCTGGCTTGGTTGACTGCTCAAGGAGCATCTTCTGGAACTCATCCTGGTGACTGCGGACATAATCTGCCAAATCCATCATTCCCAGGAAGCCCACCTCGTGGAACTCCGCAGTGGGGTTCTCCGATTCGAATCCCAGTCGCCGCCATTTCTCGGGGTGGTGTCGCTTCGAGCGCCGCGTGTCGTCGCCGTTTTCCTTGTCCTTGTCCTTCTCCGACGTCTCCTCGGAGCTCTTGGGTGTACCGGCCAGGTAAATCCCCTTCAGTGCTCTTCGGTGCTCGGGCTTCTCCTGGTTCAGGGAAATGTCTCGCCACTTCCGAAGGAGCACCTTGGTCAGAGACTGGAACTCGAGGAGCGGGTGAGCCAAGTCCTGAAGAGCAGAGTCCTGCATAAGCACGTAGACTGCTCGAATCACCCCCAGATCCTGCAGTTTCTGGATAAACTTGGGCCATTCCGCCTCTGAATCGTGGGTAATGGAGTCGCGCATGAGCGAATTGATCAACTGGAGCGCATTGGCACACAGAGCATGGTCCGCAGAGGACAGTCGGCTCACGAGCATCTCCAGGAATTGAGGGTAAATGGCAATCGCAGGCTTGAGTGCACGGAAGCCGAACATCATATCTGGCTGCTCCGAGCCGGTGCCGCCCACCGGGTGTGAGACGACGGACACGAGAATCGACATGGCGCCCCGGAGGATGTTGACCAGAGGGTGAGTAACGATCAACTTGACAATCTAAGAATGAAAAGGACGATCAGCAGGCGAACAAAGGTATGCACGCACGCTTGAAGTGGCAGTGTTCGGGTGGGAGGGGGTTGTAGTTCTTACTCGTTCGACCAGTTCTTGGTCAACGCACTCCCATCCTTTGTCGACCTCGAGGAGACGAGCAAAACTGGTAAGACTGTAGGCGAGAGTATTGCCGCTGGCGTGCAGGGTAAGGTGTCGCAGGCGAGTCAAACCGCCCTCTGAAATGAAGAGCTCCGCAAAGGACGGGTCGCCGATGTTGCCCTGGAGCTTGAAGACGGCCATTTTGCGGACCGCATCTTCATCGCTGCCCAAGCGATTCACCAATTCGGCAATGTTGTCGGTCTCCATGATCCCCCGATTGCTGGGAAGGAAGAGGGAGAAGCGTGGAGACGGAAGTTCGCGAAGGCGCATCAGGGGTCAACGCGCTGTGGGGCAATTGGACTGATCTAAATTCAATTTAAGTTCGACTCTACTTGGGGTCTCGTATAACTAACTGTATTGCGTTCCTACATTACTGGGGTAGACTGAACTTTTGATTCTAGAGTTTCAAGTTTGAACTTTTTTGTTTCACTTTTGATTTCGAGTATTAGGTTGGCAGATTCGTGTCATACATAAATAAAACATGAGGTCCAGTCGTTTTCCTGGCCTCCGGAAATCTATACAGGGATGTCACCGATTCAACTCCAGTGATGCAGACCGCGGCTATGTACGGAAGAAAAGGCTGGGAAACCTGCCCAGCTGGGAGAAGCAGAGAGTTGTTATCGCCGCCAACCCACGTTCCAAATAACGTGGGCGATATCTCGCGCAGTGTTGACGGTGTCGACAACTCGTCCCAACAGACCGTTGTTGGCCGCTTCCGCTTCTCCTTCACCCTCGGCGTAGGGAATAAACATGCCGGAGGGGCTCAGCTGCAGTGGCCGGTCGCCGAGCTCGTCCTCGTCTTCCGGAACGAACCAGCCTCGGTCTTGATTTGTGTATTGACCGGTGAAATCCAGACTGGGATCTTCATCATCCTCGTCAAGAAGGAAGTTGGCGGATTGGGATGATGGGCGGAGAGTCTCCACGGACGGAGTGGGTGACAACGAGGAGGAGTGAGGGAGGGCAGACCATCGATCGAGGATACAGCCGCCCTTGGGCTCGGGGGTGTCACCCCGGTATTTAAGAGTGGTGGCAGGGAGAGGAGCGATGGTTTTACTGTCGCTGCTGAAGCTATTGCGGGGGGTGCTTCGATTGCTTAGGGACGATTTGCCCGAGATCTGTCGCATCATGACCACGCCGTCATCAGATGAGCTTTCATCTTCGAATGTGACAGGCCAATCCTCTTCGTCGGCCTCTTTGAGATCCACGGCGATACACTGCTCTACCTTGTCGTTGAAGTGGATGTGACGTCGCTCACTCGGCGATGTCAACCCCGATGAGGAGGGGGTCGTCAAGGTGCCACCCATGGAGTAGGTCGAGCTCCCGGTGCGATGATGGATGTGGTCCAGATCGGTATTGGACCTGACCAAGGGAGGTCGCGCCCAGCCGCTTACGGCCTCCTGGGCTTTGAGGATGGCCCCTGCGTGCTGGAGAAGTGTGTGCTGGGACAGCGACCGCTGAAGCATGGTTTCGGACGCGGTTTTCTTTTTCAGGATAGGTTTTCGGTCGATGAATGAAGAATTGGGTGTTTCGAGGCGACTGGGCGGTGGCGATACATCCGACGTTGTGTCCTCGGTCGAGCTTGACGTCTTGAGGGGACCGTAGAGCCATGTTACATCGCAATCTTTTAGCCTGTTCGAACAGTTAGTGACGGTCTCAGTGAGGCGACCGATGCAGAGTGATCCTCACCAGTTCAAGGTCTCCGGAGAGATGGTCCCCAGGTGGTGCTTCGCCTTGGCCCACGTTCTCCACGAGGCGTTCTCGAGGCGCACTCCGTTGCTATAGTCGCTCCTGCGGGACGTCACGTAGCGCCATGAAGCCCAGATATCCTCCTCGCGCCACTCGTGAGAGAGATAGTCGACGTGTCGGGAGGGCTCCTCTTCGACGGAAGTATCGTCAGCGGCTGGGGTTTGCCGGGACCGGGGATGTTCGCAGCCCTCGGACGCATCGCTCATTACATCGGACTCCTTGGGTACCACGCGGGCCCCAGACTCGGCATCGTACGGAGGCAAATTTAGATCGTCATCGAGAGACAGGTCGCTGATGTTGGTGGGAGAGTAAGTGAGAACCTGGCCGGTCGGTGTGAAGTTGGGGGAAGGCGGAAGCGAGGAGTCTGTGGAGGCGACGGGGCTGGGGCAGTCCCGGGCCGGATAGGCATCTTGCATGGGCTCAGACTTGATCGGGATGCCGTGATCCTGAAGGAAATAGCGCTGAGCAGTGGGCGAGCGAGCATCCGGGGACAATGACTGCCGGGGATGCAGTACGGCCGTCATTATTCCCGACGATGGAGAATCAAGAGGAAGCGGCCATTACAGAGGAGGGATGGAAACAGCAGGGAAGGAGGGAGAAGAGGCAGAGGAGAATCAAGGCAGAACGAGCGAGAGAAGAGGGAAGTTGGAATATATGCGGGGAGTCGAGCGGGTCTGGAGTTCCAAAGATGAACGTGGAGGAGAAAACGGAAAGACAAAAAAGGATCCGGAGTTGCGGGTGACACATTGATATGCCCATTCTTGCCACCTTCTATCTTTACAAGGTTTCGCCCATTTCATTTTTAGATTTTCGACGTCTCCGGGCCAGTGCTCTCCAAGCTCCAGACCGGACGATAATGCTTGCTCCACTCGCCAAACTAAAGCACGCCGTGCGTACGAGAGGATCCTAAGTGGAGCTGCGACGTTGGAGGCAAAACCCTCGGAACATCACGGACGCGCCAATAATATAGAAACCACCTGAGGGTCTGAGCCCTTTGAGAAAAAGCTCTCGGTCGCACATCACAGAGGGTGTTCCGGGTTGCACGGCTCCTGGCCTGCTGTACCGGACACGGCCAGGTTTCTAGAATGACTTCACCACGGGCCCAGATCGATCCTACCAAGGTATCTGTGGCACTGAATACCCGGCTCCCGGATACGGGAAAACTTGGTTATCGGAATGTCTCCAGCATCTGGATCTCTGATACACAAAGTACGACCGTGCGGTACGCCCAGAATCCTCCGATCCACGATCGACGGGCCGCTTCGAGTTTTGCACGGGCCTTGCTGTGCTGTACTCGTCGGCCTCGCATTCTCGAGATAAGCCCCCGGAATCCGAGATAATCACACCGAGGCTTGAAAGTTCGGGAAGGTGGCGCTCGCCCGGCCACTGGGGGGAACTTGAAATGGAAACTCTGTTCCCTCGCCGTGCAGAAGCACCCCCCGACACTGCAGACACTGACACTCCAGACCGAGATGGATGGCCAAAAGGACCGGGGGGCAAATCCCAATTGCCTTTTGTCCGTGCGCTTGCGTCTCTGTCGTCCTGTCGGCCAAGAGACCCGTCGGGGTCTTGATTGGTTCCGACTAAAACCCTCCCATTGACCACCTTCTGGGCCAGTGATCGCGCCCCTTCGCTGCATGTCGCTGTGCACCCAGGGACGTTCGGACCTGCTCGGCCCTGGTTGAAACGCCCTTTTGTCGCATCCACTCTGCTTCTCTGAGTTTGGGGGCCCTTTCCTCCTCCTATTCGGGCCCATGCTTCGCCGTTTCTGCTCTTCCGCGGAGACGGGATGTCGATTATGTTCTCTTATGCACGACGATGATGTGAATTTTGACGCGAGACCCCACGGCACGGTCCCCATGGGCTCCCTCTGACGGGTCGGACCCCACAGTCCTCATTGGCCATTCAGATCTATACTCGACAGCACGACATTTGGCCCTGGAGGCTGAAGCGTGATCGGGGCCCACGTCCCCGTCTCAGATAACCCCGGCGTCCTAAATCCACAGTGGGCAAGCGAGCTGCGAGACATGAATCGTCGCTCTCCTGGCTATCTTATCAGAGCTCAACGGCTACGCGGATCTATCACCAACCGGGCACCAATTGGCGCCGTGATGAGCTACGCCCCTCCCTTCCCCGTGTCGCACCCTTCCCTATCTTCCTGCGTTGTAGGTAATTTGACAGATACACGATGCACCCTTCAACGGTCCCGCGGAGACATTTCTGCATGGCCCCATTGGCAACCGAGCAAGACTACCCTGTCGGCTACCCTACAAATGATAACGATTACAGGGAATATTGTTGTCATCTTACGCCATCGCGAGCGGGGTACTTGGTGAAGGCCGGGGGGAATCTATCCAAAAACTTTGGCCCCCTCAACCTCGATGATTAGCGATTGGTGCTTATCACTTAACTTTCTATGTCAATTGAGCACGGTTCCGACTTGACCCAGCTTGTAGTCGCTGTTTACGCAAGCCCATCTCCCCGCTACCTGAACGATGTGTTCATACCCCGTATATGTGGAGATCTTATGACGAGGGCCTTGCGAGAGTAGCGCCATGTCCACGAAAACCTCCGGGCGACAGTAAACCCACTGAATCATCAATCGGAAACCCCTGAGTCCCGATCTCCGGTGGCATCCTCGGGACAGCTCCCCCAGTGGTCTACCGCACCCTGAGAGCGCCTCTTCCACCGAGGCATCTATACTAAGACCCCGTGTGCGCAAAAGTACTACTAGTCTTTAGTGTATCCGGCCCGAAGATCCTTCGTATACATCGGCCCCGTTTCTTTTTCGGCTCCGGGAATTCGCGGAACAGATCACGTGATGATCATTATCCTAAAGAGGTTAGCGGCAGTGTCCCCCTCCCCCGCGGGTGCATTTGAGCTTCGAGCTTCGAGCTTTGATAGAGCAGCCCGGAATTTCCCAGAACTTAGTGAAACAATGGCTGAGGTAGATTCTGGCCCGGTCGAACCCCAGGCCCGGCATGTCGTCTACTGTGGAGGTGAGTACCCCGGTGGCGCCTTCAGCCCTGGTGCTAACGGAATTTGTTCGGACAGTGTGCACTTTGCCCCCCGAGTACTGCGAGTTCGGCGGTACCGCGAAGAAATGCGAGGATTGGTTAAAGGAGAAACACTCGGATCTGTGGGAGGGCCTGTACTCCGAAGGTAGGGCTCCGCTCGGAAATTGGGGAATTGGGGAGGTTTTTTTTTCCTAACATCGTGCGACAGATGCCGTAACGGCCAACCTGTCCACCCTCTCCGTCTCTGCCCAGGAGCGCGCTGCGAAGGACGCTGCTAAGAAGGAGGCCAAGGCCGCTCAGAGTGAGGCCCGGGATGCCGAGAAGAAAGCGGCCTCCAAGGTCCTGATCAAGCGAGTCGAACGCAACAAGCGCAAATACGTCACCGTTATCATCGGATTGGAGGTTTTTGGACTCGAGAACAAGAAGATTGCCAAGGATCTGGGCAAGAAGTTTGCTACTGGATCCTCGATGACCCGATCCCCGGCTGGCGCGGAGGAAATCACCGTGCAAGGAGACGTCAGCGACGATGTCCGCGATTGGCTACTAGAGGTGCACGGAGACAAAGTGCCGGAAGCAAACATCGAGTTGATTGAGGACAAGAAGAAGAAGAAGGCTGAAGCCGCGGTTTAAATTGAGGGAAAGAGAGAGAAAAAAAAAGAAATCTCTAATGACGACAACGAAGCCTGCGGATAGGGTATCATGACATGACCGGATTAAAAATATACAAATGCAAACTGCCCGCAAGGAAGCGGTGCCTCATAGCTCCTCCAGCACTCGGAAGGGATCTTGCTCTGTAGGTGTTGTGATGGGACCGGCCCGGGTCACACTGACCGTGACACTCGTCGAGGCTTGGAGACTCTGTAGACGGTCTTCAAGTCTCGACGGGTAGTTTGACGAACCAACCTGGCTATCAGGGCCATTGGTGTCGAAGACAGAATCCCATATATCAGGCTGATAGGAGCCAAATGAGGACCGATTTGCTCCCTCCGTTGGCAACGGAGACCTCTTATGGCTTGAAGCAATGGCGGGCCAGTTCTGAAGCACAATGGCCAACACAAGCACAAGGAATGCGCTGCCCATGACAGCCGAGATGATACGTAGTCGACGGCTGATACGCGACTGCCACTCTGACTCCCTTTGCTCCCAGCTGTCAATCTCGCGTCGAACAGCGTCCAGCCGACGGCCCAGATCCTCCACGCGCTCTCGCCCTCGTTTCATCCGCTCCTCCAACGCGTCGGCCTTTTGCACCTGAGGTTCGAATCCCTTTAGATCATTGATCTGTTTCCGAACCTCCTGGTCTAACCCGGCCGTCTCGCGCTCGAAATCGTTAAGAAGCGCGGACGCCGTCTCGGAGAGGTCTTGGAATGACCCGATTGTCGAGTTGAGGGCTGTGATCTTCTCTAGCAAATTGTAATATGTGTAGTCGAGTCGGCGCGTGACGTCCGTCGCTAGGGACCCTATCGAGGAGAGGGCAGATCGTAGATACCTTGAGGATCACACAGTCAGCTTATAGCTCTCTCATAATAACAAATTGACTTACTCTTCGCCCTGCTTCCGCTGCTTCCTGACCTGCTCCAGATCCTCCATAGACTGGATCTCCAGTCGTCGAATCGGACCTAACCGTTCATTCTGCTCGGGTGTATCCAGTAGACTGCCTTTCCGGCTACCACTAGTTGACTCGGAACCCCAGGGGGGTCGCGTACTCTCCCGGGTAATAGGTCTCAACAAGCCGTCATCGCCCTCGCGATCCTTCTCCCTGCCTGACCAGGTAGGCAGTAGCCCTCGCGCGCTGGCAGAAGACGCGAGGTGACTCATCGGCCGCGGGAGACGGATCTCTCGTGACTTGCTGTGCTTGTGTCGGTGATATGACTTGGACCCGTCGTGTGACGGCTCAACGAGCGCTCGTGCAGAAGGTCGCTGTTTGGACTCGTTCTGGGCGTCGGAAGATGTTGACTCTTCGGTCGTACGAGCATGGCGTCGAGAGCCTCGGTCGGGTTCGCGGGAGCCTGCGAACGGCTCGTCGGAGGTTGGATCATTGGGTCGCAGACTGGGGGACCCGCGGGTCAAAGGGAACGTGGCGGCGGATCGAGTGTTCGATAAAGGCAACGGGGACTTGAGGTGGAGGTCCATGTTACCGCATGTTTCGATCGGATTTGAAACCTGCGAGATGTCGCTGAGCACAAAATACGGGGAGTGAGAGAGCTTCTAGGAGATGCGGAGAGGCAAGATGTCATGCCAAGCCGTGCAGAAGAGGCCGATCTGCAGCAAGATCGATCGACATTGATACTTGACATGACATTTGATACCTAGATATTCGATTGTAATCAACTAATTTCTACACCCCCGTGTTTATTCTACTCTGGTATTTATTCCAGGTTCTACAGGAGGCTGGAAGTAGAAGATGCAGGATACTTCATACACATGTGCTAGAGTAATATTTATGTCGATGTCAAACATTAGACTCGCGATAGAATGAATCTGTTGTAAACCACGCCCAGAAACGCCAATGACCAGCCCTTTTATCGACCAAGCCCCTCGGACGGAGATCGTAGGCCGTGTATGCAGTGTGATCCCAGTGGGGAGACGAGACCCGAGCTCGTGAGGGAGATCATGAGTTGAGCAGCTTGTTGCGCTTCTCGCGGCGCTTGAGACGTTCGACCCGCTTCTGGTGCATCTTCTCGGCCATCTTCTCGTAGCGAGCCTTCTCCTCCTTGGCAGCTCTGCGTTCCTTGATGCGCTGGATATGGGCCTGTGGGAGCTTGGTGTTAGCAATTATCTTGCAAGTGTGCAAGGATACAAGGGCCGCGGAATAGAAAGCTAGAAAATGGCTGGAGAAACTCACCTGACGCTCAGCTTCCCGCTCTTCCTTCATCTCGCGCTCACGTTCCTTGACGGCATCGTGGTGCTTACGAGCTTCCACCCGCTTAGCGTACGAGGTAAGGCCCGCACTGGGGCGGAAGGCCTTCTTGCTGGGGTCATGCCAGTTTTTTCCCTGTTTCGGGGTCAGTCGGGGGAACGAGCAGTGGGGTCGCGGACTCGGCCTCGGGGACTGACCGTTCTTGCGCATGCCCTTGGACGCGGCCGCAGCGGGCACTGACGCCGGAGTCGTGGCAGTGTCGGTAGACATGGTGTGATGGGAGTTGCTTTGACACAAACTTCCAAAGTAAACGGGTGGGGAGTGGAAATCCGAACGGGGCAATAAAAGAGATGAAGCCGTTCGCCGCCTTTCGCAGCCAAATGAAATTTTCAGCCGGAGATTATCTGATCGAGATAACCGGGCTTGGCGGACGCTAACAGCGAAAAAAATGAAATCGAACGCTTTCCTGCTCCACTCCAAGTCTATCTCTCGCCGTCTTTCTCCATCTGGGCTCCAACTTTCCCAGGTCTTCTCGCTTTTCAGGGCTTGGCACTGTCAGCTCGACAAATCGCTCGTCGCGCGCGGTACACCGCCCCCCTCCTCGGTCCTTCGTCTGACGCCCCCACTTCACTGCACGCCTGAAAGCCCAAAAACAAATCGCTCGTCTCAAATACTTCCCTCTCCCCCTCCTCTGCCCTACCCTCGCTCTTTCGAATCATGCCCCGGTAGCCCGATACTTTCGGGTGACTGTTGGAAGCCTTGATGGCGGCGACCGAGCATGCGATCCCCGTCCGTGAACCGATGGAACTCCCATCTCTCCCGCCTAACCAGGGGTTGGAGGCGATGAAGGATATTGTGTTTGGCTCCGTGAGTAGTGTTGTTGCCCTGGACTAGTAGATACATTTGCTGATCGGACACTCAGGCTGCTGGCATGGCAGGCAAGCTGATCGAATATCCCTTTGACACCGTCAAGGTTCGCCTTCAATCTCAACCCGCACACCTTCCTCTCCGATATACCGGTCCTCTGGACTGTTTCCGCCAGTCGTTCCAGGCAGATGGCGTCAAGGGGCTCTACCGCGGCATCAGTGCCCCCATGACGGGGGCTGCCGTGGAAACCAGCTGTCTGTTCTTCAGCTACCGCCTCATTCAGGATTTCCTGCGCGCTACAGTCTATCCTGGAGTGGAACATTTGCCATTCCCCGCCCTTGTGGCCGCTGGTGCTGCTTCGGGCTCTGTCACCTCCTTGGCACTTACGCCCATCGAGCTCATCAAGTGCAAGATGCAAGTCCCCGTCGAGTCGGGACATAAAGCCCCCGGTCCCGCCGTCCTCATCGCGACCGTTTTCCGACAGGAAGGTCTGATTGGATTCTGGCGCGGCCAGCTCGGAACTCTCATCCGAGAGACTGGAGGCAGTGCGGCCTGGTTTGGTGGTTACGAGGGTGTCTCGTCCCTCTTCCGGAAATACAACTCGTCTCATTCCCATTCGACCGACTCCCTGCCAGTTTGGCAGCAGATGGTCGCTGGAGCCACGGCGGGCATCAGCTACAATTTTCTGTTCTACCCAGCCGACACCATCAAATCGCGCATGCAGACGGAGGACATCTCACGCCTCCCGGCCAACGGTGAGCGGCAGACCTTCTGGAATGTTACTCGGGCCGTGTGGAGGCAGCAGGGCTTGAAGGGCATGTATCGCGGGTGCGGGATCACTTGCGCACGCTCGGCCCCTAGCTCGGCCTTTATCTTCTCCGTTTACGAAGGGTTACGATCATATTTTGGATGAGTTGAGAATGATCCGTCTGACGTGCACATATTTGGTCCCAGTGCTATTCTGCTTGATACCCTTTCCCCGATATACCAAACCTCACCTCGCCTCGTTCCGGCTATAACCAACGATCCTGCTGGAAGACGGACGCATGCCTCTGACTGTGGGCTATCAGTCGGACATGAACGCCTTTTAAACACTTCGAATCCCTCAAACAACTTCTGCTCTCGAGTCTTCACTCCCTTGTTCACCGGCTACGACAACGTGGACCTACCCAGTGGCCATCGCCTTGTTTGACGAGGCCAAAAAATCCTCGACTACATAGAGCTCTCTGCTCGATCTATAGATGATGACTATACGAATACCCATCCACTGGGCATCTCACTGCTTCTTCGGCTTGCACGGAATATAGAAATATTACTTTGAACATAGAATACCACATATACCTGGATTTTTTCTAATCTCATCATTGCGTCTCCTTTCCTGCCACGGCGACGATGCTCATCCCACCGTATCCACCTTGAGCCGCAGCATCTAGATAATCCTGCACGGTCATCGCCAGCCCACGCTCACTTAACAAGTCTTCATCTTCCAGTGTCCCCCGTAGCAAGGGTCCATTCATGCCCCCGTTCAGCTCCCATACTTTGTGATCCTTCTTCACAAATGCTACAAAATGATGATGAGTCTCATCCTGCGGCAACGGGGCCGTTGTGGCACCCGTGGCAGCCGCGTCCATATGCGCTTTTTCCAAGAAAGCCGAGGTATACAGCAGGTCCGCCCTCCCGGCGGGAGGGAGCTCTATAGCACGTTGCCGCAGAGCGTCCAGCTCTGATCCGGGCGTGAGATAATTCTCATCAAGGTTGAACACAGTATGCAGGAGGGCCATCAAACCACACGCATGGCCGATCGTCTGTTTCATCCATATGACTGGTTCATGCGCGCCGAACCCTTGATACTCCGGTATCGTGGGTATTATGGCTGAGCGCGCAGCGAAGTAGATAGGACTGTCTGCTAGGAGGATCAGAGCATGGATGGGACGTGGAACCCATGCTAGAAGCTCGGGAGATGTGGATAGCACATCGTGAAAGGTGAGACCGGGTTCCAGCCCGAGGTTGGAGCAGAGACGCGATAGTACCTCCGGGTTATTCTCTAGGCGGAGTTAGCAGTGGCTTCGACCAGGATCAGGTGGGACTTACCGAGGGGGATGAAAGTCTTGCGACCGTCGATGAGCTGTGCCTGTGGAATCGACATCATTATTGACTGGTTGGAGGTGAAATCGGTTCCTAAGCTGTTCGAGCGGGGGTCTCGTAGGGCTGACACCGGCAGCTCCCATCCTGCTACTTCCCGTTACATATCTCCTTCGAACCGAGTACAAGTGTCATCGAGGTAGATGGACTAGCTCATTCGTCACTGAAAGAGCAGGACCGTTCTCTTCTCTCAGCCCTACCAATACGCAAAACACAAAAGCCATCCGTCGTGTGCAGCTCCGTTCTTCTCGGCCCTATGGCCCCCGTTGCGTGCGTGTCATGGCCCGAACAAGCTCTACAGCGGGTCTTTGGTGTTGGGAGACCCATTTTACAAACTTGAATGCCATGAGAGCTCCAAACAGCAGTTTTAGAGTTTAAAAAATCTCGTGATGGTCAATTGCAATGGAAATTGGGCATCCCAGGTCCTCACTGCACTTTCTATAAGACGGTTTGCAAGATGCTCCCCGGCATGCATCCTCGTTCATCCTCGACAACCTGAAAGTCTCGAGATCATGTCTCCCTTCGACCCTACCAGGGTGTACGGCCTGACGACTCCGATCTCCATCGCGATCGGCCTGAGGTGCGGACAACGTACAGCCCCGGCACCAAGATATCGCTGATTATTCTGGCTCTGATTGGAAGTGGGCTTAGTAGAAAATCCACTGGTATATCAGAACCGGAGTGGGCCTATAGAGTTACAAAAGTTTGGTTTATTCAGGGGGGATGTACAGATGGAAGAATAGGTACCAACTAGACACCTGTGCATGTCGGCATATTCATGCCATACCTCCGAATATTCAAGTCGGCAAATTCCTATATCCGAAACTGATACCTCCGAATGCCCACATCTCCAGGATCCACGTTGGAGGACTTATACGAGCGTAAGCAGGAAACTACCGATCTTCGCAACTGGAACAGAATGTCGGAATGTCAGCCCACCTTTGATCCGTGGAGACTCCGCGGATCCCAAAGCACATAAAACCGCCGATCCCGGCGCCGAGCATGTATAGTTACCTAGTGAGACCAACGCCATGTTAGCTCATCTGCTCCTATTCGGAAAAGTCGTCGCCGTCGTCTTCCGCCAGACATGGGTTCTATTTCGCCTGCGCATCGCTTCAATGGTCCACCGATTGACATATCGGCCCGGCGCGCAGCCCAAGAATATCGTCGTGGTGGGCGCTTCTTTTGCCGGGTACCATACAGCGCGATGCCTGGTGAACTCGATTCCATCAGGCTATCGCGTCGTGGTGATTGAGAAAAATAGTCATTTCCAATTGACATGGGTCCTGCCGCGCTTTTGTGTTGTTGCTGGCCACGACAACAAGCCCTTCATTCCCTACGGTGCATATCTCAAAGGTCCCCCGGGTTCTTCCTTGTGGGTTACTGACACGGTGGGGAATATCGAGCCTGGTAAAGATGGCCATGGACGAGTGCAGACTGCTGCAGGTGAGTGGATCGACTATGAGTATCTAGTACTGGCAACAGGCTCGTCGGCTGGGCTCCCGTCGCGAGTGTGCGCGGAGACGAAATCGGATGGAATGAAGGCTCTTTATAACCAGCGACAGAAATTAGCAGCGGCTCACGACATCGTTGTCATGGGTGGAGGGCCAGCCGGCATCGAGTTGGCGGCAGATGCAAAGGCGCAGTTCCCTCGGAAGAATGTCACGTTGATTCATTCACGCAAGACATTGCTGAATGATGGGTTCGGGGTCAAGTTGCATCGCGCTATCTTGAAGGAGATGGAGAATCTCGGTGTGAAATTGGTGCCGGGAGAGAAACCGGCGATTCCAGACGGTGAAACGGGAGACATCACGCTCAACGAAGGCTCGGTGCACTTTGATTGCCTGGTTAGATTACATCTACACATGTATATGGTTCACGAAATTGACGATTTCAACAGATTAGATGCACGGGACAAAGGCCCAACTCGAGCATGATGCATTTTCTGGATTCATCGGCGTTTTCAGCATCGGGTCACATTCGAGTCAAGCCCTCGTTGCAGGTTGCAGACGACGCATTCCATTGCATCTACGCAGCAGGTGATGTCATTGATGGTGGTGCCTTCAAGAATGCCCGCTCATCATTCGAGCAGGGTCAGACGGTGGCCCAGAATATCGTTCGTTCCATCAAAGGCCAGCAGCAGATCGAGTATCGACAAAAGTGGTGGGAGGGAACGACCAAGTTGACCCTAGGTCTCGTAAGTCCCTCCTTCGAGGGAGAAGGTTCTGGCAGGTGCTAAATATCTACAGGCAAAAAGTGTAGTCTACATCGCGGATGGACGGGCCGAATGGGTTATCTCGTCGGGACAGAAGGTCGAACTGGATAGCCCGCGCGTCTGGAAGTATCTCGGGGTGACACCGTACGTGGATGACACCGGAAACTGATAGATCAGAAGTGCATAGCTCCATGGTTCCTTTTCATCCATCATGAGACTACCTCTTTCTTCTGCGATGAGTGCTCATTCCTATCCTGGAAACTGTGCCAGGCTATCAACTCCCCAAATCCACGCCTGTTCTGGCGCAAATCCACTTCCGGAGCCGAGTAGATCCGGGAAAAGTGGTTCAAGCGGGACGTTCATGTCGTGGCCCGAGAGTACTGCGTACAACATGTTAGATTGTGACCTGGATGGAAACCGTGCAACACACCTTGATCAAAGTCGTAGAGGGCTTGTGACATGGCCGGATCTTCTACGTAGTGGAACATAGTTCCCTCGTCAAGGGTTTCAGCCAAAGCGAGTATCTGATCCTGGCCACTTTCATCCAGATCTTGTGTCACCTGCTCATCTCTAGGAGTACCAGCTTGCGACAGTGTCCGCACGTCATTTCCGGACGTAAGCATCTCTCTTAATTCCTTCTCCATGAGTAGTCTGGTCAATCTCTCCAAGATCTCCAGGCCTTGTGCAGCGAGAGTGGAATGAGACCGCAACTTCAAATGCGCCTGCATGCTGAGAAGTCGACGTAACCCCATCTTTGATTGATAAGAGTGCGGAGCTAGGGGATCAAGGCTTGTCAAAATGCAGAGCATGACACCTGCGGTAAAGGTATGGATGCCAATAAATGCTGCTGCGTAGGTATCGGCAGCGAGGGAGAATACGGAAGTCGTTTCGATTTCAGCGGTACTCAGAGCTGCATCTCGACAGGCCTGTAAAGACATATGGAGAGGATCTCGGCCCGAATGGGTGTCTTCAAGCTCGGGACCGGTGGGAGGAATAGTCTTGTACGCGAGCAAGGGTCGGTGCACAAGGATTCGCGCATTTTCATAGGCAAGTTTGAGGGCGAGTGCCTGAAACTGATAGATGTGGTTTTCAAACTTGGGGCCAGAAGCACCAATATCGCTGTCCATCTCCTCGACAGAAGTATAAGATATACCGGCAATGCTGGAGTTGACCTGTAGCAAATCAGGTGTCTCTGAATTCCATCTCTGCAGCCTGGCATCTAGAGTAGACACTTTTCGAATAAGATTCTGAAGGCCAGAAGAGGTGCCTGACCTGTCTTGCTGGGTGTTTCCTTTTAAGGCACCGAGTCCGTATAGGTCCGTGAGAATGTCCTTGATCAGAACAGATAATTTTGACATCAAATATTTGTAAGAGAGGAGGCTTGCCGGACACTGATGTGTTGCATCAAAAGATGCAGGCGACTGCTCAGGGACAGATTTGGCCAGGGGGTCCAACAACTCCACATCGCAGTCCGAATCCTTGATGCTATGCGGATAACCATAGGACATGGAGCAAAATGTCTCGATCTCGTAGATAGCCCACCAGCAGCGTTTTCGGGTCTCGTACTGCCGTTGCGTTTCTGGTGACATTGATCCATGGGGAAGCTTCCGATGCAAATTTAAGGCCTGGGCAATTCGCAATCCACAGCCGCATACGGGCCATGCCAGCTCTGGATTGCCGTGATAGAGGTAATAAGTACCCAGTAAGACGCATGTTTGAACGGCATTTAATGATCCCAATGAGACAATGTCGAGCATTTTGGCTCGAATTGTGGAAAAGATCTTTTCCTTTAGATCCACTGGAGATATGCCATGGGCCTCGAGCAATTGCTGTCGATGTTTACCCGCGTATTGTAATGCAATCGCGATGACCACTAGGAAAGTGCTGATAAACCCTGGATTCGGGTACGTATCTGCCAGCTGCTCCCTGGGAGAGTCGTACATTTGCTGCCAGGTTTGCCGGAAATCATCTTGGTGGAAAATAAGCATGAACCAGTGTATCCGGTCAAAGTAGGTGTCCACCAGCAAAGATGCCACTTCGCGCGATGGGAACAGCGAGATAAGCTCTGCCGTTGCTGACCGTGGCCCTGGTAGCGCAGGTATTGGGGCATGTGGTCTCAAGGGACGCCCAGTTTGGCGTGGATTACTTGCTCCAGAGTTAACTGGATGCAGCCTTTGACCACCCGGCAACGCCGTGGTCATTGATGTGTCTGGAGTAGTGGAATTGTGAAAGTGGAATGCCTTGATCTGAATCAGCAGCTGTTCGAGCCATTCGTTGTCGATACCTACCCCTTCCACCAAGGACATGGTCGAACTCGACCACGGCTGCTCAGTAATTTCGTGACCATCCGGTCGTGAGTTTCGTTTCCGTTTGGTGCTAGCCCTTTCAATCTGCGGTGTCCGAACCACACGCCATTGATCTGCCATCTGGCAAGGCTCTCCGGCACGGACACATAACGTGCATGGGCGTTGAATATCGCACTATCGCCGATGGTCAGCAAGATCAAATATCTGGAACAAGAGACTTGGAATACCTTGAGCTTCTGACGGCGACATCGTTGGCATGCACTGCCTACTTTAGAGCGCCTGGTTTCTGACACCATCGTATGATGGTCGGTAGTTTGAAGGTCATGGAATGAGTTCCCGAAAAGGAATCGATTCCGGTGGAGCCGATGACAAAGCTTGCAATTGTCTCCGAAGCCTGGAAGTCAAGGCCAGTGAACAGGCGGTCTTCTCTGTATATCATTGGGAGGTAAAATCATGAAGATAGTAGAGACACTGGAGCCTGCATGTATTTGCAGACTTTTTCTGTCTGAAGAAAATGACTTGCGAATCTGCCCTGAATGAGCGTCAGTAATTTAGTATGGCGTCCGAAAGAGGAAATCATTCCACCGGAAGAGTCAAACACGAGTATAGCAAAGTATAAAGGCACACTCCATCGCTCCCTCATACCGGGATGAATCTACAAAGATTGAATAACAATCCGAAATAAAATACACAACATGTCCACCGACAACACCGTCACGGTGACGCTGTCGCAGCTCGCCAAGATGATCGACCACTCACTGCTGCACCCGACCATGACCGACTCCGACATCCTGACGGGCCTCAAGATCGCCAGGGAACAGAATGTCGCGACGGCCTGCGTAAAACCCTATCTGATCCCACTGGCCAAGCGGGAACTGGCTGGCATCGACGTCCTGGTGTGCCCGGTCATCGGCTTCCCGCACGGTAACAGCACCTCCGAGATCAAAGTGCAGGAGGCTGCGGCTGCCGCTCAGGCCGGTGGTCAAGAGATCGACATGGTTGTCAACATCGGCAAAGTCCTCGGCGGAGACTGGGAATACGTCACTCGGGAAATCGACGAGATCAACCGGGCCGTTGTGCGCCACGGGGCCATTCTCAAGGTGATCTTCGAGAACGACTACCTGCAGCCCGAGCATATCGTCCGACTCTGTGAGATCTGCACGAAACTTGAAGTCGCTTTTGTCAAGACGTCCACCGGCTACGGATTTGTCAAGCAGTCGGATGGGTCCTACAACTATCTCGGGGCCACGGTGTCGGATCTCAAGCTGATGCGGAAGCACTCGGGGCCCAAGGTTCAGATCAAAGCGGCGGGTGGTGTTAGAACACTTGACGATATGCTGCACGTCATGAGTCTGGGAGTAACGCGGATTGGAGCCACGGCGACGGTGGCCATCTTGGATGAGGCGAGGAAACGGGGGATTGGCAAAGAGCCGGTGACGGTGACCTTTAAGCCCATGCAGGAGAAAGCCGGAGGGTATTAACTGGGCGTCTAATCTATAGTGGGAATGTATCTATTGTGGAACGACGATTGTTGAATCACCCTTTCCTCGATGTCTGCAGTCCGTCAGGCCAGCCTGAACATCGATCATGCGTGAAAGACTAGGACATATTAATACTATGACATTAAGGATACTATTTTTCGAGGTTAACAATTGAAGCAGAGGCAGATTCAAGGCAGATCAAATCCCGAGTCGAGTTGAAAAAAAAAAAGTTAAACTCGGCATTTTAATCGAGATGCTCCCCTCAGAGTTCTCTCCTATATTGAAACCCTAGTTTACGAAAAGTGGTAAGCCGAGTTTACCAACTCTTTATTCCTGGCGCTCTTTACCTTCTCCCCGTGTTTCTATTTCAATTGAAATGATTTCAAAATTTTCTCCCTATTTTCACACGGGACACCGTCTTGCGGGGCTAGGACTCAGGCACGTCGAGCCGGTCCAGTCCCCAAATCCAAGTATGCCACCATCCTAAGGCTGAATGGTCGGAATCAGGCCACTGGATGACGTACTCGAAACGCGAATTCTCCACACGTGAGAGGGGTATGCACTCACAGTGGACAGAGTGTCTTCACGTTGAAGATAGCTAGTTATTAGCAATTCCCATGTCAAATCTCGTTGCATTCAGCTGGGGCCAAAAGTATATCCGGGCTGGGCAGGGCGGGGTAGCGTCGTTGCCATTGGCGTAAAGTGAAATACGCACGCTACTCCTGCAGAGTTATGCATTGTACGCAGCATCGAGCGGGAGTTTTCCTGGATCTGGGATCTGACCTCGCGGGGTCGCGGCCTATTTCGGGATCATCCACCACCGACATCATCGATCGTCCATGCCCTGTCTTTTGCGGAAAGATTCACCAGCGACCCCGCATCACGCCATTGTCCGGGTCAATTCGTTTGTGGGAAGGCCCCGGCATATACAGGGATCTTCTATAAGAACGGGGTCGCGCGTGGACGAGATCGGAATTATCCAACCATACTTACGTGCAGAATAGTACACGCCCCAACGCGCCCAGCCCCCGAAACCTCCCCATACATACACATTGCCCATCATGTCGGCTCCAATTCCCGCTCAAAACCTATATCTCGGCCAAGCCCGCGCCACCAAATCGGTCGAAGATTGCATGTCCATCTACGACAAATGGGCCGCCACTTATAACGATGAGGTCGGTGACGCAGCTCAAAGCTACGTCGCTCCTGTACTGGTTGCCCAGGCCGCGATTAAATACAATTCATCCACCAGTCCCGCCAACAGCGTCATCCTAGACGCCGGTTGTGGAACCGGGCTGGTGGGACAGGCTCTCTCAATTGCCAGTGCAAAGGCAATTGACGGTATTGACCTGTCGGCCCCAATGCTCGAAGTAGCCCGGCAGACCGGTGTCTATCGAAACCTTGATCAAGCAGATATGAACCGTCCCATCAACCAGGCAGCCGCTACCTACGACACGGTGGTATGCGTCGGCACTTTCACTCTTGGCCACGTTGGTCCGGATCCTGCCCTGAGAGAACTCGTGCGTGTGACCAAGAGAAAGGGCATCGTGGTGGCCACGATCCTCGAAGAGATCTGGGTACCGGGTGGGTTCAGAGATGAAGTCGAAAAGTTGAAAGCGGAAGGACTGGTGAACGTGGTCTCCGCGGACCTTATAGATTATGTAAAGGGACACGGCGACAAGGCAGTGTTGCTCATCCTAGAAAAGATTCAACGTTCGTGAACGACCCAAAGCGACACACTGGATGCGACCCAAAGCACCTTTTCTTCAACGAAACCCCCGGTTTGGCCATCCCAAGCGACAGTTCAACACGTTAGGCCCCAACCCAAAGCGACAACCCTTCGCACCCCAGTTCGGCTTCGGGACGGAATCTCATTTTTAGAATTCAAAATGTAAATACCTTTACGCCCGAGGGAGTTGCAAGTCATGCAATGAATACCTTGTATACTGATACGCAGACGGCTTGAACGGTGGCCGATAGTACTAGTTCTCTAGTTCTCTAGTTCTCTAGTTCTCTGTTCTCTATATCAATAGGAGTGATTATCGCTGCCCGCTAGATTTTGGTGCAACTTTCACGGTAAACGTTGTGTCTTCCCATATTTACCTTCGATCATAAGATTCATGTTTGCGGCGATAGACAACTATATATTGTAGGAATCGATTTGGGGGTTCACGCATTGGAGACTCTGCGTGGAATACTACCCATTTCAACTAGCCATTGCCTGATCTCACGCCGGCCAGGGCTCTTTACTCGATTTCGTATAAAATCAAGACACAACTTGCTATATCTAAAAGTGGCATATTTGCAGGGTGCAATGCCGATAGCTGATAGATATCGCGATAAGCACACCCCGCCCAACGTCACCCCGCAAACTTCTACTTCACTTCCCTCTCTCTCTCGAGTAGCACAATGCCTCCAATTACCAGCCCCGTCACAGCCCAAGAGCTGGAGATCCTCTCCGTCAAGGCCATCGAGGCCAAGAGTCAGGCTTACTGTACGTGCCGCGCCCTTCTTCTTGTACATCGCTGACCCGTGCGATGCAGGCCCGTACTCCAAGTTCCGCGTAGGCGCATGCATCCTCACTGAATCTGGCGAGTTCGTAGTCGGTGCGAATGTTGAAAATGCCGCGTACCCCGTTGGAACATGCGCGGAGCGTGTCGCGTTCGGTACTGCTGTTGTATGTTGGCCTTGATGGTATATCTGGGCGTTGACTAATGAATCCAGGTGGCGGGACACAAGAAGTTCAAGGCACTTGCTGTCGCGACTGATATCAAGCCTGCTGCGTCACCTTGTGGAATGTGTCGGCAGTTGTATGTTCTGGGTCATTTAATACTTACCTGGTTTGGACTAACTTGGATTAGCATTCGCGAGTTCACTTCCCCTTCATTCCCGGTCTACATGTATGACGGCGAGGGTGGGTACAAGGTCATGACGATGGACGAGGTACGTATTATATCCTGTTCTATTGATTGCAGCTACTGACCGTCTCCCAGCTGTTGCCGGACTCATTCGGCCCGGACCACCTGCCCAAATAAACGAAGAACGATCTTAGAACGAGGTAGGACCTAGTGAGGAGAAGAATTGAAACAAAAGATCCGCCCAGTTGAGCGTAGTCCAAGCAAACAATCAAAACAAAGTCTCTATATCTCCATCCGCATTGAATATACGGAGGCAAGCTAGGAGGCAAGGGCCTCCAGCGACATATGCAATACATAAAATAGAGAACCCAAAGTCTCGCGCGCTCGTAATGTCACATCAATATTCCAATCACATTCCAACTTCCCAAGTCCATTGGGGGGGGGGGGGGGGGGCATCTACGCCTCATCGTCCTCTTCGAATTCATCCGCGCCCAGCAACTCATCTTCGTCATCCACCACATGAGTATAGTCGCCCCGACGCGCAGCAAAGGAGCCCCGTGTGGCATACGGTCGTTGGTAGCCCCGGCTGCGAGGGCGGATGAAGCCGCTGACACTGCGCCACAAGCTGGTAGCTAGCAGTGGCAGCGCCTGAGCCACTGCCACAACACCCGCGATGATAGCCACCGGCACAGCAACCAGCGCCGAGCTGCGGGCAAACAAGCCTTCGGTGGTGACGGAGCCTCCCTCGCCCAGACGGATCTGTCCGAACTTGCCGTCCCACTTGTTGTAGACGTAGTAGCCGATTCCGGCAGCCGCAACGATGGGTGTCACGATAGCGAAGAATAGACCCACTGCGCTGATGCCGTGCTTCTTCTCGAACTCCTGTTCCTTGTTAGGGCATGGCCGCGGGTCACCATGGTCATATCGGCGGCCACCGTCACAGGTTGACTGAGGAATTTTGCGGTAGCCAGTAGGTTCCCAGTATTGGACCATTTCGGGATCGTTCTTGCATTGCTCGCTATGGTCAGGCTTGGGAAGTCCTGCCACAAGACCACAGCTGCCGTCGCTCTGCATCTCATAGTTGAAATCACTAGTTTTTTTGGTCAGTCAAGAACTCGTCATGGATGCTGCCGGGGACTTACCATTCAAAGTCTGCTCGGGTGCACTCGCAATTCGCGCCGACTCGGTGCATGTGTGGCTCTCTCCAGTTCACCCAGCACTGAGCTTCGGGCTTCTTGCGGTGGTACTGCTCGACATGTCCGAACAAGCAGACGTCGTCTCCGTGTGCCTCCAGCGCAGGATGCTTTGGGGCCCACAGATAGTAGTCCTTGCTTTCATCCGCATCTTCGTCCAGGACGCATTCACGATCCCAGATGCCGCTAAAGTCAAGGCTGATCGTGGCGAACTTGTTATCGGAGGACTTGGCGTCTCTACCCCACAACAAGAAGCGTTTAGATGTATCGGAGGGCACAGTCGAAATGTCATCAATGATCATGTCCTTCTCCGAGAACTGGAATTCGATCCACGTGGCGCCCTCGTCCAGACTGTAGTGGATGACCTTGGTCGGCTGCAGCTCGCGAACGAGCACGACCAGAGATCCGGAGTCGCCATACTCAAACATGTACCGTCCCTTCTTGACGTTCTTCCAGGTGATACCACCGTCTCGGCTCAAGAAGGTATCGGCGTCGTCGGCACTAGACAGATATTCACCCACATTACCCACGCCGATCATCATGCCGATGGCAGATCCGGAGTAGAATGTATCGCGGGGATCACGACGTTCTGTATATCCGTGGAGGTGGAGTGCGCACTTCTCGGTGCCCTGGCCCTTGGTGACGGAGCAACCAAACTTCTTGCCCTCGGCGTCCTCCACAGGCGGTGGCAGCAGGGCCCATTGACCACCGTCGTTGTGAGTGATCATAGAACGCAGCTTCTTGCCTGCGCCCTTGTTCTGCACCTCCTCAAGATTTCCGACCACATTGGCGAGAGCGACGCCCTCGAGGCCGGCCATCTTCTCGAAATCCACATAGCCGCCATCGTTGACATTCAGCCCCTGAAGACTGAGGGTAAAGTAGGTACCATTGCTGTTGCTCTTGACCAAGGAACCGTAGCTGCGACCCTTCTCCGTGTTGATCACGACCTGCAAGAACAGAGCATAATTGGAGCCCGGCAATGCGGTATACTGATTGACATCGACATTGATGGGGAAGTGGGCCGTGGCAAAGGTCTGGCCGTCCATGCTGGTGCTGACGTTCAAGAACTTGTGCTTCTCAGTCGGGAAGGTAGCCACAACGAAGAACTCGTTCATCGTCACGAAGTGAGCGATGTTGTCATTGATGACCTCGGGGCTTGCAAACCAGTCGTTCTCGGTGTTGCTAGAAACCAGCTGGCGGTCTTTCTTCTGATCTTCCTCGTAGTACTGCTCGCAAAGAATGAGGGATTCACTGTTCTCTCGGCCATCATGATATCCGAATTGGCACTGGTCGACACCACGAAGCATCTTGTGCCACTCATCACCACGGTTCTTGGTGTACCAAGCAGTATAGGTGCAGGTGCTGCCCTCACAATCATCGTTTCCGACCCAGATCATCCAGTCGATGTGTTTCTCGTGGAAGGACAAAGGGGAAGTGCGCATCGACATCGACTTGGTGGGCTTCTTGAACTTGTCAAACTTGGCTCCGCGGTTAACCGTTGACCAGCCATCATAGCCGCTCGTCAGGAAGTAGGCACCATCAACGTAGTAAGGATGAGGAGCGATCGCTACAATATCCTCGTCTTTGAGCGCCTTGGGCTGTTCCCAGGTCTTGCCGTGGTCTTGAGTCACATACAGCTCCTTCTTGTTCGTAAGCATGAAGATGGTCTCGTCATCTCCTTGGTTACTCGTCTGCCGCTCGAGATAAAAATACTCTTTGTAGTTGTTGGTGTTCGCACCCGTGACGGAGAAATACTGTGGCTCGCCCGCGCGGACTTTACCATCGGCGATGGGAGGAGGAGAGCCAGTGGAGTTTTCACATGATCGTTCAATATCCTTGTCGAGGTTTTCTCCACCGTCACGGATACACACATTTCCGGGGATGAGTCGCCAGCCCGACGGGCCCGTGTAAGTGTCGCTAGGGTCCTTGCATTCGCCCGACGGAGGCGTCAAGGGAACGGCTGGGACACACTCCTTGCCATCTTCACTGAGCTTGAAGTTGTAGTCACATTCAAAGTCTTCAGCGGAGCACTTGCACCGCTCAAAGGTAGGCAGCTTCATCTTGAATTCTTTCTTCATGAAGCAGTCCGCATCCGGATCACGTCGCTGGTAGATCTGCTTATGTCCCATGAGACAATCCGCTTCTCCCTTCTCGTTCTTGCGAGCGATCCAGGGTTTGATATCGTCGTCGGTACATTTGCGTTCGTGAAGACCATCGAAATCAATCGAGTACACGACAACGCCCTTGCCGGTGAGGCCGACTAACATGAATTTCAGACTCGTCGCATCCGGAGTAGTCGTGAGATATATCGGCTTGATCGCCTCCTTCAGCTCAATAGGCTTCTCCCACTCCTTGCCGTGATTGAGAGAATATTGAACCTCTTTGGTCTTCCCATCGTCGCTGACAGCCACAATCACGCCGCCCTGATCGCCGAATTCGAAATGATGGGGGCCCTTCCGCGCATGGCGCCAAGTGAGACCGGCGTCGTCCGAAACGTAAAGATCGCCATCTTTATAATCCTTGAGATAATCGCCTGTATTGCCCACGCCCATGACCAGACCTGGTGCTGGGCTGGAGAACATGCGACGCAAAGTAGGCAACTCATGCAGTGCATCGTAAGTGGTCATTGAATGGAGATGTAGTCTGTCGTCGCCAACCTTGAGATTCTGGAAAGTTCTGCCGTCATCGAAACTGATGCTGGTAACAACCTCCTTTTCTGTCCCATCGGACTCCAGAGCCTTTTCCCAGTTGTCGACGGTGTTGACAATGACAATGCCCTGAATATCGGTGACCTTCTCAAAGTCCACAAATCCTTGCTTGTCCCGGTTGGTATGTTCGATATTAGGTGTGAAGTAGGTTCCGTTTGAGTTGGATGTAAAGAGTACACCCATGCGATTGGAGTCCCATGTCGTCTGCACGTCCACCTGGAGACTGTAGTTGGTACTTTCCAGCAGTGTGTACGCGTCCTCCTCGATCCGGTGGCCACCAAATTCCACGCGATGCCACTCTTGAGAGTCGTCGCTCACGTAAAGAGCCTGTTCGATGGTACTTGCCGACTGGAGACCAACAACCAAATACTTCTTGACAGAACGAATCAAGATTTGTCTGCCACTGACAGGCCGACCCCGATCCAGATTGATCTCCGTGCCGTGCGCGTCATCGCGGAAGTAGTCATCCGAATAAACCAAGCGTTCCGTCATATCAAAGGGGCTTCGCATCCCGGGGGCCACACAGATAACCCGATCTCCAATTGTCTCCCGCACGTTGATATCCTGCGCGAACTCCGGGGTACCCGCAGCCCACAAACATTGCAAGAACGCGCCCTCTAGCCTGTTATGAGTCTTGAAATCGTCCGTCGTATAGATAGTGACCCTCAAGCACGGGAATGATGAGCAATCTTTGCCATGGAATATCACCTTGCCTTGGTCCCAACCACTGAAAGTCAACGGAGCAGTCCGTCCGAGCTTCAAGATCGGCTGGATGCCCGTCTTGAATGGTTCCCAGGTCTTGCCCTGGTCAGTGGTAACCCAGTGGGTGGTACCTTCGCTGAGAGCATACGCGCGATGCTCCTTGTCGTGCGGGTGTCTCCAGATCACGGCGACCTGACCTTCCATGTCTCCATCGGCACCCTTGATAACCTCCCACTCTTTGCCTCCATCAAATGAGATAAGCGCATTTTGCTTGAGGGGGTCTCGCCAGACGATCGTATTGCTGCTATCGAAGTAGAACAGGTCGGAGGGCGGGCTATCGAATTCCGTAGAGGACACCTTGGGTTTGTCCCCCTTTGCCGCGACCGGGTCTGCAGCGAATGCTAGCAGGAGCCCGACCACGAGCAACAACCACCGAGGGATCATGACCGCTGATCCTTAGGCATCTGAATGGGTAGTGACGTGGGTTTGAGCAGCCGCCGAATGCAGCGGGCCGAGCCGGAACGATGGACGGGGAATGGGATGATAGGGAGAGAAAAAGCGATTGATTGTCAATAAAAACGGTATTCTGCCCAAGAAGCAGATCACGCAAAGCGCAAAGAATCCAGATGGCGCGAAAGAGATGACGGAGTGCGTGGCCTCAGCCTGAGGAGCTCCCCTGTCACGTGCGGCTTATCGGCTATCGTTCAGTTCACGCGTTCCACGGTTCTTACGTTGTATTCGGAGATCAATTGACGTCAAGGGGTAGATGTAAAGAATGACTATATACGAGCCTTCAAGGCGTGCATTGAAAGGCTCCGCAGCAAAGAAAAATATATGTACAGGGCGCTGCGAACTAATTACAAGACTGGCGGAGCGAAGCCGCCTCACGCTACAAGATCCGACACCAAACTCATGCTGCAATACAGAGACCGCCCTCAGAACGACGCTAGTAGGAAAAAAAAAAACAAAGCTCGCGCGCTAAAGAGCGACATAAACTTAGATCCCGGAGGGTGAAAGAAAAAGGAATATCAAGATATAAGAGACTTTAGGCTCGCCGTAGGAGTTTACGCCACATTTTCTTCACCATGCCTTGCTCATCCAGATCTGAATCCCAGATATGTTGACTGCGATCTGCTGGAGGCAGTGCTGCCAATTGCAGCGGGTCTTCCTGTGGTGCCTTTGGGGATGAGCTGGGAGAATCGGTGCGTAGGTCAGGTCGAGTCAAGGTCATCTTGAGGGTCATCTCACGATTCCCCGGTAGTCGTTGCGGACCGACCTTGGATCCGGGTAGAGATGATTGACGCCGTTGCAGTAGCGATGGGTTATCCACTGACGGGGAGGGGCTTTCTCGCATTTGTAATGGCAGACGCGATGTGGACGATTCATCGAACGACCCGCCGGGACTGCCAACTATAGTCCCGTCGTCGTCTTCAAGAAAGGTGCCGGTACATTCCGGGGACACGGTCACTGGCTTCGGGGTACTGGGAAGCTCTGGGGTGACGACCTCCTTGTTTTGATCCGACGAAGGGAAGCCAAACTCAATGGCCTCATCGAACTTCTGGGGAGATGCCAGGTATACTCGCAATTTGAGACGAGCATCCGGGTCCTGATAGTACTGCGCACCAGGGTCGATGCTCGAGGTAGATGACCTTGGGGCGTGAGAGGGTTGACGACGAGACGATGGGCGGGAAATTGAACGACGAGTGCTGCCAATCGGACTCGGGGGCGGAATGGACGGACTAGTCACTAGACGAGGAGGCACCGAAGCGGTTGGTCGATGCCTCAGGGCATGCGTAGAAATAGAGAAGGAACGGCGAAAGGACGGGCGACGGCGAGATTTGAACCTGCCGGTGGCCGAGTCGGCCACATGGGCGTGATACTCGTCCAAGGACAGGTCCAGGTCTCCATCCTCGTCGAGCCAACGGAAGCTGTCGTAAAAAGACTGATCCATTTTGCGGTCAGGTACGTCCTCGTATTCCGAATCGGACTCGTAAAAGACGGTGGATGGTTGGCCCCCGGCCAAAGTGGCTTCTGAGAGGTGACTGTCGTTGGACAACCGGTGACCCCGAATACTGGGACGACGATAAAACGCCTCGTCAGCAGCGTCGAGGATGAGGCTCTCCCGATAGGCGCGGCGGAGACGGTTCTGTTCTTCCGGCGAAAAAAGTTGTTGCTGGACCTTAGCGGGGAGAGAAGAAAAGCATTGCGAGTCCGCCTGGTTAACCAGGTAGGCTAATTGTAAAGAGCCGGGCTTGCGGAGTTTCCGAGATGTTTGTCTGTTTTTTTCCAGACGACGGCTCCTGGTCAAAGAGGCGGTTGAGGGGTGGCGCGGACGATGGTATAGGGGGCCAGGCCCCGGATGAGCGTTCCGATAGGAGCGGCCATGAGCGTTCGTGGAGAAGGGGGAACTGGGATCGCTCTGAGCTAGCCTGATGCGCAAACGCTCAACATTCGAGAAGAACTGGCCAAGTCAGCGAATTGAACGATGGGGTGGGTGGTGGGGACGTGAGCTAGTTCGGCCAATGCGCAGGGACGCAGGCAGCGCCGTGGATGATAGTGTGGGTGATGGTTGCATCCACTCTTCTAGATTTGCGTTCAGGGGTAAAACAACTCGAATCAAGTGGATCTCCACTGGACAGGGTAGGGATGTGCAAGGGTGGTTCAAAACAAAGCAAGTGCCGGCTCGATGGATGGTCTGCGCCGAGACTATCGAGTCGACTATCGATCCACGCGGCAAGGGGACTTGGGGATTCGACTTGGGGGGAAATTGGGGAAACGAGAAGAACCGAAAACCGTTCCTGCGTTCATGTAGTGATGTACATACCTTTCGTCTCACGGCTGGAGGCAACGATTCAAAGTCCTCCTCGCAGGCCGTAGGTAGGCGAATGGCCATCTGATCTCGATCTTGCTTCAATTCCCTGGATGTGATGACGTACGGGCCACACTCATTGACGGTGTGGTGTTAGACGGTCGTCGGTATTGAAGTATGTCAGGGAGACGTTAGGTGGAAGCAGATGCAGCGAGGTGTGCGAGAGTCTGTATATAAAGATGCACGACGCAGGGATGAAGCCCCCTCTTCACGCAAGCGCCCGGTGATTGGAGCCAGCGGTTCTACATGTCCGACATGGATATACCAGACCCCCGTTCGAAGTATCGACAGCAAGAACGGGTGCACAGACCCGGTGATGTGACGGCCAGATCTATTTGTAGACCTGTCACCTTTGCGCCCCCTCAGTGGAGATGTGCATTGGCCGATCTTCGTCCTCGTCAGGCCCCGAAAAGTACCAGTTCTGTCTTTGTGCTTCTCTGTGACGAGTCATGAGCCCCGCGAACCGGTTCGTGTTTGCCATCTGCTATCTCTGCAACTATGGCCGAGCAGTGAGATTACCCCTGAAGGGAGCCCTAAGTCTCGTAGACAATCGGCTACGAGACCGGTCCAGCCAGCAATCCGGTCTTCGTATCTCGGCCGGTCGCTTCTAGGATGGCGGATCCAATCTACATGTTTCCCCCAGAGTTCGGTCATAGGTTGCTCTGGTCAGCGATGCTGCAGGGGCGAGTCAACCATGGTTTGTGACCATGGTTTGTGACAGGTCTCCTGCAGGATCTCCATCGTTTGGGACCGGCCCCAGCCCTATACCAGTGCGAACTAAAAGCCCGAGAAGAGCTGAAACAGCTCGGAGATATTCAGGGACCGACATTCGGTTTGTTTGTGAATCCCGATATGTAACTAATATAAAAAGAAAAGAAAAGAAAAGAAAAGAAAAGAAAAGAAAGGGGGAGGAGTACAGACTTCCGTGGATTCTGGAATGGACAGAAAACGGGTGAGCTGTCAGCCGCAGGATCGGGGCGCTAATGCACAGTCTATGAGACCCATAAATGAGATCGATGAGATCCAGGACGAACGGAGAAAAAGTACGAGTCATAAATTGCCTTTGATTCTCTGTCTGGACCAGACGTCCGGAATTCTATTCTACCTACTAGTAATTTCCAATAAAAAAAATTAAATAAAAAAATAACCTTCCAAGATAGGAATGATGCCTAACAAAATGCAGAGTACTCTAGTCCAACTCGTCAATTACAGTGCATTAAGCACCTGCTGCATGGCCAGCGTGTTCGAATCTTCACGCCGCGAGACATACGCCCGCACCTCTTGCACACTCAATTTGGCCTCGGGGCCAGCTCTGCTCGACCCGCCAGACCCGCCAGTCGCTCCACTGGCGGCTCCTCCCCGGATACGCTCGCGCAGTGCCTCCACGCCGATGACAAACAGACTGCCCACCTCCAGTAGCACGTCCAGCGCGCCACCGGGGGCCTTGGTCTCCTCGTCGATGTCCCACGACTTGAGCAGGTCCGCGTACTGCGTCATATCCTTGGTCACCATCAAGCCACCGGGTCCGCTTACCGCGAACCGTTTGAAATGCTCCAGGAGCAATCCGCGCGTCCCCAGGGCAATCTCCGTGAGTACTTGACGGACGTTGGCTCCGCTAGCCGGTAACGACGTTTGTGCAATGTTGTGCAGCTTGGTCAGGAACGTACAAATTGAGGCGCAGGTCTAGACTCGAGGTTAGCTTTTTGGGTTTTTGGCGGAGAATTGTTTTGATACAGATCCAAAACCCGAGAAATGACCTACCGGAGTTTGCAACATCTCAAGCCATGAGGCGTTATCACTCTCGCGTGGTCGGAAATCATTCTTCTTCTGTCCGGAGAGTAACCGACTGACCCACGCAAGAGTGGCGTCGATCGTTTTCTGTTCGATCGTATTGATCTTCTCTTCAATTCGCGAAGTCGTCTGGCTCGTGCGCTTTTCCATATCACGACGAGTAGTGATGCTGCCGGTCGCCAGGGGCAACAGCACGGCATTCACACACATCACCATCAGCGTGGTGATGCTGATGGTCGTTCGGACTGACAGGAGGTAGCTAAAGTCAGGCTCGGTCTTCCCCGACTCTTGCTGCGTGGCCGCCTCCAGGGCGGCGTCGAGGCAAACGTCTACGTATCCATCACCCATGGTCACCAGAAGCAGAGTCAACAGAGCCGACACGTCTTTGTGCGTATCCGAGTTGACGCTCAGCTCCAGCCCACGACCCACCGCTTCCGCCAGCCACTTGAGCATGCGCTTGGCGTCACTCAAGTTGGGCTGACCGTCTTCTTCGGTGAGTCTGATTTCGGTCAGCTTCATCGTCTCCGGGACATCGCCTATTTTGGCCACATGCATCAACATCCGCCGTTGAATGGGCGAGATGTCAGGCGAGTCAAGCCGGTTGATGAAGGCGTCTCGAGTCGTGGAAAGCAGTTCGGTTCCGGGCCGGGACAGCGACGCCATGAACGTGGTGGCGGCCTTCTTCCGACGAGCCTGAAAGCAGGTGAATCGGAACAAAACTGCGTTGAATAGTTCCTCCAGTGTGCGCTTCTCGCGTTCGATGTAAGATGACCCTACAAAGTAGGGGACAAACAGCTCCTCCAGCTGTTGATCCAGCAGCAGTGCGCTCTGAGAGGAGATAGGGTCCGGGTGTTCGGTCAATCCGTGCGCTTTCAAATCATCAATCAATGAACTGATGTAGCCTCGTGAACTCTGCAGACACCGTAGAAATGCTAACGAAGAAACTCCGCTGGCCTTTTCCAGGACCATCTCGAGTCGCTGTTGAATCGACTGCTGGAAAACTCGCTGCAGGAACTTCCCCAGAACCTGATCGTAGTAAGGGAAAGCTCTCCGGATAATTGCCGACTCTTCCTGCACCACAATCTTGACCTCGTCTAGCAACGACTGGAGGCTCGACTCGATACCAGGAAGCTCGGCATCCGGATCGGCCAGTTTCTCCCAAGATTCGGCATCGCCGCCCACTTCCTCGGTCATCAGCTGACTCCGTTCAATAAAGAACTGGTGCTGGTTCACAAACAACGCAATCACACTAGCACCGCCGTTGAAATCATGCAATACGGTAGCACAGTCCTTCATGCCATCGAAATTGGCCTTGCGGTAAAATTCATCGAATTGCTTCAGCAAGTCCTTCTCAAGAGTCTCCGAGAACTTCTCAATAATCTCTCTTGTATTCCGCCGCGGTGTAGGGCTCTCGTTCACGGATTCCGACGATGAACTCGCCGTGAGGTTGCCATTGGTAGCCGATGGATTCTGCTGCCAACTCTGCGGATCCAACCGCTGACTGATACGCAGCAGCTGTCGTGCAATGTGTGCCGAGCGCACTTTGGCCTCCCCCGTGCCGGACCGCCGCAGGTTCTCCAGGAGCGAGATCTCGCCCCGATTACACACCCCGTCCCAACACTCCAACAGGAAGTGGGCATCCAGCGCACGACGGCGCTGTCGGTCCAGCTCCTCCAGTCTTCTTCCTGTTTCCACTGCCATATTCCCCATGCCTCCGGCATTCTCTAGTCCGGCGCCATTGAGCGACGTGTCCAGCTGCTGAAACGATTCGATGGTCTGCCGCAGTTTCCGGCCCAGCGTGGTAAGATTCTGTGAATGCTGCGCCTCGGCGCGTCGAACTGCTGCTGAGAGTTCATTCTCGCGTATCTCCAAGTCACCCGAGAGCTCGCCTAGCCGTCGTTGGGCATGTTCAAAGGTGCGGATGAGGGGCTTGGGATCGAAGGCTTGATTGGCAACACCGGAGGTTCCAGCGGCCGAGCGGCGGCCCGAGATGGCAGTGTCGGAGAGCTCTTCAATGAATTCCTTGACGATAAAGTCGCGGCTGGAGAAGTCCTCGAGCGTGAAGCTAGGGCCCTTGGGAAAGACGGAGCGGGTGGGGGTCGAGGAGATTAAGGATGCATTGTCCGGCATCATGGCGATTGTACAGTGGGAGTCATGGGCCGCCTCAGGACCAGGCACAGTAGGTGAGGATCGGCCAGCTCAGGTGTTCAGCAATATGGTTGAGGATCTCGAAAATCCGGGGAAAGCTGGAGCTGGGATGCGCGAGTCGGAGGTGCGGCGGGTAAATTCCGCCAGTAATGCCACCGCCTGTGCCCTTGATCGTGCTTTCTATAGGGGGGCCAAGGATATATTCTTGTTCCCTTAGTCCTAAATGTCTTCTTGGATATTCCTTTAGACATCTTTCTTCACATTGTTTTATTTATTTCAAGGTATCTTTGGGAATGGTTTCTGTGATATATGTCTGTCGGAGGGTGGTCAAAGCAGGGAGGCGGACAAACCACTTGCAATATCCCGTACATGCATGGTAGGATTTTTATAGGAATGGACTAAGTACGTTCTATATACAAGTATAAAGGTAGATAATTGATTTAGATCGGATACCTACCAAGTTTATAACACAATTGGCCGCACATTAGAGTTGCCACTGCGTCAGCTCAGAACACCTTGGCCTCAACGCGGAGGCAGTGCGACAATTCTAAAGTAGGCAGCCTAATAGTGATCTAGACAGAGGTGTTCTATTTGTGACACAACATCGGAATATATAAATACGGCAAACAAACTAGCGCGGGCCTAGGTTCTGGAACGACTATACTGCGATTTACATGTGGACGAGTATAAGTGCGACTGTCTTCCCGCCGCTTCTTTTTTTTTTCTCCAACCACCACACCATGGTCTCCCAAAAAGACCGCGAGATCCTGCGCGCAGAGATCCGCTCACGGAATAACAAGCTCAATGCCGCCGACCGTGAGGATCTGCTGAAACCATACCTCCCCGATCCCTCCGAACTGTCCACGCCGCAACGATCCCGAGCCTCGACCTCTTCCTCCCAACGGCGCCAGAAGGCACGCAAGACACCCATCCGCTCGTTCATCAAGTCGCAGATCCACCGCCTGACCTACGCTATCACGCATATCATCTTCGGTATCATCGTGCGCCTGCTGCAGGCCTACCATGCCGTCGTCGACCGCATCTTCGCCATCGTCTACCACCACCATCGCACGCCCGAGCTGATCCGCAAGGACGTCCGTGGCCTGAAGCGAATCCCGCAGCACCTGAGTGTGATTCTGACACTGCGCAGCGAGGATGATGCATTGGCGGTATTAATGGACGAGGTGGCTGAATTGACTGCCTGGAGTGCATGCGCGGGGATCCATCAGCTCAGCGTATATGAAAAGACGGGTATGGACATCTTGAGCTTCTATCTCGATCTACGCTAACTGTGAACTGTCCAGGCGCTCTCAAGTTCTGCATCCCGGCGCTGCATCAGATCATTACCACCAAACTGGCCTCATACTACGGCACACCCTCCCATCAGCCTTCTCTCCAACTCTTCGCTCCTCACCACCCTGTCCACGGCGACACACCTGACCCCAATTCCGAAAACCCTGCCCTTGCACTTCTTCTCTTGTCCTCCACCGACGGCCGTGAGACACTCGTGGATTTGACCAAGACCCTGGCGGAGATGTCACAGAACGGCAAGTTGTCTCCGGAGGATATCACGCCCGAACTGGTGGACGCTGAGATCAGCGAGATCACCACTCAGCCTCTCCAGGCCGACTCGGCCTCTGGTGCTGCCAAGATCCTCAAACCCGAGCCAGATCTCCTGCTGGTGTTCGCGCCCTTCTTGAAACTGGATGGCTATCCTCCGTGGCAGATCCGCTTGACGGAGATGTACTGCACCGGTGACCGCAACCACGCTCTGAATGGAGACGGAGAAGCTGTCGAGTATCAGGGATTCATGCGGGGCCTGTGGCACTACGCCGGGGCTCAGATGCGCTTTGGCCGATGAGAAGAGAAAAGAAGTCGAGAAAGATGTCAGTAGGTGTCTTCACCTGTTATACCCCGTCAGCGTGGAAGTCGAGGTCTAGTCATATATATCCGTCATGAGTATGGCATTTGTTATAATTAAAAGGATATTGAAGCATCATGGGTGATCATTAAGTATAAGCTAAATTGGTATCACTATGTGTAACTATGCTATGCCGAGAAGGACTGCGTAAATATGCCGGGAGTGATGCTATTGCCACGTTGAGGGGAAAAGTCGAAAATCGAAAGGGAAATGCAGATCCAAGTGCACGCACATCCAACTCCAACATGACCGCCCCGTAAGTAAAAGAGTTGTTCATAATCCACCAAGAGAAAGGAGTTCGTGCGGTCGTTTCGTTGTTGTCATGTAAGCAGTATGAATGCAGATTTACCCGCCCATACTCTCATAATTCATCCCATCTAATGTCCAAGGTGAGACCGTGGACGCGGCAGACCAGGGTGCTGCATGACCACGGACACAGTCGAGACATCTCACGATTTCCGTGCCGGTCTCGGTGATGCCTTCAACTGCACAGCTGGAGCAGATCTTCCTCCGTCCGTCAAAGTCTTGGTTGGAGTTGAATAGGTCGGCATCGGGTGCTGTCACTGGCACATTGACGGAGCCGGCACAATTGTCGGCGTCACACTGGCGCAGACAGATGAAGCATGCTCTCTCTGCACAGAGAACACAGTCGGCATAAGCATCCAAGACGTGTCGTGTTGTAGGGCGTCGGTGGCAGATGTGACATGGACGCAGAGCTGAGGGTGAAGTTGACTGATAGGGGAGGGGGACGAGGGACTTGGGTGAGACGGGCGGAGAGTAAGGGTCTAGCGGTGCCCCGTAGGCATTTGGTGAGAGAAGGGTAGATTGCTGGTGCGTTGGAATCGAGAGAAAAGGGGTCTGGAGGTGTCGGCGTTTGCGAGGGAGAGACCGAGGTCGAAATGAAAGATCGCCTCCTTCTGTTGGGTGACGGGTCAGGGGTAGGGAACAACTGCTAGCACAGTCTGAGTGACCTGCTCGGAACGGCATGAAGGATGAACTGCGAGGTACGTTTAGTGATTGGAGGGAGAAACGACCCCGATCTGGGTTCAGAGAAATCAACTTACGGACAAGGCAAGGTTGCCGAGTCTTCATGGTCACGCTTGCGTTTCTTCCAGCAGGCAATGGAGCCGGGAGGCTCCGAGAAGCTGGGCATGGGGGATGCCGTATAGAGATCCCGCCAGTGCACCAAACGAAGAGCAGAAGGGAGCGAGAGGGGGATGTGTAAAGTCAATCGAAACATGAAAATAAACCCGGAGCCCAGTCACGGTACCGACTCACCGCCCGAGGCCCACTTGCTGGTATGCCTTGTATCGGGCATGATTTGTTTGATTTGATTATTATTTGATTTTTTTCAGTGATGTGCATGAGGCATTTGAGGTGGGACTACTTGATAATTATACTTTGCTCCCCTTACTATCTTGGTTGGGCCCTGATGTCGACGTAAGATGTTTTAGCTGCGGTCTCCTTAGTCCTTGGCCCATGATATGGGGCCACGACGGTTCTATATTTGGAAAGACTAACGAGGGCATGGTCTTGATCGACGTGTTTCTATGATCAGGTGTACTGAAACGCCTCCAGGATCTTGTTCTTTAGTTTATTCTTGCATCGTTCGTCAAATCAATATACCTTAGATTACTCTAGTCGCTTTTATTCATGACATCTTCAGTACTTTACATATCTACCAAGGTAAGAATCTTAGTTTCGTATTTCTGTATTTAAAGGGCACGCGTGTAGCTACTGGTAGGTACATGAGTGTATGGCAGGCTAGAGGCCGAGTTGCGGTATGAAACAACTCGGACATTCCAAGGAGCGGAGCTGCGCTTTTCGCCCGAGCCCCACCAAGGAAATCAAGCCCGAGCTTTCTCGCAGTGTTCGATCCCAGACATCTGACATGGCGTTTGCAGATTATTCTCTGGGTAACCCGCATTATCATGGACACGATAAACACCTGGTAAAAGCGTTATCCGTCAACCGAGTTTAAATTAAATTCGGGCAGAGACGCGACTCGGCTGGATCCGAGTGGATTCCCAGATCCATCCCGTCGGCTCACCGAGAGATGCCCTTGTCCCCGACTCCCCCGAAGGAGAAGCCGTCGCTGACACTGATAAAGCCATGGACCCTACGGAAGCCTTTCCGCGGGGCTCCATAGAAACCCGGTGCTGAACCCGGGGCGCTTTGAGGAGGATCTGAAGACGTATATCAGACAACATCTCGGACATCGAGTCAGGGGATCCGGATGCCGGTCCTTGCAGAGACGGCACGGTCTCTTGAGCACGACCTCTGCAAGATATTCTAAGGAGCGTGTCGATAGTCGTGAACCTTGCGAGAAGTAGATTCGGGATTCGTGAGGGCAGATGGTGCAGGGAAGAAAAGTCAAATTGCCGATCGTGGGCAGTTAAGGTTCCTGCAGGGATGAAGGGAAGAGAAGTTGTATACAGCGTAGAGGTATCTACAATGATTATTTCTTAGCTATATGGTATAGACCGACCGGACAATACCGACTGATTCACGGTAGATAGAAATCTAGATACTATAGCCAATACGGGCGTAGTCCAAATAACTTCACAATTCACCCACATCGTGGGGACGTTGGGGACGTGGGGAAGCCCGATTAGCCGTGACCAACAGCTCCCGACTCTTCGCTCCGAGCCTCAGTGTCCGTAGCCTACTTTTATTTTCGGTCCCCCGAGCCCTGCGCCCCTGTTAATTTAGGGTAGCAAACCTACGAATGACTGGAATAACTGGCATATCTGGCTTGGGTCCGTTGCGTAATCCTTCCGATTGCGTCGCTTGCTTTTATACTGCGCGGTCGTCCGCTTTCGCGCCTCGGAGATAACTGCGATATCTTTGCGATCCTCGGTCGCGACTCTTTTTTGGACCTGCTGGACAATTTGGACTCGCGTTCGCCACGGTCTGAAGCTCCCGCTCTGCAATTCATCTGCAGTCCTCTTGTGTGACATGATTCCTGCCCTGTCCAACCCTCCTTATGGATGAGGGCTCCGACAAGGCCCCCCGGCGGAAGAGGGTCTCCAGGGCCTGCGATCGCTGCCGCAGTAAAAAGGTGAGTTGCCATGCTGTGCGCTCGTCCACCTCAAGCTAATCCGCGCCGTCCGACCCCAGGATAAATGTGATGGCGTGCGTCCCACTTGCTCCGCATGTCAGGCCTCGGGCCAGGCCTGCTCCTACGACCCCCATGCGAAGAAACGCGGTCTGCCCGAGGGATACGTGCGCGGCCTGGAGAAGCTGTGGGCGCTTTCCATCTGCAATATCGATGGATTTGAAGACACCATGCTGTCCATGCTGGGAACCACCGCGGAATCTGCCCCGCGCCGAGTCAAGGTGATGTCAGCTTGGACGGACGACGGGTCTTCGGAGAGCTTGCATGAAACGTGGAAGACCAGCCGCTTGTATGGCGCGCTAGAGAATATGTTATCTAGTTCCGAAATCCCCCCACCAGCGACCGGGAAGCGATCACGGAATCCACACGATGATCCTCTAGTCGGTCAATGGGGGATCCGAGTTGGCAGAGAATCAACGCCGCTGGGCCCCGACGCGCCGCGAGTGATCGGACCGTCCGCTGTCTCGCCGGGGCTCAAACGAGCTCGACTGGCTCAAGCATCCGCCGGTCGTGATGCCTCCGCCAACGGCTCTCAAACCGCGCTGCAGCTGCCGCCTCAAACATCACAACTGCTCGATATCTATTTCGCCGCGACTCACACATGGTTCCCAATCGTCGCCAAGCATAACATTCTCCGCGCTTCATACCTCTACGCCAATGCACCTGTATCCGTTGCGACCACCTCGCCAGGATCTGGGGATCACGCTGCCCTGTGGGCGATCCTCAGCTACACCATCACACAATCCCTCACCGTCCCGCGCACCGGTCCTGCTGGAGCCATGTCTCTTGCGAAGGAGTACTATGCTGTGGCTCGTAATCTCATTCCCTCCGAAAAAGAACGCTACGAACTCGGTCATATTCAGGCCTTACTTTTACTGACTTTGGTGAACATGGGTCTGGAAGACTGGACGGCTGCGTGGCTGCTGAGCGGGCAAGCTGTGCGCATGGCCATCGCCATGGGCTTTGGTTCTTTCAGTGATACCAGAAGGTCCGACGAGCTGAGACAGGGCAAAGCAGTCTTTTTAGGATGCTTCGTCGCCGATTCCTTGTTATCGTTCCGCCTCTCGCGCTGCCCTGCAATGTCCCCAAGCGACCTGGCTGCAATTGGCTTGTTGGAAGAGGATGGGCTGGAGGAATGGAACTCGTGGATGGATGTTCTTCCCCCGACTGGGGCTTCGCAAGGGACAAATCCCCCGCGCAGAGGACCGCTACTGGCGCTAAGCTGTTTCAATCGCCTGGTAGAACTGGCAAGTGTCTTGAACAAAACTGCACGCAATTTGTCAATGGGATACAAAGCAGACACATTTGCACAGCAGCTGGTGATGGATCTGAAGAAGTGGGATGATAATCTCCCTCTTGGATGTCGTTTGACAGGGCCAGAAAGCATCTACCCAGAACGACACTCAGCGCTGCTACCCCATCAGAGTTACCTTGGCCTGACCTACGTGGCCATACTCCTTTGGTTATATTTACGTCTCATCCCCGGGGAACAGGGACTGCATCCATCGCAGCGGCCGGCCACGGAGGGGGCCAAGAAGCTTCTCTATCGAGGACTGTCCATGTTCGCACAGCACCTGGAGAACTTCCCCATGTGTGGATTTTCTCCCATTTTTGAATTTGGCCTGCGCACGATTTCGGAGCAAGCCTTCTCGCTGCGCCAGACTGTCGACTCGTCGGATAGTTTCCCATTTGCACACTGGGCCGAAGAGTTCAGACAGAAGGCAACGGTGCTAATCCCAACCTGGCCTGTATATGGATCCTTGGTGTCGGCGATACAACACTGGCAGCAGCCTAAGGGTTTTGTCGGTGGTCAGCCTACTGCGTTTACTGGAAATGCGCCTGCTCCCATCATGCCTGCAGCCCCGCCTTTGGCGAACTCTTTGCAACCTCTAGGCGCGCCTCCTGGGCTGGAGTCTCATAGACAAGGAAACTATGCCTCATCCATTATGGGCATCAGTATCCCAGTGGACGCACAATCTCTGACACCCACAGATACAGTGATGAAAAATACAGATCTAGCAATGATGGATGTTCCCATGCAGCCGTCGATCATTCCAGACGAAGTCACGCCGCGCAGTGCACCGGACGCGATGTTCCCGCCGGGACCTAATCAACCACATCCACACCCCTCTGATTCTTCTACCCCTAATACCGTGATGACCGCCAAAGCCCTCGCAAGCGATCGGTCCGTCCCCGCTGAGGATGCCATGGGTTTCAACCCTGCTGGCACGGATGACCTTGATGAGATCTTCAAGGATCTGGCGTATCTGGATACCACCGAGTGGTCCAACAACCGCGAGGCTGGCCTCAAAGACTTTGGTTTCCTAGACGACAGTACTTTCCAGGCATTTTGTCATGACCCGGATCGCCTGGTCGGGTCTCAAACATTGGTTCATCCGCCATCGATCGCAGATATTTGGCCACCTCCGGGCTTCTTCCCAGAAACCTTCCAGCAACTCCATGGAAAGCCGATGAATGGCTGACGATTTTTAATTCAATTGGGTCACACCAAATCAGCATTGTTGGGAGTTGAAGTTTACTCGGCTCAATTGGGACATGCCCAGTCTCGTCCTCGCTCGCACCCGGTCCTGAACGAGCGGACCTGACTTGATGGACAGCTCCACCGCCACTTGGATGGCCGTTGACAACCCTGCTCATGTGCTTGTAAAACAGGATGTCGGGTATATTGGTGTCATTCTGCGATGACTACCCAGCTGCCTCAAGGTGAGATCCTCCCATCTCGGCTCGGTTCGGCTCGGCCAGACCGTATATAGCACATCTTCAAACCCCCCTCGTTAGCCTATCGAATGAATCTATATACCCGCACTGACGGAGCGTCGTGCACCCGCAAGCTGTACCCTAGAGTAATCAGAATACTACTTTGCATTCGACGTATACCCCTGCAGCTAATTTTTCCTATTTACATGAGGCAATTATTCGTGTCTTCACGTGAGTTCCGGATGTACGGTAGAGATGGATGATATTGCTCGCCTTGGCGTTGCAGATAGAGCATGCAGCCACGGCGTCAACGAGATCTAATTGAGAATTGGCTGCTATGAGTAATGAGGGGATTGAATACGACCATACCATCGACATCTCGCCATATTCATCCTAATCAATTCGTACAATGTAACACCATGACCCAAAGCCCTCTAAAGAGGGCCCCCACATGACACTCCTGCCTCAGGCACGTATGTCATGATCGTTCGATCCACGGTTCGCACACCACTTTTTAACATTCGAAACGTGAGCTTGGGCTGCTTCAAAAGTCAAAAAAGCTTCGCAAAAATGGCGCTACCTCGGCTCAGCGCCATTTCCGGTCCTTGAATTGAACCCCTGGCGATCGTTGGATCACCTCCTGAGCCTGACCGACTTCTCCCCCTCGAGTCCCCATTCGCCACTCCACTCATCGTCACCTCCGGCAGCCGATCCTCGTCCTGCGCCTCGTCAAATCCCGCAACCGATGACGCCGGCCGTGGGGCGGCGGGTAGTCCTGAACTCCCGCGCCAGCCTCGTTGGCTGCTGTGCCGCTTGCTCGATGATCCATCCCCAGTGAACGGACGGTCGGCCTATCATTCTATCTCCCCCCGGCTTGCGACCGAATCATCGTTGGTGCCTTCTCTGCCGGGCCCATGGATCGTCATGCTCCTCATCACCAAAAGAGTTGAGCGTCGTACCCGTTTGCTCGATGATCGTTGACCCTTTTTACATTCATCAGGCGCCGCTGCCCTCTGTGCCATTTTTCATGGCTATTCTCTGTTCTCTCTTTTACTGATCCTCACATTCTTTTGTTTAACCCGTTGGCTGCGACCATGTTCAATTCTCCACGACGATGGCTGCTCGTCGTCTCTCCGTTTCTCACCCTCGTTCTAATCTATTACCTCTTCCTCACCCCTAACACGAACCCGGTCGCGGTGAACACGAACACGAGCACGAACACCGAGCAGTGGACCCAACCCGAGCAAAGCACCATTGTTCTTGAAGGAAAGCAGCCGTATCCGGAGACCGAGAACCAGGGCAAGGCATCCAAGGCGTCCGAAGAGGATGAGAACCCCTGTGGGAAGCTGCATCATGACATGGAAGATGTATTCGTGGTCCTGAAGACCGGTGCCACCGAGGCTCTCCAAAAGGTTCCCGTGCAGCTACGTACTAGCTTCAAGTGCGTCCCGAACTTCGCAGTCTTCTCCGACTACGAAGAAACTATTAACGGAGTGCGCACCTACGACGTCTTGAGCAATGTGACCGAACGCACGATGCGAAACGAGCCCGAGTTTGAGGTCTACCAACACCTTCAAAAAGTCGGCCGTCCGGGCCTGACCGACGAGGACTTTGGCGACGACGAAAATGGACCCTTTGGCAAGATCAACAACCCCGGATGGAAGTTGGACAAGTGGAAGTTCCTCCCCATGATCGACGGAGCGCTGGAGGCGATGCCCGATGCCAAGTGGTACGTCTTCCTCGAGGCGGACACCTATATCGTCTGGCAGAATCTGGTCAATTGGCTGGCCCACCTTGACCACACCCGCAGCTACTATCTCGGCAGCCCGATGCAGATCGGTGATATCCTGTTCGGGTATGGCGGGGCAGGTGTAGTTCTCTCTCAAAGGGCGATGCAGCGTCTGCACAGCTACCGCATCCACAACCAGGAGGAGCTGGAGGTCATGACTGCCAGTGAATGGGCCGGAGACTGTGTTCTCGCCCGAGCTCTCCAGGATATCCATATTCCTCTGACCTGGGCCTGGCCCATGATGATGACCTCCCGCCCGTGGGAGATCGATCACTTCTCGGAGGGCTACGGACGCCAGCCCTGGTGCTATCCGGTCATCTCGTACCACCACATGAACCCTCGGGACATCGAGGGGATGTGGCGGTTCGAGCGGGGCTTTTTCAAGAGCGGCAAGAACGCTCTTTTGCTCCACGCCGACGTGTACCGGGCGTTCATCCATAACAGTTCCCTCGCCGAACGCGAGGATTGGGATAATCTGTCCTCGGCCAACATTGACTTCGATCCTCCCACGACTCCTTCTGCTGAGGCGTGTGCGGATGCCTGTTCGCAGAACTCGGAATGTCTCCAGTTCTCCTTCAACCATGCGGAGCAGAGCTGCAAACATGCGTCCACCACTTTTGCCGGCGTCGCCACCAACGGCACCTACTCCGGCTGGATGACCCACCGCGTCCAGCGGCTCCTGAAAGCCTTCCAGTCATCATGTCCCCAGGTCGAATATATTTTCGACTAAGCCTGTTCTTCTCCGAACCCTCCTCCTCTTTGAGCGCATTTTTATTGGATCTGTAACATACCATTCTCTGCACATATTTTTTTTTTTTTTTTTTTTTTTTTCGGGGACGTGACATCATTGGCGAGGCGTTATCTTGGATCGTTTCATTTCATTTACCTGCTGGACAGACTCTGGCCCTTTGGACCATTCACTTGCACTCGCTTACATCTATCGACAATTCTGAACTCAAGCTGAGAACTGCGGAGGCTCAATATGAAGCCTGACGATTATCAATATAGTCAAATATACACCAAACAATTCTGAATCAATTCGAACCTGGCCGTATGTACGTGGTTTATACAGAGAAGAAGCTTAATTACAAAAAAGCACGGCCAGTCGTCACGGTCATCCGTCATTTATACATTCCTTCATGGGATCTCATGCGGCGCCAGAACCCTGTGGCTGCTTGCGTCGCTCACGCACCAACACCGGCGTGATGGTCAGGACAACCGCAGTGCAGACGACGATGGCCTGGATTCCAAACACCAGGCCGATGCCATTGCGCACAATCCATTCAGGCTGGAAGTATCCCACTGCGAAGCCACCGCAGGTGCGCCACATGTTTAGGATGGCGGACACGCAGGTTGACTGATCGGGGTACTTCTCTAGCACGTACGCCGTGATTGCTCTGTCATTCTCATTAGATGGCTGCTCGAGTATTACAAGGCTTCGTCGCACTTACACAATCGTGGCAACCATGCCGATGTTCACCATGATCCAGCCAAAGGCTAGTCCAATCCAGTGCTTGTCAAAGTTCATTGTCAGGCCATAGGTGAGCAGACCGCAGGCCATGCTGCCGATGGGGAACCACACGCCGTGCAGACGGAGCTCGGTTCTCCAGTTGGCACTGTGGCGGCGGTAGATCCATTCATTGAAGAAGTGACCGAAGGCCCAGCCTGGAAGGGAGTGAGATTTGAACTGAAACAAGGATATCCAGTTTTGACTTACCACAGAGTGCACCGATAACACCGGCAAATCGCATAGATGACGCCTCGATCGTATCGAAGAGATAGGGTGGACTGTGCAGGAACGAGTCGATGGTCGTCGTGATGCCTGCAACCCGTCAGTACGAGCCATTGGATTTCGAATCGGACTTACCAATTGGCCAGGTGAACGTCACCAGGACGGCAAAACCTGTGAACATCCCGGTCAGTCCCTATAATGTGTGAAGAGCCCGGAACCCAGAAAGTTGCTCACCCGTCATCAACAGCGGAAACTTGAACACATAGACGACGAGTTTCTGACACCAGAATCCCAGCGTTGCCAGTTTGGGCAGCTTGGTGTTTCCAATGCCAAAGTACGCTCCGAGTCGCGAAGCCGGCGTCTTGTCCGGTGCATAGTATGTCTCTCGGCCAAAAGCGAGAACCATGAATGTCGACACGCCATAAATGGCAGTCAGAACACCGAAGGAGTCGCGCCAATTTGTGCCCGCGCCGATATAACCTGCGATTGCAGGCCCAAGGAACGGACCGACCAGGAATGTGGTGCCCCTATTCCCTGTCAGTCTACGGAATACGAGTACATCAGTCGACTGTGAACTCACCAGATGTTGATCATACGTGGCCATTCTGAAAAAACATCAGCGCCAATATATCCACTTCGGATGATATCACATACCATGCGGGCTATACATGTCATGGATAATAGGCAGCCCGATCACCTGCGGCACGGTACCGAATAGGCCCTGCAGCGAACGAAAGACCGTAAAGGTCGAGTAGTCGTTGGAGAGGGTGGCGCCCAACACCATGAACATCGTGATTACCTGTGGCCAGAGCCAGACGGGATAACTGGAGAGATTGCGTCAGTTAGCAGGGATGATCCCGATCTCCATATACATGCTGAACGGTACCTACCGGCCATAGGCTTCGATGAGCGGGACAGCCAAGATACCCCCAAAGCCCTGCAGCAGAATGCCCCAGTTCATGCTCGTGGCCGAGTGTTCAACGGTAATTTTCCAGTCCATGGCCTGCTGTGTGACCAGCGTCGAGCCCCAGACCATTGCGCTGGACAAAGTCAGTGACGGGCGATCAAACAAGTTCACGGAATGCACAGTACCCATCGGCCAGGAGCGAGCTCGACATGAGCGAGACGAAGAGCAGAGTCTTGCGCGTGAAGCTCCAATTCTGCGGATTCCGAGGATCCATGACACCGTCTTTGGAGTCATGAGTCTCATGAGACTGCGATAGACTGGCAGCACCATCCATCTCACGGGTATCTTCGAACGGGCACGATTTTTCCATGATGACTGTTGCACAAAGGCAAGATAGGCAAGGGGATTGTAGAAAGTGGAAACCATTGCCTGGGTTGGGCAGAGATAGGTTTTATGCATAAGGTCCAAGTTCTAGATCGAACACATGGCTCAAGGAGAATTTACAACTCGCGTGGCTTATGCCACGCAGCCGAGAAATTCTGGAAGATCAGATCTCTCCGATAGACCTGTCTGCAAGTCTCATACTTTCGAGGGATCCGAGGGTTTTTTGCCGAAATCACAAAGAGGACGAGTCTCCACCCTAACTTGATCTCCACTTGGTTCGCGGCTCCGCGTCGTTTCATCGCCACATCCCTGTCGGCACACCTCCGGCGTATGGACTATTCTGGTAGGTAGTATGTTTTGGTGTTGAACCTTATTATCCTGGTCTATCTCATCTGTCTCATCTGTCTCATCCGTCTCATCCGTGGATTAACGAATGCCTCCAAATGCCGCTGATATCTACCGATGATTTAGGTTTTTGGCGCATTGACTCGTCGCGATTGCCAGAGATCGGCAGAGCTAAGCGTGAGATGTCCCTTGCGTCTGCATGGGTGTGTGATTCGTTCGATTCTTGGTTGTCGAGGGGTTGCGACCACTCACATTGGCAGTCCGGGCGTCACCCTCCATGAGTTCCAGTTTGTGAATGCATTGGTTCGTGAGCTAGTTAGACATGCCGCGTCCATAGTTACGTAGTAAACACTCTAAACTGGAAAGCCTGGCATTCTGGCATCCCCCTTGGATCAACAGACAAATGACAGTAGATAATAGACTTGATTTCGTGTTCAGCGTTCAGCTCGGAAAATCCTGCATCTCGCTTTCATTCCAACATGACTTTGCTGGAACGCTTGGCCAACTTCTTGGGCCTATCAAAGCCCGCGCCTGCGGCGCCGCCGGGGGCAGTGTTGGCGGCGACGGTCACGACGGTAAGTTTGGCTTAATTTCGACATGGAACATGGGTTGATGATGTGATAGCCGGCGTCGCTGGGATTTGTCCCCGTCGCGGTGCATTTTAAGCTCTTCGACGTATTGGTGAAGCATGGAAAACCGGCGACCGCGGAAGAAGTGGCCAACGCCGCCAACGGGCTCATTCAAGAAAAAGAGCCTAAAATCAGTAGGTGACATACATGCAGGAATGGGTAGTGGGAAGTTGCTAACGGTGCCAGGTACTCTACTTGCCGGTATGGGACAGACGGTAGATGGTGAGACGAGATATTCAGAATACTGACCGATTGCAGCGGATACACTCTACATCATGGCCGGACTGGGCCTGGTCGAGCGCGTGGAAGAGAACAGTTTTAATGCCAATGCCATCACCCGGCACATGGTGGCCATGCCTTCGGCCCAGCATGGCGCCGTGCACTTGTGCGTTGCTTTTTCCTCTCTGTCCGATCAGCCACTGACTGCGACCGTAGCACCACCGAAGGAATGATGGCCGGCGCATTCCTCATGAAGAAACTGCAGGATACCAACTTTGCGTATCCTTTCAATGAGGCTGACGGTCCCATGCAGTATGCCTACGAGCTGATGGGCGAGAAGGAGCTGGCCCTGCAGCACACGTATTCCATTATGGAGGCCCAGGGGCGCATGGACAGCTTCAACCAGTTCATGGTCGGCAAGTTTCTCAAGTTCGGCACTTTCCCCGAGCGGGCCACTTCGCTGGGATACGATCTGCGCGAGGCACTCAGCCAACCGGGGACCGTGGCCATGGTCGACATTGGCGGCGGACGAGGCGAGCTCCTTCTCGAAGTCCAGTCCGTATTTCCCCATCTCGGATGCGAGAACCTGGTGGTGCAGGAGTTCAATGCAGAGATCGACGACATCCCGGGTGTGCATTTGATGGAGTGGAACTACAAGACGAGCGCGGAACAGCCGATCCAGGGCGCGCGAATCTACTCGCTCCAGCACATTCTCCACAACCTGCCGGACCTGGACGCGGTGGCGCTGCTTCAGAAGATCTCGCGGGCCATGGCACCCACGTCGCGACTGCTGATTATCGAGTACGCGAAGAACATGACCTATACTTCGCTACATGCCAGCATGATTGTACTATACGGGGGGCGTGAGCGCAGTGCGTCCGAATGGCGGCAGCTGGCCGGTGTCTCCGGCCTGCGAGTCACTTTTGAACGGTATGTGCGCGCGGGCGAGTCTCTTGTGGAGATGCGCCGAGCGGATTAAGTTGGTGAAGACTCGGATCTGAGTTTGGAGTTGGCGGCTTTGGCCCGATGTATGTAATGATAGACCTACGTGTGTACCTCGTGAAGTAAACAGATCATAAAATAGGACCGAGCAGAACAGATAACAAAAGCACGAACTGAAAACGAGGCAATGGTTCGTAAATGATCGTAACGACTGGATCAGTCACATCCGGGGAATGTAATGTTTCGAGCCGATGCTTTTAGACTTGTGATCCACGCCCATGGCGGATCGTCGGCCCACCGTCCGAGCGTCCTCCGCTCCGCACATCTCAATCCACTTCATCTGTGATTTCCGGTCCATCGTGATAGTGATACAATCACTCCGCTACTGCAAGATGCATCCTTTTTGCTTTTTTTACGTCGTCCATTCCCGAGTTCCCGGGTCCGACTATTGAATTGAACCTTTCGCTTCGTCACACCCCTTGCGTAGCGCCGCATGGGCTTTGCATGTAGGCCCTCCACTTGGAATGTGGCCCACGACACATGGGAATGGCCACCTTCGTCGTGGAAACGAGGGAAATGAGCCGATTTCTCCCAGGAGGGCAATTGCAGGAGCCAGCAGGGATCCCGGAATAGATAGCCCCATGGTTCTGCACCAAAGGGCCACAAGAGACCCGCCACTCGTGATATTGAGTTTGAGACTCTAGACATCGCGAACTACTTGGCCCTCTTCCTAGCCCTGCATCCCTTGTTCGCCTGCTCGCCTGTTCGCTTCAGGGTTTGACCTGTAAATTGCTCGTCCCTCCACTCTCCAGAGTTTATCCACGTTAGACTCGTTTCCGGCAACTTGAGTGATCTGATGGATCTTGCATTTGGATGTACACATCTTTCTGCTCGTCACCTCTGGTCGTGCCCAATGTCGCGTTTCTATTTGAATTGAACTCTCCCCTGTGAGATCTCAACATCCAAAGCTCCTGATCTCTTCTATCCTGCCTTTGCAATCCTCCGCTATGGAAATCCCGAGGCCCACGGAAGGAGACGTCGACATTGGTGAGTCGCGTGCTGCTCCGTAACTGTTCACACCACTGACGGCTTCTTCTTTTCCTTCTAGGCACGGCCACGTTCGATGCCTGCTGGGTATGCCAAGATCGGTCTCCTATGACTGCAGCAACTGATCGTCCATGTATAGGTCCTGACAGCCCTCGTGGGTGTCGCTCTACTGTTTCGATATTCGGTCAAGGCGTGGGTGCGATGGGCTCTGCCCCAAGTCACTGCCCCCGGACGAGTCTGGGGTATCGAAGACCTCTTCTTTTTGGTGGCCTATGGCTGTGATCTGACCCATATGACTATGATTCAGATGAGGTGAATTTTTATTTTTATTTTCCCTTTTTCTTCTTCTCTAAGACGGCCTCACTAACTATCCACAGCGCCAATTGGGGCCTGGGCCGCCACTTCTTCTATCTGAATGCCACTGAACGGTTCCATGCAATGAAGTGGGATTTCATATCGCAGCCTATCGCTGTAGCCTCGGCCATGATATCTCGTTCTGGCATGATGTGGTTCCTGTTGACCTGTTTCGCGGCGAGCGATAAGAAGATCCGCGTGTCGATCATTGTCTGTGCTGTGGTTCAGGTCGTCGTCAACATGGTCACCATCGTGCAGATCATTGTTCAGTGCGGGCCGAACCCGTATCGTGCGGTAAGTGTCATCGTCATTGCTGTCGGTCTCGGGCTGATGGGCTGACCTTCTAGGCCGATCGTGTTCAATACTTCCACTATATGTGGTCTCCTCTGCCTGCAGACAATTCGGTTGTGTGCCAGTCGCCCGTGGTCCAGACCACCGTGGGCTTTGTACAAGGAGGTATGCTGATTTACCGTCTTGGGCTTGAACATATCTGACTCGATTCAGGATTCAACTCCATTATTGATTTTTTCCTCGGTGTTCTCGCCGCCGTCGAGCTGTGGCAATTCTTCCTTCGAACTCTGAACCGTGACCATCACGTGTCGTTCTGGTCTAAATTCCGCAAGATCAACAGCACCGTTCGATCACGACGGATCTGGCAGACGCTCACTTTGAGTGGTCCACTGATTCTCTCTGGCGCTGCCTCCATAGTCAAGACTTATGTAGGTGTTGGATGCCTTTGTCTCGATTTCCTTGCTAACCAGGTCTCGTAGAAACTCAAGTCTTTGGGAGACCGACTAGACTTTACTTATAACATCGTCTCTTTTGTCCTTTGGGTAAAGTAAGTCTTGTCATTTCTTGAAATTTTTTTGGTCCACGTCTGACTCGCTGCAGAATCGAAAACTATAGCATCCTCCTCGCCTCGTGCGCACCCGTCGCCCGGCTGTTCCTCCGTGCCTTTGTCGACTCTCGTCGTGAGGGCCGTATGGCCGGCTACTGGTCCAAGTCACGGTCCAATAATGGCGAAAATGCCAATCACTCCAATGACACCGAGATGAAGCGTCACCGCAAGGATCAGTGGATGGACTCGGAGACGGTGACCAACTGGGACGAAGAAAATCCTTTGCCGAACTGGAGTAGCAATGAGCGCTCCGAGAGCCGAATCTCAAAGGCTCAACATCCTGAGAATCCCGGCGATGGAGTCACGGTCAAGACGGATATCATTGTGCAAGTGGATGACGGCCTGTCCACCTCCTCGGGTGGTGCACGGCTTTTGCCGGACGGCACTGAGACCCTTCACGGCCACGGGTACCGACGATCTAGGTAATGGATGGATACTGTGATGTGATATGTATAGCTCAGAGCGAACGTAAATAATGTAAATGTGATGACTCTGAAATTGTTTTCTCTGTACCTATTTCCACCAAATTTCTCCGTATAGATCTCTGGGGCCATGACATAATCATATAATCCTAATCTCCACGTGATGATAAACACGCATCCTCCATCAACGAGCGTCGAGCTTGTCAACTGCATCATGGCTCTGCCGACGATCAAGAGCAAGGCATTCCCCTACCGGAGGGGCTCCAATGCGTCCGAAAATGACTTCTTCGACATCCCCGACGAGCCCCTGGTGGCCATGTTCAAGCGCCAGTTGCGGCGTGTCCGCACCTGGGTGATCCTCGCACTGTTCATCATGTTTATGATGTGGCATCGTCGCGCAAAGCCGTCGCCGTCTCTGCTCCCACATGTTCATTACGACGAAGTCGATTGGTCGCGATTTGCCTATACTACGTACGCGACTTCCGAGACGTATCTGTGCAATGCCGTGATGGTCTTGGAGGCCCTGCATCGGTTCGGGTCTCGGGCGGAGCGCGTGCTATTCTATCCGCAGGAATGGGATCTGGTTGTGGAGAATGATTTTGACCGCATTAGCCAGCTGCTCATTATGGCGAAAGATGACTACAATGTGGTGCTGCGTCCGGTGGCTATCGAGGGGATCAAGACGGGCGGAGAAGGTGCGCGACACAATACTACGTGCGATAGACCAGTGCTGACCATTTCAATTGAATAGGAGCCTCCCAGGCCTCCTGGGATACCAGCACCGCCAAGTTGTCTGCCTTTGGCATCGTCGAGTATGATCGCGTCATCCACCTCGACTCCGATATTACACTCCTGCAGCACATGGACGAGCTATTCTTCCTGCCTGCCACCGCCATTGCCATGCCCCGCGCATATTGGTTATTGCCGCATACCAAGACCCTCTCTTCACTATTGGCTGTCATCGAACCGTCTTACCGCGAGTACGCTGCCCTGTCCAGTTTTATCAAGCCGGCCCAGGCTGGCCAGATCGAGCTGAACTTGACCGATACCCGGTACGATATGGAATTGTTAAATGACCGGTACGGTGACAATGCATTGGTACTTCCCCATCGACCCTACGGTCTTATCTCGGGGGAGTTCCGCACCAAGAATCACCGGAAGTACCTAGGCAACGACCACGAAGTATGGAATCCCGACCTGGCTCTGTCTGAAGCGAAATTGGTGCACTTTTCTGACTGGCCGCTGCCCAAACCTTGGGTCATGTGGCCACAGGAAATTCTAGCGAAGGTGCAGCCCGTCTGTGACAAGGAGCCGGGGACACCGAATGAGAGCGGGTGCCGTGACCGAGAGGTATGGAGGAATCTATACGATGACTTCCGACGACGAAGAAAGGTATGGGTTACGCGTATGGTTTGCTTCATTTCGCTGACTTGTTCCAGGATATCTGTAAGCTATTAAGTTATCCCGCCCCCGTGTAAGCCTGGTCGTCGGGTTCACTCCAGGATTGTATAGGATTAAGGAACTTGGTTACCAAAGGCATGGCGTCCCAGGCGTTTCTTCTCGGGGCATATTAGATATTCGATATCTGGACATAGATTCGATTTGTACGACAATTGATCGAGCATATAATGAACGTTCTTGACTCCATATATTGGTAAAAAAAAAAAGCTGCAGACTGTAGCGTATGGCAACTATAATCCAGTACAAAGTAAGTACTATGGGACGTTCAAATCAAAAACGCTCAAACGCCATCCCATGCAGGTATACCAATCACGCATCATGCATATCCCATCCCCTTCCTCCACCACATCCACACCCCCCTCCTCTCCATGCAGCTCCCGAACTCCTTCACGCTCGCGACCTCCGACAATCCCGCGTCAATCTCCATGGACGGAGCCGTCCCTTCGTGCGCCAGCAGCGCCGGCCTCGTCACCAGCTGGAAATCCTTATAGCGAAGTTTACGAACTTCCCCAACCCACGATTCGACCCGTGCCTGGTCCTGGCCCTCCACGTACATGATGCCCGGGCATCCGCCAGAGCGGAGAAGCACGAAGCATTGGTGCGTGTCGGCGGCGCGTTTGAGCGCGGCCACTTTTTTGCGCGAGGTGATGTGGTGGGTGCGGATTAGGGCATTGTAGAGCATTGTGTTGAGTTTGGGGCGGACATTTCTCGCGTGCAGATATTTGCAGATGCAAATTATAGTCGAGTGTCGAAGCTGTCGACCTGCTCAGTGACCTTGGCCTCCGTCACCGATCGTGATGACTAAGCTGTCTCGGTCTCATTCCTATCTCGAGGTGAAGCTCGATTTGCGGACGAGTTCAATGGGGTGTCGGGGTTAACAGGGTTGAGTATTACTTGAGTATTACGTCGTGGGACGATCGAGGCCTAGTAGTCGCGGCGATACTTCTTCAAGTGGTGTCTATCTCAGGGTGTGCTAATCTGTTCGGCCGTTGCAGGTATATACATCTGGGATACTCTCGACACATTTTACAGTACACCGCAAATTGACCTCCAGCATCGGTCTCAACCCAAACATGGCTAAATGCAGCTAGGGTGACTGTAGCACAAAAAGTACCGTCGACCAGCCCGTCGGAAACCAATGAAGTCTGCGATATTTTGAAATAAGTCTGTTTGCCCGAGGCAGTCCCGATCGGCGCCTGCAGATGTCATCTACGACTTTGCTTTTTTGCCCCGATTGTCTCGGAGAAAAAATCCTACTGTAGTGACAGCTTCCGCCATGCCAGATCTATCAGAGTCGATTGACCGGACCAGGTAGCCGTTGTTTCATCAGTTATAGCGTATGCACATCGCTCACGAATTCTCGAGTCACGCCCTATCGCATATCGCAGCAGAGCAATTGACACGGTTGACGAGCTAACCGCCCGCAGGTGCCACCAATCCGTCAATGGACTGAAAACCAGTGGTCGAACCCGCTTGGTCAGGCAAAGCGTGGCTCACGAATGGCCGCGAGTGGCTTATACAGTGGAGTCATCTCCTCTTGGCTTCCTGTTTCTGCGGAACCGTCGCTGCGGTGTCCGCGAGGTGCGCCCACTTTCGCCCTTTTTCGTCGGGGCTCCAGCGACTTTCCAAACTCGGGCAAAGTACCGCCATGTGGCCCTGGGGGAACCGTGCTGCTGATTGGTCTTGATTGATCGGACCATCAAGATATCGCTCCATCACGGTCTACTACGCCCGTGATGGGATTGGCTGAAATGACAAAGAAAAGTGCATCTTGTAGCTTGGCTTCCTTTTGAGGTTCCGATCTGGAAACCTTGTATAAAAGATGACACTCGTTCTTTTCTTTTTTCTTCCTCCAGCCGAAAGATGCAGCATTTTGTCTTTCGTACATCAGAGCACCGTGTACAGGGTTGAAACATGCCCGGTCCGCTTCACTCCCGTCCACATCCTTCCTCTTTTGTCTCCGGCCAGGAAGCACCGTCCGGGGACCATGGTCCGAGGGTGCAGGTTTCTGACGAGAACGAGGATGCCATCGCCGATATTCACCGCACACTGACGGAGAAGAGTCTTTCTGGTGTGCATCAGGAGTATCCGGAGCCTCATTCCTCGTTTGACAAGTTTCTCGAGGAACAGGTGCAAGATGGCAAGAAACGTTCCAACCTGGGCGTCTGCTTCCAATCGGTCTCGACCTGGGGTGAGGGAGATGGCCACTCTGATGTTAAGACGCTGGGTACGGCGTTGTGGCGTACCCTCACGTTGCAAGATATTTATCAATGGACTATCCAGCCGTGGATTTCCCCAAAGAAGCCCCAGAATGGACGTCCTCTCATTCGAGACTTTTCCGGCGTTGTCGAGAGCGGAGAAATGATGCTGTAAGTATCCAATTGCGAACTTGTTTAGCTGAATGAGATGTCTAACCTGTGCTTTCAGTGTTCTGGGCCGCCCTGGAGCGGGCTGCTCGACATTCCTTCGCACGATCGCTGGCCACCACTCTTCGTTTATTGGAGTGACAGGATCGATCGATTACTCCGGGTTGAGCCCGGATGAAGTTCGCAAGCACTACCGCAGTGCAGTAGCCTACGTGCCCGAAGACGATGTGCATTTTCCGACCCTCAATGTGCGACAGACCCTCGAGTTTGCTTTGCAAAGCAAGACCCCCAAGCGTTTCCAAGACCGAATCCCAAAGTATCTGGAAATTTACGGACGAGTCTTCGGCATGACCCACACGATGAATACTCTTGTGGGTAACGAGTACATCCGAGGTGTCTCGGGTGGAGAGCGCAAACGAATCTCCATCATCGAATCACTTGCCACCGATTCGTCCGTGACCTGCTGGGATAATTCGACTCGTGGCCTGGACGCATCGTCCGCCCTGGACTACGTCCGCAGCTTGCGCATTATGACCGACACATGTGGCAAGGCCACCTTGCTCACTCTGTATCAAGCCTCGGATGCAATCTATGAGCTGGTGGACAAGGTTCTTCTGATCGATGAAGGACGAATGCTGTTCCAGGGCCGAGCCAGCGCGGCCAAAGGGTATTTTGAGGATCTCGGATACGAATGTGCCGAAATGCAGACCACGTCCGATTTCCTGACCAGTATTACGATCCCAGAGCGACGCCGGTTCCGCTCGGGCTGGGAAGACCGTGCCCCCAAGGGACCGATTGAACTGGAAGCTGCGTTCCGGCAGAGTACAGCATTCAAAAATGTCGAGACATCGATCGGAATGTACGATAATCAACGAAACGGTGACAAATCCAACGGAGCTTGCGCATCGGATTCAGAGTCTGGCAGCGTGGAAGACTTCAAGCGTACAATGCAGAGCGATAAGTCTCGCTTCGTCTCGCCCAAGTCTCCATACACCATCTCCCTCTTCCGTCAGATCATTTTGTGCGCCCAACGTCAACTGTCGCAGCTCAAGGGCCATATGGGTCCACTTTACATCAAGTTGATCTCTGCGGTGGTTTATGGCCTGCTGATTGGATCAATGTTCTATGATCAGCCACAGACTACCGAGGGCATGTATTCACGTGGCGGTGTGCTGTTTTACTCATCCATCTTGCTTGCCTGGCTCCAAATGTCGGAGCTGGAAGAAGCGATGCAGGGCCGAGATATACTCATTCGACAGAAGAAATTTGCCTTTGTGCGACCCAGCGCCGTTTGTCTGGCCCGAGTCGTACAGGATATGGTAGTGACTGCACTGCTTACCTTGCTATATCTCATTGTCATGTACTTCTTATCTGGGCTGAGATCTGACGTGAGTTCAGAAGAGGTATATACTTCCCTTCAAATGCTAAAGCGGTGATAGGCTGGTCCATTCTTTGTCGACTTCCTCTTCATCTACATGTGTACCGTTTGTCTGACAGCCCAGTTCCGAGTGTTTGCAGCTTTGTCCAATAATTTTGAAGTTGCGCTGCGCTACTGTGGAGTATCTGTCCTGTTCTGTATCGTATTTGGTGGCTATGTCTTGTCTGTTGACAAGATGATCCAGGATGTTCCTTGGGTTGGGTGGATAGCGGTAAGCCTTAGCCTGACAATATTTATGTCCAAACTAACTATTTCCAGTATATAACGCCCGCCTTGTACACCTACGAATCGGTCATGGCCGCCGAGTTCCATAATGTCAATTTCACTTGTGCAACAGGATCTGTCGTTCCTGCGGGTCCCGACTACACCGACGTCGCCTACCAGACTTGTGCATATGCTGGCAGCCAGATCGGTAGTACAATTGTGAATGGCGATGACTACCTGGCTGCGCAATTCGGATTCTATTATAGCCATGTGTGGCGCAACTTTGGAATTCTCTGCCTTTTCACCATCGCTTTTATCCTTCTTACGTGCTGGCTGAGTGAAGTGCTGGAATGGGAGCTGGATAGTGCTGGCTCAATCCAGTACAAGACGTCTAGTCGTTTGTTTAAGCGGCAGAACAAGCCCAGCAGCGACGAGGAGAAGACGCCTGTCCCAGTCGACCCTAAAGCACCTCCGATCGGAACTTCCGCAGGAACACCAGAACAGACCCTATCTGCCACTGAATCCACTTTCACTTGGTCAGACCTTGAGCTCGATGTGCAGATTGGCGAAGAGATGCGGAAGTTGCTAGACAACGTGTGTGGTTATTGCAGGCCAGGAACCCTCACGGCTCTTGTTGGAGCATCGGGAGCTGGAAAATCGACCTGTAAGATGATAAACACTATTTTGAAGCACCAGAAGCAGAAGCTGACGATCGTATCTAGTGTTAACTGCGCTCACTCAGAGGCAGAGTGCCGGTACATTGACCGGCTCATTGTATGTGGATAACCAGCCCATCGATGGCTCTTTTAACCGGCAGATTGGATACTGCCAGCAAATGGACATTCACGATGAAAGCAGTACCATTCGTGAGGCGTTCGAATTCTCTGCTCTCCTCCGACAGAGGCATGATACTCCCAAAGAAGAGAAGCTTGCCTACGTGGAAACAGTTTTGCACACATTGGATCTCATTGAACTGCAAAATGCGGTTATTGGATCCTTGGATATCGAGAAGAAGAAGCGAGTGACGATTGGAGTTGAACTCTGTGCCCGTCCGCGACTGCTTCTCTTCTTAGATGAGCCAACTAGTGGACTTGATAGCCAGGGTGCAACCAGCATCGTGGCCCTGCTTCGTCGTCTTGCGGACCAAGGATTGGCTGTTCTTTGCACCATTCACCAGGCTAATCAGCAGCAATTTGAAGAGGTAAGCTCTCGCCTGTATGGGTGTTGTGACTAAAAACTAATATGTGCAGTTCGATCGCGTCCTTGCCTTGAGCCCAGGTGGAAGCACCTACTACTTTGGACCAGTCGGCCAATCCGGCCAGGCCATCTTTGATTATTTCACAAAGAATGGTCACCACCCACGGAATTTCACCAATGCTGCAGATTTCCTCATCGAAGTGGTAGTTGGTGGCATGAAAGCTTCGGGGAATCAGGTCAACTGGGCCTCTGTCTGGCGCGACTCTGAAGATGCCGACTACATCAAGAAGGAGATTGCGGCCATTCGCTCACACAATGAAAAGACCCAAGAAATCTCGGCAGCGCCCTCCTTGCCTCCTCTTCGCCAGCAGATTATCCTGCTCACACAGCGAACTTGCCGCCAATTCTGGCGTACGGCCGAGTACCCCTACTCGAGACTCTATGCATCGTTCCTCCATGCACTAATCAACGGCCTCACCTATCTCCAAATCGGAAACAGCACGACCGATCTGCAGTCAAAAGCCTTCTCCGCATTTTTGGTTTTGATGCTGGTTCCTGAATTCATCAACGCCATCTCTATGCGTTTTATTCTGAACCGTGACATCTGGCTAGCTCGAGAAGGTCCCAGTGGAGTGTACAGCTGGGTCGCGTTCAGCACTGCTCAAATAATCTCCGAAATCCCTTATGCTATTGTCGGTGGGGTGATTTTCTATGTCATGTACTACTTCATGGTCGGACTTCCTCTCGGATTTGCAGCAGGATACAGTTTTCTGATGTTCTTTCTCTTTTTCCTTTTTGCTACTTCTTGGGGACAGTGGATTGCTGCATTAAGGTGAGTACTGGTTATTTCCATAGCATTGATCATTCTGACATTTGTTTTAGTTCTGATTCGATGGTCGCGGCTACTTTGATGCCATTCTTCATCATCATGTGTGAGCTTTTCAACGGCATTCTGCGCCCTCACCAGCAAATGCCTGCTTTCTGGAAGTATACAATGTACTACATCACGCCCTTCACGTACTGGATCGGGGGCGTTTTGACCTCGGTCCTTCGCGGGACCCCGGTAGTCTGCAACGAGAGCGAATTAACTCTCTTCCAAAGTCCGCTCAATATGACTTGCGGCGACTATGCCAACTCTTGGCTTTCCTCCAAGGGAGTTGGGTATCTTTCGAACCCCGACAGCACTGGGATCTGTGGATATTGCGAGTATAGTTATGGTGACGATGTAAGTTGTGACCTGGAACTACTAGGAAACACAAACTAATTGGAACAGTACCTTTCTGGAATCGGACTGGACGACTCGGTCATATGGCCCTACTTTGGAATCTTCCTTGCCTTTACCATTGCCAACTACTTGATGGTGTATCTACTTGTCTATGTGCGATCTGTCGCCAAGTGGCGGTTTAAGTAATGTATATACGAACTGTACATAGCATTGCATCTAGCGTTAGCATTTCTTGTGCGTTCCGATACTCGCTCCAAGAACGGAACCTGACACACCACTTAAGAATCTCGACCGAGGCCGAATTAGCAAGACTCACTCTCCGCTCTCTATCACTGGCGTGTAACCAGGATATGTACGTTTACGGATAGCCTCGTCAGAGTGATCACATCGGGCATAGTTTGATCTTGAGGCATCTATTTGCATGACTCGGTCAGTGAGTGCCAACAATGGTGCTTACAGTGCTGCGAACCTGCTTTGTCGGGTAAGAAGAATGTGGGACATTTCTACTATACCACGTGCCCTATAAGAACCTCGAAGCAAATAGTACAAAATAGTTACAACGTAGTATATTTACTATAAAGGGGCATCTACATAGCCTAATGAACCTCCAAATTACCCGCAGGCAGGCCGTCACCGTGAACAGATTCAGTAGGCATATCGGAAGTGGGGATTCTCCTTATCAGTAAGTCCGGCCCACTTCGTTTCGTCAATCATAGTCTCGTTCACACGGCCCTGGGTCTGATCCCGGCGTCGGTTCTGCCGGGCATAGTAGAAGAACAACACCACGGATACGACGGCCGCTCCAGCCTGTGTGGCAAGAACGGCAATCTTGGCAGGTCGGTACTCTGGTGCATCTTTGGCTTGGAAGGTCTGCGGGCCGATGATGTTACCGATGGAGAAAGACCCGGCAACGAGAGCGCTAGCAAAGGCACGCTTGGTGTGACCTGCACAGTTGGCCATGGTCCACTGGTAGATAATGGGTAGGGTTGCCACGATGGCGTTGACGAGATAAATCCCGATGAGCACGCCGGCCGTGTCGTTTTTCGGAAGGAAGGATAGTAGGCCTCCGCCGATGATGCCGGGGATGGTACACAAAACATTCCAAGCCCAGCGGTGTGAGGTCCTTCGGATACCGTATCCAACTAGCAGAGTAAAGAAAATGCTGACGATACCCGAGGGAGTATTAAGCAGGGCCGAAATGGGACCGGAGAAGCCAAAACCGGCAATCAGAGTCGAGGAATAAGTAGTCACAACACCACTCGATACAGAAAGCTAAGAAATGAGTCAGTCTGAGTCCATCGACTTATGAATGGTGCGGACCTACTAGAATAGTTGTCAGGGTCAGCAACCACAGCTGAATGTCAAACACAGACTCCCGGATCTGTTTCAAGTTCACGGTCGTACTCCAAACACCCGTCTGGTTCTCGCCGACGTGTTGCAGGAGGGCCACCTTTTCACTCTCCGATAGCCACTTGGCTTTAATGGGCGTGTCCGGAATGAAGAAGAAGGTCAGGGTGCCCACCACGGCGGTGATCAGACCGAGCATCAAAAACATGATGCGCCAACCTTCCAGGGATGCATGGTGGACATGTTGAAAAGCAAAGGAGATGATTCCACCGAGGATCTGGGCGACACCCAGGCCCACGTACCAAAAGGTAAAGCGTGGTGCCTGTTCACTCCGGGTATAGTACTGGCTACTGATGAGCATCAACGATGGGCCAACGGTTGCCTCGAAGATGCCGAGAAACACTCGCGCGGCCAGCAAACTGCGGTAGTCGTGAGCACCGGCTGATGCAGCGGCAGCGATTCCCCAGAAAAAGACGTTGCCTCCGAGCCATTTGGCCGCAGGGACTTTCTGTAGACAATAGACTGTAGACACGATGAGCCGAGATTCGACATGAAGAAAGGAGCAGGGATTAGCTATAATTACCATTGGGAACTTCAGCGATCAAGTAAGCGATGAAAAACCAGGTGGCCGTGTTGGAAAACTCATTGCCGGTGAGTTTCAGGTCCTTTTTGATTCCCATTACGGCCGCATACTGTGCGTGTTAATCAGGATGTTCGATCGGCGCAGGGGTCACTTACGTTAAGCATGACTTTGTCCAGGAACTGCAGAACGTAGCAGCAGAACATGTACGGCATCAAGCGCCGATCGATCTTGCGGCGCAGTGCTTTGAGATCGACATTCCCGACCTCATCCCCGTGGCCCTCGAGATATACAACCGCATCGTCCTGCGCAACCACCTGTCGCACTGCCGGCTGCTTGTCGCCCATTTCGTTCGCGTGTTGGAGAACGGGATGGAATGAAGAGGAACTCTCGAGTCTCGGAGAGAAAAAGAAATTATCAGAAAAAAAGAAAAAAAAGTAGAACAGGTCGCGAACAGGGGCGGAATCAGGGAGTGGAGTACAAATGGCATTTAACACGGTTTCTACGTCGACTCGACTAATCAGACTTGTACGGGATCGGAAGATTTCGCGAAAAGTTACATCGACGGTCAAAGGCCCCCCATCGATGTTTCGATCGGAAGACTAAAAAACCTAAACAAGGGGGACCTTGGCCGTGCAGGCGCCACTCGGAGCAGAGCACCGGAATGTTCTGAAGGATGTCTTGAATTATCCTTTCTGACCCGTTCGGCCAAGCAAGGGGTGGGTCGCGGGGGACTCAAGGTACTCGATTGGGAAAAAGGGAATGGCAGATACAAATCACGCAGGTATTTCTTCATCGATGCCTTGATTCCACGTGGATTCATATCATCTCGGTATCGTCTCTGGCTCTCGGGGTTGTCATCTTCATGCCCTGATCTCTCCCCGGCGCGACCATGGGCTGGGTACACAATGCCACTCCCTCGGTCGAGGCTGCGTCCGAGTACCGGCTTATTTTGGGAATATGTCTCAGCCTGACGATGCTGATGGTGATTACCGTGTGTTTGCGGTTGTTCGTGCGCGCGCAAGCGAGTCGATTGGGTGCGGCGGACTATGTGATGGTCGTCGGCATGGTATCAACATGATCGTTCCAGACATTCTTGACAGGAAGTTGTTGACTCTTGCTAGATATTTAGCATTGTATATAGTGCGCTTTGCATCTCTCGTGAGTAATGATGAATCTTCATCCGCAAAGCAATTCCACTCATCCTCGCAGAAAGCAGATACGGTCTTGGTCTGCCGCTCAAGCTTCGTCCCAAGGCAAACCTATCGACATATACAAAAGTGAGTACCCCGGAGCGAGGGCGTAGGAATAATGGCACTGACATCAAACAGCTTAACTATGCCGGCCGTCCATTCTATCAGCTTGGCATCGCCGGATTCAAAGCCTCTCTCTGCCTCAGCTACCTACGCCTGCTGTCCGGCACGTCCAAGAGCTTCTACCGCATTGTGATTTGGGTGGTGATTACAATCTCGACAGTCGGTCACGTCGTGGGAACTCTCGTTTTGCTTTTGGACTGTTCGCCGGTATGTATTTTCACTCGACATTGATTCCAGAGCTGATCCGGATCCTGGTCCCGTGCAGGTCCAAAGGGCATGGAACACAACCGTCCAGGGCACTTGTCTCCCGGTCGGAGCGACCTTTTACGGCCTCGCCATATTCACCATCATCTGCGACGTGATGATCATTTTCCTGCCGATCCCGCTCCTTTTACAACTGAATATCAAACCCGCGCAAAAGGCGGGTGTGGTGTGTCTCTTCCTCCTGGGTCTGTTCACGACCATCTGCTCGATCCTGCGTTTGACGCAGATTCACCGGGTGGCCTACGGAGATGGAAACTCGACGATGCTGGTTCTGTGGGGAACTATTGAATTCAATGTCGGAGTAAGTTCGATACGATCCCTCACAAACTCTATCTAACCGGCCCAGAACATCGTCACCTGCGTTCCGTATCTGGCTCCTCTGCTCAAGGGCTACGTGCGCGATTTCGGATCGACTAGCGGCCGAAAATACTACGATAGCCGGGGCCGAAACTACGCCATGGAAAACTGGTCCAAGGAACAGCGATCACATCTGCAATCTAGTGCATCCGGGCCCCTCCCGCCGAAAAGGTCCCCGAGCGAGGAGCTGATTCTGGCTTCTCGGGAGCCGTCCCATGGTGGGATTGAGATGACGGTGGAGTATCGGGTGTCTCTGGAGGGGTCGGGTAGACGTGGATCGACTAGGTGATGTCAAATCTTGGAAGGATATCTATCTCGTTGATGCCATCCCTTGGCGTGTGGCATCGAACCCCTAATCCCTACTCTCGCGATTTTTGTCAATGTAATGATCGGTCATAAAAAGTTAAGGCTTTGTTTGCCATGTCTCTCAAATAACCCGACCTTGGGGCGAACTCTTCGTTTTGGCTAGGGCTTCCGAGCTTGAAGCCCAGCGGCCTCCACCGGCCTCCACCGGCCTCCACCGAGGGGCGTCCCGGTCAGCTCGCCCGCTCCGTGGAGCACGGGAGATCCGCTTTTGCACGAAAGGATTAACCAGCGCCATTAGGGTTGGCGCCGTCGAAGCCTCTTGCTGATCTTAGCGGCTTCGGGCCGGGCTGGTTTCACGGCGGAGTCCGTAATGAAACAGGGTCTTCGTCAAAAAATAGATTGCCTGGATCCATCCGTTATGTAAAGCGGGAAGTCAAATGGACAAGGTACTCCCGTCCTCGGCCTTGGGCAGGTCTCACCGATAGTGCGTGATGCAACGCGTAGGGATGCTGTTTTGGGCCACGCAGGCGTCAACATAAGATCGAATCGGGCGAAGAATAGGCGCTGGGATCCGATTCCTCCACGGATCCACTCTCCCATTACGGCGACGTGGTACAAGAGTTGCATCGGACACATCGATTCGATCGCGTCGTGATCCTGTTGTGATCCCTGTCCAATCAAGGGCCGAAGAGTGACAAGTACAGTAAGAAAGAAAGAAAAAAAAAAAAAGCCCTCAGGGTCGCATAGGCACCGAAGACAGGTAAAATGGTACCACGGTCAGCTCTCCGCTCAGCACACAATGGCCGACTCCGATCCCCCGGTTCTGATCGTCGGCGCAGGCATCAGCGGCCTGGTGTTGGCTCAGTATCTCCAGCATCTCGGCGTGCGGTTTGAGATCTTCGATCGTGACTCCGCCCTCGATGCGCGCACTGGTGGATGGGGCCTGACGCTGCACTGGGCACTGCCTGCCCTGCGCGACCTGCTTCCCGCCCACATTGTGGACAAACTGCCCGATACGTTTGTCAACAAGGACGCATCGTCGCGTGGAGATGTCGGCAGTTTTCAGTTCTTCAATTTGAAATCTGGCGATGCACTCTATAGTGTTCCAGCCGAAGAGCGAATTCGAGTGAATCGAGGAAGATTGCGTGAGCTGTTGACCAGTGGGATTGACGTTCATGTCAGTTGAAGTCTTGGAGATGCCAATGTTCATGCTAATATGGTCGCAGTGGGATAAAACACTCTTGAATATCGAATCCTCTGCGGAACACATCACCGCTTTTTTCGACGACGGCACTTCGTACACCGGTCATCTGCTTGTCGCCTGCGATGGAGCTCGGTCGCGCGCCCGCCAAATCGTGTATCCGGATGGCTGTCAGATGAACCCATTGCCGGTGCAGCTGCTCGGGGCATCACCACTATACACATCGGAGGAAATGGGCGGGGCACAGACGATCGATCCCTATATCTTCCAGGGCTCTCATCCTGACACCGATGTGTTCATGTTTTTCAGTTGTGGGTATTTCCATTCAACTCTATTCGTCCGTTGCTAACCGTGTACAGTCCTCGATACCCCAAACAACTTCGATGAAAGCAGCCGAGATCGTTATCATTGCCAGATCATCGTCTCTTGGGCCGACTCCAAAGGAATCACCGTGCCGACTTCCAATCCCGACCGTGTCACTCTGATGAAACAGCTGACCGACAACTGGGCCGAACCATTTCGGTCGCTCGTTCATAATTTACCGGAAAATATCGAAGCACGGTCTATTCGCATTGAAGACTGGCTCTTTCGACCGGACCAAAAGCATCTGTCTAGATGCGTGCTCATGGGGGACTCGGCACATACAATGACGATGTGTGAGGACGCCCAATTCCATCCCAATCAATCGTCGGTCTAACAATAATACAGTCCGTGGTGAAGGAGCTAATAATGCAATCGTCGATGTCCGTGATCTGGTGAAGCGGGTCGATATGCAAAATTCCGAGTATGTGTTTTCGCTCCGATACTGGTCATTCTAACAGGCCTACATAGATCATTTGACTCCGAGACCCTTTCTGCTTCGCTAGCTGCCTATGAAAAGGATATCTTTGCCCGTGTTGAGCCCAGTGTACTGAACTCACGCCAGGCATGTCTAGACGCTCATGATTTCTCAAAGATCGTGGCCGGGAGTCCGTTGGTGGCGGCGAGAGTGCTTCAAACAAATACGGAGTGATACAGCGGATAAACTACAGCTGACAATTGAAGCATACCATTGCCGTATCAAAAGCGAATAGCATTGTCACGGAACATTCCCTTTGAAGTCCTTCGTATCGTAAGGTATTTGAAGTCGAGGTGCTCCTTCATGTAATGGCCCAGGTGAATAGTAGGCTTGGTGATGGATAGATTTATAGTCTCCACTAGGTTAGTGTCTTAGGGGTTAGCTAGCTAGTTATATATATAGCATATAGGATCGTACCTTGGGGGGCATCCAATCTCGCTGCGGACTGGAGCGCCGGTCCATTCACAGTTATTTGGCATTGCATCGGCTGGACAGCAAATATGGCGTATGTGCCGCTTTCACATGTGTCGCCAATCCAATACCCGAGCTGCTGCTGAGGGCCATGTGCAGTGGCAGCGGAAGAAAACCTACCACCGCAGACATACTCAAGGTCATCTTTATGGGAGCTTGAACCATCAGTATCTCTGTCACATAACAGTTTTGCCCAGAATATGCGGAGTATTGATCAGTATTTTGTTCCGTCAAGACTGTGCATCATCGTAAGAAATCCACTGGTTGCCATTGTAAACATCGTACTTGACAGTGGAAACCGGATCGTAGTACGTCTGCACATCGCCAGAGCTATTGGAAAAAAAGGAAACAAAGTCAAAAGAGGATCGTGCTCACCTGAATAATACGGAATGCCAGCGGTCTGTGAGCAAGGTCCCGCATCTCCCACTGTGGAAAATGTGCACTCGGTCGTCCGACAGTCCTTGTTGGACGTAGTGAAGCTCCAACCGTAGAAGTCCATGCCCATGACCCCCTTTTTCGGGTCGATGATGTTGCGCCAAAGCAAATTGAATCCCTCATCAATCTCTGTGAGATTGATATGACCGCGAAGGTAAGGCCCGATGTTCTTGTTGTCCCGATCCCACATGCCGTGAAGATCGTAGCTCATGAAGTTGAAGAGTGATATGTACTCCTCCATCGATTTGAGGTCAAAGTTTTGGATGTACCAGTAGCTGGCTGGCAGTGTGCAGGTAATTTCCCAGCCCGAATTTGTAGCATCAAAGGCCCCTCTCAGTTCAGAGAGCAAAACCACGAAGGTATCGGTGTCATCTAGGGAGCCTCCACGATCTTCCGTAGAGTGATACTCCCAGTCTTTACCACAGTTCTTAATTATTAGAGCACCAGTATATAGGAGGGCGGAACAGAGGCACTTAACCTACCAAGTTCGATGTCATCTAGATCATACTTCTGCACATACGAGATCAGAGAATTAATGAACGTTTGACGATTTTAGTAGGATCCTACCATGGTCGAGAAACAGTACGTCAAAGGTGGATCATTGAAATTCCAGCCTCCAATGGCAACGTTGACCCTTAAGCCGGGATACGATGTCTTGAGGCGGCTGACACGGGTAACGATGTCGCCATATTCATCAACCATTTTCCAATCATCCCTAAACTGGACAAATCCCAGATTGATATGTGTCAAGGCACCAGCAGGGATATTTTCTGGCTGCATGGTATCGCATGACCGAGAAAATTGGAACAGCTCGTAGGATGCAAATTCGGGGGAGCTGGTGTTAAACGAGCTTGGGCATGAAATACTGTTGTACAAGTTGATACGATCACCAAATTAATGTGGAGAATGTGCCGGGCGGGGGGATTCGCGGAGTTTCAGGTGTGTGGTAGACAACGCAGGTAAAGTCAGGCGGGATCTTGGAAAAGAGCTGTCTCATCTACATGGACGATGAACTATCACCTGATCTCACATATCCATAGCTCTGGAAATGCCCAAGTGACGTGGTATGGAATACTTACTCAAAACCCTCACAGCTATTCTGGCATCCATCACCACAATGAGCCTTACCAAAGCCAGAGCTTCAGAAGTTTGCTAGCCTGCTCGATGACGTTGAGACAATAATTCCTTCCAGGAGCTTACCTTTCATCTTTACTGCAAAATCCTTCAGCACAAGAAACGAGCTTGGAACAAGTAGCACCTTGCTGGGACTGAATCACCCAAATGATAACAAAAACGAAAAATAAAAGAGTGTAGTATAGTTTAGGTGCCTCATTATGCCATCATTTTATTCGGCCAAGCCCTCGATACTCCAGAGACTTGAACTCCCAAGACTTATAAAATATCAAGAGCATAAATGTGAGAGAATATCTGCCTAAGGATCCCTATATAGTAGGGTAGTCTTTAGGGTAGATATTTAGAGAGAGAAATACTACCTCCCGTAGAGGTCGGCTACTACTACAGCGTAGTAGCTTACCCTAGGAAGATAGATAAAGATAAAGATAAAGGGTAGAGATAAAGGGTCTCTCTAGCCTACCCTAATAGAGAGAAAGGGTAGTGAGAGGAGAATTAAGATAAAAGCTCTTAATTTATTTAGTCTAGTTTTTAGGCTATATTTATAGACAGAAATATTTAGTTTATCTAAAATAAGTATACTAATTGCCTAAGGTAATTATGCTATTTACCTAAGGTAATTATGCTAATTGCCTAAGGTAATTATGCTATTTACCTAAGGTAAATATACTATTTATCTAAGGCTATAGATAAGGTAGGCTTAATAACCTTAGTTATGTAGGCTGACGTAGATAGAAAGCATAGTAAAGGCTAAAGTGAGGATAAAGTAAGAGAAAAGTAAGAGATAATTAGAAGATTAGATAAAGGCGATGAGAAATAGTAGAACAGGAATATTAACTAGAACTTTCTATATTAAATTAGAAGTTCTAGAAATCTACATTTATAAATATAGACACCTAAAATCCTAATAGCTAGCCTAAGATTATATATAATAAATATTATAGTCTAATATTTTAAATATCTATCTTCTACTAGACTCTTAGTGGTATAAACTAATATAATATATCTATATTAATAAAATATCTCTATACTATTAGATATTAATAGCGCGTAAGGAATATTTAATAAAGGGCTAATATTATTAGGTTTCTATAGGATATAGTAAGTTTTATTATATTTAAAGATATACTCTTAGAAATTATTAATAAGTATAATATATATATAATCTATTAATAAATAGTTTACTTAAAAGGCTTAGGAAGAGAAGCTATTTATCTTTCTTATAATTATATATCTTCTTTTTTAGCTTATTAAGTATCTTAAATTCTATAATATAATTTAAATAGCGTAAAGCGCCCCTTTTAGCTTTAAGCTCCCTTTTATAAAGACTATTTATTATAACCTATAAATTATAGTAAAGAAATAGCACTAAAATATTTTATAAAGGCTTCTTAGTTATATAAAGATATTAATTACTCTAAATTATTAGATATCTCCTTTTTTAAAAAAAAAAATTGATAATATTTATAGCTATTACTAGGTACTTTATATTTATATAGTATTAGATTTAAGACTAAGTACTTGTAATAATAGCTAATAATATATTAAATAATAATATCTTTATTAATACCTTATAATAATCGCTATTAGATATAACTATTATTACTTAAGTTTTTATATCTTATATATATTATCTAACTAAGCTTAAATATAGATAGATAAAAACTAAGCCTATAAATATTAAATAAGATAAATAACTTCTTTTTTTCTCTTACTTTACTTTAACCTTCCTATCCTTCTTCTTTTCTCTTATTATATTAATACTCTATCTTTAATAGGGTTATAGTCTTATAATCTATATATTAATATAAGCCTTTAGCGTTATAATATATCTTCTAAGTTCTAGACTAAAGTAACTAAGCTTATACCCTTATAGGATATTAAAATATACTAAAACTTAATATTTTTAATATTTTAATAAGCTAAGCGACTCTAATTAATATTTAATCCATTTTATATTAGATATAATTAGACTGTCTTAGAGATAAAATTAAAGAATAGCTATATAATCTATATAAAGTATTTAGCTAAATATCGTTAGATTAAATACTTTATATAGATTATATAGCTATTCTTTAATTTTATCTCTAAGATATTAAAGATAAAGGACGCTATTACTTATTATATATTTTAAATTTATAATAAGCTTTTAAATATCTTAAGCGATTAATAGACTAGCTTATATAGAAAGAAGTAACTAAAAAGAAGATAATATAAAAGATATTTAAGGCTATATATAAAAAGCTCACTAGCTATTATAAATAGACTAATATAATTTAAAAGAATCTCTATATAGTTATAATAATATTTATATTAATAAGTTCTAATTCTTATTACTAATAACTAGAATAAATATTAGAGCGATTAATATTAAAATTGTAATTGTAATTGTAATATCATTCTCGGAACTGTTAGCTATAAGGCCGATTTACTGGTAGACCTCTTTGAGATAGCTAGGATAGCTATATATATTATATGATGCTAAGATATCTAATTTCTAATATCTTCCCCCCTCGCTTCTAACCACTTCCGCTTCTCTATCTACCCTTCCCGTCAAGGCGTCTATATCGCTTGCCTTAGCTAAGCAACCTACCTACACTTACTATACCACTAACGCTAGTAGATAGAGTATAGTAGTACTAGGGCTATAGTGGGAGACTAACGTTCACTCTAGGAAAACTAGATTATCCTAATACCCCTATTCCTTATTCGGTTCACTAATATATTAATCTAGCTCGATAGAAAGCGACCCCTTAGCTATAGTTATTAATAGGTTAACTAGGCGAGATTAGACCTAGTATATCGAGCCTTCCCCTCTAATACGTTCTATACATTAAAATAATATAGATAATAGGTTCTATAGTAATTATAGCCTATAGGCGTGAGCGGGGTAGATATAGTGCCCTTAGTTATAGGTCTCCCCCGCGAGAGGCCTAGAAGACGTTTAGTAGTGCTTAGAACTAGCTAAGTAAATTAGTCTTCAGGATAAATTTAGCCACTTTAATCACTAAGGCTAGCCTAGTAAGCTAGTCCTTCTATATTAGGCCCTCGCGTTTCTATAGAGGGCTAAGGATATAAAGGCGAAGATTAGTAAGCTATAGATATATTAATAGGATATATTATATATCCTAGTTACTAAGGTTATAATTATACTATACAAGGTTCTATAGGGGGTTTATCTCGAGCTATTCCTTACGCTATTATTAGATAGTATTTAGATAGCTAGGGGGGCCAATTTTACTAGTTTATATTTAGATAAGGGCGGAGCTTACTATACGCTTAAGGTTCTTATATAGCTTAAAGATACCCTTTATAAGGGTCGGGAGAAGTTCCTATATATATATGCTATACTCGCCTAACTCCTACTACTACTCCTAGCGTTTATAGGCGATCCTATATAGCTTTATCTTATATCTAGCTAATAAAATTATAAGTAAGGGTGCTATAAATAGTGCGTTTACGACGTCGTTAGCTATCCTATCTACTCGCTTATTACCTAATGTCAGGATTTTAGGTGTCTACATTTATAACTGCAGATTTCTAGAGCTTCCAATTCAACATAGAAGTTCCCGCTGAAATTCCCGTTCTGCCATTTCTCACCGCCTTCATCTGATCTTGCAGTTATCTCTCATTTATCTCTCACTTTGCTCTCACTTCAGCCTTTACTATGCTTTCTCTTTCCATTTGCCTACCGGACCGAGGTTATTAGGCCTATCCTGTCTATAGCCGCGGGTAACAGCACGTTTACCTACCTCGGGTAACAGCACGTTTACCTACCTCGGGCAATAGCACGTTTACGGCAAGATTACCTCGGGCGAATATTACCTTAGGTAATTAGCTAGATGAACTGAATATTTCTGTCTATAAATATAGCCTAGAAACCAGACTGAATAAAACAAGAGCTTTCATCTCAATTCTCCTCTCACTACCCTTCCTCTCTATTAGGGCAGACCAGAGAGATTCTCTCTTATTATCTTTATCTTTATTCATCTTCCAGGGGTAAGTTACTACGCTGCAGTAATAGCTGACCTCTACGGGAGGTAGTATTTCTCTCTACAAATATTTGTCCTAAGGACTGCCCTGCCGCATAGGGACCCTTAGGCATTTATTTATCTCTCTTATTTTCATATACTACCAATCCCGACAATAAGCCTATTTATATTAATACTTAAAATATAGATAGGCTTTTAACAAGAATAAAGACACTTTTAGTATAGAGATAAAGGTATCTTAAAGCTCTTTTAATATTAATCCTATATATAGAAGAAGGGGATAGGTACACAATCGCTAGATAGACCAACGGACACCTCGCTAATCCTCGATAGTGGGGTAAAGGTTAAACTAATATCCTTATTATAGTATCTTAGTATTAAGCTTAACGAGAACCTAATAGGCTATATATACCTTAATCGATGCCGTAAGAAGGCTATAACCCTTATTACGGCACTAAGATCAATCGTGGGGATGACCTAGGGTATAAATGTCTTAAACCTCTAGCGAATATAGACTACGGTATTACTACTATAAGTAGCGTTCGCCTACTCTATATAGCGAACGGAAGGCGCGTATAGAATAAAAGGTGCTAAGGACACGATACATAGAGCTATCGAATTAATATAGCACTAAGCACTAGACCTAGCACTTACCTA